TGCCTGAAATACGAAGATTACAATGAACTTTCACACCAACATGTCAAAACCTGAGTATTGGCTGATAGTGTTACTCCATCGCTACTCTATCTTTTCCAATACATGTACATACACACATGCATGGACAAAACGTCCGACGTTATGGACGTAAAAGTTGGCAAGGCGATAGGACCAAATCGGAATTCCTCTCTCCCAGCAATGGGCGGATCATCGCAAGTGTGATATCAATTCACAGATTCAACCCCGGGGTTGCACATATAGGGGTCATAATCTTGCTGGAAAAGGACCTCAATGACGAAGCTGATTCTGCTTGGGATACACACAAATACGGAGCGGGAAAAAATGTCATGGCATGGAGACAGTCTCAAGACCCCGTCGAGGTTTCCAGCACCTAGCTATCTCTTCTCGTTGATTCAACCAACATATCACCTTGACGGAGGCTTTGTTTTCGACTTTAGAGAGCCAAGTCTCGCTGGCAGAGGCGAAAAGCGATAGTTTCATGCCTGACACGACATTGTGCATTCAACTTCAAGTATGTACAGTACAGATGTACAGTACTTCTTTCCTGACAGGAAGAACCGCTACATAAGGCAGAGGGCAGTTTGGTGTGAAGACTGGCGATTGTCCGTGCAGACATCACATCAACATCATTATTTCTGTCTGCCAGACAAATCAAAGATTGAACTGAACAATCACCCTGGATTTCGGGTCTCCTGCAGTGGACAAAATCAAAATCCTCTTGCTGATTTCATCGCGTGAAAATCCAACAAAGGCTGCTACAAATTCGCCTGCCTCGCTTGCAACACCAGAGTGGAGCATATCGACTCCTCTAAGGTTCTACATCGCTTTACTGTACTTGGAATATCCTTACTTCTTATATCATCATCTCTACGCGTCGAGGACAACGCCTTTTTTCGAGGGGGGCATTGTCGCGGTACAAGGTCGTACCTTGACCGATCCATTGCCATCACGTGTAACGATCATCCATATCTTGTACGTGGCCGGAGCAGCCTAGTGGAGCTCATGGACTCCGCTGCGTAACCCCGGCATTGCAACGCTATGTGGCACCTCTGGAGATCAAGCTGAGCCTCAAGAAACGTCATCTATGAATTCGACATGCCAACCAAACGGTTTGGAAACGCCGCCGGCATGGAGCACTTTTCGCAGATGGACCGCATTGAAGAGCGGCTGTCTCGGCTCGAAGAAAACAACTATCTCCTTCGTCCATATCGCGACCAGAGCTTGGATATACGACGAGTGATCCTCGATGCAAGTTGCCACAAAGACTCCTTAACGTTATTGTTATTGCAAAAGGAGACGCGTTGAAGCCCTCACCTCCGCAACATAAAGCACGTACGCTTATGGACTGGCATGCAACAATTGCCGATGCAGCGCAACAGACAATCCGCGCGGTTTTGAACGGGTGAAGCTGAATCTAGCAAGTATGATGTATCTCTTTAACAAACGAAAGCTGGGACACCTGCTTATGGTGCCTATTGGGATCCCCACGGACAATGTCGCACCAAAAAAGCCACAAGCACACAACTAAGCAGAGAGCCAGCACTAAGGCCTTCTTGAAGGTTCGTCAGGACAGATCGCGCCTATCCCAGCCACAGATCACATACGCTATTCTCGATAGCACCGGTGCCCGACTTAAGTCCACCCTTATCTTGGGGTACCATGATGCCCTCAGCAGCAACTATCAACGCCTCCCAGAACAAGCGTTCCAGTGATTCTTCACAGCCACTGCAGCATATAACACCAAAATCCAGAGACGCATGGAACGCTGAAGATCATTGAACAGAGCTGGAGTGAGAAGGGGAAGACTGTTGCCGGAAAAGACAATCCCCTCAGCATTTTGACCCAATGTCACACCTGCCAGGCTGTCATACATGGCGCAGGATTTACACGGTGTGAAATACAAAGGATAAAGCAGACAGGAGGGAGACCGCAGTGCATGGCATGTAAGAGAGACGACCAGCTGGAATTGATCATGCTGAATAAGTTCCACACCAAAATGTGCGTCGAGTTTTTCACACGCATTCAAAACGTGTTGATGGCAGAAACTCTAGTGCATATTAATTCACTTGAGGGTGAGAGTCGGGTAGCCAAGTCTGAGGAAATGAAATTGGAATCTATACTCTACCCTCGAAAACATCTAGGCGTCTATGTTGTGGGAGAAGATGATGATGATGGAGGTGACAATGATAGCGAAGTTTACAAACAGTTTACAGTGAGCCAGTTTATAATGCTCGACTGCCTCAAGATTGCCTGCCAAAAAAGCGCCAAACCGAACATTGGTGCCAGACGATATACCATTGCCCAGTTCCCAACCTTGGAAAGCTTCCTGATGATGCTTTGCAGCGGTGACTCACGCTATCGCTATGAGCCGGATCCCGGACCGAATATTCCAGCTCATGTACAACAGACTCGACATCATAAAAGATGAGGACAGGAAGTGGATCGATAGAGTTCTTGGCGAAATACCCTACGATGTCCCTGTTGTTAATCCACCATCAAAAGGCACAGACGATAATGCCGCTGATGTTCCTGCGGCTGATATGGCAGGAACAGATACCGCGGCCATTTTGAATTCGACGCCTGATCCTTGGGGGCGATGACAAAGGAGATGGAATGGGGACACCCTATGCATCGTCAACACCTGTCTTGCCTCTGATAGGGCAAGTTGCAGTTTAAATGTCAAGATATTTGCTGCGCTGCATTAGCGGAAACAGAGTACTTGGACAACATTAACCATTCCTTTGGTTGCTATCGAAGAGCGACCACGGATCTCGGAACATTGCAAGCAGGAAGAGGCTTAGAGCCATGGAATGGGTTAGTTTTCTTCGATCATTCCTTCATTTGCTTCGACAGCGGCTGCGCAGTCTCTATCCGACCAGCGACGACGAGGAGGAAATTCCATTAACTCTCGAAAGTCAAGAAGTAGGGCTGGGCTGGTGAACGACATCAAACGCAGAGTTGGATTCGCGATGTGATCAATTATTCGTGAGGTGTACACGAAACTCCTAGCAGTGTGAGGCCGGACATTAACAAGAGGAAATCACTTCGCGAAATATAAGGAGATGTTTCAAGATGAGGTGGAAGAAATGAGGTAAATACTCTGGGGGAACTCGTTGATAAAATGCGCACAAATACACCCGCGAAGATCCAATCCAGAACACCCCTATCGAAGAGACCTCGTAACGTCAATGTCGAGGTATGGAATGGAATGGAAATCCGAATTACGCGGTGTGGTGTGCGTATGTATGCATGTCCAATATACGACATACTACATACATATCCTTATTGGCGTCTCGCCATACAGCTCGAGATCGAACAAATATTCTTCGCCAAATATCTTAGCGACCACTCTGACAAGCTCCATAGATTACGCATGCGACCTGTGTGACGATCCAAGAATTTCCCTTCGGCAATCAAGTATCTCTCGGCGTCATAATATGTCAGGACCAGAATGAATTTAGAACCCCTGGCTACAAGGTTTGGGACTGGAACATCGTCGCAGAAGTGGCAGAGAGCCTTTTGCTCTCGCGATAGTGTCCGCTGTTTACAAAAAGAAACATCGCCTGCAATGCAATTTCAGCATCCAGGATGAACAACAAGACAGGCTTAACAAAACTCGTCCGACGTGGAAGATCCGCATCCAATGGACTATGGAATACCCAAGAACCTTAGATTTTACACATTGTCTCCTGAGACTGCTGCACACGAGGCAGACTACAATGCACGGACATATCAGCGAGTTAGTAACGCCGCGGGACCTGGAAAGCTGTTGATCTTCTCCCCGGTATGACACTTCTATTCCTACGATGGGTTTTCCGTATCAAGGCCGATGGCAAATACAAGGCTCGACTGGTCAAGCAGAAGAAGGATCGACTTCCATGAGGTCCATCTACTCGTCGGTTGCAAAGCCTATGAGCCTAAAGATTCTTCTAGCCCTTGCTGCTAAGCTTGGATGGCACGTCTACCACTTTGATCTTTGTGACCGCTTTCCTTAACAGCGACCTAAAGGAAGCCATTTTTATCCAACTGCTCGAACAACGGGTTGAAGAACGTCTCCAAGATGCCGTCACTCTTTCAAAAGCCGAACTCAGGACCGCCATCCACGAAGGACAAAAACGCGACGACCTACGGAACAACGTCAAACACTCCATGTCTGCGAGGAAGGGCGACCAGCGCCAATCGTCGATAAGCATTTTCGAGACATACAAACAGCATTGTTGGTACTGGGCAAATATTCTACTTCACGAACCTTCGATTCAGATAGTTTCTGGATGCTAACGCCCTACCTCCATTTAATGTGTCAAGACCTTCACGGCTCCCACAATACAACAGAAGGAAACTTGGTCACCTTATGGTACCGATTGGCATACCCATGGACAACGTTCCACCAAAAAGTCATAAGCACACGACGAAGTGGCGCGCTGAAACCGAAGCCTTGTTGTCAAATTCCTCGTAGAGCCGGTCAGCTCCTTAATAAGACGCTCTACGACCTCGAGCAGTCACTTCAGGAAGGGTTACTACCAAGCAGAAGACGCGACCGAACCGAACACTGGTGGAACTACTACGCGAGCACGAAGGAAAACGAATCAAATACTTGGAACAACAGCTTCGGCAGGAAGCAGACAATGCGATCTGCCTTACTCACCAAGAGCGTTGAGTTGGTGTGGATGAAATCCAGTCCCGCAATTCCCTAGCGAACGCCAAACACGACCATATCAGTGCATAACGGCCTAGCGCCAGACGAGGTCGTGTGGCTCCAAGATCTCTCCTCGCCACTGACACGCACCATCGGCCAGATGCAAACAACACCAAGACCAATGGATTACTGTGCCTTTTGTGGATTGGACTACAACTCAGGACCGTGCCATTACGCCCTCCCTTCGTACGCAGCTTCACCATAACGTTGTTGCTACGCTCTTGCAGCGCTTACAGGACGGTATGCTACCACCGATTCCGCAGTCAGTTCGCTCAACCCCGTCTCACACATCTGCACCAATTCTTCTATCTGCATCTGTGGTACTAGAGCCATTATCCCAAACATCTTTAAATCCTCCATCTATATCTGTCATTGTACCCAGGCGATCATCCCCGATTCAGATATGTGACTGGCTAGAAAGTGAAAGCTTCGCCCAAGTCGACCCATTGTCGAGGCCCGCTTATGACAAGAGGCCAAGGGAAACTCACCATCTGTTGTTGTGCCATCTGTTGCATCAGTATCAGATTCATCGCCTGCTATACATGTACCAACTCCGACTCCATCATCGGCAAGTGCAGGTATACCATCGTCTCCAGTACCAGAGGCGCCACTACTGTTGCAACCAACTGTGCAATCAACTCTCGTACCGTCCATTGCTACCCCAGCAACATCGTCAGCTGCACAAACAGTACTGTCATCGCCTGCTACGTTTCCATTGCTACCTGTACGGCCAGAACATACCTCTCCAGCGTTCATGGCAGCGGCACCCTGTCAAGATGTTAATATCAATAATCAACTTGCCGAACTCTCTGCTACTGTTATGCCAATATGGCATAACGTAGGGAAAATGGGAATTTTGTTCGAAAAGCAAATATGCAAATCAAGACGAAGTCATACTGTGTTGTGCAAGAGCTAAGAACTAGCTACGGTACGGGTACAGGATGTAGGAGTCACGGGTCAAGTGGCACGTCAGTGTCAATCCCATCAGAGATGGTTCGTCCTGGGATTTGGAGAATAGCATCTTGAACATCGCACGTCGTTTCCACTTCTTAAAGGCCGCACTGCGATTCTTCATCACCACGGCGTCCCACACCACTAAAGCCTGTCGTCCATCTCAAAGTAAGGTCCGCCGCAGTACGATCTTCACCACCTACTAACATATCCCATTGGTGTCATTTCCAACCATCCTGAAGACAAGGTCTCGAAACTGAATGCCAGAATCCCCAGGGTAACACCTGTTCTTTGCGTCGGTGTCTCAGAGGATGGGATGACCAGGGTGTCATGAATATCAAGTTTGTCTGCTTGACCAGCGCTACCAGCTAGCTCATGAGAGAGAGGAAATCCCTGGCCGATAGCCTATGGCGTTAGTACGAAACCGCCCGTCAGCCCTTGCTCCAAGAGACATCAGAGAAGTACCAGGAATGGAGAGCCCGCATCTACTGGGACTTCATTCCGTGGGAGCGCAGAGAAAAGCATCAGTCAGGAAAAAAAGGCAGCTGCATCGAATCGAACCCTCCAGATCTACATCTAAATCGCTGCATCTTCAATGGACACGCGGATCCTCCCAGAGACCGACCGACCGATACAAACATTTGTACACGCGATGTAGATGACAAATTGACTCGACCTGGACATACATACATTGTCAAAGAACACGGACGTCTTCATCAGACGCAAACTCAATGCGAAATCCACCAAAGTCGTGAAACGAATGACTTGCTCAACTCTCTCATCCTCGACAAGCAGGAGGAGTGTATAATATCAATATACCCATGAGCTGGGCAGATGCAACAACAGATTTGAAAATTTATTCCTTGGTATCAGATTCGCGCTGAGCTGATTTGATCGATTTGGACCGATGTCCGACTTCTTCATCATCCTGGATACTATGCTCCAGCTCACGATCGCTATTGTAAAGGAAGGCTTCTGCTTTTTGCATGAATTTGATCGAAAAAGGGAAAAAAAAAGGCCGGCGACCAAAAAAAAAAGAAAAAGAAAAAGAAAAGAAAAAAGTAGATACATGCATGCTCAACTCAACAAAAGAACCTAACTCANCTTTTTCAACAACCTGGACTGGTCATACATTCCGACTGTCGAAAAAAATCAAACATAGTCATTGCCATAAGCAACTGAGAAAAACAACAACAAGAAGTTGATCCACGCAAAAAAAAAAACAAAAACAAAAACAAAAAAAATCATCTTCACATAGATCCGATATCAGCCTTGACGGTGACACGTCCGTCGTACAACGGCAGCACTAGAAAAAAGTGCCTGATCTGATGGCCAAATTAATTCTATGCCATTCGACTATTCGAATGGCAAACCCAACCTCCTCCTCATGACGTGATGCTTGAGATAGGTATCTCAGAGACAAATAAAACTTGGGGAAAAAAAAAACTTTTTTAAGACGCCCAGAAACTAGACGCAATCAATGACTCTAGTCACTCTTTTGTCGGAACATTCGAACCGAACCATGAACCATGATTGATTCTATCATCATCGTTCCAAGGATAAATTTAGAAGGAGACGACGAAGAAAGAGCACAACACAGTTGTTGGTACATGCATGCATGTATGTACTGTACATGCCAGGAGTATGGAAGACTATATGTATCTACCTATATGGATATGAGCCAAAAAAAAGAAGAAGAAGAAGGGAGGGAGGTCAGACAGTATGAGGAAGAGTTATTTCTTCGGGAGAACGAGGACCAGCGACTAAACTGAAAAAAAAAACAAAGCAAAACAAAAAAATGGAATAACTCAACATGTCATTCAATCGATCAATAGGAAAAAAGGAAGGGAACCAGGGCCCTATCTCAGCTGCATGTCTGTGTGTGCCATCCACAAATTACTTCTCTCCAACTCACATCATGAATTGCTTTTTTTCCTTCTCCCAGGCTGCTGCAGTTGCTAATACATGTATGTACATAAACACACATACTGTATGGGACAGACGGGTTAGATTTGATTTGGGTTCTGTTTATGTGAACCCTGTGGATGATGATGACGATCGATCCATTACGGTGGAATGGAATGGATGTATATAGGACTTTCTTCAGATACGGGGCATATACTGTACTGTATAAATAATCAGGGCGATAAAATCATGTACTGTAACAACAGGGGAAGAGAAGAAGAAGAAGAAAGAAGGAAAGAAAAAGAAGAAGATACCCTCTTCTACTTCTGTATATAAATGATAATGGCACGATAATATTGCTTCATATCGAATCCATTCCTCTAGACAACCGGACCACCCTTCAATACATATATTGCATATACAGTACATACAGAGCTACTTCATCCACTTAGGCCCCGCATAATACGACGTCTTGGTCGTCGCCTTCAGCTCATCCTCAATATCCATCAACCGATTGTACTTGACCACTCTTTCCCCGCGGCACGGACTGCCGGCCTTCATATGGCCTGCGCCGAGGCCGACGGCCAGATCGGCGATGAAGTCGTCTGTCGTCTCGCCCGAACGATGGGAGACGAAGACTTGCCAGTCGAATTTGGATGCGGTGCGGGCGCTGCACGAACTCTTATTAGCTGATAGAGAATGAATGTGTGGTGAGCCGCTTACGCCATGATCGCCTCGCTGATGGTGCCAATCTGATTGATCTTCAGCAGCAGCGAGTTGCAGGCATCGTGCTGCTTGGCGAGGGCCATCCTGTCCACGTTGGTCGCGAGGAGGTCGTCGCCAACGAGCTCGACGGCGCAGCTCCGGTGGAACTCGGCCCAGGCGTTCCAGTCGTCCTGCGAAAAGGGGTCTTCGACCAGGATGATGGGGTAGTCCTTCAGCAGCTGCTTGTACAGATCGCTCAGCTGGTTGGGGAACAGCTCGTGCGGGCGGTCTGTCTTGAATCCGATGTCGTACAGACGGTCTGATTTGAAGAATTCGGATGCTGCAGGGTCGATTGCGAATTTTACCTTGCCGGTGTGTCCGGCTGCTTCGACGGCGGTCGTCAGGAGGTCAAGCGCTTCGGATGGATGGGTGATTGGAGGTGCAAAGCCTCCTTCGTCGCCGATCGTAGTTGCTTGAGCAGATGCATCAGTCTCGAGCTGGAGACTTTATATCTCGATCTGTAATGCCGACTAACCTGACGGTCCATACTTCCGGGCAAGGACCTTCTTCAGTTCCTGATACACTTCACATCCCACCTGCACCGCCTGGGCAATATCCTCCGCCCCAACAGGCGCGATCATAAATTCCTGAAACGCCATCGAGTTTCCGGCGTGGGCGCCGCCATTGAGCACGTTGAAAAATGGCACGGGGAGGATATAGCTAGGCTCCATCTCGGCCTCCTGGCGCAGGAATTCATACAGCGGCACATCCTATCGGAAAACAGTACTGGGGCTTCAACAGGCAGTTCTTCCTGCGCATCAGAGACAAAACAGACAGGACAGACAGGACCAACCTTTCCGGCCGCTCCAGCGCGGGCACACGCCATGCTGACGCCCAGAATCGCATTGACGCCGAGCTTTTGCTTGCTGTGGGTGCTGTCGAGTTTGACCATGAACTCGTCGATCTTGCTCAGGTCCTTGCGCACGTCGAACTTCTGCTCGATCAGCACCGGCCCGATGACGTGTTGCACGTTGTGCACCGCCATGAGCACGCCATTGCCCCCGTATGCCTTGGGATTGCCATCGCGAATCTCCACGGCCTCGTAGCTGCCCACCGACGCGCCTGAGGGGACCAACGCTGTGAACGTTCCTGGTGCAGCAGCCAGTGAGAGTCAGTCATTCCAAACATGTCTGTTCGATAGATACCTTTCCCCGTCGTGACAGACACCTGGACAGTCGGTTTCCCGCGAGAATCCAGTCTCTGGGCTGCTCGGATGGACGAAATTAGACCGCTATTATTGTCTTCCGCCATTTTTTTCCCCTTTATCCTGCAGTCTCACATGAGAGAATCACATCAGACAACAGATATTCTCAGAAGAGGGCCAACAATCTCCGAATTGGACATCACCACCGTCGTCGTCATTGTCACATCACCCGTGTGTAAAGTAAAGCCAACGAACGGCGGGCCAACCCGGAGGTTTCAGGAACCAGACTCGGACCAGGGATCAGATGTTCTCGAGTAGATTGGTTCAATAATTATTAGAGGACAAACAAAACTAAAAAGATGGTTAGGGAGATCAGGCTCATACCGAGACTCGAGTTAATCTAGCTTGTATAGATTTCAAGTCTCATCCCCTCAAACCCCTGCGTACCAGCGCGCTATTTGGGTCATTTCCGTACATACCATACTGGATGATCACAGTGTTAATAAGTTCAGGTATTATTCTTATTATACTCCTGTATAGACAAATTCTTGACTACCAACGTATTTGAGCTCCTGCGCCGTCTCCTGATCCTGTTGTAATACAAACCGAACTCCACCCCAGACAGATGGTCAATCGTAAAAACCCTTTAGCCAACATGAAATCCGAAGAAACCTCCATAGATCCATTCCATTGTCGGTCGGCCAAGTTTGATTAGAGTAAGTATATTCGGGCTCTTCTCGTCCAGACTAAAAAAACATGTCCTCTAGAAGAGGATAGTCACCGTCCCCGTTGAGAAAGTCCACCACTGCATCCTCGTCTGCAGAACTGTATGACCCCAAGATTTGGAGAGTCCGACCTCGCCCCCTCGCAACATGGATGTCGCTCACATCATGAATATAGATCGTGTCGAGATGCTTCAGACTTCCCTCCTGCTTCCAGGCCTCCAGCACATCCATCCACGCATCTTTCGACAGATGAAAGCAACCGAGATACAAGGTGCCTATTGCCGCCTCACCACACCATTGTGCCAAGTCTGTGAGATCTTTCAAGGTAGCATCTGGGCCTTTGATGCAAAGGGTGGCAAGCTTAGGAAAGCTGGCAGGGGGAACCTTCGTCAACAGACGGACGGGAGATGAGATCGTGGGGGCCCATGGACCCTTGGCAAAATGTAGACACAAGCTGGTAAGATTTCTCGCCGACGACATCAGATCTCGAAAGGGCGCTATCAAAATCTGTGCTCCACTACGGAAGGCAGAAAGTCGAAAGCAGTCAAGTGACCCAATCGCGGTCTTCAGGAACGCCATCTCCTGACTTGACCCTGAAAAGACATCAGACGGGTGGGCATCTAATGATAGAAGTCGTAAATTGGGCAGAGGAGTCTCTAGGTTAGCGGCGAGACACTTCAGGCCACGGAACGCGACAGAACTCCAGATATCTGCAGTCGGCAGGGATGGAAACACGGTGTAAAAAAGCTCGGGATGATCGTAGACAATACGACAGGGAAACCACTTGTCGTGAACCATTAGACACATTTCGTCATGCGGTTCTTCGAGGTATTTCCTCAACTTTTTGGGAATGTTAAACCACTGACGTTGCGCCGGAGACATACAACCGCAGCAACATTGGCATGCAAACTCCAGTCGCGTAAGACGGATGTTGTTGAGGGATGTCAAGCTTGGGAGTGCTGTTGAGAAAGCCTTGAGATCGGAGTCATTGACGAGAATACGTTGTTGCTGCTTCGCAAGCCTTGCCCACATCTTGCGAGCTTGCGTGATCCGCTGCTTATGCTTATCACTCTTTTCTGCCTCCTCAACACGAGGATATTCCAGGTACAGGTTTTGATGGAGAAGGAGCAGATTGTAAACGGAGTGATCCCAAATAATGAGTTGGACATGTCTTGCCAGTCGCTTGTTCTTCGTGATACCTTCGAAGGCCTCGAGGTCGGCTTGATGAGACGACATGAACAGCCGGGTGACAATAGGATACGACGTGGCGACCAGATCGAGGTTACGACACACAAGACGAAGATTCTTCAGGTCCGCGACGGAGAGGCAATCGGTGAAGAGGAATTTTGCAGACGTAAACGCCCCATTGTGGAGGTAAATGAGAAACTCCTCCAGGTTCATTGCTACACTGGCAGAGAGCCGTTAGAATGGTTTGATCGTGTCAGAAATAAAGAATAACATACGTACTGGGTTCAATCTAGACAGGACCAAGGCTGGATATAACGAAAAGATGACGAGCAGATATGCGGGATGCCTAGCATTGATTAGCTATTTCCTCGGGCAGATATCAATTCACTGCCTTCGGATGGAGACAAATCCACTGCGATAAAGTTTTGTCTCGATAAGGCAGGACAATCAAGAAGCGTTCATGAAGGCTGGCAAATAAATAACAGGGAAGAGGAAAGACTGGAGATGACTGAAGATGGCAAGAATCTGAGCGAGTGCAACGTGAAGAGGTGGTGGTGAGGGGAAGCGACAAACAAACAAACAGTCGTGCACGCCAGGAAAGAGTCTCCCACAGCAAGTCAGCCAAGCAAGACATCGTCAGTGAATGACACTGGATGAGTTCGATTAGTCGCTCACGACAAAATAAAATGAGGAGGAAAACAAGGAATTTCTAACTTTAGGGGTCTTCCACTGCCACCTGTAAGCCAGCCTTTCCCAAGATGGTGGATTTCATGGCTCTGCAGATGTTGGTCTTTCCAACCACTAGACAAGTGGCAATATGGAGGATATCTGTGCCTACTGATATTGATCGATAACCCTCTGGAGGCTGCCTGTGTGATTCTTGTCCACAGAGGTCATTCTTCTTACCAACCATCTTTTGTACAAAAGCAAACAAACAATCAGGCAATGGATGTCAATTCCTAGCGAACCAATCCTGAATGCAAATAACAAAGTTACCCTGGGTATCCTGCAAGGACTATCTATGAAACTTCCTTGACCCATATGCAAGAAATAAATAAAGACGACAACCATGCATCATTCAATCATTTTGTCTCCGTCGCCCTCCGCCTCGCCATCTTGCGTCTGTGCTGGCTCTTGCGATGTCCCTTCCATCTTCTCGCCGTTGGTTTCTGTTCCATCTGCCTCGCGCGACTCGACGACCTCCTCGACCTCTTCCCAGACGCGTATCGTTCGATCCAGACCACAGCTGACCATCAACCTCTTGCCTTCGAACGAGCAAGTATCCACGCAAAGAACGGCGTCTGTGTGGCCTTCGAGCCTCTGCAGGACGTTTTTGCTGACAACATCCCAGCAGAGCACCGCCCCATCTTCGCTGCCGCTCACAACAAAGGCTGAAGGAGGGCCTCCGGGGGCGCTATAAATCCCAAACCCGCCGCAGAGACTGTACTTGCGATTGATATGGCCCTGATACGTTTGATGCAGCGTCCCTCGACGTAATTCCACAGTCGCACACAGTCGTCCAGAGTCCACGCCAGCACGAATTTGCCGTTCGGCGAGAATTTCACCGCCGTGACCGGGGGGATTGTCCTCGTGGACCAGCGTCCGCAGACACTGACCCGTCGCTGTGTCCCATAATCGAATCAAACCGTCCGACGAACAGGAGACGATGAGGGTCCCGTCCCACACGACGTCGACGCCCGCGACGGGGTCTGAATGGGCGGGTAGCGATCGCATCACGCGCGCAGAGCGCACATCCCAGAGAAACACCGCCTCGTCATACGATCCACTGATAAGCATGTTGCCTTTCGGAGAGAACGCAAGCGAATAGACGTAGTTGTGGTGGCCGTTGAAAGGGACCGGATGGGCCTTGCCCGTCAACACATTCCACAGCCGTATGGACTTGTCGTCCGACCCGGACGCAATCGTCTCGCCGTCGGGACTCCAGGCAACGGTCGAAATGCCCGCCAAATGGCCCTCGAAAGTATGGATGAGCTTCCCTGTTAGCGTATCCCAGACCTTGAGAGCCCCGTCCGCGCCTGCAGATCGGCCATGTTAGAAGCGCGTCTGACGAAAAAGATAGCAAACATGAAATCGTACCTCCACTGGCGATCTTGGATCCATCAGGTGAAAACTGCACGGCAGACACGCCGCGCAGATGGCCTTTGAGCAGGAACTTCTCTCTGTAATTTAGATGATCGGGCTTTGGCGGGGGAGGGGGAGGCGAGGGTATTCGCTCGGACTGCTGCTCTGATCGCGGCCGCGACCCTTCCTCGGCATCGTCGTCTCCCTGCGCGGATTCCTCTGGCTTGGCCTGCTCTGGCGTGCTGTCGTCCTGGGAGGAGCTGCGACTGCTACGGCTCGCGCTGCGGCTGCGGCTGCGACTGGGACTCCTGGACTGCTCCCGGGTATTCCGCCCCCAGTAGGTGTCGGCGTCGACGGCCAGTTCGTCGGGGCTCCCCGAGTCGCTGAAGCTGTGCGAGCGACGGTTGTAACGCCTGCGAGCCGTGTACGCCTTTTTGGCCGACCAGCTGGCGCGGCGGCGCTCCATCTCGTGATCGGAGGTTGCGGCGAGCTCGTCGGAGGACGAGCTCGTGGGGGAGCCGGCGTAGCCATTGTTGAGGCGACGACGCTTGGGCGGATGGTTGCCGTTCTCCATCTCGCAGCGTCCAGGCCTCGAGACAGCGAGATTCGGGGTGCGCAGCAGGCAGAAGACAGAACTCCCAAGGCTCCTGCGGACGGATGCCGTAGTAATTCGCGCCTTTTGAACGCACGCGACGAAGATGCAAGGGCAGCGCGCGCGGGCCAATTAGCGGGCAACCGGCCAAGGCGGTGAGCGAGGTCTGCCAGCATCAACTCACGCTGTCGTAATCTGTCACCAGCACGACCTCATCGATTCTCTTCTCTTCGTCCATTTTACTGTCAAAGTCCAGTTCTGTCGAACTGTGCCAGCATGGCTGACACAGCACCCCCCACGCGCATCCGCATCCTGACCCTGAACTGCTGGGGACTGAAGTTCCTCTCGAAGTACAGACACGAGCGCCTGTCGGAGATCGGACGCCAGCTGGCCATCGCAGACGAGCCCCCCGAGATCGTCGGGCTGCAGGAGTGCTGGACGCAGCAGGACTACAGGAGCATCCGGGAGCAGACGAAGCACATCCTCCCCTACGGCAAGTTCTACTTTAGCGGGGTGTTTGGCGGCGGGCTCGCCATTCTCTCCAAATGGCCCATCGAAGAGAGCAGCATGTTCCAGTATCCGCTCAATGGCCGTCCGACGGCCTTCTTCCGCGGCGACTGGTACGTTGGAAAGGGCGTTGCCTGCGCGCGAATCCGGATGGGGCCTCGCACGGAGGACGTCGCGGAGGTCTTCTGCACGCATCTCCATGCGCCGTACGAACGGGAGCCGCATGACTCGTACCTGTGCCATCGGACGGCGCAGGCATGGGAGATCGCGAAGCTGATGCGGGGAGCCGCGGAGAGAGGCCATCTGGTGATTGGGCTGGGTGATTTCAACATGGTGCCCTTGTCGTTTGCCCACAGGTTGATCACGGCGCATGCGCCTGTCAAAGACGTATGGCGGCATCTACACCCAGACTCATCGATCGGCGCCCCTGAATCCCCTGCAGAACGACGACGGAACAAGCCGATCCCCACGGCGGATTACAACATTAGCGAAAACGGAGCGACGTGCGACGGACCGTTCAACACCTGGCGCTGGCCCAAAGAGCAGCAGAAGCGTCTCGATCGGGGCGAGGATATCATCGTCGACGGCAACGTCAAGGACCCCAAGGGCAGGAGACTGGACTACATCTTCGTCGGCGACGGCGGCTACCCCCCGAGCTTCCCAGCGCCAAAATGGAACATCGAGTCGGCGCGAGTGGCCATGATGCAGCGGCATCCGACCCTGCGATGCTCTCTGAGCGACCACTTTGCCGTCGAAGCGGTCATCAGCCGCAGTCTCAGCCCAGCAGAATCCAGCGTCTCCACTGAAGAAACGCGCGCTCCCGAGCCTCAGAACCCGGACGACCACGGCTTCACCGTGCAGCCCTCCTCCCAACTGCACCCGACCACCGCACCCAGCACGGCCCTAACACCCGAAACCTACGAGGAGATCCTCGACATGATCGCGAAATACGCGCAGCGCGAGCGGTCCCAGCGGCGCTGGCGCCTAGGACACTTCCTAGCCTCGATCATCGTCTCGATCGGCTGCTTCGTCGCCGTCTGGTGGACGTCGGACGTGATCTACGTCTCCTTCATCCTGACGATGGTCAGCACGCTGAACTTTGCGGCGGGGGTTCTGGACGGTCTGGTCGGAGGGCTGTTCATGTCCAGCGAGCTCCGCGCTCTGAAGGAGTTTGAGTGGGAGGTGAAGATGGCGAAGAAGTTGGCTGTTGCAGCGGCAGCTGGTAAGGATTCTCAAGGCAGTGGTTACGTTGCCAGTGATGAGGATCTATAATGTATAACCAGCTACAGCGGATTTTATTCGTTTAATTATTAAATTAATTGATTGATTAATTTATTGGGTGAGTGCCGGCAAGACAGCTGGGACAGTGATGTCCAGGATACGATACGACACGACGCAGGGAGTCGACAAGTGATATCTCTTACTACCTTAATTTGTCCTTCAGTGAGGAAAATACTTTACTTGTATATAAATACTACCATCATACATAATACTTGCTACTGATTTACGAGTGCTAGCAGCATTGTATATAGGATATTGTAATGTTATCACTTCTTTCACTTTCAGAAATGAGTGTTTCTTTTCGTCAAAGCTAGCTACCTAGCTAGATCAATAGATCGATAGAGCTAGTCATGACTGTAAACTAGCGAGCGGACTTGCAAAATGACCGACCTCCCCTGACACACTTAAGGCATTCTAGGAGAATCGCCTTACTCCGCACACTCGCGCTTGCGCTCATCAATCACCTTGAGCGCCTCCTCAGCAGCCTTGACACCGCTGAGCACCATGGCGCCAAAAGTCGGGCCCATGCGGTTGAAGCCGTCAATCTCAGACAGCTCCATGCCGCCGATGATCAGGCCCTTGGTGACCTCGCGGGTGTTCTTGACGATGGCGTCCTCGGCCGAGTTCATGTCGAGGCCGCGCATGCCGCCCAGCTTGTCGATAGCGGCCATCGAGACGAGGCGCTTGGCAGAGAAGGCGCCGAAGGGGCCGTCGTGGCCCGTCGTGCTGATCACGAGCGGCGCGTTAATGGTGTTCGGGTCCATGCAGGACTGGTCGTCGTGGTGCATGCTGACGAGCGTCCAGTTCGTCACCACACCCGCGATGCGAGTCTCCTGCGGGTTGCCGCTCTGCGAAGGACGCGTGATCAGGTCCTCCACGCTGGTGGCGTTGAATAGCTTGATGTTCGGGAAGGACAGCACCTTCGACAGCAAGGTCGAGGTGAAGAGAGCCGCGTGCTTGACGACGACGAAGTTCGGGTTCGTCGGGTCCTCCTCGTACGGGACGCCCAGGTCGTCAAGGAAGGCGTCCGCAGGCCTGCGGAGGACCATGGCGGAGAAGAGCTGGCCACCGAGCCAGGCACCACCACCTGCAAGCATAGAATTAGCAAACATGGTCATGAACCCGGTTCATTCCGGTATCTCTTACCAGGAGAGACATTCGCCTCGATGATGGCAATCTTCAGGTCCGGACGAGCCTTGCCGAGCACGTAGGCCGTGCTGAGACCGCAGGAACCCGCGCCAATGATGACAATGTCACTCTCGGCGTACTTGTCGAGGTCCTTGAAGTAGCGGCTGGTCATGGCACGCGAGACCTGGCTCTCACGGATCGGAGCGAACTTGAACTCGTCCCACTTGCCGCCGAATTGGTCAAGGAGCCTGGTCGAGTGAGCCTCCGCACCGGAGACGGTCACCGTCTCCGGGACCACCTTGCCCTTGAGGCCATTGTTGGCGGTCGCGGGGGAGGGCTCGTAGATGGCAGCTGGAGGAGACATGTTGGCTGTTTCAACGAGGTATGCAGGTGATCGAATTCACTGTAGACCGTTAGCTATCCCCACACACGGATGAACAGACATAAGGGAAGAGAGAAGGCATGATCCTTTCGCTGGTATTATCCAGATCAAGTTGTGACCGTATGTTTTCAGCCCGCTCGACTCCAGAGCCACACTGGCGGACGACATCTCTCCCCGACAAAAGCGTAGCAAGCAAGCAAGCAAGCAGCTCCGCTCCAGGGAGGTGGATGCACGTCACATAACCCAGGGGATGGAGTCACGAGCACCGGTTCATGCCCCAGACTTTACCTGAGATACCTTGATCAGTGCTGGATAGAACCAGCCAAACAGCGAGACCATGTCTTCCCGTCTTCCACCCGGGAAGGGCGGACAGGGCTGAAAGATGGCATTACATCGTAGTTCAGCAGAGGTCGCGATTGGTCCTGTTCGATACGCAGCGGTCAGTATCCATCAACAGCCAGCAAAGGAGAGGGATATACAAATTGAGTATCACTCCGTCAGAATCCGGGCGATGGTTGCTATCATCAAACGTGATGAGGGAAGAAGAATAAGAGCAGACGGCGGGGCAGCCGCGGGGTTTTTATAACCACGGTTAACCCCGCCAGCAAACCTGCTTCTCTCTACGTAAACGCACACCGGAGAGAAGCACGATAAGCATCCGAAAAGTCCCGTCATGGCAGCAAACAAGAAGACGGCCAGTGGAGTCCTCCAACTCAACCGGATGACAGCCGCAGCGATTCGAAGTGATTGCGCGTTTTTGTGGACCTGCTCGTACAGGATGCCAGCGAGCGTTTAATGTCGGAAGCTCTACTACTCCATACCTCTGTGCGAGCGCTCCGAATACGGACCCTGCATTTAGTGCTATCTACCTAGTGCAACTTCATTTCCAGACTCTATAGGAGAGAATTGATGGCCATCATCAACTCAGTCGTCTAACTGTGCATACATACACTGCATTTACTATTGAAGCTATTGTTGGGGATGACGAGTTGGGAACCCTCCGGTACCGCGCGGGGCATTGCCGATGGCAATTTTTTCCGGTACGGAGGACAAATTCGAGTATTCAGTAATTTCCCTCCCCAGTTCTGCCCACTGGAGAAGAATCGCTGGCATCATTGGTACACGTGGATCCGTGGGTGCTCGCTCCACAGGAGTTGGTCTACGCCAGCATTGGGTCATTTGATCTATATCCACGCACGCCGGTAAACCGATAAGAACACTGATAGTAGTAGCACACTACATGTTTACATCAGTCTCGCCACTTCACTGAGTTGCTTCCCCAGCTTCTCCAAAGTCTCCTTGTGACTGTTGAACCGGCGCAGAGCATCCTCGTAATCTTCGTGCGAAACCCACCCGTCTTTACCCACGATTTCGGTCCGTAGACGGTCGAACTCGTTATACACGTCCGCCCAGGCTTGCGCCTGTTGTCGGGCTTGCTTGATTTCTTCTTCCGTGAACGAGATCGGGCAAGGGGCCCTCGAGCCTGTCTTTTCAGTGATCCCATCCCATTTTTCATAGATCTGGATGAGAAGCTCTCGGAGTGGGACTGGACCGTCAGAAGACGACTGCCCGATGATATGGAATATGAAAGCGGTGGGGTCGTCATCGTTTCTCATCGCGTCCATAGCCCTGAAGATAGCGGGGTTGAATTTCCTCGACGCGATTTCGTAGAATTTCTTCAATCGCACTCTATCAAGTTCCTCCTTTGCTGCCTCTTTCTCCGCCGGAGACAGCGTATCAAAGTCTTCTGGTAGCTCGGGCTGGACTGCACCCCATGGGTACGGATCGTCACAGTCGACCAGCGAGGGGAATCGAGCCTGGAGGAACAGCGGAGCGGCATACACGGCCTGCCAGTCGATGATGTCTGAGATTTTCGTCGGGTCTGCTTCGTCAACGAAGATATTATCCGCGTGAAGATCATGATGTAGCAGTACGGGATAATTGATCTCTTCTGGAGGCAGAATGTGAGGGAGAACCGTCAGAAATTGCTCAAGGAGTCGAATGTGCTTTTCAGGCGTTGCAGACACTGTTCCAGCGAGCAGGGAACTGTCGCCATCTTTGCCAGTCGCATTGGCTCGGATGCAAGCAATTTCCCAGTTGACAACTGTTGTGATGTAGTCCTCTGCCGTCCTCCCTGCGAATGCCAGAATCCAGTCAGTTCGTCTTCGCCTAAGAGTAACAGGAGATGTTTTCCAAGTTCCAGGATCAAACGTACATGGACCTCGATCGCATTCCAAATCTCGTCTTTCATCAGCCCAAAACGACCGCTCAGTGATAGGGCCAAGAACAAACTTCGCCAGAGCACCCTTCATCCAGTTATTCGACGACAGGGATAGGGCAGGATCCGCAACATCCCATCCATCAGGACAATCGTCCCTATAATACAAGCTGCCGTAGGCCCCAATGTTTGCATTTACCAGCTTCGCCTCAATCTGCACCAGGCTCTTGACCAGTCCAAAGCGCTGGGCTTCAGACATGGAAGGCCAAACTTCACTCAGTTGACGGCCTTGGATCCTCTCTATGAGGATGTATTCCGCGCCGACAGGGTTCTGCTGCTGTGATGAGAAAGGGTCGCTCCAACCAATGACTTTGGGGACAGGAATGTCGAGAACATTGCGTAGGTGTGGTTTTATATCTCCGAAGTGTGATTAGCGATAAAAAAACACTGGACATTTATATATAGCTGAGTCCACGCAGAAGGCACACATACAAAGTCAAGAGTCGCAACCTCACTAGCAACTACGTAACGAGGATGGCCAGCACTCGGATTGGAATTCTCGCCAAGATCTCTTTACCATTCTCCATCTTCAGCGAAAACACCTTGTTATACAGACCTTCCGGTAGCTTCGTTATCTCAAGACATCTCGTGTTGTTGTTGAGCCTTCGGGCAGCGATCTGCTGCAGAGCGTCAGCATCAAACCTGACATGTCGTCTTGCCAGTTGTCGCTGCTCATCATACAGCCAGCGGCCGGACGTGTAGTTGAATAAGCTATCGTCTGCCCCGGATGGTACATGTAATAGTCTTGCCCGGAGTGCAGGGGTCTTGGGGTGGCTGCCCTTGGCACGTTGACCCTGTGATCGAGAAGAATGCAGGCCTCTGCAAAGAGATATGATTCTTTCAGTTCTCGAAAATGGTCTGAACAGGGGAACAGTCTTGCTGGGATTTCTCATTGTTTATAATTGATTCTCGGAGACTGTTCTCATGTCGAAGATGGTGACTCGGACGAATAGTTCTGCCGCAGCAATCACGTGGTGGAGGCGCCTATTGATTGGAAATACGATCAACGAAACCATCAGGAAAGAAGAATCTCAGAAAGATCCCTTATGTGTAGTTAATATTACATTCTGTATTTCAAGTTTGTTGATATTACCAAAAACTATTCAATGCCTCTGTTAAACGTTTCACGCATATATATACATTCTCAACCGGCAAACATCAATTAAAACATTACTCCCCCCATCAAGGTAATACGTAATCGGATACTTAGAAACGCACACTGCTCCAAGTCCTGGAACGGCGCCTCTCGACTGGAGTAGTCCATCAGCTGGATCGGGCCCGTCGGACCCCCAACGGGCTTCCAGGGACCGACCTTCTGGATCCCCTCCAGCGTGGTTTGATAGCCTCGCACTTGCAGATAGGCGGCCGGTGGGTTGGGCTGGCCGGACTTGACGAATTCCGCAAAGTACGCGGACGTCAGCTGGATGGAATACAGGTCCTGGGCGTCGCGCAGGGTCGACAGGTTGCCAAAGACCCAGGGCAGGTCGGAGCCGTGCAGGCGGAAGTACGGCAGGTTGGGGTTGCCGTTCGGATAGCCAGGGGTCACTGGCAGTCCTCCCAGGTTGTTGGGGTCGTATCCCCCAGACGTCCGGTCCATCTGATAGTAATACGCCGTCTTGAAGACGCCGGATTTCGTCCCTGCATAGACAGGTCGCCTGGTCGACGCAGCGGAATTGGTTGTCTGTCGCCACCCGCTGGGAGACGTTGAACGAGTCCAGGGTCACATTGCCGGTGTTCTAGTATGGGAAGAGTCCCGAGTCGATGATGCTCTGGGCGTAGGTGGCGTTGATTCCCAAGGCAGCTTGAATACCTTCCAACTCCGAAGTGACCGGTGTCTTCGGGTAAGTCGAGAACGAGGCGCCATCATTGGCAACGTTGCCAAAGATAACCGGGACGTTGGCCGTGCTGCCGTTTCGGTTGACCACGTCGAGCTCCTCCGTATTCACGTAATGGCCGTCCTGGACGACATAGCGGGCCACTGTTCTCAGACCGACCAGGGTCAGGGCCGGCACCTCTTTGAGACATGCAATTTGCTCCGACAGACTGGTCTGGTTGCAGCCGGCCTCGGAGAAGATCTGTTGACCGGCAACTGCATACGAACCCTCGATGGTCAAGTACGAGCTGTACGTGGTCGCATAGTCACCCGTCAAGCCGAGATCGACTCCACCGCCCAGATTGGACATGGAAACTGCGCCTTGGAACTTCCCCAGCGCCTGTGGCGATCCCAGTAAGACTCTCACGGACCCTGCTCCCGCGGATTCGCCAATGATCGTGATCTGATGGAGATCACCTCCAAACTGGGCAATGTTGTTGATAGTCCACTACAGCGACGTCAGCAAGAAAGCCACAATACAGAATGACTCCGACATGCATGCTTACCTCCAAAGCAAGGATCTGATCGGCGATGCCATAATTCCCGCGAATGTCCGTTCCCGGGATGGCAAGGAAGCCCAGGGTCGAAAGTCGGTAGTTGATGGTAACGACCACGATGTCCTCGCGAGAAGCCAGGTCACCACCGTCGGTCAGAGGATCAGCGCCGGTGCCGCCAGTGAAGCCACCTCCATGAATCCAGAACAACACGGGTCTGAGGTCCTTAGTTGATCCGGCCGTCGGGATGTATGGAGTCTGAATGTTCAAGAACAGACAGTCCTCGCTGCCGCCTCCCACCTGGGCACACTGGGAGCCATAGGCAGTCGCCTTGATGGTCTGCGATTTGGGCGAGTAGAGGTTTGTATATTCGAATCGTTTGGGCGGATCCGCGTAAGGAATCCCCAGGAAACGGAAAGATTTCTTGTTGCGGAATCCGACATACTCGTTGCCTCCTGATGCCACCACGATCTCGTTCGAAGGGGTAGCCGTTGTCCTGGAGTATTTTCGTTGCTTGACTGGGTACATATCACAGGGAGCTCGACAGCACCCGCTGCAGGCGGCAGGAAGACGAGGTGATCGGCATTTTCGGTCACAGAAACAACCCCATCGCTGATGTGATAATTCTGCACCGGAAGGGCGCGTTTAGCGTACGCCTGGTAAGAGAGAGAATGGACAAAGTCCTCCTGATGCTGCTGGAGCGTGGTCTCGGAGATCAGCGACTCCCCAATGCTTTGACAGGCAGTGACCGCATCTGCTCAGGTCATCGGATCGAGCAGGATGGCGCCAACGTGGTTGCTGTCGTCGGAGCCATTGAGGTTATTCTGGTACAGGAGGGTCAGGGAGGTCTTGCCATTCGTCAAGGAAGACGCGTTTCTCTGTACAAGACGGCTTGGAGAAGCAGAGACAATGCCCAGGAGGAGAGGCACCGCAAGTGCCTCAACGTGCAAGAGGAAACGCATAGCTCCAGAAAGCCTGAAGACAGATTGGCATGGCAACCATGGCTCCTACTTTTGGCCTGAACCCATTATATAACCTGCACTTTGTCCTACTCTCAGCCCACATGGTACCGCGTATTTTTATTAATATTATCCATCGTCTCCGGTTCAATGAACTTCCAGCAAATCCCGTCGACGGTCAGGGGAGCTTGGAGAAGATGGCGGGGCGAAAAGCTTGGTAGAATCTGGCTAGAGCTCCAGGCTAAGTCGCCAGTAGGCAGTCCGCCTTCAAGCTAAGAAGTCTTAATCCGTCGTAAATTAAAACGGCCCCAGAATAGCTGTGGTTGCTGGAAGAAGGGATCCGGGGAAGCGCGCGTATATTTATCCTATTTATCCGGTCGACCATCCGTTTGAGCCGAGACAACGACCAGCGAAAACCATACTCACAATGTAATCGTGCAGTTTTCAATTGTATGTATCTTCAGGCGTAGGTACTACGAGGTACCTCGCATGCATTTATTTTCCAACCCAATGTGACTTCATCTTTCAAGAGAAAGGAAGATAGAGGAGTGGAGTCGCTATCGTCGACTCGACTAACATAGCGCAAGAGCACCGCCATCACAGCTGTTTCGAAGCGGTCCTGCCTATACCGGCTTAGCAGAAATCACAAAGGCAGCCACGTCGGAGACTCGAAGTGTATATCTGCATGCATTTTTTGTATAAAGTGAAATGGTAATTCCATACATCTCGCGTATGGCCTCGTGAAGAGAGACAGCCAGATCCCAAGGGTGTTAAGAATCCATCAAGGCGCAGAATCAGGAGCCATGCCCTGACGAGAGTCCCACCTCGACGCTGACACCGTAGTCTCCTGCTAACCGCTCGGCCCCAAGGCGGTCCTCAGCCTTGATCCAATTCTTCCGCTTTCCGATCTTCTCAATTCTTTCGACTGTATCCTGTAGGAATTCGCGAGTGACAGCCTGGTTCACTGCTTCATTGACCACGACCTTGAGATAGAGCGCATCGGTGGTGCCTTGCTTCTTCTTGAACACCTGCTGCCAGCTGGTGCTGAACTGGATGCGCCATTCATGATCTGAGACCCGACCAGCTGGATAGACGTCTCCAATTAAAGTGGCGACGCGCCCGAGATATTGGCACCACCATGCTTCTTGGGCAGAGACAAATCGGCGAAGACGGGATTGGAATGCTTGTTCGGCAGGTGCAAGGTCTCCCGGCCATCTCTCAGAAAGGATCAGAGCTAAAAGGGTACGATCAGTGTGTGCAAGACTGTTGGCTGATGCAAGAATGCCGGTAGTCGTGCTGTAGAGGGCGGCAGCGGGGCGGGTTTCCCTCGGGACGTAGGAATGTGCAAAGCAAAGATTAGCTAGGGCGAGAAGAAGGCTATCAGTAAACGAAGACGGGACCTGGCGCGACAAGATAGGCGAGGACGTATCCGGGAGGGCGGATCTGAAGAGATCAAAGATCGCTTGCGCCGATGGCGGTGCATACGGGGCCGTGGCCACCAGGAGAGGATCTTGTTTTCGGATATCAGTGCTCAACTTGTCGTACAGAAGTCCTTCGCGGACGCCTCCTTGACAGAACTGGATAGATTTGATAGCAGGAAGAGCCTCTGCGATGACGTTGACGAGGAAGGCCACTGCGGGAACCTGCGAGGCGCGGCGTTTGGATACGCGAAAGATCTTCGTATCCGATTTGGAGATGGTGTCCATAACAGCTACTGTGTCAATGAACTCAGCCCGATCCGCCCTGAATCCATTAATGATGGGAATCGGATACGGATCCAGCCTGGACTGGCTCATGAGGAGATATCCCCATCCTCTGAATCCACCGCCGCAGAGATAAAGATCAAACCCCCCACGTGACTCCGCTGCTCTCTCGAGGCTTTCGGGCACGAGAAGGGATTTGTATGCGTTTTGGAAATTAGTTTTCATTTCCTCCTTCAGTTCCTGCTCGGCCTTCCTGCCTTTCCGGCGAGTCTCTTCCAGCCTCCTCGTGAGTGCGGCAGCGCCGTACGGAAAGCTCACAGAGCCCTTAGGACTGATGGTGACACGGCCATCTCGCGCGATCATCCAGGTAAGCTGGGTGCTGCCTCCACCGAGATCCATGACGAGGCCTTCGACGGAGGCAAAACTGCTGGCTACGCCTAGCGCGCCAATGCGGCCTTCGTCTTCTTTCGACAGAATGCGCGTTTCCCACCCGGTTCTCTGCTTGATGGTGGAGAGAAACTCGGCAGAATTGGGCGCTGTTCTTGTCGCCTCCGTCGCCAGGACGTGGATGTTTTGCAGGGGAACGCCAAAGTCCTCGCAGGTGGTCTTGAAGCGAATCAGCCTGGTCACAACCTCTTCTATGACAGCAGGAGGGATAGGACCACGCTCTCCATCCGTGGTCGAAAACTGTGCGTCATACAGCGATATTCCCGCCCGATCTTGGAAGATGGTGGGCATGATGCGCGTCGTAGGTTCGGAAAGGTCCGAGATTGAGAATCGAATTCCATTGCTGAAAGCATAAGCTTCAAGACGGTGATAATACATGACAGTGTTTTCAATTGCTGACTTACCTCCCCATGTCCACCACAGCATGCAGGTTGTCTTTCTTGACAGCCTGCAATGAAGCCATATTGAGTCTGCTGAAGCCGAGTAACGGACAGAATTGTTTAAGAAAGAGGTGGCATGCGAAATTAATCTAGCAGGGAGAAAGAGCCACACGACTGCTCCACAGAAATCCAATCCCAGAACAACATGTCCCAAGGATATATCAGCAGGCAGGTGCTGCACGGCACTGCAAGTATCGAAATAGAAAATATGAGAGTAAACAGAGATCTAAGACAAAGCTCGAAAATATACATGTACATATAGAGCTCGAACTCGGAGCATGTACGGCAAGTATGGACAGACATAGATGCGTAGAAATTCATTGTGGAAATATTTGATGGCAGGATCGCGAGTGCGGATGTCTTTGATTCGCGCATGCCGATGACGCATGCGGCTTCAAGAAAAGACCGAAAAAAAGAAAATGAACAACTACTAAACTTTATCTCAACAAGAACTTAGCAATTGGGATAGATAGGTATTCTTTTTATTTAATTTTCTTCTTTTCTTTTTTTCTTTTTTATTAAAAAAAAATAAGTCTTCCCCAATAGCTATGCTAGTGATTTAGCAATAATATTCAAGATAACAAAAATAACATAAGAGTTCTCCCTCGCATGCCGTAATATATATAGTCAAAATGAAGGCAGCTGTCAAGCAGGCCCCCCAAAGGCCACCACTCCCCAAACTCCGCGACAACTATATACATACTCTTAATAATGTCCGGCAGATTTGCCAGGTTCTCAAAAGCATCAGCTAGTCTTCCAGGTACGTGCAGCCTCTTCAAGGTCCATTGCCTTGAACCCAATAGACTAGAAGCACATCAAATTTGGCCTTTATAGGGAAGACCACCTAGTTAGCATTAACTACATAGGCAAGACCCCAAGAAGGGAGACTATATTATAACTGGGTTTGTCTGTAGTAGCCACACAACACTTTCCCGGAGCTGTCGAGGCAAGTAATGTCCGGCACGCCCCTCCTAGATTGGGATCTGTGTTTGAGCTGGCATCAGAAAACCTGGCAGCAATACCCACGTGGTTATAGACAGCTGTCATCGTGTGGGTGACCTACGTTCTGGCCGAAGCGCGCTTGAACCGATGATTCGTCACCACACACGACCTGTTCTCTAGAGAGATGACAGGCGTGATCATGCTGACCGGTAGGCGGATATCCAAGCACACCAACAATCCTGGGGATGGTTGGAATAAATTTTCCCGCCTTGTTTTTGATGTCGCCGGTTGCTGACCAAACAACGGTCCTTGGAGCATTAGCCTACTACCAGGATATAGCTTGACTTTCTGTGGCCCTTTGGAAAGGCCCTGGTCGCCAGACTCCACAAACGGAGCCGCGCGCTCTATGGTCTCAGGAGTCAGAACATGGTATAATCTCGTCTGGATCCATGCAGGCGCAATGTTGTCTGTAGCCCTGCTGACCAGCAACCCGCCAAAGGTGGTTGGGATTGTATCCCTCAGATGTAAGCAATGGGTCCCTTGTGGATAGACAACAATAAACGTCCCATCAAGGAATTTAAGAAGTGCCACCGACCCAGGAAATGTCTCATCAAAGACCTTTAGGGTCACCTCCTCATTGAGAGGCTTTGTTGGGTCTATAGGTATGTTTCTTAGTGGATCTCACGGTAGTTCAAATAGGTGAACAGTCGAAGTTACAGGAGTCCAAACGGGCAAAAGGATGACCACTGCTGCTTGAGCAATAAACAATGGGATCGGATCATCCATGGCTTCGGTAATAAAACAGCTCCAGACGATGCCGGTGGACGTGACGAATCTCTGAATGGCCTGTGGAACCCTCTTCTTGAGACTGGCCCAGTTTTCGTTCACGTGCCGCAGACGTCAAGTTGAATTTATGATCTTGTACCCAGAGAGTCTTGAGCTCACCGACCACTGGTAGAGAACTGTGGCCAGTGGTAAAACAAACCACATCAGGTACCGTTTGATCAAGTCCTAGTGCCAACCGGTTGTCCAGTTGCTCAGAAAACTGCCTATAAACCTGACCCGCATTGTTCCGGAAGCGGCCTTGGACACCGGTTTCATCGCCCCAGACAACATGTTCATGGGAGAGATAGGCGTCATCTGGGTTCCCTTTCGGTTTATGAGACAGGATTAAGCCAAACTGGTTCCAATCCACGGGTAACGGTTTCGCTGGTAAGAATGTCTCCATACTTGTCCATCTGTTGCCTCGTCAATCAGTTATAAAGCAAAAACACCACTGAGGAGCAATCATACTGTAGTATCGATTCCCAAGACAGCTGTTGCGACTGAAATAGGCGATCGTGCCTGTTCATCATTGCCAATCGGAGATCCGGCGGTATGTCATCGGCGATGACGAAAGCCGGGCATCCTAACAGAACAGAACAGACTTTGCGACCTTGTTCTCGAATATGAAGTTTCTCCACGAGCGCTAAAGCTCTTCTCGCGAAGCTACCAACCGTTCGCAATGAGCGTATTGGCCGCACCCTAGCGTTTCAAACTCAGGCTCGAAGATGCAGTCTACATTTGAGTCAAGTGCCTCCTTGAAGCGGATTGGCATCTTTGTGACTGTATGGGCTGGAATAGCAACCTTATCGACGCTATAGACTTTTCGTTTTCGACGCGGTAACTCCATTAGAGTTATATCAATGGGAACCGTCATGCCCTTGTGGTGATGGAACACTAGCATTTTCCGGATCATGTCCACGCCAATCTGCTCCTCCGCCGCATCCCTGTGCGCTTTTCCAAACTGAGATCTTCTCACCCACCTGCCTCCCTGATCGGAAGGGAATCCGGGAGTTCAGTGTACGCCTTATCACACATCGCACCCAAATTGGCTGTAGGGCTAATCCTACAGCCGCCCCACTGACCTCTGGGTCGTGAAATATCCATTTATCAATGCCTCGGAGTGTGAACAACAGCTTCACCCGCGTGTCAGTCTTATCTGGACAAGTGAGAGGATTGAATTTTTCATCAGGGAGCATTCTTCTGCCACAGTTTCTCATTGGCTGGATTGAGGATGAAAGGCACGATGCCCTTTACGTCTTCGATGGCGTTGGACGCCGGAGTCGCCGTGAAAAGAACGTTAAAGTCACCCTTTACCCATCTCACAGCCGTTGCCTGAAGGGTATTCAGGTTGCGGATCTGATGCGCTTCGTCCATCACTAGGGTATGGAAATCTGATGCGCTTCTCGGGTCCGATAATATCCTTGCCCATAAGCATATTTGGGCCAAGGTTGTCCACAATGTGGACTTCCCTGTGGATATGCGTGACGGTGTCTCTACCATCTGTGGTCCTGCCATTAATGTAGAGGTTGATGACTGCGAAGTCTGAACAGGAGTACCTCCTAGAATCCATTCCCTTGAGGAGGTAGTAGCAGGAGAATGTGAATGATCGGATAAATTGCCGCACTTGGGCATATGAAGCAGAGCCTCATCGTCGATAGGTCCATATTGGTGCCCCGACGGGGATCCGACGAGGGTTCTGAGTAGGTTTCTGATGTTGCGTATCCCAAGACGGGTTCGTCGGCTCCATGGAGCGATAGTGACAGGGCCTAAGTTCCAACTGACGTGCGTTAGTCTCTTGGCACTGTGGGGCAGCAGAGATCGGGGGAGGCCAATCCCAATTAGGAAAGAAACTGGACCAGTCTGAGAGACCTACCAAATGTATGTAATTTGTTACTGAGAATCGATGGAATCACAAGCTCTAGAGAGTAGGAAAGCAAGTCGTGTGAGGTGGGTAGAGTTCTAAGTTCTACTGGGCAGGTAGGGGCCATAATATAATGAAAGCTATGTAGTCACATGATCAAAGAGCCATGCCGCTTTCAGGTGAATGTTTGAGGCTTACATAACAGGTAATTTCCGGGTTTTGTCGCCCACCACAGCCAAAACCTCAAGGTTTTAGGTCTAGGAATAAGGTGAAGAGACAAGAAAATGGGTAGCTAGGGTTCCCAACAATTTTATCTATCAAAATCCCCTATCCTAGAATAATAATGACACATCAAAAATGATATTTTTTTCCTCGAGGCCCAGGCCGATAGTTGCTGCCCAGGAGCATTCTTCATCCCGAAAGGCCATGAAATGCAGCTGGACCTAGTCTAGATATCCATCAACGTCTAGCATGTTCAGATAATCTCTTGAGAAAGCGATGAATTATCGACCACACGGTCAGCAATAGCAAACCAATAACGAACACTGGCTGGCCAGTTGCCACCAAACTTGTCCGCCACAAAGCGGCCGAAGGGAAGCAAGAAGAGGAAGAGGATAGTTAATAGAAAGATTGCATGTAATCCAACAATTGCACTTGCTATATGTGGGATGGTGATGATGCTCGCGGTATTAATGCAGGTTCTTTTGAATGGTAAGATCTGCTTTTCCAGCTAATTGCAACTTGAAAAGATTCTGTCTAGATTTAGGATGTTTCAGCCTGGCATTGGTCGGGCTGAGCCTACGTTTAGGGCTGCAGAGACGTTAGATAAGAACATGGCCTATGATGTGATATAAAATGTCCTAACTAATGAATGGACGATGTCGACTGTGAAACCTGTATATCTCGGGTATTGCTTCAAGTACACTCGCTGAACTAAGATAGCAGATCTTATAAGGTATGAGATGTAGTTTAATTCCGGAGCTATTTACTCTAACACGGCATATACTCTCACAGAAATGTAATGTACATGTAGGTAAATACAAACGTACCTATTTACAGTACGTCACTTGTCTATCTCTACTCAGGATGAGTTATGTAGACTCCACCACGTATCTCTTCAAATTTTCATCCCAGAACATGAAGCTAGTAAGCGATTTGTCCCCGTGGATAACGACGTTTTCTCGTGGACAGGTGACGAAAACCTTGAAAATCTCCTCCGGGCATATCTCGCATAGAAGTTTGAAGACCGCCTCCATTTCACCTCTCCATTCTCTGGTGTCAAAACATTCAGCACCATCAATGACGCAGGCAAGGATCCAATCTCCCTTCTGTTTAAAGTACTCCTTCAGGAGGCGGCGAAGGATTCGAAGATTTGAGACTCCAGCGTCCTTTTGTAGTTCTCTGAAGATAGAGGATTTGATTTTGATATCGGTCTTTTTCAAAAGTTGCCAAATAAGGGATTTCACAAGGTCCTGTAGTCCTCTCATTGGATCGTTTGATAATGTGTGCCTGCTGCAGAAATGGTAGATTATACAGTCCTCTTCACTCCACGGACAAGTGCTGATCATTTTCCAACATGCCAGGCCGGGGATCCTATGGTCCGCAGCGTCGCAATCTATAAAAAGAAGGTCCGATGCTGCTTCTTTCTCTTTGCACCGTGTCTTGATTGCGTCCCTGAGACGATCGAGTTTGTCCTTATATTTCTCATCAAGACGGTTACCCTCCCTTTCCGCGGAAGCCAGGTCTTGGTTGAGTTGAGAAGAGTAGTCGGGAATATTCAGCGCTTTCATAAGCAAGTCCCGCTTATCAAGTTCAGTCGAGTCAGAACGACTTGGCATTGTTCCAGGTATGTTTATCGGCGTTTACAGGTGTATTATCCTGGAGTTTAAGGGGTGTGATCGATAGTTCCAGCAGAAGTATGAGTTTTGACCAAGGATTTGCTCGATGCTGAGTTTGGAGTATGGGGGGAAAGACCTGTCAAAAGTAATGTGTAAGTAATAAGGAAGAGAGAAAAAGAAAAGGGTCTAGCTGGGGGGCTTTAAGAACAAACTATAAATACTCGACTCGATGACTCCTTCCTTTTGCGCCGTGTCATATATGTATGGAGTCATCTAGTGATTCCTTGCTAAACATGGCAAGACCACCCCCTTCACTCTTGACAGTCATTTACAGTCAGCTCTTCTGAGATTTTGTAAAATATACTCTGTGAAGTTAAGTTCCGTAACCATTCCCATTTCAAGGTATCAGCCACTATCTTCGTTTACACTCGTAATCATGATTATCAACCGTATATACATACATCACAGCACGTATCTAAAGCTCGCCCCATAGTTCTCCTCAGCTGTGGCGACCTGGCCTTTCCCATCCTCTGTCTGCGTGGCTGGAGTGCCATAGCGCCTGTCGAGACGCCGGTTCTCCCAGGCAAGCAAGGTGCGAAGACTGAGGGCTAAAAAGGTGTTAAAGAACATGAACGCCGCGCAGATGGACTGACCCTTGACGTAACGAGGGCTGTCCTTGTCAGGAAATATATTCGTCCCCAGGAAGGGCCCACACTGTCCGATGACATTGAGGATAACCATGGCCATGCCTCGTCGCGTGTCGGAACCTTGATTGTCTGTGGAACGTGTCAGATGAATTGGTTCACGGATTTCCCCGGACAGAACTTACTGAGAACCCAAGGAAGGATGTTGGCAATCGACGGAAACACACCGCTGGCAGCGAGGAACACGCCAAAGTAACGAACTCCGACTGAAAAACACGCGGCAAGCAGGACATATCCAATTGCCCCCATGAAGGAGAGGAAAGCGATCATCAAACCACGCTGCTGCAGCCGATCTGCGATCCACGTGGTGGAGATAGTCACCAGAAAGGAGAGGAAATATGGGGGCGCGGTGAGTCCTTGGGCATTGATGGCCGTAAAGCCCATATCCTTGAGAATCGTCGGGAGAAAAACCGGCAAGGACGAGAAGCTGACATTGCAACTGAAGTACATGAGCTGTTGACGATGGCCAGTATTAGTGTCTTGACTCCAAAGCTGATAATATAACCAATTTGCTCTTTCCAACATACCGCAGTGAACCAAGCCTTGGCATCCAGCAACGTCAAACCAATGTCCTTCCAAACGATTCCCCGACTCTGTATTTCCTCTCCCGTTCTTCTCAGGCTCCTTGCCCGAGCTACTTCCTTCTCCTCCTCAGTCAGAAACTTCGCTTCAGCCGGAGAATCCGGGAGATAGAACCAAGCCAACGGGACGGCCAGAAGAGTTGGGAGGCCCTCGACGAGGAAGAGCAGGCGCCAGTTGGCCAGTTTCGAATGACCAGATGTGATGCCGTAAGCCAGCGCCCCTGCGAAAGTGTTCGCGAGCGGTGCGGCGGAAAGAAACAGACCGCAACGGAGACCGAGCTCGCGGCGGCGGTAGAAAAAGGACATCAGATAGGGTATGCCCGGCCCGAAGCCAGCTTCGGCAGCGCCCAAGAAGAAGCGAAGGGCCATAAGGCCACTCCAGTTCTTAACAGCCGCTTGGCAGGTCGCCATGATTCCCCTACAGCGGGTCAGCTGGGATGGTCGCAGGAAACCGATGTTGGAGGAACACCAACCAGATGGCTACTGTTATGGCAGCCCATTGGTGCGGGCGAAGGACCTTCCACATCAGCGCCTGAAACTCGAAGAGCGTGTAGGAAATGTAAAAGATAGTCAGGAGCCAGGCATAGCTGTGTCCATTCAGGCCCAAATCTTTTTGCATCCCCGCGATTTCGGCATTTCTGGTCAAACCGTTAGTTGAATTTTCTTCTGTTGACTGCTATCGTCTTCTGACGAGAGGAGGGAGTGTCGCACCCAATATTACTTCGATCGAGGAAAGCCAGAAGGTCTGCAAATTTCTGTCAGTATGCTACCAACCATCTCAAAGCTCGTACCGTGACGAACATACACAGGAAGGCTGTCAGCACAGGAACTCGAGCATCGAGTTTCCTAACGACGCGTTTTTCGATGACAGGATCAATTGCAGGGATTTGGGAGATCGGCTTGTCCGTCGCTTCGTTTTGTTCCAAGCGCTCCTCAGTCGATTTTTCAGCCGATTTCTCAGCGTCGACAGGGAGTACATCGTCTGCCGGCGCAATTCCAGAAGAAGCCTCCATTTTTAGACGAGTCACGTCTTCCGTTACCTCGGCGTCAAAGGATGAGACTAGGGGCAAATTTTTAAAAACAAAAGTTTTTCAAAACTAGCTGCTCATCGGCTTTTGATTTTGTTCGCAAAGGCCATCTAGGAGCGCTGGAGGACAGACACTGGTGACTCAGAACGGCAGCTCAGATCACCATTGCCTGAGGGGCAGCCCGGAAATCTTATATACGCGTGATCTTACGCAGGCATCAGTCCATTCAGCAATCCCTTGGTAGCTAACTAGGTACCTAGCTAGCAAGCAACGTCCGGTAACCCCGAATCGTGGGGAAAGCAACCACAGCCCGGCGACTCGGTGGAGGCCCGAAAGAGTGCAGGCGAGTCATTTTGAGAATTCTTATTAGCTGCAAACTGATTGAAAGAGGACCAGAGGCAAATAGGGTTCCGATGATTAATCAATTCACCGCGTGGAGAAGAGCCGGACTCGGGTAGGAATACTGCGTCGGGGACTGTGGGGAAGCGCACGGCTGGGGCTGCTGCAGCCTAAGCAACTTAATCCTCCGTAACGTGGATGGCCAGATCGTGGGAGAACTCACCGCGAGGATGTGCTGCTTTCGTCGATCGGATTGGATTCTCTCTTGCGAAGGAGATGCTGCATCAGTGCCGCGTGGCGTGCATAGCAGCATGGCTTCGTGCACGCTGCGAGGCGACGACAAACAAAGACAAAAAGGGAGTTCGAGAATCTCCCTAAGCATTCTCCCCGGAGCCAACATATTTGTGGAGACCGATACCGGAGTCGAATTCCTCCGGCAAAGCTTCGCCGTTGGCAGCTTCCTGTTGCATGCGGAGCTTGTCCGAGATCACTATCTGTTTCAGGAAAGAACCAGCATGGCCAGACCTCCCCCAACTAGGCAGGTGGCAAATTGTTCAGCCAGCTCGCTCCTGCCTCAGAGGCCCGGGTGAGTCAGCTGATCGACTGTGGTAACTAGTTATGAGATCTAAATACCAATACGAAACTGAACCTTCAATCCCACGCGGGAAGAAATCTCTCGGCCAGTCAAGAGGCAAGATGATCGCTCGCCCAGCACAGAATCAATTTGCCAGAATCTTTTCGTGACGGACTTGTTGTCGCTGACCGTCATTTCTGGCACTCGGATTTCTCTGTCCGCTCATGCAAGTATCCAATGCCACCTCTGACCCGGACAACTGCATTAGACCTTCTCTCAAAAGCTACAGAATGGTTGCGTACGGACTTGCAACCAATACAAACGGTATGCTTCTACAGGAAATACGCTATGCGAGCGCCCGGTGTTCGACGTGCTTTGAAGCTTCCATGGGGCCAAATGGAGAATTTCAGGTTTCTTTCTTAGAACCGATTATATCTCGAAATGCTCTTAGGTGTCTCGAACTTTCAGATGAGTCGCGTTAGCTGTCGTCGTCTCATGATAACCGCAAACAGTCGCAGCAGTAGCAAGAAAAGGGTAACCAAAATTTTGTTCTGATCTACTTTAGGAACACATCGTGCCCATATTACAAGACACAGAGAACGTCGACTGCGAGCATCTCACGGGCAAAACTTAAATAAATGGAAGCCAGTTAGCCGGAAAGCCGGCGCTCTCATATAGAAAAGAAGAGTCCGCTTGACCAAGACGACCAACAAAGAGATAAGCCAGATTACGATAGTGGCCGCGAGAAAACGAGTAATATCAAGATTTGCAATTATGTGTAAATCAATGTGATGTTGCCAGATGACAAGGTGGCCAGGAAATAGGACTGCTCTTTTTACGATCAAAATGCCTCTGGGACAGGCCACTTCCAGGTCAAGAAGTCATCCGGGGAAGGTTCAAGAGCACATTGAGAGTATTTTGACGTTGTCAAGAAGCGTGAAGCGCTCCGCAATTCGAACATCAAGACCTTCCCATCTCTTACTATTAGATTGTTGCGTTCACCTTCAACAAGAGTGCGGATCCTCCTTTCGAATGCTTCTTTGCACCTTTGCCTCTCAAAGAGCTGAAGGGCCATGGTAAAGACGACGAAAAACAGGGTGATAATCATGTTGGCGATGAAAGAAGAAATTATAAAATTCAGGCCATCGTTTCTGTAAGGTTCCCGTGTTTCCTTGTATTATCTGATCAGCAACTATGTTGATTTCACATTGGGTGGCGATCAAAACTGTTTCTGCCTCAGGCATCAATGCGCTTCTGGCTGTGTCGCCCACCGGAGCGCCTCACCTTGATGCTCAACTTCAATCTCTAAAATCCGCGTCGCGTCTAGCAAGCACGCAGCTTGTCCTCTCCTGTGGTTGCCTGCACATCACGGCACCCTCCAACACAGATATACTCTTGTCTCAGTACTTCTGAACAGCCAAATTGATTGCGACAACGTCAGTGGGATTTTTACGATTCTTGCGAGCGAAACACGCTCAATCTCTCCATGATGAATGACCCTGCGAGTGGGCTTCCGGCGCAGCTGGTATGCAATCGATTTTTTTTTCCCCTCAATGCTCTGATAGTTGCAACTGACTTGGCATGATGTCTTCTAGCTGCCCCACATGCACCTGGTGTCGCGACAGCGCTATCCGGTGATGAATGGGCTGCCCACGGAAACAGTGCTCGACTACCTTCTAGCCGCTCCCAAGGTCGTGCGAGAGCTGCAACCGATGCATTGGACCTTTCTAGATGGGCCGCCTGACGGGACTACCTTACTAACATGGCAGCCGCTGAACCATCTCGGGACGAACTTTGCCAGCGATGGATATGTCTGGGCAGATGCTGAACAGGCCTTCACATTCGAGTCCAGAGGCTATGTGTGTGACCCTGAGCGTGACAGGCGCATTATCGAGGATAATGAATGGATATGCTGATTTCTGTGTTCTACTAGACGGTTGAAATGTGGGTGCAGCGAAGCGGTTATCATCCTCCAAACGAGACGATCGCGACCCATGCCCGCCGCCGCTATCGCCTGCTTCCCCCCAAAGTTCCAAATCCAAACCTGGCTCCCCCGGATCCATCCCTGTGGATCGTCCATTATTCGCGAGCTCCCCAGAGTGATCATATACCAGCCAACCGGATTCCGATTACGCCCCCAGTTCAGGCCATGCTAGCTCAACGGCGGTTCTTGCAAAGTCAAGGCCAGTTAGTTCGAAAGGACTTCATGTTGCATGACCGCAACAACTGGCCCACGATCAGTTTCCCGCCTCAGATGGGGCCGCAGGGTTTTGCGCAGCCGCCCAACGTCTATGCGAATGCGATGCCGGGCCGTCAACCGCAGGGGATTTACTATGCGGCACATCAGGGCGCCGGAGTACCTGGGGCCATGGGACCAACACCAACCAAAGCGCCCCGAGGCCATCGCAGCACGGCTAGTGCAATGGCAGCAGCTGCGGCGGACTTTTCCTTGGAAGATGAGGAAACCTCTGGCGACATGTTGGATTTTCTCACCCCTCGAGAAATCAGCAAAATGCGATACCAGCAGCACCACGAGTGGATGGAGGAAATATTTGCGTCGCCGTATACCATTAAGCAGATTACACCTGTCGACCTTGGTCTGGGTCGCAAAGGCGAGCTTGAGTCCTTGACCGCGGGTTTCTTTGAAGCGCCTGTTGGTCCTTCTCCATCGAAAGACCAGAAGGACCCTGGGGTTGCCATGCAAGCAGGAAAGATGGAGCCTGACAAAGCGGAAGAGTTTGCGGATCGGGTAGCCAAGAAGGTGGCCGACATGACGGCAGAGATCGAGAAACTGAAAAAACGACACGCTCGGAGGATGGAGAAGATCGGGCGGTTGTCTGTTCTAAAGGAAGCCGAGTCGAAACTGCGCGATGCGGCGGCTAATCCTGCGGAGACGGGCTCTGAAGTCTGGAGACTGGAAGGCCGCATTGAACTTCCCAGCGAGGAAGAGACGCCAGCTGCCGACTATACGGCGCAGGCACCCAAATTCAAAGTGGATGACGTCGTCAAGGAGGTGGAGCACGCGTATGGAAGGTCGATTGTACCCGAGCCGAACATCTCCTGTGTTGAGAAGGGTGGGTTGCTGGAGCGGATCGAGCCTGAACCCGCGCCTCCAGCCGAAAGCAATGGCGTTGGTGCAGAGGGCGACATTGTCATGGACCACACGAACAGCCATCTCCTGGATCAGTTTGGCACTCCGCCGGCGTCACATCCTTCACAGGAAGCCTCCGGGCCGGGACCAACCGGCGGGGCTGATGCGGCGAGAACGGGTATCCCCCAACAAGGTGGTCCCTCTGGTGACGTCGAGATGGGAGGCACAGCATCCAACGAACCTACGCAGACGAACACGGCGGAGGGAGAGACTGGTGACTGGGTCATAGTTGGCAACGAGGGCAATGCGACGAAAGCAGCCGGCACTGGACCCAACACGGCGGGCGGTACACCGGGCAGCGGCCTCAACACGGGTCTCGAGACGAGCAACTTTGATGACGCGACCAACTTTACGAACATGGACTCGGCAGGCGACGCGCTTGCTGCGTATGGAGAGCAGCACGATTTGGACTTACCTGATCTCGAGAACTCTGCGTTCGGGGATGCCTTCCACGCGTCGGACAACGAGGCGGTCCATCACCCGGAAGAAGATGAGATGTCATAGGCGATCGAATCCGTTTGTTTCTTTGTATCAAAAGTGTCACCTTTTTTTTTATTTTAAACTAGAATTCGTATTCCCATGTTGGCAGGCGTGCAGGATTATTATACTCGTGTATTGTTAGGTAGGTAGGGAGGGAGGTAGTTATTATCACCGGGCTTGTTTTATTGTCGTGTCAGAGTATCTTTATTATTATGGAATGAATATTATAGAGTTCTGAAGGTCTCCTAGACTAGACGCGTGCTGCATGCATTGTGTATACATATCATCATATGTAGGAGAGGTCAGTCAGTGCTATAGAAATCGCAATCGCAATTGGGTATATAGTACAAGTACGAATGCTTTCTGGTTTGTTTATATCCAATAATAATTATTATTCTAAAGTTCTACTTTTTTTTGATTAAACAGTGGAATATAAATAAATATATTATTAACACTACATAAATTTTATTATTTATTGACACTGTCTTCTGTCTCATCTCTTTCTTGAGCTTGTACCACACCACACCTTTGTTGAACCTTACTACTGTAGACCAGAGAGCCTCGCAAGAGAAGAATTCATTAATTGAATCTCATTGAGATGAGAATCTTTGATTGAAAATAAAATAAAATCAAATATCACCTACATATGCATACATATACATAGGGATGTACTGTACCAAGAAGTAAGTTGTTTTTTTTTTGGCCTGACTGACTGTTACTGACAGACAGGCTGAATCCAGACCCGACCCTAGCTAGATATCTAATCTAATGCGAGTCATGAGGTACATACCTATCTATCTATCTATCTAACCTAGGCACATGTACAGTACGTACCTCAGTAGTCAGTACAAACCCCTGCATAGCTAGGTAGTTGGGTGAATGGTCAGTTGACCAGACAGACAATTAACTTGTAACCACGCACGGAACGGCCCGGGGCGTTCTTTGCCAAAGCTGCTAATTAAAACATACAGAGTAATCTGGATCAAGATCCATGTCGATTTAGTTGCATACATATCCACCTAAGGTTAGTAACATGTCGCCAGTGCCTAAGGTATGCAGGTGGGACAGACATGTCACGCGCATGATCGTCATGTGATGATGATCCTTGGCTACCCCTCCCCCTCCCGCTCCCAGTGCCACTGCCGCTGTCAGTCTCCCGAGATTCTTCTTTCTTCGTTCTTCAGTCTTCTCTCCGGAGTGCGGTTGGACTGTGCTTAGTAAATAAATGAATCAATCAAGCTAGGTAGAGTATTAGCAGAGTACATACATTCATACATACATTCATACATACATACATACATACTCTATATTATAGTCCAGCAGTTTAATTACGCAGTTTAACTACATAAACTGACTAATCGAGGAATGAATCAAGATCTGGCACTTAAGTGCAATAAATAAGGTACCTACCATCGGATACCCTTTCTCATCATCTCGAATAACGAAAATTATTATTATTATTGTCCTCTCTTTTCCTATTAATTAACCCTATTTTTTTTTTAAAAAAATTAACCAAGGTGTGCTTTCCATAGAGGGTCCGTAGTAATAATAGTTGCTGGGTAGTTGCTAGTCTATTTCAATCTATAGGCGTACACGCTGCCAACGCAGCAAAAGTTGGTCCATGCTCATGCTTATACACGACAAACAGACCAGCAACTCGTTCTCTCTCGCCTCTCACGCGCATGCTATTAACTAACTAGTGTATGTACGTATGAGTTGGCAGTCGTAGGGGATTACTTATTTGGGGGGAGTGCTTTTTTGGAGCTCAGCTGGATGGATGGCTGAGTTGATGATTTACATTTATTTATTTAGACTGGGTTGACACGACCTTTCTTTCTCCTGTAACCTGTACTTACTTGCTTGCTGGAATATTTGAATCAAGGCGTCTTGTTTGCGCTGCTGTATATCTTTCTCTCTTTCTGCTCTTCTTGCTCTGCTGAATGTCTGGTATGCCTATGGGCATACCGTGTACATGGATCAGACAGGTCGATCTGCTGATCTGTATCAGTCGCTACTGATACTTTTTCTCTCTCCCTTTTTCGAATACTCAATCGTATTCTATGTTTATACGAGATACGCTCAGCATCCAGGAAAGCGACAGAAAGACTAGTCGCGTCATGGCTATATTATAAACTGGACCAACACATCCTCAGATCATTATCATTCTGCCTGCTCACTGCCATCTGATGATATTCTTCCAACACCTCAAAACAGATACAGGTCATTATTCAAGAAACCAAAAGCAAATTGCAGCGGCATATCATTGTCATATCAACTCATCAAACAAAAAGGCCGCCATCGCTGGCGGGCAGTCGTTGTGACTGCATGCGTCTTGAATGGAGAATGGAGATCGTCAATATCATCATTAATATACGCTGAAGAAGACAAAAAAAAACCTCGAATGTCATCAAGAGAAGGTCAACGTCAGCATCTTCACCTTTTGGTTCACCTGTTGGCACGCGCAATCAACCAATGCAGCACGGCGTCCAGGTTGGTTTCCTCTTTGGCGCTGATGCCATAGCAGCTGACTTCGCGCCGGTTTATCGACTTGAGGTCCATGGCATCGATCAGCTCGTCCACCGACAGTTTGTCGGGCAGGTCGGATTTATTCCCCAGCACCAGCAGTGGGATCCCCTCTAGGCTGGGCTTGCTCATCAGTTCATGAAGCTCTTCGGTCGCCACAGGCAGAGCAGCCCGGTCGGCAGCATCAACAATATACCTGTGGTAAGCACCAATGAGCATGACTGCTAACCGAGTGAGTCGCAGATCGGACATACACGATGGCGTTGACCCCTCGACAGTACCGTTCCCACATGGGCCGAAAGCGCGGCTGGCCTCCCAAATCCCAGCTATGCCACCATCAGTGAGATTCCAGCGCTGGCGATGGAGGTGATACTGACCACTTCAACGTCACATGGCCCTTCTGGACTCGTTTCGTGTTGAAGCCGATGGTGGGGATGGAGCTACAAGGGACAGCGGTTAGCTGGGAGGGGTCCATCAACATCTCGTGCTGTCACCTGACAACGTACTCGACCGTGAACTCGCCGCCCTGTCCGCGCTGGTCAGCACACTCGCCTGTCGTCTCGATCGTGGATCAAAAGCATACCGCCAGCACACGAAGCAAAGACGACTTGCCCGCATTCTGGAGCCCAATCATGGTAACGTCCATCTCCGTGGCCCTATAGATGGGGGTTAGACATGCGATGCCATCCCGCAGACCCATGCATTGCTCTGGTGGTGGCCCGTGGCGGGAAGGCGGGACGGGAATGCCGCGAAGGATCCGTCCGTTGCAGCCCACTTACCAAAACATCCGGAGAAGCCAGTCATAGATGGTTCGAAAGATGCCCGCCATGATGGCGATTTGGAGGTGATGGTCGGAGGCCGATACGATAAAGGAGCGTTGAAGGAAAGAAAGGAAGGAAGAGAACGAGAAGAACGACAAGAAAAAGTCTGGATCCCAGTGCGATGCAACCAACCACTCTGTTGTCTTTGTCTGCAGGGACGCAGCACCGATGATACTACGATGATGAGGATTCTCGACCGCAGATACGAGACCCCGGGATTCTCGGTGGGGGTTGGTGGAAAGCGCTCGAGTCACCTGCAACAGCGCCCAGGGAACCAATGTGCGTCGTAGAAATACAGAAGGGAGGGGGCGCAGTACGCCGTAGGAGAGGATGGCAGATGGCCCTGGGTTGACGATTCCGACTGCAACGGTGTAGAATGGAGAGAATTTTAATCCGCACGTAAAGACGAGTACAAGTAACTGGCCACCAAGCTCGCCTCAAGCGCCAGAGCGTGCTCGTCTTTTTTTTTTCTCGAGCACGAGGCCGTGCGGAATTCGGATCGAAGCTCTGTGTCGTTCTGCTTTTCTTTTTGGCAGACGGGGAACCAAACTAACTCACTAACTGCTCGATCGATGTGCACGCATGACCGATGATTTGCGCCGAGCTGGAGGGGAGCGCTTAGCTTGCGGGTTGGCCAGTGCAGCAACGCCCTGGTTCTTGTCCACTGGCGATGTCCCTGTCTGGAGACTAGGCTGAGCTCCACTCCAAGCAATTATTATCTCGTTCTCGTAGGCAGGCGTAGGCGTTCGTGCTATAGCCCGTTAGCAATTTTATTAGTAGCTATACAGTACGGAGTAATGTACGTCAGTGACCGCTCGAGGAGGTCCTGCTGCTGCCTGCTGCGCTTACTCCTTCACAGGCTCTGGATCAGCCTTGCCAAAGCGCCAGGGGTTCAGGTACATACAATGTCAAGCGTCAAGAGAGCGCACGGGAGAATGCTGTGGCGCTGGGCAGTGCTGGTGACCAGAGATGCTGGGCTGCTGGGATAAACCGCCAGCGACGAATCACCTGCGGACGATACTCGACAGCAGCTCCGCACGGGGGCAGCGATGGCGTTTGCCGATGATGCAGGATTCCAGAGGCGATAATTATTGATAGAGAGATTGATTCCTTAGGCAGTCAATTATCAAAGGGCGGTGTCGTGCTGCTATCGGCACGTGATGATAGCGGGCCACTCGAAAAATTTCCCGTCCGTCGCAGGCGGGCGAACGCTTCCTCGCTGCCAGCACCGACATCCCCAGCGCAACCAGGGATTTTTTTCTAGCCCACTGTTTAGAAAGAAGTCTGCGCTGGAGGATGGACTTCTGACGGAGCCAATTGCTCCCTGAAGTCACACAGCACCGGTGCGTGGGATTCGCGAATTCTTTCCAATCGCAGCGACGACTCACCGTCTGGCAAACGTACAGACAGACAAAATGGCACCAGCACCGACAAATACCAAATGGACTGTGGAGTTCGACACTCTGCGGCGGGAGCGACTCTTCCGAAATCCTCCCAAGGACCATTCCGCCTTCCCTTCCCTGGAAGCCGCAATTCGCCCTCACATCGATTCCTTCAATGCGCTGTTTGGAGACGCGAAACTGGTCGAGGAAGGTCTGAAAGATATCGGAACCAAGACCTTCCTGGATGGCGACCCCGAGACCCCAGAGCAGCGAGAGAAACGTCGTGCAGAGGGCCGCCCGCCACCTAAGCGGAATCGGCTCAACGTCCGCATCAGAGAGGTCTTCCTCGAGAAGGCTGTGCTGCCGCCAACCAACAAGTTCAACACGCGAAACCGCAACATTTACCCAGCAGAGTGCAGAGAGCGCCATGCAACATACCGAGGGAGGCTACGGGCGAGGCTCGGGTACCAGGTCAACAACGGAGAATGGAAGGAGTCAGTGCGAGAGTTGGGCCAGGTCCCTCTCATGCTGCGGGTACGCTCTCGTTATCTCGGGAATATATTACGTTCAGAGGAGAAGCGCTGACTCCAGGATGCGAACAGACCAACCGATGCCATCTCGAGAACCTTACGCCCGCGCAGCTCGTCGAGCACAAGGAAGAGTCGGAAGAACTGGGTGGCTACTTCATTGTCAACGGAAATGAAAAGTTGATTCGAATGCTGATTCTGCCGAAGCGCAACTATCCCATGGCCATCGTCCGGCCCACCTTCGCCAACAGAGGCCACCTCTACACCAAGTACGGTATCCAAATCCGGTCTGTCCGCCCCGATCAAACCTCCCAGACCAACGTTCTACATTATCTCAGCGATGGAAACGTGACGTTCCGCTTTTCCTGGCGGAAGAATGAGTATCTGGTTCCCGTCATGATGATCCTCAAGGCGCTCGTCGAGACCAACGATCGTGAGATCTTTGAGGGCATCGTGGGAAGCGCCTCCTCCAAGGGAATCAAGAACACGTTCGTCACCGACCGTGTGGAGCTTCTGTTGCGAACCTACAAGGGATACAACCTCCATGGGAAATCCGAAGTCAGAGCCTACCTGGGCAAGAAATTCCGTCCGGTCATGGGCGTTCCGGCTGACATGTCCAACGAGGACGTTGGCACCGAGTTCCTCCGCAAGGTGGTGCTGCCGCACTTGGGGAACCAGAACGTGACCCCGGCTCAGGACCATGATAAGTTCAAGATGATCATGTTCATGATCAGGAAGCTTTACGCACTCGTGGCTGGTGACTGCGCACCTGATAATCCCGATGCCGTCTCGAATCAGGAGGTTCTGCTGGGCGGCTTCCTCTACGGGATGATCCTGAAGGAGCGACTGGAGGAGTGGTTGCGATCGCTTGGCCCCATCGCTCGAGACTGGTGCATCAGGAACAATGGTGCCAAGTTCACCGATCCGGCATTCGAGAAGGACTTCCTGTCCAAAATCGTCAAGAGGTCCAACGAAAATATTGGTGGAGCGCTGGAATACTTCCTATCGACCGGCAACCTGGTTAGCCCGACGGGTCTGGATCTCCAGCAAACGTCTGGATTCACGGTCGTGGCAGAGAAGATCAATTTCTATCGATTCATCAGCCACTTCCGCATGATCCACCGAGGAAGCTTCTTCGCCCAGCTGAAGACGACCACAGTCCGCAAGCTCCTTCCAGAGAGCTGGGGTTTCCTGTGCCCCGTCCATACCCCTGATGGAGCCCCATGTGGACTCTTGAATCACCTGGCGCACAAGTGTTTGATTGCAACAAATAACCTCGATGTTTCTCATATCCCTCGAATAGTTGCCCAACTTGGCGTCCGTTCGGAATCTTCGGTGGCCCTGGACGAAAGTGTGCCGGTGCAGCTGGACGGACGTATCATTGGGTATTGTTCGCCCAAGCAGGCGCGCATGATCGCCGACACCTTGAGATTCTGGAAGGTCGAGGGCACGCACAACATCCCCCGGGAGCTTGAGATTGGTTATGTGCCCAACTCGAATGGAGGCCAGTATCCCGGAATCTACATGTTCTCCCAGATGGCACGGATGTACCGGCCCGTCAAGTACCTGGCTCTTGATAAACTGGACTACGTCGGTCCATTTGAGCAGCCCTTCATGGAGATTGCATGTATGCCGTCGGATGTCATTTCTGGAGTCTCCACCCACATCGAGTTCACGCCCACCAACATCCTGTCCATCTTGGCCAACTTGACCCCCTTCTCCGACAACAACCAGTCGCCCCGGAATATGTACCAGTGCCAGATGAGCAAACAGACCATGGGTACGCCTGGCACTGCCTTTGCATACCGCACAGATAACAAGCTCTACCGATTGGAGATGGGCCAGACGCCGATTGTTCGGCCGCCATTGTACAATGAATACGGACTGGACAACTTCCCGAACGGCACAAACGCCATTGTGGCTATTATTTCATACACGGGTTATGACATGGACGACGCCATGATTATTAATAAATCGTCTCACGAGCGTGGCTTCGGTTATGGAACGATTTACAAGACAAAATTCTTCAACCTGGACGAGAAGGAGTCCCGTCGAAGCAAGTCGAAACGCGAGATCAGCAAACTGTTTGGGTTTGCTCCCGGGGCCGAGATCAGGGCGGAGTGGCGCAACACCCTGGATGAAGACGGTCTTCCTCACATCGGCGTCAAAGTTAGAGAGGGGAGCGTCATTGCGGCCTGGCACACCGTCCGTTACGACCCTGCCAGTGACTCGTACGTCAACGTCGACGGTCAGACGCATTTCCTGAAGTATAAAGACCAAGAGGAGGGGTACATTGATAGCGTTCGCCTGGTTGGTTCCGAGAATGGAAATGAACCCATCCAGGCGATCAGCGTGAAATTCCGCATTCCTCGAAAGCCGATCATTGGTGACAAATTCTCCTCGCGTCACGGACAGAAAGGTGTCTGTTCCCAACTGTGGCCAGCGGTCGATATGCCCTTCTCGGAGAGCGGGATCCAGCCGGACCTGATCATCAACCCGCACGCGTTCCCTTCTCGTATGTCATCTCTCTCTCTGTCTCTTTCTCTTCTATTGATTCGTACCGGTGCTAAATTGATGCAGGTATGACAATCGCGCAGATCATCGAATCCATGGCCGGCAAAGCCGGTGCTCTTCATGGTCACCCACAAGATTCAACGCCCTTCCAGTTCAACGAAGACTACACGGCGGCGGACTATTTCGGCGAGCAGCTTCGCAAAGCCGGGTACAACTACTACGGGAACGAGCCGATGTACAGCGGGATCACGGGCAAGGAGTTCGCGGCCGACATCTACCTAGGAGTCGTGCACTACCAGCGTCTGCGACACATGGTGAACGACAAGTTCCAGGTGCGAACGACGGGGCCGGTGAACGCGCTGCACGGGCAGCCCGTCAAGGGCCGAGCCAAGGGCGGTGGTATCCGAGTGGGAGAGATGGAGCGCGACTCGCTGCTTGCGCACGGCGCGGCCTTCCTGCTGCAGGACCGGCTGATGAACTGCTCCGACTCGCAGCGGGCGTGGATCTGCCGCGACTGCGGCTCGTTCCTGTCGACGCAGGTGACCATCTCGACCGTGGGGTCGCACAAGTCTCGGGGCGGCGCGAACCAGGGCGCCGTGGCGGCAGCAGCCAAGGTCGTGCCGAACCAGGCAGCGCCCGTGGGCGGCATCGGCGCGCTGGGCGGCGTCAACGGCATCGTGCGCTGCCGGCGCTGCGCGCGGGAAGCAGTCTTCGAGGACTCGCGGGCCGAAGTGTGGGAAGACGGCGAGGGACGACGGTACGTGGGCGGCGACAACGTGACGGTAGTCGCTGTTCCGGGTGTCCTGCGGTATCTGGACGTGGAGCTAGCAGCGATGGGCATCAAGATGAAATTCTGGGTCGACAATTAGATCGGTCGGACAAGAAGCTAGTACATGACTGACCACGAAAGAAAGAAAGAAAGAAAGAAAAAGGAATAGCGATCGATTGATACTCATGACTTTCATTTCAAGACGATGCAAATAAAAGTCATTATGTCTGCCTTGCCTTACCTTGCCTTGTCTTGTCTTGCGTCGTGTTATTGTTTTTTATTTTTTTTGTTTTATTATCTGGATAGATGTTATGTTATCATTCTATCCTATCATATCATATCATGTTCATGGGCGCGTGCACGAGAGAGAGAGTTTCTTTCTTTCATTGGATTGAATGTGTTTTATGCATTGCATTGCATGTCTAGGTACCTACGTACATAAATCTATGGTATATAAGTATACACAGCAGATCTGATCTGACCTTTTTTATTTTTATTTTTTTTCTTATTTATTGCTTTGTACGAGTGTATGTGTAATCATAGAGCCATTTAGTTAGTGAAGTACAGTACTTACTACCTAATCAATACTGAATACTGGCGAGTTTAACAACGTACGACATAATAGAAGTTTCCAGTTCTAGGTCATACATATATCTATATGATATATCGGATTCATGTCGAACTCGTCATCTAATTAATAACCTCTAGTAGTAGAAGTAGCTAGCAGCAGCAGCAGTAGTAGTTAGGCTAGGGTTTTGTTTTTTCTCTTCTCATTCGTCTATTCCATTCCATTCCTTGCCTTTATTCGACACTATCAAAAAGGACAAATCCATACATATAACGTATAACGCAGTGCAATAATAAGGCTCGTCGAAGAAAGTTTAAAATGCGGTAGATTAATGCTGACGTAAGGTAATTAATTCTACACGTCAGCCGTAACATTGGTGAATTCGCCCTTCTCCAACTTTGTCTTCCAGAAGATGGGATCCGTGTCCATGAAGCCGTGGTGCACCCATCCTTCCTCGCGGACATGGTACAGGTTGATGTACCCACCGGAGTACGCGTCGCGGTGGGTGGCCGCCAGGATGCTCCTCTTGGCCAGCTCCAGCGCCTCCTCCGTGCTCAGGTCGTAGCGGTATTCGGCGTCGAGCACGCCGTAGGCGAACGTCTGCCCGGAACCGACGCAGAAGAGGTTGCCCGACAGTCGGGTGCCGTCTGAGTCGATGTAGTAGAGCGCGGGACCTTCTTGAGGCGTTACCTGCAGGAAGAATGAGTATATGACAGTAATAACACACACATAAAAGAAAAAGATGAACATACGCCTGCCAACATGGTTCCCATGCTCAGTCCCATCCCCTTGTATGCGTACGTCAGGTTCGCCAGGATCTTGGAAGCAGCCGCAACCGTGATCCGACGTTTATGCCGGATTTCTGCCACTCGATTAACACAGATGTCCAACAGTCGCTACACATTCAGTCTCACCGTGAAGTGTACACTGCTCGGCCAAGTATCTCAACCAGTATTGACAGTCCTGAAAAATTTTCAGGTCAGTACGAGCCAAGAAAAAAACTCACTTCCAACGCTGTTCGTTTTTCGGCGGTTGACTTACTGCTGCACCTCCAGCCATCGTCCCCAGAAGACCAGGCACGGGAGCATCTTGAGGCTTGTCCGTCACGAGATCCAATCGCGACACGGGAATGACCTTCTTCACCGTCTGACTGGCGATCCAGTTCCCTGCCGTTGCTCGGGAATCCGTCGCGACAATCTAGAGGCATTCCTGTCAGTATATTTCCATCGTCAAGGTCTCTTTCAGGCCACCTACGATTCCGTCCTTGAATCGAAACGCAAGAGTGGTCGTTCCGTGGGCTAGTTTGATCGGCGCATTCGGGTTCGCATGGTCATCCGTCATGGCACGGAGGAAAGCAGAGGGCTAGAAGAGAAGAGAAGAGGCTTGGTCAGCATGTGATTTGACGCATGATGCTGACAACCCGTCCGGATATCGAGCAGCAGAATGAAGTCCGGAGGCTGCTCCTTGCACGCATGCACGGCTATATCAAGGTCAAGCGACTCACATTCTCAATCGGAGGGAGATCGAATTTTAGAGACAGCGGCGGAAGACACTCTGTCATTTCGCGCTGTTGTTGCTCGGAATAGAACTCATCTTCGTACGGCGAGCGGGAGTATTTGGCGACTAACGTATCCATGGTCGGGGAACCGGAACTGCGGCGACGGTGACAAAGGGAAGAATTCTAGAAAGACGAAAAGGGGGATTAATTTACAGAGTGCAAGGAGAAGAGACGTGGACCTGGTGGTGATGCTGCAGCTCCGAGCTTCGCGTCACAGCTGGCGCCTGGTGAGCACGTGACGCGGATTATGTAATGAGCCAACGCATCATTTTTCCGCTTTAGTAATAGTACACCCATGTAACTATACCACCTCACCAGCATACTACCCTAACTGGAATAACACTGCTCTGCTTTTGCCAGATTCTGCCAAGCTGCAATGACTTAGTTCTACTACTCCACTTGATTCTGCAAGGCCTTGACCTTCAATCCGTAGTGTACCTAGAGAGCCCTTTATCTTCTGGGATACGCTTTACAATCTCACCCTTAACAGATTGTCTTTTTCCTTTAGTGTCACTAAGATCTCATCCTCTTCATATGAGAATCGAGTACCCTTAGCTGCAGTGGCTGTTGAAACACCACTTACAATCATACCAATTGCTCCAGACAATGCTTTGGACAAGTATCAAGTTGCTTCCATATCCCCCTATCTGTCCTCTTATCCTCAAGCCTACACTCCTGGCAGTTCTCCCTCACCTTAGGTCAGCTGAAGGACCTCTTCGAGGCTGTCAGTTAGCAACTAGTAGCAGATTTTATGGATGTAACAACGGCCGCTCTCTGTCCTGCAAAGCATGCTAATTTCATACAATAGTTGCATCAAACTCTGAGGGTCCAGCATGCAGACCTTAGGGTCCAAACATTCACAAAGCCTTGCCTACCTAAATTCTGCAACATTAATCAAGGTTAATACTAATGTCAGCAAAATAGCAACTGAGTTAAGCGACCATCCATGTCCTGCCAGCAACGCCTGTCTCGCCAATAGGATGTTCTCTGCCACCACTACCACCAGACATGGAACAGCTGAAGTAGCATCTCCTCACACAGCTTGTTCAGGGCGGACAATCTTCATCCATGGCAAACAGCGCTAAAAAGACTTTTTCAATGCAGCACCTATGCAGAGAAAAACAGGGAGCTCCAGTCGGAAGAAGGCAACAGCGTCGAAAAGCTCTAGACGTGAAGAAGAACAAGGGGAAGTCTACATACAGACACCAACATTAGGGGGAAATCAATCGAAAGAAAGCGATGCGGCTGACTATAAATTAAGGATACTAGTTTTGCTAGGTCAGTATGTACTGTAGGTCTGATGCAAGTAATTAATTATTATTTCCATTCCTGTCATAAAGAGTAAAAAAATTAATTAATTTACTGGAAAGTACACAACTGATAGATAGATTTATGCCGCTGAATATCCAACATCCATAGATTTGATCAAAGCTGCAGACCAAACACAAGCAGATATGTAGATGTCTGCTGTCCATTAATTATTTCCGTCTCTACAACCCCAGCAACGCCATCTCAGACGACGACCGGACCGGCGTCCTCCAAACCACAACATTTCCATCATCATCATATGCCCATTCAAAGAAATCGCATCGTCCCGATGCACACACAAAATGCAGTCCTCGGGGATACGTCGCATCCACTCCCGCAATCTGCAGTCGACTGAGCAAGAGACTCGGGCAATCGCACGCGGGGTTAATCAGGTGGATGCCGCGCATGTCTCCGAAGCAGGCGAATTTACCGCAGGACTCGCATCGGTAGTATCGTCGCCCGGCGTTGCCGTTCGGATTGTCTGGACGGACTGTTCGCATGGTGGTACCAGCCCTGCAGCGCAGACATGTTGGTGGTGAGGTCTTGCGGAGAGCGTAGCGGTCGGCTGATGGGTTCATTTCGTTGCTTTTCTTCGAACGGAGCGGAGCTTTGTCCAGAATTCAGAGTATAGGTAACTCACAATCAGCAAAAAAAAATTGAGTACCGAAGATTGCCATGAAAGGTGGGAGTCGAAACAAAAGAATCCGTATCAAATCAAATAAATCATTGTGGTGTCATCAGTCACGAGACACCCAACTGCACAGCCTCGACCAGCCTCAAGCAGCCTTGCGTACATAGCCGGACAAGGTCTAGGTTAAAATAAAAGGTGCAGCGAATGATTCATCCATGCTTGGTATCTATCTTTATTAAATAACCTCAGTGAGGGAGTGGAGTCGAGGCGATATCGCCATGAGAGGAGGGTATTCAAGAAGAGTGAGGAGGGAAGCAGGCATCGTATAGTATGATAAAGAATAAAATAAATCAGGATAATAAAGGGTATTAGTAAAACTAGGGGAAGGCTATAAGATTTAGATAGTGGCCATGGAATTTGCAGTATTAAACCATTCCAAATAGGCATGCTAAACTGGGAATGGGAGTTCGTCATCACCCAGTGTACAGTACAAAGTACAAAAACCGTCGAGTAACACAATTAACGAACTCATACTAGTCCTAATATCAATTACACGTGGTTTGCTATGACAGTTTCAGAATAAGTGCAGTACATAACACTGCGGCTGTTATTATGTCCGCCATTCAATTGCAACCTTACCATTCCGTCCGTTGACCAGTCCGAAGCAGATAAAATGTACATACATACATACGTAACAAGAATACATTTAAGAACAAATCATAGGTGTTACGCTGTCTCATGTTTGTTCTCCTGGCGAGTCACACCCACTGGATTCCTGGGGCTTCGCTTCGGTCTCTCCATCGTCAGTCAAATGGATCCGTCGTGTATCCTCTCTCAGCTCACTCGATGGAGTCGCTTCGCTTTCGCCTGCCGTTGCATCCTCTGATGCAGGTATCGTGACATTCTGGTCCGCCGTTTCGAGTGGCCCGTTGCCCGACTTTGGCGTCAGGTTGGGTCCCCTCTCTGCCGCCGTCGTTGGAGCGCCGTTAACGGCAGATTCCCAAGCACGAAGATCGCTCTCAGCGTCATCCAAGATTTGGCGGGCTTGGTCTGCACCTTCGTACGGCCGCTGCTGATCGCCGGGGACCACGGGAGTGTCATCGAGGAGACGCAGGAGACGGCGCGCATGCCTAGCAAGGATGGCCTGCTTCTCCGCCCGCTCAATGGTGGCCGCCAAATGCAGGTCGAATGCTTCTTTGAGCTTTTGCCGCGTCTGGATAGGCTCAGAGCTGTTTCATGGATGTATATACAAGACATTGAATACTCACGACATTGCTCAACTGTGCCTCTGCGACGAGGTTCTGCGCCTCCGCTCTCACGAGCTCCTGCTCCAGCGTGACCAGCTTCGTGCTCGTAGGATCTTTGTGCTTCAGTTTCTGGATCTCGTCGGCGACTCTCATCCGCTGGTCGCGCGACGGCTGCACGGAGCTCTCCGTGTTCCGGATCTGCTTGAGCACGCCGCGGTAATCCTCCAGGTTCTGCGCAAAGATGTCCTCCTGCTCACCAATCTCGGCCAGCAGCACGCCGAGTTTGTCCGTGATGTCGGAAATCGCCTCATCGCCGGTGCTCTCGCCCCATTCGGACAGCTGCGACGCGATGGAGACACGCTCTCGACCGGCAGTCTCGTAAGAGCCGATGACGAGGTTTTCATTCTTGATGATTTTGAACAGTCTCTTGCTCAGCTCGGGTTGCTGGAGGCCGCGCAGGGTAGCCATGGAGAAGCGATGGCGACTGGAAGCTTTCTCCGGGTGGCCATCGCGCCTGGACCTGATAGAGAGAGATCGATTCCTTCGGCCGTCAGTGATAATGCAGCTATGACTGGGTAGGCAGCAGATGACATACATGCTGGTAGTATCTTTTCGAGTCAACAAGCCTTGCAATGGTAGCTATCTGACAGCTAAGTGCACTGAATGAGATGCCAACCGCTCAGAGAGAAATTTGTCGTCCAGCTGATGCCCAGGCAGCAACTATGCACCTTCCGTATCAAGCAATGCTGGCCAAAGTAGCTCCTTCCTTCCGATTATACAGTCACAAACGAAGGCACATGACAGCAGAGACGAGAAACTATATACAGCTATCTTTACTTCTGTTCAAGAGAGACAGTTGCAGTATGTACACACATGTGCATATAGATAGATAGATGACAGAGCAAGAGGCGTACAAGGGAGCGGTTCGTGACGTCATGCAATGCCTGCCCGAACCGGCAATAGTTCTCAATCTGTGATAGGTCATCGATTCCCATGAAAGATGCGAGTAATGCAGATCATTTAAACATTAAAACCCAGGTAAAAAAAAAGGCCAGAAACCCAGACGCCAGAATCCAGCCATTAAGCCCTTCCCATGTATCTAACCCAAGATGCCTCCCAGGAAACAACGCCTTAATCCCTAACCGTATCGTTTGGCCCCCATCCGCCGTCAATGAACAAGTAATGTACAGCCCTAATGGATAACCCTCCCAAGACTGGAGATATTAACTCCCCCTCCTCTCCACAATCCGCACTTCCGGCCCACTCCTCCTCCCGGACGGAAACGACCCTCTTGGCTCGCGCTCCTCGTACGACCGGCAGCTGTACGCACTGGCCCGCTCAACAGGGAAAAGGGTCTGCGAGCGCGTACGCGAATGGGTCCTTGTTATGATGGTATATGAAGCACGTGGAGGAGGCGGAGGTGTTGAGCGCGAGTGATGATGAGGCTGAGGCTGATAATAGTAACGCGTGTACCTGGAGGAGGACGACGAGGAGAGTGGCCGCGGAGACGGAATGGATGTTGTTTCGTAGATGCGGTGGCGCTCGATGACCCGGATCGGAGGGGAATCGTCGACGGATTCGATGAAGCACATGTTGCTTGGGATTAATTAATTCTAATTTCCTTCGTTTCGTTGGAGGAGGATTTTCGTTCGTTCGGCCAGTAATTATTTAGTGGGGTCGGATCGGCCCGCGGAAAAGAAAGATTGTGTGTGTTGGTAGTTCCCTCGTGGCCAACCCTAACGGAGTGTATTTTCTTCAGCAGGCAGACAGAAGGAATGCAGAATGCAAAACAACAGTGCAGATACTTCTAATAATACGCTGGTACCAGTAGACATGCACAAATAGCAGAACAATAAAAATTGGAAATTGGTCTTACTTATACTCGTATTCGCCAAGGCAGTCTGGGGCGGCGCGGCTGACCTGGACAGCCAGACGGGGCTGTCAGCGGATGTCGGTCAGTCGCGGTCAGTCAGGCGGTCCGCTTCGTATTGATATTAATAATGACTTTTCTAGAGAAGGAAAAAGGACTAGTTATTTTTAAAAAAAAATAAAAATTAAAAAAAATTGAAAATTGAAAAAAAAATGAAATCTACATTTCACGTGGTGCACATGGCAGATATATATGTGCTGAACAGGTAAGACAGACAAATTAGGGTATGTGCTGGATTCTTTCTGCTTTTCTTCTCTACATTTCTCCCTCTTTGTTTCCTTTTGTTGTCTTTATTTTTCTTCCTTCTTTTTTCTTCTGTTCTGTTTTGTTTCCTGTTTTTGTTTTGCTTTGCTTTTCCTTCTTCGTAATACAACAAAATCCTATATTACAAAGACGGTACACCACGAAATTCCAGTTCCAAGTAATTCAATGTCAGATCTAGAAGACTTTTCTGCTGTTTCTGAAAGAAAAAAAAAAGAAAAAAAAAATTCCATATCCTATCCCATCTCTATTTTATTTTCCTACTTATAATTGTACAGTATATATAAGATATCAGCAACACTAAACATCAAACTCCCTCGATGGAGTCACCTCGTACGTCGTCGTCACGTGAATACCGTCACTCTTCATCCCGCTCGCGAATCCATCCCCTCCAGTGCCCACCGTCACGTCATTCTTGTAGTGGCTGTTGAAGTCCTTGTCGACAATCATCTCCTCGCTGCTGTTGTCAGTCCTGTTGTGGAACTTATTCTGCGGCTTCTTCCCCAGCGTGGAGGAGAGTTGGTATGAATCGGTGGTGCCGTACGCGGATCGGCTGCTCTTCTTGTTGTTGCTGGACGAGCCGTTGGCGGACCGGAGCCAGGTGGAACTGCTGAAGAGTGGCTTGATGCAGGAGGCGTTGACGGCTACGATGCCGACGAACTGGCAGCAGAAAGTTAACTATTTGTTGGACCTTGGTAAGGACAGGGGAAGCTGCTCTTACCGTTTCGCGAATCGCCCAAATCGTGCTCGTGTTGATCCCGTTGATGTCCTTGAGAGAAAGGAGGCATCGGAGCAGAGTGGCAGTCATGATGAAGACGCCAGAACAAAGCAACAGCGCGATGAGAAGTTTGCTACGACACATCAGTCTTGGACACAAGCCACGAGGAAAAGGGACCTACCGGCGCAGGGGGATCTTCACTTTCCACAGCAGTGGGATCGGAATGCACAGAATCATAAAGTCGGTGCTTCGAATAGTCAACTTTGAGACCAGATCATAGACGTCTGTGTATATACTCACCTCATGTTTGTTGTCACGATAGCTAGGTAGTTGGCGACATCTATTGTACACTGATCTAGGCAAACTAGTCAGTTTTCTGACTTGACAAGATTTAAAAAAAACGACACAAACTTACCACCTGGATAGGGATAGACCTGCCAATTCTTCCGCACAGGCGTACAATGGCCATAAATCACCGCAATCATCGCGATGTAAGCGAGGACGCAAATCACGGCGGTGATTTTGACCGCTTTTTGCTGCGCGAGACCAAGACGAGTCACAACACCAGTCAACCTCAGCAAAGATGACGGTTTGCAAAGGTCGATGCATACGTGATTCGGTTGTAGAAGAACAGCATGCACGCCTTGAGACACCAAATCAAGGTGACATAGCAGGTCCATCCGGCGAGGAGGCATTTGGATCCGATTTCGTATCTTCGAATCTGCTCCGGGGACAGAGTGGCGCCGATGTCGTCGTAGATACCGATGTTGGTGCCATATTGGCCTTGACAGCCATCATCATTAGTATTGAGTCAAGAAATCTTAGAGTTCGTACGCACCGATCAATTCAAGCATGGACAACTCCGCCTGAAGAGTCCATCAGAATGGATGCAGATGCAGATGCAGTTTGTTTTTTCTTCTCTTTTCACTCACCGTCCAGAAAATCAGAACTCCAATCGTGAAATAGTCATCTCCTTGCCATCGGAAGCCAACTGTCTTCCATCGCGCAAAGATACGAAGGAAGAGAATGATGACTCCGATGGCATATTCGGTCCACGCTTCCGTCTGGAAGGGCGTTGTCATTGTTCACCGCTTGAAATGTCGTTTAAGTTTCTCTAGCTGTGGATTATGGGAATAGGTTTCTTTTTTCTTTCTTTCCCTTTTTTTTTAAAAAAAATTACAACTCAGACAGCACCTCCTGAAGAGTATTCTCCACTACTAACCAACAGCCCATGAAAACAATGCCCTGACACGGGCGAAAGGGTCCAGGCCATCCCAGACATTTACTCCCTCGGAATCATCCATACTCTTCAGCGTACAAAGCGCGGAATTGCATTCCGTGAGTAACAAGGTGATGCTTGCTCGTCTTTTCATTAGTTTGCAGTATTAATATAGCTTGATCGACCGTTTCAGCAGGCGGAATTGCTAGCAGGGGTGTGTTCGCGCTGCGCCGCAGGAGATTACCCGAAAAGGAAAGATCAGTCAGTTGCTCCTGAAAACCTTTAGCAACGCTGGAGAAAAAGAATATGAGTAAATTGAGATACGGAGAGGTTCTTTCTTGCTGCTATATGCAGGAAACCTGTCTAGATAAGCTGCCTGTGTCCCGCAATGCCATGTCGATACCACCGCATGAGTCGTAGTCGGCAGATCATGTCCCTGTCAAAGTCCAAGCTAACGAAACTCCACGCCGCGCCTAGTTTAAATGATCCTTCTTAACGATCCCATGCTAGTACGATACCCACCTCAACATGACGGCGCTGCCACCAGGGTCTGCGTCGGAAAAGGCCGCATCGTCCGCACGGCCAAATCCCCGATTGGCAGGAAGCCCAAGGCGACCGTCATCTGGACCCTTCACCCGAGATAAAGCCTTGAGTCTCTAAGGTGATCGACTCGGGTTGACGGATGTAAATATCGTCTTGGCCGGCCGTCGGGACGTGCTGCATGAGAGTCTTCGTAAGTTCGTACTGTATGTGCATGGCTCATGTGAGACAGCGCACAGGGCCCGCAGGGCCAATAAATCGGTCTTGCAGTGCAGGAGCACGTCTATTTTCGATGCTGAAGATGACCCAGTGATTGGCGTCTGCTATTAGCTGCGCAGGTAATACAGATAACCGCTTTTTGCGCGGAATGAAATTCCGTCTTCGTCCCTGGGACGGTGTACATAAATAAGGCCGGGTGCAGGGATTGATTGTCTGGTGTACTCCGTAGTCAAGTCTCTTGAGCAATTCTCGCAGTATAATATTACCTCGCAGTAATAATTGTCATTGCTAGTGCAATTCTGATAATGGCTCCCATTCCCCAACAGCAGCCTGAGTTCGACTACATTATCTGCGGGTGAGTTGAGTCCGGGCTTGCGTTGATAGCTGCTGCTAATAAATCCCCTCTCTCTTCCAGTGGAGGCACTTCAGGATGTGTCGTCGCCGGTCGACTGGCAGAAAACAAGGACGTCAAAGTCCTTGTAATCGAAGCTGGCCCGCACAATGAGCTTCTGGAAAATGTGCATATGGTTGGAGGGTAAATCACGATCTGATCCTTCACGCTTGACTTCACATGACTGATTTTTCCAGCTGGTCCCAATTGTTCGACAAGGAGACAGACTGGAACATCATCAGCGAGCCGAAACCGAGCGTGAACAATCGCCAGATCAAGCTCAGCCGGGGTCGATATCTCGGCGGCTGCAGCGGTTGCAACGGGACGCTCTGCATTCGCGGGACAAAGCAAGACTACGATGACTGGGGGTTGGAAGGGTGGAGTGGTGAGGAGTTCTTCAAGTGCATGTCAAAGGTGTGTACTGAAGTAGAGTTTCTTCCGCTTTGAATGATGATGACTGGAATCAGGCGGAGACCTTCCATACCAAGCCATGGTTCAAAGCTGCAGAGAAGGCGCACGGTTACAATGGCCCCCTGCACACCGAGCCCCATGATCTGGCCCCGATTGGGAACCTCCTCCTCGAGTCGTTCGTTTCGCAGGGTCTGCCTCTGGACCATGACATGTTCACCACTGGGGAGACGCCGCATGGATGTGGCCATGTCCCCAGAACGGTGCACAAGGGGCTGCGTACAACGTCAGCCGATTACATTACCAAGGAAAACCATCGAGACAACATCACTCTCATGGTCAATACCACTGTCGACAAGGTCCTCATCGAGGAGGTCGATGGAGAGCTGAAAGCCATCGGAGCCGCTGTGGTGGACAGCGATGGGAAAACGCGCCATGTTTACGCGAAGAGAGAGGTCATTGTCAGCGGAGGAGCGTACTGCAGCCCGAATATCCTGAACCGCTCCGGCATTGGCGCCAAAGAGGAGCTCGAGAAGCATGGTATCACTACGCTGGTTGACCTGCCGGGTGTTGGAAAGAACCTGATGGACCACTTGGTAAGACGCAATAATGCAAATCAATATAATATCAGCATTATCAATATAAGCATCAGCACTAACGAATATTTCTAGATTGTCTTTGTCTTCTACGAGACCGACAAACCAGGTCTGACCAACGACTACCTGGTCTACCACGACGACAACTTCCAAAAGACGTACGCCCAGTGGAAGGAAAAGAAGACAGGATTCCTGTCGACCTTCCCATTCGGCCCATTCGCCTTCGCCCGACTCGACGACCGGCTGAAGGATTCTGAGCTGTGGAACAGCGCGCCTCGCCAGCCGGGGCGAGACCCGATGGGCCTGACCCCGAAGCAGCCCAACATCGAGTTCTTCACGACGGAGCTGTACGGCGGACCGAAGCAGTTCGACCAGTTCCCCGTGAACCACCAGCACGCCTTCTCCATGATCTCGGAGCTGTTTGGGCCCCGGTCCCGCGGCACCGTGACGCTGAGGTCGAAGGATCCGTTGGACAAGCCGGTCGTCGACACAAACTACCTTGCCGACCCGTTGGATCTGGAGGTGCTCGCCGAGGCGTGCCGGTTTGGCAACGAGATCGTCATGAATGGCAAGGGGACCAAGGACATTGTCAAGGGGTCGTGGCCGCCGCACCTGACGCACCACAAGTACACGACCAGGGAGGAATGGAAGGAATATGTCAAAGACAACGCTACGACGTGTAAGAAGCATCTCAAGATACATGTATCATCTTGGGTGATATCAGCCATGCTAATGAGTTATCTAGGCTACCACGCAGCCGGCACCTGCGCCATGGGCAAAGCAGACGATCCCCAGAGCGTCGTCGACGAGAAACTGCGCGTCAAGGGCGTCAAGAACCTCCGTGTGGCCGACTGCAGCATCATGCCCATCCTCCACAGCGGACACACGCAGATGCCGGCGTACGGCATTGGGGAGAAGTGCGCCGACTTGATCAAGGAGACATGGAGATGAGGTAGATCTTGCTAGATTAGAAATTTAGGATGGCGTATATACAAACCCTAGGTAAACTCGACTTAGGGTATGACAGTGTAATCCCCACTCTAGATGATAGTTTCCTACAATGTTTGTTGACCGTTGCAACCTTGACGCAAACAATACATGTATATACCTAAATGCTGGCTTCTAAACAACGAGCATGGTCCTTGACGTCTTACCTAGGATCCTTCTCCAGAGTATGAGGTGCATTTATTCCCATTCGAAACGGTGAGAGAGAGAAAACTAATTAATGGATTACTGTTGGAATTTCAGTATAATATCTCTAGGAATCTATGGGAATTTCTGTATTAGAATTAATGTTAGCTCTCAGCCTCTTTATTATGCAAGTTGCCAAATTCAGTAACTATCTTATGAATCAACCAGAAGTGGGGTAGATACCTCGTTATACGTGTATGGACTAAGGCGACCTTCAAGTCCTATCTATCTCCAAAGGTTGGCAAAACTCACCTGAAATTCACTTCTGTCAAACTGTCAGTCGCAACCAATGTCCATTGCACAGAGATGAAGGTTACGCAAGCGAAGAGGAGAGGAGGATGGAGAATTGAAATGAATAATGCAGCCGGGTCAATCAATCACTGATGAAGGTGAGAGAATTATATACTCGGGCTGCGTCCACTTGCTGATGCCAGCACTGCTCGATAATTCTTCCACACGAGAGATGAGTCACGTCAGGAAATTGTCGGCGCGTATATGGCTCCTTCACTTCGTCGCTAGAAATCTCTTCATAAGGATAGCTGTTGGTCATAATGAAATAGATCAATGAGCCGAGACTGAAAATATCATCCTCAAAACGGGGAGGAACATCCCAGTTGCAATCTGGATGTCGAAATCGAGTTGCTGAATAGGCAGATGGCTCTGAACCAGATAGCGAAGCACCAGCAAAGTCAGAGATCTTCAGGTCAAGGTTAGAATCCAACAAGAAGTTCCTTGGCGAGACATCACAGTGAACAACATCAATAGAATGAAGGACTTGAAGTCCTTCAGCTGCTTGCTTGGCCCATCTGAGACGGAGCTCAGATGTTATTGCGTGATGATTTTCTCTAATATAGTCTCAAAGATTTCCATTGTCCATGTATTTGATCGTCAGACAACAGGTATCAGGTTCCCATTTGATAAACTTGGGCATGCGTGGATGTTCGCCGATCCTCTGATATATTTCAGCATCTAAGCGCATATTTCGACGGCAATCCTCCTCTTCTCTTGGAAAGAAAGGGTTTGGAGTCGGTGTCTTCACCACTTCAGCTGATGGCAACCGCTCGAGGATTGCCGTTCCTCCTCGAGTCAAGAAATCGCCTTTCGCAACATATATGATTTCCCCCGGCCCTGGCTGTGTGGGAGCTCAATGTTTGGTCCGACTTGAACATGTCGGTATGTAATACACGTGGGATATTCCGGGGGCTTAATTGGCTTGCCGGGCTGATCTATCTCAGGTGCCTATAAATGAATAGCGAGAAATGTAGCAAAAGGGAAAAAAAAAACCTGGTTCAATTCTCACATTATGTGGTGATGGCGTACGCTGCTCAACATCACCCTCGAGTGATTGCTTGGCTCGGCCATCAAAAGAGAAGTAGCCTGATGAATCCACGGAAAAAGCGCGAAATGATATGCCAGAACGGAGAAAATAGGGTTCTACGAAGAAGATAGATGAGCGACATCATGATTGGAATAGGGGAAAGTCAAGGGAAGGGAGAGTTAAAATCCCCTGTCACCCGCGCTCAGAGTCGATGTCTGTCATGAGGAATGGGCTAACGTGGAGAAGTCGTTGTACAGGGAGTTTGACCAGAAACACATCACCAGCTGATAGTTTCCTAACACCTGTCAAACAGACTGGGCGACATAAGAAAAACCTAGGTTGTCTGCCCCCTATCTGGATGATAGCTGGCCAGGAAGCGGTTACATCACGTGGTCACGCATGGGCAGTCTGCTTTCGAGCAATGCCATTGGCTCAATTAGACAGCAGGTTGTGCCCCAGTCTCGTAGCTTGTCAACCCTACATGGGCGTGACATATGAATGTAGTGATGTGGGATGAGAAGCAAGAGAGCAAGAGTCAGAATCAAGTCGAAGATGATGCATTTTATCTAGGTCCAGTAGATATTCTGAATCCGGGAAGTAACTTGCAAGAGGGTGCGCAGAGCGATTAAACCAAAATATCTAGGTATATATAAAGGAAGCAAGAAATGACGATAATGACAACAATCTTGATTTATAATCTCGAATCTAATCAAAGAACAATCATACTCCGTAATATATTAAGAACCAAAAGACAAAAACAAAGAAAATAAAGAAAATAAAGAAAAAAGAACGGGTGTCACTACACATTGCATCTACTACATTGCATCTACTATATGTAACCGGATCATGCAGTACCACCGACGCTGCGGTTTCTAAACACAAAAGTAACTACGAAGTAACTACTGTACTAGTACCTACCAATAATGATATATCTATACACACTGATATTGATGATGATGGTGACAGGTAATGGTTGCCCGATCCTGTTATATGTTATATATGGTTATAGCCGTGTATATGTATACATGTATACATGTACCTTTAAACATACAAGTAGCACGTCCCTTTTTTATATAAATACATAGCTATATTTGCTCAATGAATTAAGTACTAACAGCTAACAGTATCAGTTACACTTTCAGTCAGTAGCTATCCGTCTTTTTATCCAAATGGAAAGAGATTAGTAACCTCAACAGATTGTAGCTGCTTGATGCTGTAGCTCAACAATATTATGAGGCGTTTCTGGTACCCAATTTGTTAATATAGTGCCGGCACGGCTCCCAGGTGGTAGGGGTCTTGAGCTGTATATTGAGCAGTTGAAGGACCCGATCTCGTTAAAATGGCACTAGTCCGGTTGCTGCGAAGCCATTCTTGATATTTTCTGATTTATAGGCTTCCGTACGAGCTTTTGGGTATGCTTTAAGGAAGTCTAGCTTATTAATATGATTGATTCCGAGTGCCATATTATTTTCTATAAGGCGACCATATGAACGCTTGAGAACCGCAAAGCAGCTAACATCAAGAGGCTGCAGGAGATGAGACAAATGAGGAGGCATACAGACTGGTATAATATTATTCTGGGTGCAGATTCGATCAAATTGAGGCATTAGATGGCTCCCATGCCCATCGAGAACTAATAGTCGATATCTTCCCTTCGTACGAGCATTTATATGTGGAATGAAGTGATTTTGAAGCAATGATATGCCAATCTCGTCCGTAGTCCACCCATTAGGACTTTTATCGATTCTCCAGTCATGTGGTAAGCCTGTCTTATACCAGGCCTGTTAATGCACCTTCCCTTTGAAAATGATATATAGTGGTAGTACCCATCCTGCCGAATTGACTGATTTAATAACTGTGACCCATTCCTTATTCCCAGGCTGTAGAAGAGGCGGACGACCAGATGTTTCTGCTCCAGTGACTACTTTTGTAGTAGTAATCAGGCCTATTATATGTTGAGGTTATGGCTATAAGCATGTAGGGGAGAAGCTTCCACAAGCATCACTATAGAAGACAATATAATGATATGAAGGAGACTTTATTCCTGATTCTAATCAGATGTGGGCAACCTTGCGTATAAGCCTTATTGTAAGAAGCGGGGTATCGGCTTCCAATATGATGTATCACATCAGCTTTTATGACTACCGAATCCAGTTAGACCGGTATGTCATGAATTCCAACAGTATCCAACTACTACATGTAGTACTGTCGTGCCCTAGTATACAGCAATTATTCCCCCCCCCCCCCCCCTTCCCCACCTATAGTGCCCCCTCGTTGCTTTCCTCAGAACAATGTTTTTTGCTTTGTACGCTCGTTCAACAATGCCTTCACCTTCACTCTTTTGTTGCCGTATTCTTGGACTCTGGCTTCTGGCCAGCGTCTTTCCGCTCCTTGTCGCTTCCAAACATCACGACCCATGGGGTCATTTTGTGCACCGCGACCTGCACCACGGTGCTGCATCGCATGTCCGCAGAAATGCATCTTCTCCTGCCAGTTCAAACACGACGGCTCACTCGCTTCTTCTTTCCAATACGACGTCGGGGCCTACCCAGTTATTCAATATCTCGGATCTGACTATGTTCTCAAGTGACTGTGCCAATGCGCTGGCCGGATCGCTCAACTACTCTGCTGCCATTGGGTATTCGAGCTCTCTCTATGTCTGGGGTGGGCTGACGATGAACGATATAACGGCGCTGTGTACCACGGCCTGCTCCGACTCGATTTCCAGTTTCCGTGCCAATGTCCTGGAGGCCTGTGTCAATGATGTGTATACCGATGAACCCGCAAATGCGACAGCCTATGTGTATGGCATCGGGACCATGAATGATATCTACAATGTCGAAGGCGTTTCAGTCAAGCCCATTGCCTTGGTGGATTACTACTTCCTCAGCTACAACTTGACTTGCACGCAGGATGAGTACGTCCATTGACCTAACTAATTCCTGTGACAGCGCTGACAGCAATCAAGTTCGAATCCACCAAACTTCTGCTACGCCCTGACTGGAAATAACACGACGAATGGCACCGCTGTTGATCCGTGTGGCAACGGCGGTCTCGGGGCAATGCGAGCTCAGCTGGAGGATCCACGAATGTACGATGACGACCTCGCCAGCCAATATTCCGCCTCGGTCTTATGGTGCGGCGTAACGGCTCCTCCTCTGACAACACCAACCCCCCGTGTTCCTTGATGACCCGAAGTGAGCATTCCCCAACCCCTTTGGCGACACTTTCGAATTGGGTAACTGACCCGTGTCGAATAATCAGCACCGTCGTTGCGAATTACTCGGCAACCCCTACTTGCACGGGATCTTACGTCCCAGTCCCCACCGGCAGCACCTGCGACGAGTTTGCAGAGGCAAACTCCATCGCGACCGATCAGCTTCTGATGCTGAACGGCCTGGTCGGAGGCTGTGCCAACTAGCCTGGCAACCTCACCAGTCTTTGCGTCCAAGGCACCTGCGAACCCTACATTGTCCAGCAGAATGACACCTGCCTCAGCGTTGCCTCGGCACACAATATCACCCTCACTCAGCTGCTTTCTTGGAACCCGACCATTGATCCCATCTGTGCCAACTGCAACACCAAGATCGGACATGTTATCTGTGTCAGCAACCCAGTTGGGTACATCCAACCCAACATCACCGACATTGGATCAACCACGCCAACAACCGCAGTGCCCGTCCCGACGAATGCCATGAATGGATCCAACACGTACTGCGCCGAGTGGTACAATGTCAGCCCTGGAGATTTTGAGTAGCCGATTTCCCCCTTTAAGATTTTCCCCTTTATGACTGACGATCTCTGACTTTTTGTTCTAGACTGTGCCATGATCACCGTCAAGTACGGCATCACATTGAACGGCTTTTATTTCCTCAACCCGGAAATCAACTCCAACTGTACCAATCTTTGAGCCAGTAAGTTATCCGCTTGATCTACTCTCTCGCTGTAGATCTGTCTTTAACTCCTCTCCCTCGCAGATCAATCCTTTTGCGTTAAGCCCGTTGGAGACATTTCCACTTATCCGGGTTACCTGGGAACGGCCACGCCTACGATCTCCATCGCCTATGTGACTGACACCAGCATCATCTGGAGTAACCTTCCCACGGCGACGGCTCCGGTCTACCCGAACGTCACCACGACAGCAACGCCATATCCGCTTGCGAATGGCTCCCTGACAAATTGCTTCGAGATGTTCGACAACACGTATGGAAACATCACTTGCTATGAGGCCGCGTCGCTGTTTGGAGTCAACGTGCTCGACTTTGTGCGCTGGAACCCCAGCGTCCTGAATGGGCAGAATTATACCGTCGATGGCTGTACCCTGCAGAATCAGACGCAGTACTGCGGTTCCTTCTATAACCAAAGCCGTCAGTGATTCTATCAAAAATTGCCCACAAGAAAAAGAAAGCTCGTGCTAAATTTTCTACTATATATATAGTGGTGCCTTCCAGTACACTCGTCTATCCCCCTATTCCGACGGATATCACTGCCAATGCGACGACCCAGTGTCTGGACTGGTATCAAACCGAAAAGGGTGAGTTCTGTTTGTTTTCATGTGTTGTACCACAGTCTGGCCATTGTTAACGCCTCGTATAGGGGACACCTGCGACTACATCTGTCAGGCATTTGATATCCCGCTTTCTTCTTTTAGTACTGTGTGGCTGGACTCGGCTGGCAAGACGTCTCTTACAACATGACAACCACCTCTACGGCGACAGGGACCGTACCACCCATCACCACCACTACAGGAGGAGCACCGGCCCCCACCCAGTCCGGCGTCGTCGCCAACTGCCAGAAGTGGTACGTCGCCCAGAGCGGAGATACCTGTTACGGCATTGCCACGTCTTACAACATCACGCTGGACCAATTCTACGCCTGGAACCCGGCTGTTGGTGGTGAGTTCACACCTCTTACACTTTACCCTTTTTACCCTCTTGAACGAAGGGTCCTTTGGAATATTAATATATGTCATGTCTAGGTGACTGTTCCAGCCTCCAAGCGGGCGATGCATACTGTGTTGAAGCCCCGACAACCATCACAACCACCACCGCCAGCGCCACAACCTCCGCCACCACCACGAGCGTCACCCCTCCGGCACCAACGCAGTCGGGTATTCCAAGCAACTGTGACGCGTATGCTGTTGCCCAGTCCAGAGATGGGTGCCAGATTTTTGCAGACCGCAACAATATAACGCTGGCTGAGCTTTGTAAGTCTGTCTGACACTTTGGCTTGAGCAGGAACTAACCAGCATGACAACCCATAGACGAGTGGAATCCGGTGCTCAACAATGACTGCAAAAAGTAAGTGTACTCACTTATTTATTCATACAGCCAAGAACGTGACTAATTTTCGTTTCTTTCTGTTAGCTTCTGGGCCAACGAAGCGTACTGTGTCGGTGTATCCTCTTAGTCGAGGTGAATACGTAGGGTCCAGTCTGCGTGTCTGCATGTCTGCGTGTGTGTGAGGTGGTCAGGTCGATGAGATCTAAGCCTGCTTGTATTTACTCGGGACAACACTACACTACACTACACTACACTACACTATAGGGCTATGTCAACCTCCCCTCCCTGGGCATGTATGTACATAGGTATGTATGTATGTAGTCGTTGGTAAAAGTAAACTTCTCATACGTATGTATGGACATGTATGTGCATACTTCAAAGTTGAACAATAAAAAAGAAAAGATATAGTACATGTACATAAGAATAACCGCTAAACTTCAAGCATATGAACCGGTATAAGGAACGCTCAAGTCCTGCAGCTTTACTTCTAGGTTGGACTCTGACCCCGTATGCTGCCGGGCAGCGTCTCTCCAGACCTCTAAGACCCTCTCCTCCGGCTGAAACAAGATCATATCAGCCCAGGTCGCCGTCGCAGTTTTCCCCTTCACTTCGTACTGAAACCAATGGCGGCCTTGACCAGACGAAGTCTCCAGATGCATATACTTGAGCTTGGGCATCCGCTGCGCCGCCCGGCCCGCAGACACGTAGAACTCGTTGATCAACTCGGACGATACTTTTGTTCGAGAACTCTGCGGAAACCGATCCTCCAGTGGCGGCCGCAGGTGCTCCTGCATGCGCGAATATTGATCTTCAAGGTCGGAATCCCCGCCGCCATCAGCATCTTCTCCCTCCTCTGCGGGATTACGCTCAAAGTACCATCCCCCAGACGGAGTGGTGATTGTGTATTGCAGGCGGAAAGAGGTTAGCTTTGGCCAGGAGGGAAGCTGCGTGTCATCTTTTGGGGCAATGGGCCAGAAGAGCTCTTTCCCCACAACGATATCCTCCAGGTGGATCGCTGTTAGCTGCTGAGAAAAGTCCCGCAGCCGCGAACTCAGGGGGTCCTCTGCATTCCCGTCCACGAGATCCGCGGGAGAACGTGTCTGATTAGCTGGAGGCTCATTGTAGAAGACGAGATAAAAGTCTTCCACCGAGGAAGGCCAGAAATTAAAGTAGCAGACGAATTCTGCGTAATGCTTGTCAGCAAAGTTTCCTTGCACCACTGCTGGGTTTTGAGGGGGGTGGGGTTACCATTGCGATTCCGTTTCCTCAAAGCTAGATCTCGCTTTTCATTATCGAGCAGAACAAGACTTGCATTCTGCAATCGAGGAAGCTTCGACGCAATAATGGCGCACGAGGCCGGGGAGATTAGCCGCTGAAACCGGTACCCCGCGTCGACCGACAGTGTTGTGACGGCCCCTACGGCTGGAAGACCATCCAGACTCTCCTCCGAGAACTGCAGATAACACTTCTCGAACCTCCGTTCCAGGAGGTCCTTCGCCCGGTTCTTACGGGCCTCTTTCATACGTCGCTGGCCCTCCTTCCCGGGGACAGCGTCGCTGGGGGACTGCGCCTTGATCGAGAGATGGATGCCCGTCTGATCTTCAGGCCAGGACTGCAGAATCTTAAAGAGCGACTGGATAGTCCGTGTGAAAATCTCATTGTTCCGCCGGTGTTCCTCGGCGGTCTCGAACTTGGCGCGCGCCTCGACATCATACGACTCCAGCTGCACGAGCAGATTGACGTTGCGGACGTACGACCGGCGTCGCGCGTTCTGCGCCACAATCTGCTCGAACTCTGTCAGTCGCTGGGGCGTCGTCAGATGCAAGGTCGAGAAGGTGTGCCGCTCAACGATCATCTGCCAGTCCCGGCTCACGGTGGCATACTGGGCCACACGTGCCGGCTCCTGAATTTTATACGGGTTGAAGTTATCAGGGATGGTAAGATAGGAAATCACGCGCGCAGTGAGCTCCGGTGGGAGCGGATATCCCGCCATGATGGATTATTTCTCTTATCACTGTCAGTTATTCTTCTCCTGGCAGTTTCAATTGGGGTTACATCCTGAAAGGGGTTCGTTCCCTTCCAGAACATGCTCCAAGTACAGCGTGATATATGACCATTGCCTCACGTGATCAACTCCCTGCCCTAGCGGATGTTAATTTTCCTGCCTTTGGTAGCCGATAACTGCACAGTCTAGATTTGCTTCCGCTTCTCCACTTTTTTCCACGACGAAAGAGAGCAAGCAAGCACTAAAAAAATTCTCGCAGCCCTGTACGGAGTAAAGTTTAAATTTCCTAAAATGTTTGCAAAGCTTATTTGTTATTCTCGCGACGAAGCGAAGCTCCTATATTATTGTTTTACTGGAGCCCCCGTATTTTTATAAACAAGAGAAAAAAGTATATTAAGATTTAATTGCTTCTTACTAATTAAGGGCTGAAGGTTAACTAAGAATGTGTTAGGAGGAAAATCAACGAGAAACTCGGAATATATTATATATATATTGTTGGAGCCGCCGGCCTGGACATGCTGTAATTCGCCGAAAGCTAATGTCATTGTATTGCTTTTTGGTGGAGTTGCACCATATATAAGAAAGTATTGAGTGAGAAAAAAAAAAGGAAGGAAAGGAAATAAAGAAATTCTCAACGTCCTCCCTTCTCTCTTTCCAACCAAAAAAAAATAATCAAGCATTTATATAATAATTTTTATACATGTTTATGTGTACCACCTTTATGTGTGTTTTCAGATAGTCTTTTTCTGTCTGTCACGTCTTTTTGTTTTTGTTTTTCTATTTAACGAAGTAACACTCCAAGTAAAATAAAAGGGAGAGGCATCTGACAAATCAGACACTTGAATGTCGTTTGAAATACGGCCCCAAGGGCAAAGAGATCGACCAGAATGCAACTGTTGTGATTTCATGGGCTAAAATTTTGCGGGATCAGGAGCTATGGTATCTATATATCTTCCCCTAATGAAGAGAACTAGCTAAAGCAAGCACACAGTGGGCATGAAAACTATTTCGTGCAAATGGACGAAAATGAATTCAAGCCTGTTGAACAGCAGGCTGTTACTCCTCCTCCTGAGACATTGAGGCCTTTAATTATAAAGGCAATCAGGAAAAAGCCAGAAATTGGTGCTCTTTGGTTAGCGCGAGACAAAGATTGTGCCTTGTAAGTATCATCTGTAGCTGTTGGTTCAATATAATCGAGCTGATTATCCAGCACATTTGTATTATACGCCGGCACAACCACAGAAGGACTTCCTGAAGCTCGAACCTTTGATCAATGGGAGAGGGTTTTCGATAAAGATAACGATAAGGAGATAGTTATCAAAAAATCTTTGTGCCAGGCTAAAGATAAGGCTTAGAAAGGCTGGTCCCCTGAGGGGAGGGATGCAAGAACATGTTGCATCTAGGCAAAAGCGGAAAGGTTTGGCAAAAATCCTGGAATGGAAATTACTACGTACTCCGCCACCCAGAAATGGCACTCCACCACCGAGAAATGGCACTCAATCACCCAGAAATGGTACTCCACCACCCAGCAGCGGTACTCAACGCGAGCTCTAGACTATCAAAATGGGAGACTTATCAATGCTAGATCACCACGATATTCCTCTTATTGTTAGATACAGGATAGGGCTCTGAGGACCTGACACCTTGTTTTTTATACCCTCTGATTTGAAGTCCCATTTGAGTTGCGGAAGCATGAATTGGATTCATGCTAGCACCACTCCCTTGGCAACATTGTCCATTTGTGATCATGTGGCTATAGCAAGGCCTACGACACAGCCTGTGGAACTGCAAAGGAGCAAAGAAAGTGCAAGTCCACTATTATCTCAGTCTCCTTACACCATAGACTAATCAGGCATAAGACAGAAATTCCGCCACCGCTATCCTTAATCGGGAGCGATGCCCATCTATGCTGATGTCAGCAGACAAAGAGGTAACGTATTTCCCGGCTGTTTCGATCACCCGGTTGCTCCGATCACTAGAATACCCATACAAAATGCGTTTTTTTGTACGCTCATACCACAATGTCTATATTATATCCTGGCCTTTAATTTTAAAATCAGATTATATATAGGTATAACTACTTGTAAGAGAAATATAAGGTTAATATTATATATATTGCTTTTTAGATACCTATTTTTTAATTTTACATAAAAATTACACTGTATTTTATATTATTCCAGTAAATAATAGAGTAGACTGTGACGGATCCAATTCCAGGCAATAGAGCAGTTTCTTATCACTAGGAGCGATCTAAATTACAAGAGACTAGGCTGGGAGGAGAGGAGAAGAAGGAAGGGAGCCAGGTCGCTAGCGAGGCGATTTATGCAAGTATTCTGCCGTACCTATACCTCACCGCTTTTCTCACCGCTCACGTGACGACAGGCAAGTTGAATCGTCACATAGACTACTTCTGATTAATGCTGTATGCTGTAAATACTTTATAATTATAGTATATAAAATATCTCTTTAATATCTTTAAAGCTTGTTGAGATATGAGCGTACAAAAAAACGCATTTTGTATGGGTATTCTAGTGATCGGAGCAACCGGGTGATCGAAACAGCCGGGAAATACGTTAACTAGTTAACTATTAACTAACTAGTTAGTTAGTTAGGCGGTAGGCCGCCTATGTCACGTGGAATGGTTGAGGGAACTAAGTTCACTAGCGATCTTTCGTCTATGGAGTATGAGGTAAGCTGAGTACCTAGAGCTAGCCATCACGTGTGCCTAGTTCTTTTCCACTGAATGCGATATCACGATGGAAGCAAACTTTTTTTCCGGCGCCCATATCACAGTCATGTGATTAAGACTCCTGTAGGCCAGAAATGCCAGGAACGCATTATAGTGGGATCGAAGTTCCTGCGCCAATTCTAGCAGGCGATCGATTCAAATTCAGGCTCAAAGCACAGAAAATATAGATGGAGATGCCTCGACATCTTTCCACGTTTCGGCTACGGAGTTATGACTCTGCGAGACAGCACATTATTCCCGGTTTAGAACACTGGCTGTTAGAGCGCGCATTTTCACGGCGTTGCTGAAAATACACCATATGTGGAATGTCGCCTTCCAGAAAAAGAGCAGAATGAACATCTCAATCCAGTGTTTTCCTTGATCTATGAGGGAGTAAGTAAGACCCTTATTCATACAAGATCTCTGTGCTTATCCTTTGTAGCCTGCACAGGTTGTTTTGTCGAGAATTTCTGGACGTCGTTCCGTCCATGCAGATTTGCCATTCTACCTCGTGCCCCTCTTCCTATACGAGCCGTCGACCGTTGATGATATCCCTCTCGAGTTGGGAAAGGGTATTTATATCGATCTAAGGGTGCTGTTTGTGGGAAAGGCGGTTATGTCGACTATCATACCAACACGCTTCATAGCTCACTTTGATCCTCCTGCTATTCTCCCATGTGCCGACGAGGATGGTAGCTATAGGAAGATCCGGACAGTCCCCCATCTTGGTTGATTTGAGGCACTTGGAATTGGAGCCACCCCTGGTGTGAAAGGTCTGTCTCGGAAAACGGAGTTGTCGGATCACTTGCTTCCAGAAGATCAGTTCCATCCATTGTCTGGCTAGCTTCGCCGGCCTGCTGGAAATTGACCCATCCATGATTTGAGAAATTTATATCCGAAAGCATGCTGTCGGGATCACTTGCCCCTGGAGCATCACTTGCGACCAGTGGTAATAATGGGCATGGTGTTGTATGACTAGTACCCTGAAATATTGCTGTATTTTCCATCGGTCGCTGTCCCTGGGGGCAACATGCTTCGGCGGCGAGAGATGTTCGCATCCCCTTTCCTCATTGTTTAGCAACTTCCAATCTAGGATTCTAGGCACTAGCACTCACAGCTTGGATTTTCATGCAGCACAGAATTGACCGGATGGACAGGAACGCCTAACGGATCCCTTTGGAGAGGTGTTCTCTCCACAGGCGTCTGTCTGGAGGGGTGCGATGCGAAGACTGGTTGCATTGCTGCGTTGACCTTTGTGACACGCTCCAACGGCTTCGCGTCTTCCCCTTTTTTTTTTTTGAGGTGTCTTGTCGTAATTGATCTCAACAGCATACTCCAATGGTGTTATGCTCTTTCGCTTTTTTCGAGGTAACGAAATGATACCTGTCTCCTGACGGTATGGGAAGAAATTCCGGGGTGAGCAGCACCATGGAGCAGGAAGGACTTTGACTTGAACATCAGGTCTAAGACGCATGGTTTCTTTCACAATATTCTGGTAGTTTTCATTAGTTACTCCGCAGGTATGTACTGTCCCAGCACTGCGGAGACCTAACACGTTGCCAGGAAGTATTGGACCCGACAGACAGATGGAGACTGGCGGCCTCGTGTCGTACGCCTGTACGAACCGTCCGAAGTAATTACAGACTCGGAGTCTGAGTAACGAAGGCAGCATCAGTTGCACGGTGATACGCGGGACGCATCAGGCAGCGGCGAGGCCAAGCCGCGGCACTATCACCTCCCGGGAAACAGCTTCACGGCTGGCCATTCGCTCAGCCACTGCCCAGCCTGCGCCTTTTACGAGTGCCTTCGTTGCACTGTCCGCCAGCTCTCCCTTCAAAAGAACATCTCCCCCCGTTCAGTGCTCTTCCTGCCTCTGGCCGTCTTTGCTGCGCTTCTGCGTCTGTGTTCTTTGTCCAGAGCAGCCTGTCTGTTCGCCAGCGCCTCTGCCATTCCACGCCCTGTGTTTGGCGGCCACTCCCGCGACTGCATACGTCACCACCCATATCGCTTCTCCAAGCGACTACCATCATGGGCATCCTTCTACGGCGCGAGACCTGGTCAGTCCATCCGATCCAGCCGGATTTTTGGTAGATTATTGTTACTGACATCTGGAATAGCTACGTCGATGACTGGGGGATCGAGCGGTGTGAGACGTCCTGGTCTAGCTGGGGCCGATGGGTCGCCTTTGCTGTGATTGTCGCCATTTCTTTCATCATCTTCTTCCTCTTCGCGTATGTCTCCTTTTGCTTCTGGTTCCATACTTGAGCGACCGGAAAGCTGACTTGATGGTGTCGATAGATGGCTCTCCGCCCGTGCTCGCCGCCGACGAGGCCTGAATCCTTACCCGGGTACCTCCTGGATGGCACCTCCGCCGTACAACTCACATGACTATTCCAACCCTCCGCCGCAATACTCGCCCAATCCTCATCAGGGCTACTACGCTCCCAACCAGGGCCAGGGATACTTTGGGGGTCAGCAGACGGGGATTGAGTTGCAACAGCCACCGAATGCCTACCATGCCGGAGACCAGGTCTACCCGCCGCCTCCAGGCCCTCCTCCCTCGAAGACTTTTGCGAAATAAGGAAAGGAAAGCCTTGACATAGTGGGAGGCGTACGAATACCCTACGAATGATGATGAAACCGATGAAACCACCATTCCTGTAATTATTTGCTAAAACGTGCTTGCTGTCATTTCGGGATACGGAGGGCTGTTATCCCTCTTTGCTGCTTTTGCTTGTTGATATTGCTTGTTGATATTGCTTTGGTTCTGGTAAAAATTGGGGGAAGCTGGCGTCTTGCGTTTCGGTCTTTGCAGATATCCTGTTGCTCTCGGGTGTTTCTTACTGTGTCACGTGTCTATGATATGACTGTACAGTCTTGCTATCAAGTAATTTAGCCTGCATTTAATGGCTACCAAGTATTCTCTAATTACGGGAGAGCTTAGAGGCTGTAGCTACGAACCCATCCTTGGATCTATCAACCTAGTTGCGTGGAGAACGGGGATCGAGCGCACAATCGGGGCCTTAGCCGACGATCTCAATAAGGCGGGAAAAACTGCGGGTGACAGCAGAGTAATATTAATGACTCAGGAACAAACCATCAAATGACTTGATTGAGGTCGACTTACAGCTACCCAGGCACAGGAGGTGTTCAGGAAAATGAAAAGCAAGCAGCAGTTGCGGCGAGAAAGAGTTACTCGTATGATTGATGACGACGAACGCTGGGCCGGCGGAGGAGCGGTGGCTGGCCGTGCCGCTCTTTCCCCAGTCGGGCAGTTGGACAGCGGCTCAGCCCCTCCTTCCTTTGCTCGCGCCTGCCGGCAGTCAGGAGGAGACTCGCGCCTTCTTTATTTATTAATCGCATCGCCTGCCCTGCTGGTCGAAGGTTGGACGGCTCTCGTTTCTCTCTTGTCCCTCTTTCAGGTTTTTCTGCATCGTCACTCGTTTCTCTCGTCAGCTGTTGCATAGCGCACGATACGATTAATTCACATCCTTGATAGTCTTATCGCGACCGTGCCAGACATCTCTCAAGGGGGGCTGTGCTTTTCTCACTGGGGATTCTCGTGTCACTCGTTCGCCCTCTGGAACAGCTGCGCCTGCTGTATCTTCGCTCTCTCTGCCTTTTAATTAAGCTGTGTCGTCTGTCTGGTCTGGTTCCTGAGCCAGCCTCGTGGATCGCTCCACAACTAGTCTATCGATCCTTCGACCACGCGCCAACTGTGGTTCTTCGCTCGTTTGCAGTCTGCATCCGGATGCGGCCGTATAAGCCACGCTCTCTGTCCTGCTTCGATAGGCGCCCTGCACCCACCAGTCTCTCCGTGCCAGAAACGTGATTCGCCCATTTACCTGTTGCCTGTCAGGAACTCCACCTTCTAGGTATACTATACGAAAGGCTGTATCTCGCCAGGCTAGAAAATCAAAGGAATATTCCACGCGACGGCGCTGGGCTCAATTCCTGCAGGGAAATAATTCGCAAGCTGCAGTCTTGCGATATTTCGCTACCATGCGTCCCGTGGATGCCATGCTGCTGTCGGCGCGTGATGCCGTAAGCGACATTAAATCCGCCCCCTCGACGTTTTCGAGTTGGCATAATTGCATGCAAAAGGCCTACTGCAAGTACGTTTCTCGCGCTCTGCCGTCAGCCAGCGGGCTTTGATCGTGAAATTGACTGTCAACTCTTTCTAGATGGCCAGCGATCGTTGGTATCATCGTCGGTTCCCTGATTCTTATCAGTATCGTCGGCTGCATCATCAGCTGTGTCTGCTGTGGTGTCCAATGCTGTAGAGGATGTTGCGGTTGCTTCTACGACTGTTGTGAATGCTGTTGTGGATCTTCTCGCCATGGGGGAAGATCCAAGTACGCTGATCCTCCCGCTCCGTACTATCATCAACCCCCGCCGCCTCCTGCCAACATGAACTATGGGTATCAGCAGTCGCCTGCACCGCCTGCGTATAGAGGGCCTCGCACGGCACAGTTTGATCATCCGTCATCTAAGGTCAATGACGATGCGCTGCCGGCGATGCCAACGTGGGCTGACGCGCCAACAAGAAGGGTTAAGGATACGAGTCCCGTCTCCGAGGATGTCGAGATGAATCGGTTGGATGCGCCGACTCATGCAGGCACAGGCACGATTCCCACGACAGGGAGAGTGTCCAGAGGGGGGTATACTGAGCTTCCTAGCTCCGCTGCCAGTCCGCCGCCCGTCCAGGAGGGTTACCGCGGAGCTGAGCCGTCGCATTTTCCCAAGCCTCCTAGTCCTCAAGCAGCAGGCTATGGTCCTCGCGCCGCTCCGGCGCCCTACCGTGGGTTTGAGAATCCGGGGCCGGCTCCGGCCAGTCGAGCGCCTAACTTCCACACTCCCAGGCCATACGATGGGCTTGCTCCGTCGTCGCCTACTGCACGGCAACCTCCTTATCCGTCGTATGACCAGCCACAGCAGCCACAGCAGACTCAGCAGCCTTACAACGCATTGTCACCAAGCATTGCTGCCCCGAGGATTCCTTCCCCTCCAGCACAACAGCCTGCTTATGCGGCGTATGAGCCACAGCCGCAGCAACCGTACCGCGCAATGTCGCCGAGGATAGCTTCTCCGAGGATCCCTTCCCCGGCACCTCCGACGCAACCTGCTCATGAACAGCAGCCACAGCAATCTTACCAGGCATACTCACCGGGTGTTCATTCCACTTCCCCGCCTCCTACGGAGGTCGCTCAGGAGACGAATGACCGGCCCCCGAGTCTGCTGCAGGCGGGACGAAAGCCTGTGCCGAACTCGTGGAGAAGCGTTTAGCCATGCTTGCGATCTTTCTATATCATCGTTTGTATGAGTGATTCTACGGTTCCATGAACGCCTGCGGAGTCGGGTGACTTAGGAGTAAATATCTGACGTTCACAGCTACGTGTTTGATCTTGATATGGTAATTCAGGCTTCCAGACGATGATTTCGACTTGTTGTATTTGTTTCGATGGAATGTCCGGAATCTGATTATTTTCGTTGATTTCTTTCGAAGGACTTTGTTCAACAGGTTTGTATGTTGGCGTTCGGAGGTGCAGGTCTCACCAGTGATTGCGCCGGTCCAGTCGCAATTTTGGGAGTAAAGCGCCGTTTGACCTTCTTCATGTACATATTGAGTTTGAGACGAACAAGCGATTATGAAATCCCTCTCCAGACTTGGCCTGATCCATCATAATAAAGTGGAATGTATCATTTGGGCGTCTCTGAAATTCAAGGACCGTCTTCTCTGCCCTGACACTCCTGTCGTTGACGCTAACCCGAACAGGCATATCGACACAAGAAGCGTCGCAGAAGCGTGAGAACTCCTGAACCCGCGACACTCAGCTCGAGATCAAACAACCAATAGTCTTGTCTATTATTATAGCTGTTCGTTCACTGGTCTCCTGAACCGAGACGACAGGAGGAACACCATAAAACAGCCTGTCTGCTTCATCTTACCGCTGGAGCTGTCACTTACGGAGTATACGGAGTTCTCTGTACAGAGTACTGTACGATCAGTTCTCGCCAGCTTTGTCTGACGCCAAGCAATGACTATGCCTGACAGGACTCCTGATGGGAAATTGGGAAATTTCGGTCTGGATTGGTGGGAAGTCTTTCTCGACCGCTTTGCATCTGTGCCTGGCCATCTCATTTCTATGGCTGGATCTGCGTCAGGTAGATTGATTGCTCCAGAGAGAGATCTAGACTAGATGCTAGATGCTCTAGACTAGCGTTTTTTTGGGCTGTCATGAGATGAGGGTTTCGGTATGTCGTTCCGTATTGCCCTTACTGTATGTAGATACAATGGTTCCTGCGATTGATTGATATATAAATCAACGTCAGACTCGTCTTTTTTCTTTCTTTCCTTTTTTACTTCCTGCCTTGTCAGCGATTGATCAGTCGTCCAAAGCATTTTCTTCTTGCGATTGTCTTTCTTTCTTTTCCGTTTACTTGCTAGCTCAAGTCGCTCTTTGATAGAGCAGTGTTACTATTATTGCCTTTCGATTTTTTCTTCCAACTGAGCCGGTCTCTTTTCTTCTATATACTTCGATTCGGTGTATATATTAGCTTGCATTTTGGACAACTTCTCCTATCTGTCCAGACGAGAACGCATATCAACACGGCAACATGAAGGCGGCACTCTTCCAGCTCACTTGCCTTGCCGTCCTGGCCACTGCTATACCACTCCCTGGCACTGGCGATCTCGACCTCGTGGCCCGCGAAGTCCCGCAGGAGCACTCTCATCAGAAGATTCTAACGGCGGTTGCAAAGTCGTTGAACCTGAACAACCCTGCTAAGATTGTGGATCCTGTATTTGCTCTTCTGGGCAATGCAGCAGCAGCAGCCGGCGCAGGCTCAATCACCGACCCAGACTGCCTCCAACAAGCCGTCGCCGACCAAGCCTTCACCAACGCCAAAGCACAAGGCGACATCGAGGGCATGACGGCAGCGCTGATCTTCCGCACGCTGGAGCGCAACACGGGCGCGGTGGGCAACAAGAGCGCGCCCTGCACGAGCCTGCAGGCCGTCAACCCGGAGATCGCGGCGCTGCAGCAGCATCAGGACCCTGCGTCGGAGGGCGCGGCCGCCCTCAACAAGCAGATTGCGCTCGATCTGGCGGTGCAGATCGCTAAGATTGGCGGGAACCCGCAGGATGCGATTCAGAGTGGAACGTTTGCGCCGGGGCAGATTGGCGATCCGACTGCTAGGGGGAATTCATGTGAGTATACACTTCCTAATAGGTGATATGTTCAGATGCTGATGTTTGGCTAGGTGACGACCCAAACGACGCAGAGGGATGCATCTTCACGCAGAACCTCCTCGTCCCGGACGTGACGGCCGATGAGATCAATGCGGCTGTTGCGTCGGCTGGTATAGCTGTCAGTGCTGCTGCCACAGCAACAGCTACAGCGACAGCAGCTGCGACAGCAGCAACGACAACAGCATCAGCCTGTGCAGCCGCAAATCCGACAACCAGTCCCTCCTCCTCCTCCTCCTCCTCCTCAAACACTACGCCTACAACCAGCACTCTCGACCTAGGCACCTGCAACGGCAGTTCCCCCTTCATCGTCTTCGGCCCAGGCTTCGACGGACGCAACGAGGACTCGTTTGAGCCTGCCGACGAGACAACGTTCAACCACGGGTCGGCGCTGAACATCGGCGTCATCGCCGATTTCATCTGCCAGCGGCTGGTCAGTCCGTGCAATGCGCCGCAGAGCACGATCGATGCGTGTAATGCGGGGACGCAGGCGGCGACGGCGGCTGGGGTGGAGGGACAGGCGGCTGCTGATGCGTTTAATGCGAAGTTGGCTTGAGGAGAACAGACGGGAAGTGAATATTCATGGGAGGGGATGGTTGTTGTGATTGTGAGGATGTCGTTGAAGTCGATGTGATGTTGATATCAGGATGAATAGCAGTATATTTACGCGAAGGAACGAGAGTCGAGGTATGTGTATCATGAGTTATTATTATATCTGAAGGTATATTTCATACGTGTATGTATCGCCAGATTAACTGCCAAAAAAAAATACCTCTCTCTACCAATACCACGAGTATTTTTCTTATGGATTTCTTCTGCATGTCTGTATGCATACCTACACGTACTAGTAGTACAGTACATACGTAAATCGATCAGTCAAGGCATACCACTGAGCTAGCTGAATAGAAAAAATAACTGCTCAATTCACAAGGCCATGAAATCTACAAGTAGCAAAAGAACGAAGTGGTGACATCCATGCATGAAGAGTGGACGTGCGGGGTGATACTATATTCGATTGCATTCCTTCAATTAAGCCGTGTATTTAGCCGGTCTACCTTATACAGAGTATCTCCATCCATGTAGAATAACATCCATCATCCATCCTGTCAGAACAACACAATCCAGTATAATTAGACAGACAAGCATACAATTCCAAACCACAAACTCTAATAATTTAATACAATCAACCACTCTCACTCACTCATCCCAATCCATTCCATCCCATTCCATACCTTCTACCAACACTCATGGCACCACCACCCCAAGACAACAACAACAACAACAACAACAACAACAACAACAACAACAACAACAACAACAACAGCGAAGAAGCTCTCATCCACAAAGCCCTAGAACAAGCCAAATCCCTCGCCTCCCACAGCTGGGAATACGGCACTGTGGCCGAGGCCCTGCTGGAGCTATACAATCCTGACATGACGGTTTTTGGGAAGAGTCCTTTCTCTGGATGTAGCTATGATAATAAGGGTGATGGTGATGGTGATGGTGCTGAGATCGAAGCGCTGGCGTATGCCAAGAGATATATTCGGACGGAGGGGGGTAGGCTTGTTGATGGGGAGGGTATGTATGTTCATACATATATTCATCTACTAGCAGTAGAAGATGAGGTATGTGAGCTAACAGGTACTATGTGCTATTGCAGGCTCATCCGGCGACCCCGCCTCTCTAGGCGTAACAGCTCTCTTTCTAGGCCAGCAGCAGCAAGAGCAGTCATATATGGATGCAGCACATCGTCAGGCGCAAACCCTCTTGTATCATACACCGCGCTTCGCCAACGGCGCTATCAGCCATCGCGAGAGCGTGGCCGAGCTCTGGAGCGATTCGGTCTACATGGTGCCGCCCTTCTTGGCGTATTACGGCCGGATGTGCGACAAGCCTGAGATTGTGGAAGAAGCGGTCCGTCAGTGTAAGCTGTATCGCGATGTCCTTGCTGACCCGCAGACGGGTTTGTGGAGACATGTTGTTGGGCCGGAACATGAAGATCTGGGTTTCTGGAGTACGGGGATCGGTTGGGCTGTTATGGGCATGACTCGGGTGCTGGCTACGGTGATGGCGCAGGACGATGACGATCACTCCATCGAGCAGCAGCAACAGCAGCAACAACAGCAGCAGCAGCAGGAACTGACAGACTCCATCAAATCGCTCCTCGACGGTGTAATCCTTACCGGACGAGGGACAAACGGCCTAGTCAGGAACTATATGACAGACCAGTCTTCACCCTTCAACTTCGAAGAAAACGCCGGAACAGCAGCCCTCGCATCAGCAATCTTCCGCCTTGCTGTTCTCTGTCCAGACATCTTCGGCTCTGATTCAAAATATATCAACTGGGCCCTCTCGGCGCGCGAGGCTGTACTCCGCCATATCGATCCCGACACGGGCATCGTCTTCCCTGTCGTGAACCCGATGGATCCGAAAGATCCGAGACCGGCGAGGGCGTCGGCTGAGGCGCAGTGTTTTGTTGTGTTGATGCATGCTGCGTATCGGGATTGGGTGGCTCATACGCAGAGGAGGAAGGTGTCTTAGAGACGAGATACGGATGTGTAGGAAGGAGAAGAGAGTATATTTTGGGATTGATATGCATGTACTGTATATGTAATGTATGTATTTTCTGGTCTGTGCAATGTTTATCGATGTGCAGTGTACTGTACACGTAGCGAGTAGCGAATGAGTGATCGATCAGGGAGGGGAGGGTATATTTTAGCCCTAACTAACCATCAATAAAATACATGTACAGTACATACATACATATGTACATGTACATACATGTGACAAAAATGCTCCATCCACTCTAGTTAGTACTACATGTACATACATTGCGTACTTACTCATTTGGAAAGAGTTGTGCATCATAGAATAGCATAGCCTAGAATAGCCTAGCATAGCTTAGCAGAGCATAGCATATAGCGTAGCATACAGCATATCGTACGTATGTACCTGTATGTAGGTAGCATTTGCTTTGCTTTGCTTTGCTGATTCTTTCTTTCTTTCTTTCTTTCTTTCTATCTTTCTCCATACAGACATGTATGTAGTCTCGCAATGCTAAATCTACCTAATAAGTAAGATGTAAGTAAGATGTAAGAATTAAGATGCGACATTTATCACCGGTTGATAGATAGATAGACTGACTGACTGATTGATTGATTGATAAATAAACTGATAGATAGATTGATAACCGGCAAACCCGGCGATCACGCATCATTTATGACGAAACGAAAAAAAAAAAACAAGAAAAAGGCAACGACAAGTGCGGGGAAAAACACGGACTATTACCGTAAGTGGAAATGGAGCATCAACGTCTTATCGTATCGGTAAAGGTACTATTACTACTAGTCTCGAGACTATATTAGGACTTATATACAGATTCTGGACTGGATTAGATTGATAATATGCGTCGCGTCCGTATACCTACATCTCATCAGATATACAAGCCGGGATTGCGGCGCGGAATGCTAGTCGTTGTATAACAGCCAGAGCTATATATCAATACCAAAAGACTCTACCGATCTGATCTCCAAAGTATACATGTACTTCATTCCCTTAAGTATGCTGACGAAGACTGCACCAGTCGTTCTGGCCTTGACGATGGCCTTTGGCCTCGCCTCCGCCACGACCAACCGAACCTGGGCGTCTGACATGTTCGACACTGCCATCGCCTGGAACGACGCCTTCTGGGACGACCGCGCCGGATACCTCATCGCTGCCGCTAGCAATCCCGGTCGATACGACACGCGCCACACGGCGTGGTATGCCGCCCAACTGCTGGCCCGAAACCAGGGAGACGACGTCGATCGAGCGATCCGCATCTTCGACAATGTTGTTGCAGGCCAGTACCTAGATCCGTCCAAGCAGTGGTATGGAGACTACCAGCAGGCGCCTTCCGAGCCGGAGCCTGGGTCAGCGGAGTATTTGGACGTTGAGCCGTATAGCACGGTATGATTGCGAGGAAGAAATAAAGAATACAGTGTATATCTCTGACAGCCGACAGTGGGACCCCAATATTCGTCTTTTTGTTGGCTGCGCCTGGATCGTCGCCCTCAACGACTACGCCCATCTCCTGCCAGCCGCCACCGTGGCCAAAGTCGAAGAGTCGCTGTTCATCGCTGCGCGCGGCGATCTCTACCGCGTGGGCGGAGTCGACGGCGACAATCTTTATCCTTGCTACTCGAATCCGTGGCTGATGCGGACCATCCTGCACGCCTGGGTGGGTGCACGCATGGGCGACCAGAACATCTCCCACGCTGCCGAGACCTTTGCCCAGGAAGCCTACGGTCTCTGGAGTCAGCATCGCACCCTGTCCGAGTTCAATTCCCCGACTTACGCGGGCGTTTCGATGTGGGCATTGGCGCTGTGGAATCAGTACGCGCCCCGGGGAAGTGTGCTGAAGAAATACGGCGCCGAAATGCTGACCGCCGCCTGGGACGATTTGGCACAACTGTACAACGCCAACTTGAAGAATCTTGCCGGTCCGTGGGATCGCTCCTACGGCTACGACATGCAGGAGTACGTCTCGCTCGTCGGGGCCGTCATCTGGGGCGCTGTTGGCCGCGAGTATGCCCCCTTCCCACACCAAACGTCCGGTATGTATCATCAGGACGACTTTGCGTTTTATCCGCTGTTCGCTCTCGCCATGCCGGAGATGGTCAAGTATCTCTCTGCCGAAGCCACGGATGCTCTGGTCAACTTCCCCGGCGAGCACATGGTTACCTTCCAGGCATATTCTCCACCATTCGACACGTACCCTCGGAATATCACCGCCTGGATGTCCGATAATATCACCATCGGCGCCGAAACCGTGGCCGAGCACGTCGTTGGTGGACCGGCCCAGAACCCCGGTGCGTTCAATCCCGCTGTGATCCAGTGGGCAATCGACGAGGACCAGGTCGGAACTCTCACCCTCTATCCAACCCAGTCCTCCATCCGCGCGGTGGCCGCTCCAGGAAGTCTGTCGATCTCCTATCCGAATGCCACTGCAGCTGATGGAGCTGACTTCCAGTTCCTCTTCAGCGGACTCAACATCCGCAGAGGATACAACGTGACGGGACTGGAGGGTCTCCCCAATTTGAAGCTCAAGGTCACCACGAACGCCATGCCGAACTCTACCGTCACGTACGACACCAGCCACGAGGTCAATGAGTTTGTCTTCTACAACATTACCTATACCATGCCGGCGGGGTTCACGGAAGTCCCCTTTATCTCTCTTGATGTCTATAGTCAATAGCATTCCTATTTACCACATTCCATTAGTCAAACCGGTGTAAGGGGGATCCCGTCTGTGGAGACGGGGTGAAATCTATTGAATACCGACTGCGCCCATGAATTTCGAGTACAGCACACTCATTGGCCAAACTTCGTTTCTGACAAAACCCATAAACAAAGGAAAATATCACGATTGACGGTTGATAATACCAAAAGAAAGAAAGGTAGTCTTGTGCATGTTGATCCGTTATCTCCGCGTAATTTCATTGAAGGATTGTCTTTCGAGCGACTTCACCTTTTCTCGTCACATCAACCTCGGACAAGAATGTCACGCTCGTAGACATGAATACCAACCATTACCTGCTCCGTTCAACTCAACCCACGTATCCATCGACACCATCATCTGCCGCACCATCCAAAAGGTTGTCGATTTTCCCTCCACCGAGAGAGCTCATGTTGGAATTAGAGTCCGCTGCGGGATGAGTCTTGGAGTTGTGGACCATATCGTCAGAACCGCTCCCCGAAGAGACGGTTGACGCTGTTGAGGTCGAAGCAATCCTGGTGAGAACAATGGCTGGCTGCTCGGGTAATCCCGGGTTCTCGAGCAATTCTGATTCGGACTGCCCGTTGATTGCATCTGACAAAGAAACGTCGTACCGGGAGCAAGTAACCGAGCCAGTTGCACTCTGCGCGTGCTCCATGATCTTCTGCACAGAGAGCCAAGAGTAGGCCGCAGTCTTGGAAATGGGAATTCGACGTCGAGAACGCGAGGGCAAAGGCGAGGGAGAGAAAAAGGAGCTCTGGTTGCTGGAGACTCGTTCGACATTGATCGTAGGCTCTTCGCCGGTCTCCGTACGGTCAGGAGGAGTGTCACAAGGGGTCGACATCTTGCGGTTTTCTCTTCTTCGGTCTTCCACCAAAGCGTTGCAAGGAGTAAAGGAGGGTGAGATGCTGTAAAACAACTCTGTATTTCCGATCTTCCAAACGAGAGAATAGGATAAAAATGGCGAGTAACAAACGACGGAGCTTTATATGATGCAGAGGAAATTCCTTAAGGGTGTGATTCATAACATCGAACAAGAATGACGAAATTCACCGACAGGTTCTCGACATGTGGCGGTAAGAAACAAAACTGGAGTGTTCGGTCCGAATGATAATGATGCTTGCACGGAGTCGATATGATGTGTCTCATCGCGATGCAGGGCGAAACCGAACTTCTCGCTTTTGCTCGGATTTGCGTGTTGTCTCTTGTTCTTGTCAAGGAAGGAGCCACGAAGGTACCTTCCCAGAATGGCAGGGGACGGAATAACACAAAAACGGCAGGAGCAACTCAACAAGTACGAAACTTGACCGCTATTCTTCGACTCTACGATGCAGTGTCATTACTAGATGGTCAAAATGGATAGCAATGTAGGGAATATCAAGACCCGTAGGCTTGAAAAGCAGATCAGCACTACAGACAGCGTGCATTCGCAGTTTCATTATCGAAGTACTAAGTGTACAGAGATAGCATCCAGGGAGAATCTCCCTACTGCTCGAGGTTCACTAAACAAAGTACATTAGAAAAGGCAGCCGGCTCAGTCTTCCTCTAGGGAAAAATCAAATTCCTTGAATACTGCCTTGAAAGCTTCCGCGTCAGCTTGCTCTTCTTCCTTCGACTGCACATCATCCCTCCAGTTTATTCGGTTTTCAAGCTGCAAAAGTTTGGCCATGACTCTACGTCCGAACTGCACGTCGAATCGGACATCCGGTGTCAGCGGCAGGATCAAAGTCTTCTCGGAGCCAATGATCGAAGTGTCGTCCGACGTTGACTCGCCTTTGGGGGAGTGCCATATCCAGACCCGAAAATAATCTCCGACCTCGTTCTCTCCGTCCTCTCTCGTTGAACGCTCGAACTTGGGGTACTGGAGATTTTCTGCTTCCACCTTGAAAGCTGCCTCGACTAACCCACGGTCCACCAGATCAGAAGGAACGGGAAGAAACTGCCAGTGTACGTGGATCCCATTGCCGCGGCTAACCTCCCAGGTGACGGCCCCTAATTCACCTTTGGTGCGTTTCTGCAACATGGAATGCAGAGCAGACCGGTACCGCTGCATTTCACGGTAAGTGGCCGATCGTGCATCTGGCTCGGAAATCGCACTAAACGTGGGAGAGTGAATAAGAGGGATGATCAATATATGGCCGGGAAACCCCAGAGACGGATACGTCTCTGCTGTGGGGAGCGGGCCCTTCGCGGTGGTCAGGTACGACTCATTTCCGATAGAAGTAATGAGGTGTGTTTCAACATCGGGGTTCGACAGACAGAAAAAGCACTGGTCCGGACCTGGAGGAGGCCGCCGAGCACGTTTACGGGGCCTCTGATATTCGACATCTCGGGAAAATCGCTGATAAGCCTCGTTCTGAGTTTCCAAGGCCCGTCTCTTCATGGAAATACTGGCCAGAGGAGACGCAGTTGCACCTACTGGTACAGAAGTAGGTGCGGGAGCTCTCGGGTCAAACGTGAAAGCGTACATCCATTTCTGTTTCGTCGTCTTGTTGTAAGACGCCAAGTTGATAAAGCGAGTCAAGGGCTTCACATCTGGAGCATCCTCTGTTGGCATGTGGAAGAATGGCTCTCGTTCGTAGAAGAAATCTCCATACGAAGAGAAATGATATCGTGGCTTTAAGGTAGAGCAGATGTCAGCTATACATTGGACGCCTTCTGGTGCGACGACACCCTCCGGCAGAACTTTTGAGCCTTCTGTTATGCCCTTTGGCCATTGATTGGTGATTAGGATATCAGCGCTTTGCACGCCATTGAGAGCGCGTGCGTCAGACTCCGTGTATCGCGAATGGTATCTATTGTTGAGCCTACCATCCGATGTCCCGTCTGTGGCTAGTTCGCCTCCCAGGGCAGCAAGTCTGATACCCTCGGAGGTCTTGAGGGTTCCTCTCCTGCCAATAAAGTAAAGATTTGAGCACACTTCATCGTTTGATTCGATCCTCTCCACGATCCTGGTTGGGATCGGGTGGCTGCCCACAGTGAAGTAAGTTGGCAAAGGAACACTAATGTTTCCCTGGAGGAGAGCGGAAATTTGATTCAAGTCTTCCTCGCTGGAGCAATTGCCAAAAAGATCTCCAGCGATGATGGCGAAAGAGAAATTCTGCTTGACATGAAGTTTTGCCAGTTTTGTGAAGACTTCTTGGAGTGCGCAATTCACATTTCCGATGACGATGCTGAGATGACATATTAGCAAATTCCCAAAAACAGTCGGCGCTTCCCACTTACATCTTAGACGCCATCGTCAATGATAGTTGGGAAGTATTAAATGTAGAAGAGGTAGTAATTTCTAAGTGAGATGTTAATTATCTGAACCAGGCGCTGGAGCAGTTCAAGAGGACCAGTGATCAGCAGTTGAACTCCATCATCCCATGAAGCACATGTCATAATATCTTCATATAGAGCCCTGCTACCATAGGCCACCTGGGCATCCAATCTACTCCATCTATGCTGGTTGTGGAAATTTCCCATCCGCGCCTAACGGCCAGACGTTTCTTGAAGGCGAGGAGCTTGGGCCAGCCAAGTCACGTGATGAAACTGAGTCTAACTGTAAACGGGTTAGCGCTATTTATCTAAACGCCGTCGTTATCTCCGCACGGAGAAACGTCGCCCCGGAGCCGATCAACTTTTTTGAAAGATTCAAGCAAATCTTTGGGGTATCGCATTCTGCGACAAACAGCGCTGCTAGCCATATCGGCCAACCCCACGATGGTTGCAGCTTCCTTAAGCTCGCGGGCGAAGCCCGTGAAGCTCCTGAAGAAGGGAACGGAGAGTACAAAGGCTCATCGGTTCGAACCCTTCTCTCAGCGCGTCGCGAAACTAAAAATCGATCCAATCCATCGTGTGCGCCGACCAAGTTTCGGAGAAGATGGCGACGAGACATCTTCGCATTTTAGAGCCTCCCTGGATCACTGGGCTGATATGAATCTCTCGGAAAACTTTACTGAATTCGCCAACCATGTTGGTCCTTTGTCCGAAAGCCTTCCCCAGATTCTCTACCATGAAGCGAAGATCATGGCTTTACTGGTTGAATATATTGAAAAGAGGGACCAGTTTTCCATGGAGCCGCTTTTGAGCTTGCTCGCTCAGTTCGCCAGGGATTTGGGCGTTCGATTCGAGAAACACTTTGCGACCAGCGTCACTCTCGTGGCATCTGTTGCTGCTACTCATCCTGAGGTGGAAGTCGTCGAATGGTGCTTCACTTGTCTGGCATGGATATTCAAATTTTTGTCGCGACTACTCGTCCCAGATCTGAGACAACTTTTAAGCATCATGACCCCCTACCTAGGAAAGGAGCGCCAGAAGCCTTACGTTGCGAGATTCGCTGCCGAGTCGATGTCGTTCCTGATCCGCAAGGCCGCACTTGTTTATTATAAGAATAAGGCCCCTCTCGATCGCGCGGTTTCTTTTCTATTTGAGGATCTTCGCACTTGTGCAGAGTCACGGAATGTGGAAATATACAAGGAGGGTCTCATGGTCATGTTTTCTGAGGCCATCAAGGGTGTGAAGGGAGGTATCCACTCCAACGGATCGGACATCCTGAGCTGCCTCTTAGATCATGTGGTTGCCGGGGATGACATCCAGAGCACGTTGGCCGAACAGGTATTGCGAGGCGCTCTTACCAACGTCATTCATAATACAACTGCGGAAACGTTCGCGGAACTGCTCAGTTTGATCCGGGCCTACGTTGAAGCCGAGCACGATCAATACTCGGAAAGACATGCAAGGCTATCATGCGATCTAATCTTCACCTGCGTGGTCACACGCAAGGGATCGAGGGTGAAGGACTGGAAAGATGTTCATCAAAGCTTGTTGGCTCTGCTTAAGCGGGCCTTAGCTGATTTCGAGTCTTTTCAGTCGTCGATGCCACAGCTGCTTACTGCCGTGGCATATGCGCTCCAGCTCTCTCCAATGGATGAAATGCTACCTTTTATGCGCCCTTTGATGGAAGCGGTTTCCGATGAACGTTTCTCGGCATTTTTCCTGTCATTTTGTGCTACATTTGCCGAGTTTGGTTCTGAACGATTTCATATCGTCGTTCTGCCATATTTCCAACGGTAAGAACTGGAATTGATTCCCTATGATTCCTCTACTAATTAACTCACCATTCTTCAGGTTTGTTACGTCTTTCTGGGACAAAAAGGAAGACGAGCTGTGCCTTACTTTGCTCAAACTCGGGCAATCTGGCTGCGTGACGCCTCAGGTCTCCAAACCGGGATTCGTCGGTTGCCCAACTAATTGGAAGGCCCATATCAGTGGAAAATTCTCTACACCGGGATCTTCTCCTGAGGAGGTCGCGTTACTCAATGCTTATGCTAAACTTCCCGGTGCAATTTCTCTTTCCAACGAGCCTTCCATTCTGCCAGAAATGGTACAATGTCTACATGATCTTCTTTCAACTTCTCTGAGAAACCCATCCTCGGATGCCCAGGCTCTCAATACTCTTGCCTGCGGTCAAGGATTCAAGTCCTATGTCGATTTCGGCGTTCAATGCGGAAATCTCGACCCGGCGCTATGGGATTTGATCGTGACAGCTGGGCCTTGTTACGCTCGACTGACCCTTTTCTTGGAGGGAGCCTTGGGTTATATTACTGCTTCGCGTGAGGTGGTCACTCGTAGCAAAGCAGATATCGAACCGTTTGTGAATGCTCTCATCGACAACCTCCCTAGCCCTTCACATGAATTGAGGTTATTGTCTCTGAAGCTACTTCTTGAATTGACAAAGTCTACTACGAAAGATGATCCATCTCCAATCTCGATAGCCATCGAGATTGAAGAAAGTCCACTGACGCTGCAAACTGCGAGGCATCTTTCCATGCAGGTCCGGAAACTTTCCATCATGTACCCGCAACTCGCTTCGCATAAATGGTTTAGAAGGCTCGTCCCGAAATTTTGCTTTGGCTTGTTTTCGAAGAAGCTCGCACCGTTATGGGATGACTCAGCACAGGCTCTAAAGAGTATCAGTGAACATGCTGTTGGAGAGGCGATCGTGACAGAACTGGCTATACATTGGCTTCAGGACTCCGGTTCACCCGCGCCAGACGAGGGATCGTCAGACGAATCAGCTGAGCGTCCACAAGTGTCTCCCGACTTCGAGTGCATTAATGCGGCCAAAGTTGAGAATATCCTCAACTCACACTTTCAACGCTCAGAGAGCCCGAGAGAAATACTGGAGAAAAATTTTGAACACGGTCACATCTCATCTGCATTACTTCCTCCTTCTCCTCGATCGCATGCCCTGCGTGTTTTCCACGCGGCACCCCAGATAGCCGAAAAGCGATCTCGCCAAATTGTTCCTTTTCTTCTCTCCTGGGTATCTCATGACGGCGATGGCGGCAATGCTCCGGAATCAGGCTCTAAAACGTCAACGCCCGTCACACCTGACGAGACTGCTCCGTCATGGACATACAAGGATCGAATGGCCCTTCTTGGCCTCTTTGAGAAATTCGTCAACCCAAGGGTCCTCTATAAGTCATCTGAGGTCCATGAAGCGCTGCTTTCTCTCTTGACCCATGGAGATTCAGAGGTCCAGAAGTCCGCTCTCAAAGGCATCTTCACTTGGAAATCCCCCAATATTCTTCCCTACCAAGAAAATCTGCTAAATATTCTTGATGAATCACGGTTCCGAGACGAACTTTCTGCCTTCGTCCGTGTCGGGAAAGATGACAGTACAATTGAAGAGGGCCATAAAGGCGAACTTCTACCCGTTCTTCTCCGGATTCTCTATGGTCGAATGGTCTCCAGAGCTGCCTCACATTCTGGCTCCGGAGGGCAGGCTGGCCGTAGAAAGGCTATTCTGAGGACTTTATCAGAGCTCTCCGAGCCTGATTTTGAACAGTTTGTTAAAGTCTCATTTGGTCCACTTGGAGAGCTTGACCTAGTGAAAAATGGCCAGATTAACACGCAGTGCTTCGACCAGGAACTGCTAAATTTGAGGCGACAGTCTGGATTGCTCAGAATGGTCGAGACAATGTTTGATACGCTTCGAAGTCGTATGTTGGCTTATGCGGGCAGATCGATGGATGTCGTTGTCTATTGCCTTATTCGGTCTTGCCGACTGCTTGCCGACGAGAAGACAGCTAGTACGGAGTCCAAGGCTGTGAATCACACAAACGTATTGCGCGACATCCGTCAGCTCAGTATTCGTTGCCTTGATTTGATTTTCTCCGTGACCCCAGATACGGATTGGACAGCCTATGTCCCCATCTTGTTTGACGAGGTTATCAATCCCAGACTCGTCAACTTTGCTATCGAAACAGCCCAAGGAGTCTCCGGTCTTCATCGACTTTTCCATACCTGGGCCTCTTCTTCGAAATCCGTGTTTTACCTCGTCCGCTATAATCAGAATCTCTTACCGGCTGTTGTGGATTCTTTGAATGTGGAATCCGCGCGTGACGAAGTGAAGGTTTTCGTCATGGACCAGATTCTGCAGCCGATAGTTGCGCTCTCAACTGGCAGTATAGTGAAGGAGAGCGGTGAGATGCTCGATTATTCGGCAGATGAGATCCGCGCTGAAGTACTCTCTCCGTACGTCGAGCACATCCTTTCTCATCTCAATCGGTTGCTGCAGCAGGACCCTCCCCGGCCGGTTCTGGTTTCGGGTGTTGAGGCTTTATCTGCCCTTGCTCCATGCGTCGAATCTTCCAACGAGACGTCGAGTCTTATTAAAATTGCTACCTATCTGCTACGCCAACCCCAGGATCGGGTGTCGCCAAAGACAAAATCAGGATTATTGCGCATCCTTCAACACTTTTTGCCTTTGTATTCTGCCGAAAGCGATCCGTCTCTTACCGAGGACGTCTTCCAGACCATATCCTCCTTGTTTGATTATTTCAAGGATGAGGAAAATCGGAACGTTCTCTCAATGGTCCTTGCGGAATTTGCGAAACACGATCCGGAGTTGCGCGAGGTTAGCGCTCTATGCGCAGACCTGAATGCTGTATCCTCGCGGAAACTGGATGAGGTAGACTATGAACGAAGACTCCAGGCGTTTACCAAGATCAACGAGGATTTGTGGAGCAGCTTGAATGCTAAGCAATGGCGTCCTCTGCTTTTCAACATGTTGTTCCACGTCAAGGATGAAGATGAACTCGCCATCAGATCTAGTGCTTCGTTCGGGCTGAAGCGCTTCATGGAGAGGGCAGCTCAGGCTGAGGAGGACAATGCAGGATTTGAAGAACTTATAAGCAATGTTCTACTTCCTGCCCTGCACAATGGAGTCCGGCAAAAGGCCGAGCTGATTAGGTCCGAGTTCGTGTCTGCGATTGGCCACCTTGTGAAGCTGAACCCGACTATGCCCTCCGTACAGGATATGCATGTACTTCTTGTCGGGGGAGATGAAGAGGCGTCTTTCTTCAACAATATCCTGCACATACAGCAACATCGTCGTCTCCGAGCCATGCGCCGTCTGGCTGCAGAAGCAGCAAAGGGGATTATCCAGGCTTCCAACATCAGCTCTATTTTCATGCCGCTCATCGAGCATTTCGTCTTCGGCCAGTCTGAAGATGAGAAAGATGAGAGTGCTCACAATCTAGCTGCAGAGAGTGTGGCCACAATCGGTGCACTGGCTGAGTGGTTGGACTGGGGTCAGTTCCGAGCAACATTCCGGAGATACCGCGGGTACATGCAAAGCAAGCCCGAAATCGAAAAGAATATTATTAGATTGTTGGGGAGAATGACAGACGCATTATCTACCGCCGTTAAGCAAAAACGCGAGAAGAAGGACAAGGACAACGACGTCGAAATGGATGGTGTGGAGCCTAGTCTTCCAGCGAAATGCCGTCTTGCTACGAGTCTTCCATCTCCATCGAAGATAACATCAGAACTCACGACACAGTTCATTCCATTTTTGACGGACTTTGTCCACCACAAAGACGAGTCGGAAGTAAGTCTCCGCCTGCCGGTAGCAGTCACAACCATCAAGCTGCTCAAGCTCCTGCCGGAGGAGGAGATGGCGATTCGTTTGCCTTCTGTTCTTTTAGATGTTTGCAACATCCTAAAAAGCAGGGCACAAGAATCTCGAGATGTCGCCAGGAAGACGCTCGGGGATATTGCCATCATTCTTGGACCGTCGTACTTTGGTTACATACTGAAGGAGCTGAAGACTTCCCTTAACAAGGGCTACCAACTCCACGTCTTGGGCTTCACGGTCCATTCGATTCTTGTGGCGACTACGGATGAATTCCAGCAAGGCGACTTGGACCATTGTCTTGCGGATCTGGTGTCAGTGGTGATGGACGATATCTTCGGTGTGGTGGGCCAGGAAAAGGACGCAGAAGACTACGTCAGCAAGATGAAGGAGGTTAAGAGTAACAAGAGCTATGATTCGATGGAGTTACTCGCAAAGAACAGCTCCGTCCCACGCCTTGGAAACTTGATCTCGCCCTTGCAGTCGCTTTTGCGTGAGAAGCTAACGTCAAACTTGGTCAAGAAGATTGACGAGCTGCTGAGAAGAATCGGCGTGGGCTTGCTGCGAAATCCAGGAGCTGAGAGCCGCGATCTTCTCGTCTTTTGTTACGAGGTCATTAAAGAGTCATATCAAGATAATCCTGCCATGGACGTGAAGTCTATGGAGTCCAGTCGGGAACAGCGGTTCTTGGTGAACCTCCAAGGTCCAAAGCGCGGAGAGAAACGCGGCACCACTTCATCTTACGTCCACAAGCTATCCCGCTTCGCCTTAGATGTCCTCCGCTCAATTCTCAATAAATTCAATTCACTCCTTACTCCAGCAAATGTGGCCGGCTTCCTGCCAGTCATCGGTGACGCAATAGTCCAGGGTCATGAAGAAGTCAAGATCTCTGCCATGCGTCTTTTATCCACCATCATCAAGCTTCCTCTTGAGGAAATCGACAAGAATGCTCCTGTTTATATAACGGAAGCAGTGAAAGTCATCAAAGAGGCGCCAAGCACGAACACCGAGGCGTCCCAGGCGGCATTGAAGCTCATCGCAGCTATTCTGCGGGAGAGGAAGTCTACGCAAATCAGGGATGGCCATCTCGCTTACCTGCTCAAACGTCTTACATCCGACATCGAGGAGCCCGATCGTCAAGGAGTGACCTTCAACTTCATCCGCGCGGTCATGGAACGCAAGTTTCTCGTGCCAGAAATGTACGAATTGATCGACCATATCGCGTCAATGATGATCACCAACCAGACGCGAGCTGCACGGGATCTTGCGCGCGGTGTATACATCCATTTCCTGATCGAGTACCCGCAGGCAAAAAGCCGATGGACCAAACAGCTCGGCTTCCTTGCAAAGAACTTTGATTACCAATACCGAGAGGGGCGTGAGTCTGTTATGGAAGCGGTGCATATGCTTCTGTCAAAGACAGGCGGGGACCTTGCTCAAGAAATAATCGGGACTTTCTTCCTTCCGGTGGTACTGGTCATGGCGAACGACGAAATCACAGAGTGTCGGCAAATGGCCGGTGTGCTCCTTGGTGAGCTCTATAGCAGAGCTGATCGGGAACAGCTTCAGGTCATGCTGAAGCCTCTCCACTCATGGCTCGAGCAAACGGAGAACATGCAGCTTGTCAGCACAGGTCTCCAGGCCATGAGGGTATTCTTTGAGGTTGATGAGACAGAGAAAGAGAAGGAAGGCCGCTTCGTGGTTGGAGTGCTCCCCCAAATCATCAACCCTATTGTTGCAGATCGCGAGAGTGAGCACTGGGAAGTGCTATACTTTGCTCTGCAGCTCTTTATAAAAGTGTGCAAGACTGTGCCCTCTATCGCGTTGAGCAAGGATTGCGCCGGCATCTGGCAGAGCATTCAACAATCACTCTTCTATCCCCATGCTTGGGTCAAGACAAGTGCAGCGAATCTTATTGGGAGCTGGTTCTCCGATTTGGCCAAGACCAATGCGTCCTCTGGTTATGGCTCTGTGCCCTTGGTCGGCCAATTTGGTCTTGGACTTGACGGCGAGGCAATGCTGCAGCTTGTCCGGGCCAGCATCCGCTGTCTCCGAACTCCCGGTGTAAGCGAGGCACTCGCCATGCAGAGTGTGCGCAACGCCATATTCTTAGGTCGATGCTTAGCCGAGAATGGCGTGAGCTTTGCCCGCAAAGGCGAGGAAGAGTTAAGCGACGACTCGTCAAGCGACGAAAGTGATGCAGAGGATGCAGAGGACTTAGCGGAAGAGGAAGAAAAGACCAATGGAGTTACTACCCCCAAGACAAAGTCACCTCTTCACTACGTCTTCCAGCAGATCTCGAGCATCCTGCGCCGCGAGACAATCACAACAAGAGCCGAGTCATTGGTCCCCAAGACGGCCTCTATGGGCCTGTTGGCAACGCTCTGCCGCCATCTGGAAGCCGACAAGCTCATACCTTCTCTGCCGGTCATCCTTTTGCCGCTGCAGCACCTGATCGATCCGTCCATCCCAGCGCCCCGCTCGTCCGACGAAGCCTTCCAGAACACGTACAAATCACTCGTCGGGAACGCGCAGGAGGTGCTTGACCTGCTGCAGAAGAAGCTGGGTACGACCGAGTACGTGGCGCAGATGGCACGAGTGCAGGAGGAGATCAAGGCGCGACGAGAGGGACGGCGGGTCAAGCGGCGGATCGAGGCCGTCACGGATCCGGAGAAGTTCGGGCGCGAGAAGAAGCGGAAGCACGAGCGCAAGAGGATCAAGAGGAAAGAAAGAGGTCTGGAATATCGGGATCGGAGGCGTGGTTTCTAAATATGATTTTTCTGCAAGTATATATGTGTGTATTATGGCCTTTTTTTTCTACGGGCGTTTGATTGATAGATGCTGGGATTATGTATATGTTGTTCTACTGTACATGACCTTTTTTTTGTTTGGAGAGTAAATAAATGAGCCGAGATGGGACACGGAATGACCAAAAAAGTGATTATTATGATACAGTGAAATGTTCATCAACACCGTCCATTTTTGAACACCCCCACTCCTGTAACTCCTGATAATGCTGTTGTCGAATCGATTTCCTCTCTTCCTGAGGAAAAGGCCCTTCTTAAACCATTATAAACATTTTGTAAAACGGCGAAACAAACCCATGTGTTTGTTCTTGATCTAGGTCAAGACAACACATTAATTTAATATTAATATGGCGCGCAGCGCTCATAGCCCAAGAACAAAACCAAAAATCCACCGGAGACGCCAGCTGGGTATAACCACCTAGGTAGTAAATTACGAGGAGCTCTTCTCGCTAGCCTCGGGGAGCTGGTCGCCCGTTCCAGTCTTGTAGACCAACCCATCTTCCCAGAACTCCATGTCGCCTTCAAGATAGCCCTTCGTCAGCGTCATGCCCTTGCGCTTCAGGATATCCTCCAGGGTGCTCTTCTGGTCCATGAAGATCCCGAGATGATCGCTGATAACGTGCCGGTTGAGACAGTTCGGGCAGCGGATCAGAACCGTGCCCTTATGGTAGCCATGCTTGGACATCTGATGCGACGAGCGGTGCCCACACGGCTTGCAGGTGAATGTGATCCGATATGCAGGCTCTTGCGAGCGGCGCGCTGCGTTCTGCTCCGCATTGGCAGCATCAGTCTCTGCGGAAGGGACGCTGTCGGTCAGAGGCGTGGAACCGGAGTCTGATGATGATGACTGATATCGCCTCGAGGCAGCGAATATGTTCGTGCTCGGTCTGGAGGGTCTAATGGGCGACAATGGGGACTGAATAGGCAAAGGAGTTGTTCGCACTGCCGGCGTCCGGGGAAGAAGGCGGCTGGGGCCGCGGAGGCTGCGGAGGAGAGTCGCTGAAGAACGCATTGCAAAATGGCTGGTTGAACTCAGACCTCAGATACGGTATTCCCACGACAAATAATATGGAAGACAGGCGAATATGAAGGGTGGATGCTGCGAGAATGGTCGTTGAATGCGGTCGTTGATTAGCGGAGGCGACGGACAAAAGCTGCGTCGGCGAATCGTTGTTCCTGACTCAGCCGTCTCGGAGAGCCTCGCGGAGTACAGTGAGGTTCTATAGAAGCTATACACTTCCCCGTCTTCTGCGACTGCCGTTAAAGATATTTTTCTTTTTGGATTACATGACATGTTAGCTCCAGTTTCCTCGCCACACATTCGTATCACCTAGGCATCACTTTCTCGGTGCGTCCTTCCTCGCCGTCTGCGGGAACTGATCCTCCTCCGTCCGCTCTGGTTGCCCCGCGCAAGTCACCTTCTTCAGCCCCGAAGACTGTGCACCAGCGTCTCCGGGGTGACCAGAACAGCAGAAGCCAAAGATGGCGATGCGAGCAAGGCAAAAGATTCGCGCCCCCAGGAGGGTAAGTTTCACCAAGTTTCACCAAGTCGATCTCCGCCTGTCTCTTCATGCGGTGTCTCCAGATTCCATGCAGTTGTTGTTCGCTCCTGTCGCATAGAGAGATTTTCACAATCGGGTTTGAAGAGCTGAAGGGTCCGTCTAGGGTCTGGCTGGCAAGAATGACGACTTCGAGGCGATCTGGTCCATCCTGGCATCCTCTCTGCGCGAGATCCACACCAAGAACGCATCTTCCCTCTCCTTCGAGGAGCTCTACCGCAATGCGTACAAGATTGTGTTGATGTCGAGAGGCGATGACCTGTACGAACGGGTCAAGGATCTGGAGCGGGAATGGCTGGATAACGATGTTCGGCAGAGCATCACAGCAGCAATCTCTCCGATCCTCCTCGTGGAGAGAGAGCCGGCCGACCTGTCAGATCAGTCGAACGAAAGGCGAGCCGCAGGAGAGAAGTTCCTGAACGCGATAAGGAGGGCGTGGGAAGACCATCAATTATGCATGGGCATGATCACCGATGTGCTCATGTACATGGTATGTCTTGCTGCCATTTCAGGGCATGAATAGCTTTAGCTGACGTGCTTCTGAAAAGGATCGAGTTACCTGCACGGATCACCGCAAACCTTCCATATACACTGCGTCAATGTGCCTATTCCGAGATTACGTCCTCCGAGCCGCTGTGGGTGCCGATCTGGAAAAGAGCATCTACGATGTTCTCGAATCAACCGTCCTCTTTATGGTACAACTGGAGCGAACAGGTCACATTATCGACAGGCCGTTGATCCGGCACTGCATGTACATGTTGGAAGGCCTCTACGAGACCGTCACTGAGGAGGAATCGTCTAAGCTCTACCTGACAGTCTTCGAGCCTTCCTTCCTCGAGATTAGCAAAACGTTTTATCAGGCCGAGGGGCAACGGCTGCTACAGACGGCCGATGCTGCTACCTTCTGTCGCGTGACATCCGACCGCCTATCAGAGGAGGAAGAGCGGTGTCGCTACACCCTATCACCGTTTTCAGAGCAGAAGATAAAAGCTGTCATTGACGAAGAGTTGATACAGAGAAACATCAACGATGTCATCAACCTGGAGGGGAGTGGAGTCAGGTACATGCTGGATAATGACCGGCTGGATGATCTGGCCAATGTGTACGAGCTCAACGCAAGAATTGACAAGAAGAAGACTGCTTTGACCAAGGCGGTCCAGAAGCGAATTATCGAGCTGGGCGACGAGATCAATGCCGCAGCCAAGGCGTTCGCACAAGCGCCCGTCGCTACATCGAAAACAGAGGAAACAGATGCCAAAGACAAAAAGAAAGAGGAGAAGGAAAAACCGGTAAACCAGCAGACGGCGGCGGCCATCAAATGGGTTGATGACATCCTCAACCTGAAGAATAAGTTTGACAGCATCTGGGAATGGGCGTTCTCCTCTGACCAGGGCATGCAGACCGCCTTTACGAACAGTTTCTCCGACTTCATCAACTCGAATGCTCGCAGCTCAGAGTACCTCTCGTTGTTCTTTGACGAGAATCTCAAAAAGGGCATCAAAGGGAAGACCGACAGCGAGGTGGACGCGCTCCTCGACAATGGCATCACGCTGTTGCGATACATCCGCGACAAGGATCTTTTCGAGACGTACTACAAGAAGCATCTCTCCCGCCGGCTGCTGATGAAACGATCGGCAAGCATGGATGCGGAGCGACAGATGATCTCCAAGATGAAGATGGAGGTCGGGAACCAGTTCACGCAGCGACTGGAGGCCATGTTCAAGGACATGGCGGTATCGGAGGACCTGACAAACAGTTACAAGGACTACGTGGCTCGCACCGGAGATCCAGATCCCAAGAGGGTGGAACTGGAGATCAGCGTGCTCACGAGCACGATGTGGCCGATGGAGATCATGTCCAGTTCGAAGGACGGAGCGGTTCAGCTTCCTTGCATCTTCCCGAAGGAGATCGACACGGTCCGGCAGAGCTTTGAGAAATTCTATCTCAACAAGCACAACGGCAGGAAACTGTCGTGGCAGCCGGGCATGGGGACAGCAGACATCCGAGCGACGTTTTATCGATCCAACGGCAAGATCGCGCGGCACGAGCTAAACGTGTCGACGTATGCCATGATCATTTTACTGCTCTTCAATGACGTGCCGATGGATGAGTCGCTCACGTATGAAGAGATCCAAGCTCGGACGAGGATCCCGGACCACGACCTGATCCGCAACCTGCAGTCCCTGGCCGTCGCGCCGAAAACGCGGGTTCTCCGGAAGGAGCCGATGAGCAAGGATGTCAAGCCGACGGATCGGTTCTTCTACAACCGGGATTTCCAGAGCATGTTCACCAAAGTGCGCATCGGCGTGGTGAGCGGGGGCGGGAACAAAGTCGAGAACCAGAACGAGCGAGAAGAGACGGAGAAGAAGATGAACGAGGAGCGAGGTGGTAGCATCGAAGCTGCCATTGTTCGAATCATGAAGTATGTCATACGCCCCCAGCAGGCCAAAAAAATTATTTTTTTTTACTAACCATGTTTACTCATTGCAACAGACAACGCAAGAGACTCGCCCACTCACAACTCATCACCGAAGTCCTAACCCAGCTAGCATCCCGCTTCGTACCCGACGTGAACATGGTGAAGAAGCGGATCGAAAGCCTGATCGATCGCGAGTATCTAGAGCGGATTTCGGACTCGGATCCGCCGGCGTATGGGTACATTGCATAGAAGGAAAGAATAGCATAGAAGCTAGCCTGCCTGTTGTCTAGGAAGCTTCTCTTTCTTTTCTTTTAGGGGCGTTTTTTCTTTTCTATTAATGTGTTTCGAACGATTTTCAATTGAACAATTACGATTTTGCTTGCTTGCTGGTTGGATGGATGGTTGGGTTGGTACTTGGTGGGGACTTTATTTAAAATAAATAGTCTTAGTCGCCTTACTATTTACTTCTTTTCCTTCTCCTTCTTCTTCGATTAATTAATTAATTGATTGATTGATTGATTAATCGATAAATGCTGAATCATTCACCATCAAATAGCGGCGGCGAATATGGGAATGTGGTTTTATTGTTTTTTCTCTCTTCTTTGTCTCGTTTCGCTATTTCCCTTTTTTATCCTTTTTTTTTTTCCTTTTCACCAAAGGCGCAGGTGACAGGCGAGATGGCGCAATTTCTTTTCTTTTAGTGAGTGAAGTGAGATGAGACGAATGAGACAAGATGAGACAAACGAGACAAGAGTCTGTGAAATGAAATGAGATGAGATGAGATGAGATGAATGAAATGAATGCAATAAATGCAAATGCAATATCATAGAAAATGAATAAGAATATGAATAAATATTAATAACAAGAATAATAATGCATATAATGCATTGGGGTCGCAAACTAAGCATATATACTCCCAAACGCCACGCCATGCAGATTTGTAAACCATGCTGTCTGTATATATACCGTATAAGTCCCTATGCAGAAGAAGAGAGAGAAAGAAAAAAAGAAGAAGAAGAAACAAGGGGGAGCTTTTCCTAATCACGCCATCCCATCACGCCTGTATCCAGTAGGCAGTATAAAGAGACCAACCTCATGACGATAATGATGTGCAGGATGTAGATAGTCATGACTCAAACGGGAAAAGGAAAAGGAATAATGCCGAACAAGGCTTCTGCAGAAACGCAGCGACTGGGCTATAAAACCTCCACCTCCCCCCTCTCCCACGCCTTCTTGACGCCTTCCCACCGCGCAACCCACACCTCGCCCATGCGCATCGTCGTGCCGTACATCTCCTCGTTGAGGGTATCATCCGGCGGCACGACGACAGTGACCTCGTCGACCAGGCAGCGGACGAAGACGACCTCCTTGGTATCCGGGCCCTGGACCATGCTCGTCCCGCCGGCGTTGTCGTCCAGCCGTCGGAGCTGAGGCGGGAAGGCGCTGAGGAACGACGCGCTGTAGTGCGAGGCGAGCAGCGTCTGGTGCGAGTACAGGAAGGAGGCCTCCTCGCGGGACAAGGGGGAAGGGTCCGCCACGCCGGATGGGTTGGGGATGGTGTCTTCCGTCAGCTGGTGTTGCGAGGGCGAAGACTGTGACTGCGACTGCGAGGACGGAGGCGAGATGAGCATCAGGTAGTGCATGCTGTGCTTGGTGAGCTTGGCCAGCCGCTGCCGGAGCAGCGAGCGGATGAGGTACTGGGTGCGCGAGAGGTCGGTTTGCAGGATCGAGAGCTTCAGGTTCAGGGTTTGGTTGTTCGTGGAGCCGTTATTGTTGGCGGGGTCGTAGGATGACGCGGTGAGGTCTTCGATGATTTCGATCTGGAGTCGTGGGTTAGATAGTCATTACATCGCAATCTCGTGTAATAGGCCCGCGACTTGTAGGAAGAAGGGGGGAAAAAAAATCAAGTACTCAAGTACAGTAAAAAGCATAAATAAATAAACGCATACCTGCTTCCGCACCCTCTCCATCATCCTCTCCATCAACGCCCCCGGCCATGGGAGCAGCTCTGAGACCGCGCGCTCCGCGACCCAGAGGCGCGTCAGCTGCTGGTGATCGAGCGCAGTCAACTCGGGCGAGGCGACGTCGTCGCGATCGACGGAGGCAAGGATGTCATCGATATCCATGGCGGGGAGGAATTGGCCGGCAGGATTGACACAGCATTGGATCGGGGGAGATCCCTTCGTTCTCTGTCTTGCCGTCTGGAGAAGGGCTGATGATTTGCAGTTTTGCGGGGCGCGATAAATGTTCCTGCGCGGAGAGGAAGGGTAGCGGGGCGGGGTTGTCGCCCATTGGCCAATTGCTGCCAAGTATATCTGGACAGTACAAAACATTCCTACTGCGACTGTTCATCTATGACTGAGTACCAGTTGGCCTGAAACCACTCTATGGCTTCAAAATCATCAAATCATGTATTTCTGCTAAAAGAAACTGGCCCGTCTGCTCGGACTCCCGCGAAGAGGTTCTCCTGCAAACGGCCTCGGATCTCATATGTACAGGTTGTGTCCACTTCAGATGACAGACATCAATACCAAGGAAAAGGAAAGACAAAGGAGACTCGTCCAAGTGCACGCCACGTCATCCTTCGACGGGCAATCTAGACACCAAGAAGTGTGGTATGGTGGGTTTTTGCAATGTAACAGCGGGTATCCGCAAAAAAAAAGAGCAAGAAAGAAAAAATCTGTACAAGAAACGCCAACGGCAGGATTACAAGACACACATGATAGGAAAGACGTTGCAAGAGAAAGAGAGATGCCCTGACGATCCAATTTGTGTGGAGTCAAGGCAGTGCAGTCTGACTCTATGTGCAGATCAAATCGGGGAATATTTTCTCCATCGATCGCGTGCGGCTTTTTTGTTTGTTCGGTCGATGTCGGGTCGGTTTTCTTTGAGCGTTAGATCAGATGAAAGGAAACAAAGGAAAAAAGGAAATCAGTGAGTAACAAGGAAATGGATGGTGGGTTCGTAGGAGAGGAAGGAAAAGGGTAACGATCGACTCGGGGTCGGATCTTCGCGGATCGGTCATGAGGAGATGAGTTATAAGGAAATGAGAAGGGAAGGAAGGACGTCGTATCATGAGTGTAAAAAAGCGCCACTGGGTGAGAGCCCGATGTGATAGAACTCAGAGCACATTGGCGCAGAGGAAGACGGCAAAATATATTCCGCAGCCGAGACTTCCCTCCGCAGACCATTAGAATGACTCGATAAATAGCCAACGTCGACACTGATCGTTCCAGGTCGACGCGACACGCAACTGCGGTCAATTGTCCAAAAAAGTTTGATCGTTTCGGTGTTCAAAGTGCTTTGGAAGACCCAAAAAAGGTAGGTAAACTGAATGAGAGGAGAAATTGCCAAAGACATATCGCGCGTGAAGAACGCACCGGTTGAGGCATTCTTCAAAGGTTGTTTGTTAACACGTAACTCCGTGAAGGCCGTAGCACCATTAGTAGGAAAGCTCGAAGGTGGGCGAGGCAACCCTAGTAGGAGAGCATGCGGCGGCCAAGGCGACCTGATTCTGACCCCTCTCCAAAGGGACATTCAAGGCTGCGACTGCGGTCATTGTTTCGACACCGGCCAGTCGGGCTGTCCTCCATCTCAGGCGACCGCTCCCCAAAGGCAAAGGTCTGCGCTCGGATGAACTTCGATCGCTGTTTGACTTTTCCAAGCCCTCGCTCGCATGCATATTCGTGTTCCTTGGATGTCATTTCCACATAATTCTGGGGGAAGCACAGAGACCTGTACTCCGCATAAAATGCACTGTACCCGCCGTCCAGGATGTACATTTCCGGAAAAGTCAATTTTGGATACTGATCAACATTGAACGCACGATCTTTGTGGCGGATGAAAGACGCCATGATGGGAGCCCGATGGGCGGAATACTCGCAGTGAAAGATCAGAACTGTGCCAGGCTTCGGGTTTCTGAACAGCTCTTCGGCGAGAGCCTCTTTGTCATTGTAGTTGACGGCCCCGTTGATGTGCCCACCTTCGTACTCGTACTCGAAGCGGCAGTCAATGATCATAATGTTTTGAAAACGATCGTTGTACTTGCCGTCCAAGATATCGACCAAGATACTCTTTTCGATCCGAGGTAGGCTATCAGGCTGGTCCTCCGGGATAAAGTGCGGCAGCTGCAGCTCGTATGTCGGCTCGACATCGATAATCGACTGCAAGCTCGGTTCTGACGCGGAGTTCGACTCCTTCTGACGCACCACATCGTCCGGGTGTTCAAACATACTGAGAGACCTCCGGCACTGCTTGCGAGGTCGCATAAAAGGGTTGGAACTCTTCCGGATGGGACCAGGACCCGGGGAACCACTGCCACGACCTCCAAATGGTGGTTTCAGGCGAGGGCCCAGCAAGTTGCCAGAACCGTTTTTCCCAATCACTCTGTCCTGTTGCGGAGACTCATCGAACATATCTTCCAGGGACATGGACGTAGATAGGTTGCTACTGCCATTTCCGAATTTGAATGGCGGCGACTGACTTTCCGGGGCAGGCCTAGGAATACCCAACTGGGCCGAATGGGCCTTGGTCCGTGCCAACGAGGGACGAAGCACGTTATGGCGTTTTCGTCTGAAGAAAGGAGAGATGATCAGAAAACACTTCAAGGGACCTGGCCGTAGAATCTCTGCAACTTACTCCTGCGGGGTATTCGGCTCAGTATCTTCCATCGGAGACTCTTGCAGGGGACTGGGCCCGGAGGAGTCTGCTGACGAAGGTTCCCGGCTGGGAGACTGAACATCCGTTGATAGGTTAAAGGGGACCTTGTGAGGAAGAGGAGACATGTCCATCATGTCCATCGATCCAGCGGGGGATGACGAGGGCAATGGCGGAGTCGTCATCGTCTCTTCTGTAGGACTCTTTAGCATGCAGGTACATCAGGCACACAGCAACGGCGATTTCGTACCACGTCTCCTATCAGCACCAAGCCGATTCGTGAACAAAGACCGTCGAGGCGTCGCCATCTGGGGACTGTTCACGAGCACGTCAGCACAGCTCCGGCAGAGACTGGAGGGAGTTGGGACGAACGGACCTCTTATCGATATGGAAGTTCTGAGACAGGTCCGCCGCCAAACTGGCTGCCGGAGACGAGCCAGAAATGGGCTTTACGGAAAAGTAGTCCGAATGCGACTTCTTCATGGACAGGTCTTTGAAATTGAAGCTATTGGGACCAAAGTTGTTCATTCCCCCAAACGACCCACAGGAAGATGATGCGTCCGAACGAAAGCAGTGCCCAAAGAGCACGGAGGGAGGCTGCATCGCAGCTAGGGGAGACGAATGCTCCATGGTGACAGACTGCCAGCAGGAGAAGACACAAAGAGAGAGACCTCAGTTGCCTTCGCAATCAGCCAATTGGTAGCAAGAATATCCAAACGAAACGAAGCAGCAGAAGACTCCTCTCCAGCGGAGCTTCTGCCGGACGATATCCAGAAAACGCAAGAATTGGTCGTACACTACGAAGGACAGGGCCCAGTAATGCAAAACCTGCTCTGCCTCTCTTTCTTCACACTCCTCTTCCCAATTGTATGTAGTTTTTTTTTTTCTTGACGAGACACAACGACCCCGAAATCCAAGCAAAACCGCCGGGACACAAAGGCGTCGAATGTCGAAGGCGCAAATTACATCGACATGATCGCTCTGGACCGCGGGAGACGTATTCGACTGAGAAGGCAGCTCTGAAGAGAGGGGGTCATCCGCAGATGACGACAAAGCTTTTAGTTCGGAGGGGGAGATCGACGGGTGGGGAGACCGTCGATAGAAGACACAGACGAGGAAAGAGATACAGGAAGACTTTGTAGATGCCGGCAGAGACGGCAGGACGGAGTGAGAACAGTGGAAGAAGAAGCAGAGGAAGAGGAGAGGAAGAAGACGAGGCGAGCAGGTGAAAAAGAGCGTCCGCAAGAGTGAAGCTGAAGACAGGCCTTGTTGCAATGGCAACGAGAGTGGGGAGCGATCTCCAGGTCTGCGAAGCTCCGCGAGCCTAGCTCGGCGACTAGCAGGGCGCCTAGAAGCTGGCCCGGAGGATTCTGTGGCCGCACGGGTGCTGCTCACGTTCCTTGCTCGGGGCAGCCCTGCATGCTGTCGGTAAGGACTGCATGCAAGGTCTGGCCGTCATCCTGCCCCAGCCTTTGTCCTGGTCTCCCTTGCCGCCTGCAAGAGCGAGCGCTGCACTGCCGAAAGGAGATGAGACCCCTGCCGGCCTTACAATAAAAGACCAGATGGCTACGCTACGAGGCGCTGGTTACCAGCTCAACAGATCTCTTATTACTCCCGATTCCAGATCACTCTTCACGATTCATTATTATGACAGCTATTCTGACAGCACGCTGTAATGCTCGTACCGCTGTCCAGGCGCCGGAGCGATACCGTCATCCTTGCGGAACCGCCAGGCAACTAGTACGACCGTCCACCCGGCAACAGCACACACCGGGATTTTCCCTCCGTTTGAACGGTCAATGAGAACCATCGACGTGGGAAGCTATTCCTGCGCTTAATTAGAGGCCATCGTGTCTTCATCCGTACGGAGAACAGCAAGATCCCCCGCGTGCTTATACCCCCAGCTGTCTCTCCTCCTCTCCACGAACTCTCTTCCAGCTGCCATTGAGCAGCGCTGGCCATGGTCCTCGAACAACCTCGTAGCGTAAGTAACTGCTCGTTCAGCATTGAAACGCATTGCTGAGCTTTGTCGTAGCCCTGTTCCTCTGTATTGTACTAGTTCCGCCCACTGCTGGTGAATGCTCCACGGGCACAAACTACAAAACGTCTCCGCCCGTCGACGAAGCAACGTCTGCCCTGATTCGTCCGGTTTCCGCATCCACGAAGACGATGGAAAGGATCCGCGGAACTGTTGCTGTGTTCCTGGGCGATCAAGAAATCTCGACAGGTGTTAAGAATGCGCCGTAGAATCTTCTTCGAGAAGCGCACTTGGTGCGGTCTAGCCTCAGGAGTTCATGGTTTAGCCATACAAGAAGGACTGGTAAAACTCTCAATCGAAATCGACCTTATACTGAACCCGGAATAAGAACTCATTTTAGGGGGATTTTCAGCTTAGATTGTGTGTTCAATGGAGGCAGGATTTGAGAACAATGTCCCACCTATCCTGTGTCAAGTCAATCTACAGCTAGCCACAGCATTCCATCAGCATAGCATTTATACTGCCGTATCAAAGACGACGATGATCGCTGCGTGGACCGCTCAATTCGAATCCACAAGAACCTCGTTATATATAGGTCCTGCACTGAGTGCCTGTCCAACCGGAGGATTCTCCAAGCCGGCATACCTACTTAGAAGCTGGTAGCTATAACTCGTGCTCCGGGGAACGGTCCGCAGCGGAGGATGCAAGTGGATATGCATTCCTTAGATATCTCACCCAATAATATGTGCTGTCCCAGACTCGTCAGATCGTGCAGAAGACAATCTCGTGAGAAGTCATGAGGGCGTGCATTTTGTCAGCAATGCTGACATGCAAGGATGTCTCCAATATCTCGAATTGGTAGCCGTAGCGCAGAGCCTTTGCTGTGGCTCTTTTGACTCTACTGTAAAAGTTAACGGGGGTATCCCGCTAAGTTTCTCAAGGATCATCCCAGTTTCTGGTCGGACCAAGAAAAAACAAAGGCTTGAGAAAAACATATTGCTCACATTCAATCCTGTTTCCAACTTGCCCCCAGTCTCGTTCTGAGAGTCGGAGGATGCATGTCGAGTCCCACTCTGCCTGCGCCTCCATGTGCATCAGCATGTGCTATCTGCTCTAATCTTTCCCGGCGCTTAAATCTCACTTCTTACAAGTCACACCATCAGGCGTCCTGCGCCAGTGCCCAACCCAATTCCAAATGGCTGATCACATCTGCACAGGGACCAGGGTTCCTAGATAGCGACACCTTGTTCTTCGAATCAACCGCTGTTTGGAGTGTCTTCCGACAACCCCGCCCGGCTAGGTACCTAGGTACCTCGATAGCCTGTACGGAGTCCTGGTACTGCGTCCTCACTAGGTAGTCACCTGGTCTCACCTGGTCCTAGGTAATAATTGTGTCACTTCGTCAGCTGCAATAGCAAACACAATGTCTCACCATTGGTCTTGTTTCCCACTACTCCGTACGCGAGATCTCAGAGACCCAGATCGGATGACAGCGACTGACCGGCAACGCTCCGTCTGAACGCACGCCAAGTCACAAAGAAATCGCCATCTGCATCATCATTGCTCGAGATATGCGAGCCCTATGGAGCCAACATGGGGCCTCGGGGATGATTGGCGGCGAGGGGAGGTGTTGATCGTGGGTCATTGGCGCCATATGCTGGCTAGTCGCGATCCCGCGTACTATTCTTGACCGTGGTGATCTCACGATGCTTTCCCACGAGCCAATCATGGCCGCAAACAGCCTCCCAGAAAGGAGCTCATCCCGCCCGAGGGGCGTCCGGCAGTCTCAAAATCGCGATCATGAAGCGGTTCAGCCTGTGGACGATGACGATGTTGGCGCCGGCCAGCTGTGGCTGCTGCTGGGAAGCCGCGTGCGTAAACAAAGGCAATGACGCGCTGCCGATGCGTTGTCCCGTGACCCGATCGTGACTTCAGATCGGTCCATCACAGCGCGCCTCGAGACCGCTTTAGACTCAACCGAGTCAACTCTGTTTGTCTGTCCCAGAATTGAGATCCAGTGCGATCTACAAACTATTCTATCAGCCGGGTGGCGGAACTAGTTGGCCAAATCTTGGAATAGATACACATGCATCACGCATCCAGTTAAGAGATGTTGACATGCATATCACAAACAGCCATCCCGACGATTGTAGATTAATTTGGTTTGGGTTATTTGAAGCATCACTGGACACCTCAGGTGGTGCTCGCTAATCTGACAGACACATGTTCCCCACGTCATCGCGGTGGTGCGTGCTCGTGGGCCGCTAAGTGAGATGCCTGAAGATTCAGTCACTGACACGGAATCACGACTATTAGCATGAGTGGGCCTAGATCGCTGATCAGACCTCGCTGAGGACAGTATACAGAGTACTACCTAATGCTCGACCAGATAAGTCTATGACATACAAAGTGAATATTACGTGTCAATGTTTATGGCAGCGATTAGTGTTTACTCCGTATCATCCTGGTCGCTTTGATCCCGAAGCGGCCCAAGTCCGAATCAACCAACTACCGCATTAGGAATAATGTCAACACCACACGCACGGACCGGTGGCTGCCCATCCGCTGTGGCTGAGCTGAGTTGTGGCTAACTATCGACCATAGTCAGATACTACTACAGTACTATCAGTTCATCGAACCAAATAATGGGGGTCCATCATTTGGTTGGACCTGGACAATACTGACGATAATAACCGAGGCACTAATCGCAATAGAATGCAGATAAGTTTGTATTCGGGCGGTACTAGTTTAAAAAAATTCGATTATGCTTGTAAGATCCACTGCAATAATGACGCCAGCAGAAATTCAGAACTTCGACAACTTAGCAGACGCACTGCGTATAGAGTATTTAAATCATGGCATTGAAATGAAAATGTCATATATTTGCCTAATGTAGCATTGAATGTAGTTACGTGCTCATCTACCTCCTCATAGATACTAGTATAGAAGAGCTACAAAAAAAAGAATCTCAACTACAGTAGTAATACGAAAAACGCAAGATGCAATATGCAGTACAGTACATAAGTACTGTCCATAGCATTCACAGCACAGCAGCAGGGAAAAACTAGATATTAATTAACAACAGGCCAAGACAATAACTCCCTCATTTCTAAACTCTTCCGGTCAATATCGAACTATCGAGGCTGACCTAATCGAGCAGAGACAAACAGACAAGAATCAATAATGCGTTCAATAATCGGTTCCATAATCGGTTGACTGACAGACTGACTATCTGCACCATACTGTCTGCACCATACTGACTGGAATGTGACATGAGTCCTGTGCAGCTGTTACATACATAGACTTGCAGATTGCAGACTGTAAGCTGCGAGCTGCAGCTGTCACTGTGCTGTCTACTCCATAATTGTTATGACAAGACTTGGGAGAGGTATAGCGTATGCTATATTCAGCAGCATGTGCTTTGATTATCTAAAAACAGTATGATGTTATTAATAGATACTGGTCAGATTAATAGTATTCAATACAGTCAATATAAGATCTTGTCTGTCAACGAAAATAAATAGTTAATTGACGATCTACCTAGTTTTCTTCCTACTTCCTGGATGACAAAAAAGGGAAGGCGAGAAAGGGATAGGCAGTATATAGTCTATTTATGTAGGACAGCCATACCCGGTGTCATGGCTGCAGTTCCATATTTCCTTTCTGACCGAAATTCTCTCGATCGATCCTCAAGCTCCCAGAATTGCCCGTCCAGTGCAGAACATCTATCTATCTTGTGTATGCAGTGTAGAAAGACGATCATGCGCCCACGTCCATATCCATAGCTGTCAGTAGCTAGTTCTAATAGCTCGTTTTCTTCGTCTCCTTCTTGGAATAGCACTCTGCAGGTCATGGCTTAATGTCGCCTCATGTTCATCTATAATGGAGCAGTCGACGTAGATGGCACTCGGCGATCTAGGTACAGTACAGATCTAAGGTTACTCCCGCTAATGGCAAATAGTTAGTCCTACATACTAGTCAAACGTCCACGAGCAAGGGACGGGGAGGGAGGGTGATGTCATGGGACCCTGACTGAACGGGGGGCCGTTTGCTCAAGGCTCATCCACAGCATGTGGTCCATAGGTGTACGAAAGGGATGCCCTCAATAATTGAGACACTCCCAAAAAGGAAATCTAGCCAAGCCCGGAAATCCCCAGATCGGGCGGGTAGCAGCAGATCCCGACGGGACGGTTTGTCTCAAAACGGTTCACGAGCAAAGCAAGGGATAAGATAGTGTATCCCTTTCCTCCCTATCTCGGAGAGTTTTTTTGGGTTGTTCAGCTTCTGAGTTTCTTACTGATTGACTCCAACGGTCCAGATCGGACCAGATCTATCGGATCAGATATGGAGATTTGAGGTGGAGAGAGATGCTAGTGTCATTCATTAGTTCATCCCTTCGTGGGAGGTGGGGTTGCGGAGCCGTTGAGATGATATACATACATATGGAGTACAGTATAGCAAGGCTGGAGAGCTTCCCAGAGTCGCACCTCGCAAACACACTCTCTCTTTTTTTATCTGTCTCTCTTTTTCTCTATTTTCTCTCATCCCCTATAATTCATACTGAGAATGTTCTAGATATGTGTCTTAGACTTGAGGCCAGCGCATCTCGTCTCGGCTGACCGAATACAGTAAGAGGTATATAGTGTATATTCTGAGTGATATTATTGAGGTAGCCATTGAATTCAGTATATTGGTTCTCATAATTAAATTTCACTCAGAAGAGTGTATGCGAGTGACAAATACTCCAATACACTTGCTGAGTAAGTATATTATTTGTCACAAGTCAAAACACCTTTCCTACCCATTCGTCATCATTATTACTACACATGCAGTTTAGCATCAACACATCATCTAATTTTCACTCAGTCCATAAAGAAATCAGCATTCAATAATCCTATCAACCAGGATAGTGTTGTAGCAAGACGGTTGGGTGAAAAAAAATAGATTAACTTCACGTCCTTACCGCGAGAGAGCATCTCAAACCCTGTAATCAAAAGGACTCGCAGAAATAGATATCTCCGTTGAAATAAAATCTATATCTATCTATATCGTATGTAGTTGACAGACTGTCCATCGAAACCCTTCAGATAACAGGCCAGAAAGACAACGCTTGGGTGTCTGTCATCAATCATTATGGACCTCGAAGACAGAGTAATTCTAATAGATTTTAATAATATTATTTCTGAAGAGAAATCATAATAAATGGGCATGATTGAGGTAGTTGTGATAGCAGTAATGTATATATTTATATTCCTTGCTCTGTTCACATCTAAGTACAGTACATGTAGTTCGCACACCGCGGGGGGAGACAAAAATAAGATAAAAGCCGAAAAATCAAGTGTATGTGGACCGTCTGCCTTTTCTGGAATTCTTCATCGTATCGAGTACCTAACATATCGAGCAAAAATATATAGATAGTAGATATACTGACAAATATTTGATTTGCAAGGATCAAATTTCTACCAATTCCTATCAGACAGTATTATCATCGGCAAACTACTACCCCGAGACCGATTTTTTTTTCCCCCTACCGTAATACTTTCTTCCATCAACCCGAAGCTCCCCGCGAAAAAAGAAAATGACAATCGGGGCTCCCGCGGAGAGAACTTGTCGGGTGAAGGTTTAGGCGGAGATTATGCGGAGAGCTTTTCTCCCGAGGATGAATCCGTGAGCAAATTGCCCCACTAAGCTTCTATGACATCCAATCCAACTGCCGTTTCTTGATCAACCTCGTGACGGCAAAATGAAGCTTCTCCCCGAGGTTAGGGAGATTGACTTTAGGAACAGATTCTGCAATTCGATACGAGCTGGAGGCGGCGGGGATCGGGTTTTGTTTTAATTTTCTCGAGATTATATATTGAAGTATTGCGGCGATTCTCAGATGTCTTCATGACTTCATGACTGCTGACTACTTAACGACTTACTTCTCGTGATAGTTTGTTACTGTCGAAGTGCATCTAACCGGTCATCATGTCGCCAAGCAAGATCGATACGAGGCCGTCGTATAAGATCGCCTCCATCCCGGCGGATGGCATCGGCCCCGAAGTCATCGCCGCCGGCATCAAGGTCCTGAATAAGCTGGCGGCTACTCTGAACACGTTTGATCTGCACTTTGAGCATTTCGACTGGAACAGCGACTACTACAAGAAGCATGGCAAGTACATCCCGGATGGCGGGTTGGAGGAGTTGAAGAAATTCGATGCCATCCTTTTCGGAGCGGTTGGCGCGCCAGGTATGACAGACATATGACAGACGGACAAAATGCAAGCAAAGTAAAGAAGCATTGCGATTGAGACGTTTTTTCTTCTTCCTCTAGATGTTCCCGACCATATCTCCCTTTGGGGCCTGCGCCTGGCCATCTGTCAGCCCCTCCAGCAATATGCCAATGTCCGGCCTACAAAGATCCTCCGCGGCACGCAATCCCCGCTGCGAAAGTGCGCACCCGGCGACCTGGACTGGGTCATCGTCAGAGAGAATTCCGAAGGCGAGTACGCGGGCCAGGGAGGCCGCAGCCATGTGGGGAAGCCCTGGGAGGTGTCAACCGAGACGGCCATTTTCACGCGGCACGGCGTCGAGAGGATCATGAAGTTTGCCTTCGAGACGGCGCAGAGCAGACCCCGTAAGCTGCTGACCGTCGTTACCAAAAGCAACGCGCAGCGAAACGGGCTGGTGATGTGGGACGAAGTCGCCGCGGAGACCGCGAAGCAGTTCCCCGACGTGAAATGGGATAAAATGCTCGTCGACGCCATGACGACGCGAATGGTCCTGAAGCCCGAGTCCTTGGACACGATTGTTGCGACGAACTTGGTGAGTGGTGACTGCTGTCGGGGTTTGCTGTTCTGAAGAATGTTTGACGAGAGCTTACATACGTCTACAGCATGCCGACATTCTTTCCGACCTCGCTGCAGCCCTTGCAGGATCGATTGGCATTGCTCCCACAAGCAACTTGGACCCGACGAGGGAAAACCCGTCGATGTTTGAGCCGATCCACGGGTCGGCTTTCGACATTACTGGGAAAGGAATCGGTATGGCAGAAGGGTTAAAAACCTCGTTGCAGATACGCCTGTGACTGACTGTCTCGCATTAGCAAATCCCGTCGCAACATTCTGGACGGCATCGGAGATGCTATCTTGGCTTGGAGAGAAAGAGGCAGCGAAACAGCTGCTGGACTGCGTCGAAGCTGTCTGCGAGAAGGGCATTGTCACGCAGGATCTAGGAGGCACGAGCACCACCGCTGAAGTCACTGATGCTGTGTGCGATGAGATTGAGAGACGGCTGGGAAAGGCAAGTGCCTCGCAATAAGCCAGAATCAACTCGATGTCAGCTGGAGCAGATATCCTGAGGAGACTGAGGATGATATTGCCTCGGCAGTCTGTTTATGCTTTATGATGGTGTGCTGAATGGACATACATTGATAGATCTGCACAAAAGATGGGTAGCTCGTTAAGTCGCATAAATATGAAGACAAGTACAAAGCTTTTTTGTAGTTTCTCTAAACATTGTGTACCCGTAGAGTGGGATCATTAGTACGAAGGTGATGGACTGTATCAAGACTCAGTAGTAAAACTATATGGATTAATTATAGAAGAAGTAAAAAAGCTCACATCCCACCGCAGGAGACCAGCTGCCCAGGGGATGTTACGAAATCTCACCATGCTTTTGGTAGGCAGGGTACCTGCTGGGCGATGACGTCTCCAGGGATAACGCAAAATCAGTAGCAATATTCTGGCTGACAAACTGCAGACGAGTTGTACATTCCACTGGGCTACTGACCATGGGCTTTATACAGTGAAAGAGAAGCATGAAATACTCCGGAGTATGTCACTTAGGTGAAGGCGGGCGCAGCCGATGTGATGAGATCCGGTCACCCCGTCGCTTTACTTTTCGTATGCGATGGTGGGGAACTCATATAAGGCAAGATGAATAATATATAAGCTCCAGATGGTTATATCAGCCAGATAAATGCAAAATCGAGGTGTATAACTATCCACATTTTTGCAGTATTTCATGTTGATGCTTATCAGTCTTATCAGTCGGCGCTAATCCATATCGGGGAGCTTCAGCGGAGCGGGAATCTTAAATTTTTGTTCGCCGTGAAAAATCACGAGACGCGCGCCAACACCGAACACCAAAACAATCAGCTTGAAACAGCATCTATTACCTCTTCTTAGATGTTGTAAATGTTCTAGTCCGGTTTGAGTGTTGTTTTTCTGTCGCAGTGAACACAATGTCGCAAAACGCGGGGTCGTCGAGAAAGCGTCGCCGCGAACCTTACAATGTCGACGTCAAGCTGGTCGAGATCTACGAGGACCTGGCCAACGAGAAGGACGAGATCAGACTGAAGGCCGCGCAGGAGCTGGTCTCTCGCTTCACGCCCGAGGCCAAGCCGACCGACGAGCAGATCCAGAAGGCGCTGCAACGACTCTTTCGCGGTCTCTGCAGTGGCCGCAAGGCCGCCCGAGTTGGGTTTTCCATCGCCCTGACGGAGGTCCTGGCACAGGTCTTTTCTTCGTCGAGGAAGTCAGACTCGACGGAGGTGAACATTTCAAAGGTCCTGGAGATTTGGGAATCCGTCTCGGACGCTGGAGGCAGTGAATCAGGCCAGGTTGGTTGCAATTGCAAGTCCTACAGAAGTGAAGGCAAGCTGATTTTCTGCCACAGGAACATAGAGACCATCATTTTGGTCGACTCTTCGGAGCAGAGGCGATCATCAAGTCTTCGATATTGTTTAAGCCTGATGTGCCATTCAACGAGTGGACTCGGCTCCTCACGCTGATAGTCGATCTGGCAAAGAAGAAGCCCTGGCTTCGTGAGGAGTGTGGTTGGGTCATATACCGCGGTATCTACGATCTTGCGGTGCAGAAAGCGGATGTGAAGTTTGTGGAGGCCGCTGTCGACCATCTGTGCTCGAACGAGCTCGCACGTACGCCCGAAGCAGTCGCCGTCTGGCTCGCTGCGAAGGACCTGTTTCCCAATGCGAAACTTCCCAAGGATGTGTGGAAACATGACGACCCTCTGGATGCTCGTGAGAAGAGTGTTTTGGCCAAAGTAATGAAAGAATCCTCTTCCGGGGGAGACGAGTCTAACAAAGACGCCAACTCTACGAAAACCCCGGCTACGTCCAGCGTCTGGACCTCGAAGCTTCACTTTGCTTGGGACGCAGTTTTGACCAGGATTTACGACGCGAAACCCTCACAGGGAAAATCAAAAGACAAGCCGTCGAAATCATCACGCATTAGTTTTGTTGATTTCTGGATTGAAGTTGTTGACAGTAAGTTCCATTCTATACTAATGGCGTACGGTTGACGCAGCTAACGTTCGCATAGATGGGCTTTTCGCCGCTGCATCTTCCGAGGAGCGCAAATACTGGGGTTTCCTCGTTTTTATCAAGGCGCTGAACGAGGCTCCTCTGCATTTGGCTTCTCTGGTTTTTACCAAGAACCTCGTGCGATGTCTGATGAACCAGCTTGCGGTCGAAGACCGATATCTGCACCGCATGGCGCAGAAGGTTGCCAAAGCTATCCATGCCCGAGTTTCGAAGGAGCCCGAGTTTGCCGCTGCGGCCGTGAACGGCCTGCTGGGACCGTCCGGATCAGTCAATTTTGATCAAATTACCAAGACGAAGACGGTGGATAAAATTGTGGTGGAAGCGACTCCTGACGCCTTGAAGCAGATCATTTCTCTGCTGGAGCGCCTAATTGCAGTGCCAGGGACTACGGACGGCCAAGCGGTATCGAGCCGTCAATCTCTTGCCGGTCTCCTGCTGTCGATCGTCAGGTCCCGCAGCTCTCCGGGCGAAGAATACCAAGCAATCATGGAGGACATTCTGACCGTCCTTGTGCGCTTCGCATATTTCGTGGGCCAAGGAGATCAAGCTCCGCATCCACCTCTATCACAAGCGACCCAAGAACATTTCCGAACGAGGATCAACTCCTGCCTGAACAGCCTGGTCAGCAACAGCAAAGATCCCGCTGGTCTTACGTACGCGGTGGTTCGCAAGATCCGGGACTCTGCAAAGTCCGCAGAATGGGGCAATTTTATTATCGAAATGGACGACAAGGTTCGCGAGTCGGTGGACGGAGCTTTCAAGTCATTGAAGAAGCTTTCCAGCAAGGTCAGAACTCTCTCTAACTCTGTATTTTACATGTTCAGACTAACAAAGTAGCAGGCGAAGCATGCTGAGAAAGACCAGAATATCTCAGGAATCCAAGCGTTCAGGCTACTTTATTCCTTGACGATCTTACAAGTCTACAACGGAGACGCGGACGCGGTTTCGATGCTGGACGAACTGGGGTTCTGCTACTCCAAGTTCTGGGGACACAAGAAGTCCGAAAAGGACGAAGATACGTCCGACGCGTCGAACGCCCTGGTTGAGATCCTCCTGAGTTTCGCGTCGAAGCCATCGCAGCTTTTCCGTCGGATGAGCGAGCAGGTCTTTGGCGTTTTCGCGGACCAAGTCACCGCCGATGGACTCCAGTCACTGACCTCGGTGAGTAGGCACAAAAGTTTTACTCGATATTTTGACTTGGCTAATCGTCGAATTTAGGTCCTGGATGCGAAGGAGAATCTTGCCGGCCAGCAGGAGATGTTTGAGAAGCAGGAAGATGAAGATGAGGAGATGGTCGACGTCGATGATATGGATGTGGACGACGATGATGTCGAAGTGGTGGACGGACATGATCATTCGGAAGAATCTGCATCGGAGGAGAGCAGTGACGACGAGTCCAGTTCTGAAGACGAGGAGGACGACAACGAGGAGGACGACGAGGACCTGGCGGCGTTTGATGCCAAACTCGCAGCGGCGCTCGGCACCCACCGAGCAGACCAGGATCTGAACGCCGAGTCATCCGAGTCTGACGCGGACATGAACGACGACGAAATGGAAGCGCTGGACGAGCAGCTGGCGAAGGTGTTCAAGGCGCGCAGAGAAGCACTCAACAAGAAGAAGGAAAAGAAAGACGCCAAGGACACGATGATCAACTTCAAGAACCGGGTCCTGGATCTGCTGGAGATTTACGTGAAGAAGTGCCACTCGAGCGTCCTGGCATTGGACCTAATCCTGCCACTGCTCCGGCTGACGCGCAGGTCGACCGTGAAGCAGCTGTCGCAGAAAGCGAGCAGTGTGCTGCGCGAGTACACCAAGCTCTGCAAGGGGTCCGCCGTGCCGAGTTTGAGAAAGACAGGCAGTGAAAACGACGACAGCGATGACGACGACGAGTCCGGAACCGAGAAGTCCGTCTGGGAACTGCTCCGGGCCGTACACAAGGAAGCAACCCTCAGCGGGCCACCCGCCCACTCGTCCGCCTGCAGCCAGGCAAGTCTGCTGCTGGTCAAGGTGCTGGTCGCGCACAACAGGGACAACATCCCGGCGATCGTGGACCAGTACGCCGAGACGCGCAAGCAGCAGCTGCTCAGCAACAAGTGCCACGTGCAGCCGACCTTCTTCACTGACTGGAACAATTGGTGTGTGTCGGCGGGGAAGCAGTTGAAGAGTCAGAATTGACCTCTAGGAATAGCACTACTTATATGAATGTATGTATGTAGATACATGGACGAGGGGTAATATAATAAATTTCTGGATATTACTGTTGTTGTTATTGTTATTTGTCTTGGCTGATTAGGATATATATATCGCCTCTCTTAAGAGCAATGACTCTGCGTTGTATATATATTGCTTTTTCTGTAAAGCAAAATAAAAATAAAAATAAAAGTAAACTTGAAAAGAAAGGAGGAAGCAAGCAAGGAAATAAAAGAAAAACATGAAGAAAGTTAAACACGGCTTATTCGAGAACGATTCATAAATCAATGATAAGTAATCTGATCTACCCTGCAGTGTGAAATGATGTTATTTATTTTCCTTTCTTAGCATATATTTGTATATTCGTATATATACTTTCAATCATTATCAACACCGTCATCATCATCATCATCAATAGAGCAAAAGCCATCGCTAATCGCTAATCGCTATGCTATCATAAACAATCTGTATACATACATACATACATGTATGTATATCAATATCAACATCAATATCAATATAAGTGATAAGGCTCCATACGGAGGATCACCCGTTACATCCACCCATCCATTCATTATCATCAACCCATCTCATCACTTTCCTCTCAATATAATTCCCAAACTACTGCAAGCAACATCTGGCCTTTTAGAAACCCTTCACATACCGATGCTGCTTCGTCTCCGCCAACACCTCCAGCTTCATCCCGACCTCGATCTCGCCCTCGTTCCGCGGCGCGCTCAGCATGCCGAAGCACGGCTTGTACTTCATGCCCTCGTCGACGCGGCGGTACGACATGAGCGTGTCCCAGGGCTCCGACTGGTGTTTGTTTGCCGTGGACGGGTCGACGTTGGGGACCTGGCAGCGGGTGCAGCGGGCGATGATGTCGATGTCTAGCGGTTTCTTCTCTTGCTTCTGCTCCTTCTCCGGAGACGTAGACGTAGACGTCTGGCTGATTCGCACCAACTTCCACGTGTCCTCTGCCCAGGGGACGGTCCCCTTGACGACGATGTTGGGCCGGAACCGCTCGATGGTGATCGGGTCGACGCCCTTCTTGGCCAGGCGCGCGTTCAGCTCCGCCATCGACGCCTCCGACGCAATGAGCACCGGGTGCACGTCCGGGAAGAAGGTCGTCTGCGTGCGGCCCAGCACGCGCGGGTCTCCGTTGCCGCGCAGCACGCGCGGTGTCGGCCCTTTGTACACCAGGCAGACGTCCTTTTGCAGGAAGGCTGAGAACGGCTCGTTCACGTCGCGCCCGTACAGGTACCCGTCCGTCTCGAGGTCCCAGATCTTGACGCTGGCCAGGGTCGTGTTGGCCGCTAGCCACTCGTCGCTGGGATGCGCGGGGATGCTGACCGTCTTGCCGGACACGCTGATCAGCAGCGACTCCCCGTCGTCGCTGAGCGCTGTGCCGATGAGCGTCATCTGCGGGATCTGCCGGATGGTGAGGAACTCGCGCGTGCGGGCGTCGACGAACATCCACCGCCGGTCCAGGTCCAGCCCTTGCAGGCGCAGCGTCGTCCTGCTGACCTGGAAGCCGCGGCAGGATTTGATGGGATAGACCCGCAGCGCGGTGACTTCAGTGACTGTTCTTTGCCTGTGGCCGAACCGGAGTAGGCTGAGATTCGACTGCCATTTGCGTAGCTGGGGGGAAGTCAAGACCACGATGATGGGGATGAGCACGAGGCCGGCGAGCAGGGCGTTGGAAAAATATGACGATGAATATGAGGAGAGATGGAGACGTAGTGTGTCCATGATGGACATAATTGAATTCGAGATCAATCAGCTCAATTTACTAATTCAATGAATTATTGAAGAGATTGAGTCGAGAATTGCAAACATCAGTCATATCAGTGAGCTATAGTAGCCCTCGAGAATGACTGCCTATCAAAGTGATGCTTTACTCAATGGAGAAACAATCAACCATGGATGAGGGATGCTGTTCGCAGCAATTACCCCGGACGGCGGTAACGGTTTCTCCGGTACCGGCAGTCGATAAATAATCAATCCAACCCCTCCACTCTGAGATGGATTTACTTTTGCATGCCACAACGTAATCAGTGTGGCTATTTTAAATTAAAAAACATCTAATCGAGTTGGGCATTGTATTGATCTCAATGGCTGTGCAATGTTTATAAACAGTTGCAATTTGCCAGGCTACATGGTCAACCAGTATGTATGTATATATATATTCAATGCATATGCATATATGACGGGAACGGCAGGGCGCATTCTATGGAGTCTCCCACGCCCAATAATCAGACAGCTCGCACGCAAGTTGCGGAAATGAGATGAAACCCCAAGCGAGGGGAATATCGGGCCATCGCACCCTTGCTTTGCTTGTATCTGGAGTAACATGTCACGTGGGCTGTTGCGATTGCGGTGCCTCGTCGATCCAACACGTCACCATGGCTTTGATCAGCGCAATGGCGACTTGTCTGCCCGTCTCGAGACTTTGCTCGTCAGTCCAGCTGGGGACATGGAAGAAGACCGAGGCCCGGTCTCGTCCCTCTTGGAGCGCTTGCGACAGACTCGTGTAGAAAATGAATTCGCAGAGATAGCGACCGGCATCTTCGGAGATTCGAATATCGGTCCCTGGCGGCGCAAAGGACTTCCACGTTTCCAGGAAGTGATCCTCCGCGGGATAAGGTACAATCCGAGGAGAAAGAGCCGGCGAAGCGACGTTGTTGTCGGCCTCATCAGAAGTCTTGGCAGGCCCGGGTTTCAGTACGGCGGGCAGGCCCTTCTCTTTCCATAGCTTCTCCCCGTCTTCAAATCCAATATTTCCATGGATATCTGTAATCTGGTAATTGTCGCGGTGTGCCTGCGTTTCCACCGAGTAATACCCCCTCGTCGATGCTATGCCGATATGCACGATAAGATCGGGTCGCCTTCCATTGTGTTTCTGCGCAAAGTCCTCGAGGATCGCGGGCAGTTCGGTCCGCACGCTTGCATATGCCACCGGGATGGGGGAAGGGTGCGCATGGATGAGGATCTCTCGGGGCGTAGCAGACGGTCCCTTCGTGGGGAGAGTGATGGACGAGGGAAGAGATGCTGCAATCAAGTGCGATGCGTTGACGGCATTGCTTTTGAAGGGCTGGAATAATCGTCAGCTATCTGGATTGATCTCATTGTCATAACAAGCCCGAGAAGCAGCGACTAAATGCATACCCCGAAACCGGTCACGAGAACTGATATCGGTTCGGATGCTGGCGGTGAGGCTGAATTGGTCTCGGAAAGGTTGGCAACTGTCCCGCAGTCCCCCATGATGTCAATGTCGATCTATATCCGATAAGGCAAGAAGACAAGAACCTGTTCCAAAAAAAGAATAAAAGAAGAAAATTAAGATAGTCAAAATGGGATCTGGGCCACGCGAGTCAGTTATAGAGACTGTAGTTGGGCAGGGAATGCAGAGCATGACGCTGGCTGCAGAGAGGGGTCGAGCATGATAAATGTTCCCCGCGATCGACTGACTCGCCGCATCCGGCGAGCACGCTGATTGGTGGACAACCAGAGTTATCGATACAGCTGCTGCTCGATTAGAGATCGGATCCTTCATTATAGCGATCGCGAAACACACCCAGTTTCGACGAAGAATTTGATAGATGTGATAGGATATTAAAAAATAAAGCCAAACGAAATTCCCTGCTGTGTGAAAGTTCCGGGCTGGAGGCTGAAAATAGGTGTACTAAGATGGCTGGAAGGAATATAAAGCTCACCCCCCAGTTGTTTAAACTTAAAGCTGTTAGAAGGTGCTGCCAAAACCATGCTTCTCCTGTGACAGGCCTTTTACATGCCTTTGACAGCCAGGGATTTGCTGACGACAGCGCGTCCAAACCCAGGCCCCAGCAAGTTGGGTCAGACTGTTACCACTTGAGCTAGAGTTCAGTTGGAAGGACAATCATTGTTGTGAAATTTATGCTGCATGGTTGCCTGGGTGTCTATGTTGACAGAGAACCTATCTAGGTAGGTAGCTATCGACCCTTCTCGGTTGGTAGGTGACCTACCTAGGCGGCCCATTGTGCACCAAATCAACCCATCTTGTTGATTATCACAATCGACAAAGTTCAAAGTAAGTAACTACATCATTCAGCATGTAAGACAGGACCAAACGTCGAATCCTAGGATAAGTCCAACTACGCTGCATAAATATTCAGGTCTAAATTATCCACAGGCCCGCTCGTCTGTGCCTGTGGAAGTATCAATTGAAAGCCATTTTTTTTTGTCGAGATGAGGAATATTAAGGCTGGCTGTGAGCAAGAATCCCAAAACAGCAGCCTCGGGACCCCCACACTCATTTGGGGTTGTTGTTTTCTTCAGGTTCGCATCCGACCGGCGAGGCTTGTCTGCCAGCTCGAGACTCGTCAGGGATTAATTTTTAAAAGCAGCTGAGCGGCCAATGAGGAAGATGGATACACTCATCGAGCGCCTTACTGGACGGAAACAATGAGGCGTTGATGCACCGTCATGGTCAGTGCGCCGTGGGAGACCAATGGCAAAGACCGACGGAGAGGAAAATCGAGGCAATTCCTGAGCCCTTTCAAGAAAACATTGTTGAGAAAATGCCGTTTTATTTATCAATCGGGTTCAATGCAGTGAGTTGGCTTGCCTAGTGGCGTGTGACCGCAAGGAATGGAAGATGCGGCTGTTTACTCTGTGGTTAACTGCCTAAGGCATCACTGGTTTATAGACAGGTTCTGGAATCCAAGATAGAACCGCTACATCGTCCGGCCAGAACAGTTGCCAGCCATCTGGACCCAAACATGAAGCTGGAATCACAGAGGCTTGGATAGTGCTTAATGCAAGCAAGACCCGAAAATGAGGGAAGAAGGCGTTTTTGCCTAGGAATTAGTAACAATAGTTGGATCTCTGTTTCTGTTTTTATCAGCGGTGGGGAACTCTTCCAGCCCCGGGACTGCGGCGGCCTGGTGGAGTCAGGAAATCGTGAATCGTGATGAACCGAGCGGTACACCGCACGATCGGATGGAGCCCGAAGCCCCATTTCCTTCCGATGATCACCAACAGCAGCACTGTCTTCCCCGATCAGGCATGATGAGTCATGACGAGGGGATTGATGCAAAGCAGTTCTATAGGGCAATGCCTACGCGTGACTGCCCAACCGCCTGGAGTTCAGCCTGGATGGAGACCAGGAGAACGGCAAGATGGATGCGAAGTGCAGGACATCACCGTGGTGACCAGTGGGGAAGTGGGCCATTGCCATCATGAACAGAGGGTCTGGTGGACTCGCATCAGCCCAGCCAGCAGCAAGGAGTCCGGAATAGCCTGCGAGCAGTTCATAAGCACGAGTACTCCGTACGGTAGACTCATGGGGTGCCCGCCGCTGGAGCCATGGTAACGGAAAACTCCTCCAAGTAAATCTCCTAGCCAGGGGTTGTGGGGGGGGGTTGTACCGTAGTATGTATAGCATCAGTCTCAACTAAGCTGGATTTGGGGAGGACCCGACAGACTCAGAAATTGAGTCATCGGCAGACTTCCCAGACTGACAGTCAGGGCTTGAGAAATTGAATGTTATAGGTGCGAATAGCGCGGTCCGGCAGGAAAAGGAAAGGAAAAAAAAAGCTCCTACTGGTGTACGCCAGTCGCAAGTCACGAGAGTTGTGACATCCGTACAGGGCAATGCATTTGACCAATCAGAATGCAGTTTTGTTTGTTTAATATGACTGTTCCTGACGCGCCTGTCCGAGACGGTAATATTACTCGACGCGCGCGGACGCGTCTGCGGGGTGCCCGACGCGTCACACACGCGCCGCCGCCGCCTCGCTCCGTCTCGCGCCTTCCTCGCGGGCCGAACCGGCCTCAGCAGACTCGCAAGCGCCTTCTACATTGGCATTGGCGCTGTCATTGTGCTATCAGACTGTCCAGCATCCCTTTGGGTACTGGAAGGAGGTATACGCCTCTTCCAAGCTGACCTTGACAAATTCCTGGGGCCTTCCACGGGGCCAACCTCGGTGTCAGCTGGTCTGCGCGGCTGACGGTCGATCGCCGTTGGCGTCTCTGCCGTTGCTGCGCAGCGAATGCTGTGGCCATTTGATCAACTCACCTGCGTCTCAGGCTGCTAGCTGCGTCTATCGAGCACATTGCGCGTCCGCTGCTGCCAGGCGTCGAGGCGCTTGAAGCAGGGGGGGAACCGCGGCCCGCCACCGACTGGGCGAGGCGAGCGCATCCTGCGTCTCCACCACAGGCGCCTGAGACGTGTATTTCGCGCCGCCATCCCGCCCTGACGAACGCCCACTAAGTGACTAACCCTAGCCCAGGTTCGCCCGCTCCCAGCCCCCTCATTTTATCACAGCTCTCTGCCTTTCGTGCCCCGAATGCGACTGAGGACTGGCTCCTCATCTCTGAACGGACAAAATCCTCGAGCGCGGTGGCAGAAGGACGACGGTGACAGTGTACGGCGTAGACGCAGGACGCCGCCCCAATCCGGGAGTTCGCTGCTGCAGCGCCGTGCACTGGCGCCGGAACCCTTGCAGTTCGCGTCAGTAACCTGCAGCAGGCTGTGTGGTCTCTCAGGCTCGACTCGAGTCCAGCGGTTTGGCAACCGGCAACATTGGCACCTAACAATCGCATCCTCTAAAGTAGACGGACCTGGGGGTGCAAGACCGTTTCGAGCCAAACTTTAGCTTACAGAATCCTCATTGACACCGAGGCGTCCATTCAGCACTGCGATCGTATCCTGTTCTCATTGGCGCAGCTGGCCCGCTGTCTGCGTGATTCACCTCCCCAGGCATTCCAAACCCAGTATCTCTTCCTTTCAACGTTTCCCCCCAACTTGCGCTGCACTTGGAATCCCAGGAGCTCACGCCTGTGCCATTGGAGAGGCTCTGGGACGAGTATCAATTATTATCCTTTCAGCTACGGCATACGGCGTATATCGATCGTCCTCCCCGGCCCCGCTTAGATACTGGGACTTGGATTATCTTGATCCGCTGGGTCCACTCGACGGATACTGTATACAGTATTATTATTATTATTAGCTCTGCCAGCCTACGGCCTTCGCCTTTCTCTTAGCCTTAAGCTTGCTTGCTGGTCTAGGACTAGCCCGATGCATTGACGTGGTTCAAGGTCTGCGATTTGGGTGGTCAGTGTGGGACCCCCAAATTGACACCGCACAGCGCCAAATATCACCTTTGCCGTCCACGACCGCATCCTCCTTGACCAGCCATCTTTTCCTTGCGAGCGACGCGCTCGCAACGTCAAGTCAATTGCTGCTGGGCTGTCACTCCTATCGTCCGACGTGATCCCTTTTCCTTTGTGTTAGGCAGGCGTTGTGTGTGTCTCCCAGAACCCCCCAAGAAGCGCTCTGACTGATACGGTACGGATACTTGGGACGATCAATTCGAGTCAGATGCGCTTCGCGGGAGGCTGGCGCTGCTTTCCTTAGGATCCAACCTCAACGTTCTGGACGAGTTCACGCACTGTCACGACGACCGATTCCGGCTTCTCATTATCTCTCCTATTGTTGCATGTGTTTTTTTTTTTGTCACGACTCATCGTTCTTTTATTGATTTCATTTTCTTTTCCGGTGACGCCCAGCTAGCAAAATTGGCGCTTCCCGATTGATGTCGACTCTGTGATCAGACAACTCGGAATCGCAACGACCAGAACGAAAGTCACGAGATAGCGATCACTCGGGCAGTTCATTGGCTTCGATAACTGGCATGTTTTGAGTTTACGGCGCCCAGAATGACTCTTTGAACGCCATGAGACTGTTCGAGTGCTAGGATCACAGAGATCGAGATGTTTTGGACAATAGCTTGATCCCTTTGGTTGTCTCGACGAAAATAAGGCGTATCTTGAACGACCAATCCGCTTGTGTTCGACCATCTTGATATGCGGCATCAATCTTCATCGCCTCGCTGTTCTCCCATCATGGCGCAGCAACCGCAGGGCTTGTCCCGTACTCTCCCCAAGGATTTCACATTTTCATCGGTCGATGCAAGCGCACCGAAGACGCCCGAACACCCTTTCACTGAACTAGAAATGCCACCTCCTCCCCGTCACTCAAGTTGTCGTATAGGAAAACCCCGGTTGCGAGGTCCAGTCAATCTGTTTACAAGTACAGAGGGTGAGCCCAATATTTTCGACCTCAGCAGAGCCGATGTTCCTCTTCCATCGATCGAGTTTCCCCCATCTTCGGAAGTGTCTGAGCCAGAGCAGCCTCCAAATGAGCCCGTCACCTCCGATCTCCTGCAAGTTCCCTCTTCGAGACGCATGGCGTTCAAGACACCACCAGCTCAGATCCGAACAACGCCTTTCAACTTCCCGGAAACGACGCCATGGAGTTCTGACGATGCACAGGAGATTGGGAGCTCAATTGAACGTCCGGGTACGGCATGTTCCAGGGCATCAGACTCTTCAGTTTCCTCGGTCGAGACGTACATGACCCAGCCTTCCCTAGGCGGTGGAAGCTGTACCAGCCTGGAAAGCGATGTTCATGACTCCTTTGACTCTAATCCTGCAGAGGCGAACAAGTTTCTTCTCGAGTCTCCGTCGCGGCCGACAACTACCCGGAGACGATCCCTTGAACTACCAAGGGAGAAATCGAGATGGACAGCAGATATGGACAATCATCTCTGGAATACGTACCAGCTCTATCTGCAAGATCCTACCATCACACCATTCAAAATGCTTCCCGGTAGTTTGCCTCCGCTCGGAGTCTCTCACAAAGTGGCCCGTGAAGCAAAGAAGACGTGGGCTCGGAAGAAACTCAAAGGTCAGCAACCAATCCATTCATCACTTTTTCAGGCGACTGACGCGGATCGTTCAGGGGCCCCTGGCAAAGAAGACGGAGCTTCTGCAGGCAACCGGAGTGGCAGCAGTACACCGACTGCGAAGGTCGAACCAGTGAAGCCTCGTTGGCCAAGATCCGAAGCTGCAACGAGGAGGCGGCTCAAATTCCTCTGTAAACGAAAGTTATCGATCGCTCCACACTATCAGCGAATGTTACAATCTCGCAGCCCCTCGCCTTTCCCGGATGTTTTCTCCCTGACTGCTCGGGAACCTCCCAGATCCAACGCAGGGCACAGCAATCCGGCAACATTTGCTACCCGCGAGCTTGGAGTTTCCCTCGTCTCGAATTCTCTTCCTACAGCGCTTTCGCAACTTGCTGCTACACCTGATCATGCTTCCGGGCAGGAAAGGAGTGATGATTGGTTCAACCACCCAGTGAGACAGCCTGTTCAGCAGGCCGGCAACTCGGGCTCGACGGCAGCAGTCATCCTGTCCGGTACCGATCCTATACCCCGTCTTGGCTCTCCTTTTATGTACAACACATGGGGTCCTGATCACTCGCGCCGTCCTGCTCCCCCAACCACACCGGCCAGGCGACGGGGCACGATCCATGTAACTGGCTCAAGACTGAGATCGCCTCCGCGTATGGAGCTCAATTCGAATGTACACAAGCGCCGTGCAACGCATCAGCTCGATCTCAGCCCCAACGCTGGCGGCATCCAGCGTAACATCCAGGACCTCTTCCGCGGGGGCAAGTTGAAGGACGGCCAGCGACGAGTGCGTCTTCGCAATCGCGGGAACACCACTGCTGGTTTCACTTCGAAGGAACGCCTCGAACAACTGTTCTCCCCCCTTTCGCCTTTCCAAGTTCCTGGTAGCTCCAGCCATGATCGAGCGGAGACGCAGGACGTTCGTAATGACCTGTTGCACCCGGGTGGAGAGACTATTCGGCGTTTGGGCTCACCATTCAAATTCGACCCCGGACCACGCATCGACCGTTCACCAAGGACTCCACGTCATGCTCCCTCGCTCTCAGATCCATTCGCCGGAAGTTCCTTCCACAGACAGATCAAACGTGACGATCCTAGTCAGGTCTCTCCCATCAAAGAGCAAGAAACACCTGTGCGACTTCCTTATGACCCGACGGAGGAGGGAATTTCTGATGCTGAGCGAATTCGGAGGCAGATTCTGAACTTGCCATTCACGAAGAAATAAATGTAAGTTGCCCATTTTAGGGGTCTTTGCGGACCACCAGCTAAAAAAAAATTGATAGGCGGTGACAAACCTATGCGTATGGCGCCATGCTTACAAAGACTTGACTCGCCGGATCTTCCCCCAAATTCAACTTTCACCATTTCTCTTCGATGTAAAGAAACTTTATGATATGAGTTACGGCTTCGGATATAACAGAGAACGAAGCCCTAACAAAAATTTTACGACCGTGACGACATGATCATACGACTTTGGTTGCCTTTGAGTCATAAAAATTCACCAGTTTTGATTATGGTCGAATGATGATTCAGCTTAATTTTCCCTGCGCTTTTCAAAAGATCGAAATCTCCGACACTGCGCATCGTCCCTTTTTGACGACTGGCATTTGCCTTACGATGGACACGTGCGACCTGGCAAGATGATGTCAATGTACGGAGTCGAATCTTTGGCCCTTTGATGATTGCAAGGGCTACGTGATTGACGAGTGATACGACACATTACTATCTTTTGTTTTCGTTTTCTCATTTTTCTTGAATCTGGTTTTTTTTTCTTACGCTGATGGAGTGGGGTAAGACGATGGCGGTCACTTCCTGAGTGACATTGCTTAACTTGAGTTTTTTTTTTTATCCGCCGTCATCTACCCTGCTTCTTCATGCCACCTCATGACTGTCTACACTCTCTTTTTATATTTCCTTCTATTCTCCTTGTCCAAATTCGACGTTTTGCTGGTCTTGTCCATCAATACCGAAGACACACAGGCCTGGCAAGACTAGCAGAGACGAAGAATGGTCTCTCATTACTCTTCTCTTATGAATACCCCTTTGGCAGCATACTGTTGCCTGTCCCTTCCTTCATTCCCTTTGATTTCCTTTTTTCTTTTTTTCTTTTCCTTGATTTCCTGTCAACTTCGCCACTTCGACTCTTGCTGCCACATCATCATGATTTATTTGTCTGATGCGCTCGTCCGTCCATGATAACGTTTTGATGAGTGATGACGATTGGACGCTGCTCCAATGCTTACTTATTATTGAGTGAATGACCCGTGGATGATGAATGATGGCGAATCTTATGATATGATATTGATCGAGCCTGCCTGTCTGTCTGTCTCAGTTTGTTCCAATCTTTTTCTTTTCTTTTCTTTTCTCTTTTTTTTTTCCTTCTATCTCTCTTTTCTCAGATTCACGACTCCATTCTCAGTCTATCTTATCTTATCTTTCTTGTCCTATTTTTTTTCTATTCTTATCTTATGACATCCTCTTCCTTCCCATCTTTCATGCCAACCGACCATCAACGATGAAAGAAAGCATGCATCATGATGCATGGTATCGATCAATCAATCATGTGTCTGTCACGAACTGACGTTCGAGCCATGAGCCATGACTGATGGATGATGAACTTGAACTTGAACTTGAGCTGGCTATCTTAGATAGGATAGAGGATCAATTTTATTTTTTTATTTTTAACTTTCATGTCATTCATCTCTCTTTCTACATGATTATCATTAATCATTAATAAACCAGCTTCGTAGGGTGTATGTAGAGTAGGAGTAGGAGAACTTAAGTATGACATTGAGACAATAACACTAAATTAAAAAAAAAACAGAGAAATTCCTTTCGTCCAGCCATTCATGAATACTAAGTAGGTAGGTAGGTACCTCATCAAGTAAGTACTTCATCCTGTACTGTACTGTACACCCAAAACAAAACGCCTTCGCTAGGAACTAACATAGGAGACAAAAAAAAAAGAAAAAGAAAAAAAAGAAAATAGAGAGAGAGGGTATGGTGAAGGTAATAACTCAGTGACTGTCCTTGTTTTAATGATTCAATTCACTTCTCTCGATCAAGTTTCTCCTTCCTTCGAGATAGATGAGCCTCCAACTTGCGGATCTGCAGCGAGAGACCCTTCTTCTCGGCATTGGCGACTAACCACGCCTCCATCTTTTCGCGGACGTATCGCATCGAGTTTAGCACGGGGAGTATGGTGCTGTTGTTATTGTTGTTGTTGTTGTTGTTATTGTTCCCCTCCTGCTCCATCTGAACCCAGCGATCGGCGCCAGGATTCAGCAAGAGATCGAAAACATCGTTCCAGATCTCGCGGTCCCAGTAGCGTTTCAGGGATTCTCGAATGCGGTACCTTTTCGCGCCGTTGCCGTTGGAAGAATTCCTCCTGGAATTGTCGGGGACTGATTCGAGGTATTTGCCAAAGAGCATGGTGTGGATCGTCACGGCGACACCGTACAGATCGATCTGATACGTCCACGGCCTCATCTCGCGCACTTCGTTGCACTCGTGTTCCCCTATCTCCCACTCGGCGATGAACTGCACGCCGGGCTGGAACGCGCGCATGTCGATTCCTCGCCCAAAGTCGATGAGCGTGAGGCCTCGCTGGCGCCAGTTGCATCGGCCCCGTGGCGAATAGTGGACTTCGCTGGGATCCGCCATGGCGTCGTCGTCTTCGAGGTCGATGAGAGACTCACTTGGAGGCGTGGGAAGACTAGCCTTGGACTTGTCGTCAAATCGGACGAGACAGTTGTCCGGTTTAATGTCACCGTGCAGGATACCGCATGCATGGAGTCCCTCCACGGTCCTGAAGAGCTCGACGGCAAAGAACATGGCCAAAACTTCGTCCATTCCAGCTTCAGCGTTCCCCGTGCTCGTGATGGCTTCCGTGCGGACGATGTTGACGAGATCCAACAATGTGCCTTGACCACGGTAGTCCTCCACAAGGAACGATTGGTTTTTGAAGAGGTGGAACTCATGGGCCTGAACAATGCTTTCTGCCGCTCGAGAATGCTGTGGCGAGTTGCGCAACCGATCGTGCGCAATCCTGATCATGTAAAACTCCCACGCGTTCGGTGGATCAGTCTCCACCTTTATGGCCTCGAGATCTTGCCGATACATAGTGCGCTGCCATCTGCTGCTACTGCCGTTTGGAGAAAAGCAACGCTTGTTGTTGGCATTGACGACGTCACTTTCGTTGTCTGCAGACGAGTCATTGTCGACACTGTCCACACTCTCAGCAAGATACACGGGGGCATAAGCTCCAGCTCCTAGCTCTCGCCTGATAGTGTAGTTTCGGTCTGCACCCTTAAACCTGAGAACTGGAGCATTGAATGCTGCCTTGTCTCCACTTCTCGAGGGCTTTTTCAGGGCCTTGACAAATTTCTGAATGTCCGCCGCATGGTTGCCGCACACGTCAGAGTGGTCGTGATATCCAGTGTAAGATGCCAAAGGTGGATCAATAGATTTGAGAATCTTATTGCGGATGCCCCTGTCCGTAGGGTCGCATTGCGCTTCTTTGATGATGAATGCCTTCTCAAAAATGTTCTTTGACGAGCCATGCTTTTCAGGGGAACGTCGCAATTTCTTTACAGGGATTGGCGAAAAGTCCCCAACATCAACGGACAAGTCTTGACCTTTTAATTCTGTGACGTCTGCAACTGGGCTAGAACCCAGGAGATCTCCAACTGGTAGACCAGGGGGCGTGTGGTTTGCCTCTGGCACAGGCTTGCATGGTGTTTTCGTGTCGTAGTGATTTCTTGCAGCTGTCATAGAAGGAAGAGAGTTTTCTGTCCTCTCAATGATGGGGGTCATGAAAGGCAGTCGATTCGGTGCCATCATAGCAGCATCGCGGTATAGGCCAACAGGGGGGTTGTAGTCCTCAGGCATCTCTGGGATAAATCTCTCTCTCCTTGGCTCTGGAGCGCTGTTAGCAAGCGGAGATAGATAGGTTTCATCTGGAAACTGACCATTGGAGACGCAGTCAGGTTCTGTTGCATCCAGGTTGTCACCCTGGGTGCTTTCAGGGTGTTCACCATCAGAGATTTTAGGGACATGCTTGCTGGTTGAAAATTCAGTCCATTCACCAGCATCGACACTGTCTGTATCCTCATCATCCTCATCGTCTTCATTTGTCCTCCTTAGCGTACTGGTCTCGTCATCCCCGAATTCACTTGTGCCTGCAGACACCCGACCAGTCCCAGTACTTTCACCCGCGCTAGTATAACCATCATCCTCATAGTCACTCTCGCATAGGCTGTCACCGTGATCTGTATTAGCAATCTCTGATTTCAGTGGCTGATTAAATATGCTATAGATTTCATCTGTTGCAGCGCGAGTGTGGAAGGTCATGGTTGGCTCTGACGTGTTTTTGCGCTTTAACTTGGGTCCAGTCGGAGAGTCCAGGTTTGTTTTAACTGCGCACATTGTTCAGCTCTAGAATCGCAGCACAGTAATTCATGCGATAGGGGAATATGCTTACTTGTGATTGTCTCGCCAATCTCCCGCACCTTGATCTTTCTAGCCTTGCTGGATTTGCCATCACGAGGTTCCTCCTGGAGTTCTACTGTCTCTGTTTGATGCGAGGACTTCTCTCGAATTGCGAGTCTTTGGTTCATGTCCCCCTCCAAGGCCTTGTCTGTGCTCTGCTGCTTGTAATCCTGAAGGGGTGGATTTCGACTTGTGGCATTTCCTGAGATTTCTTTCAGTGCCTTTTTCTGTAAACTCCAGTCTTTCTGCATCCAGCCCCGGCTGATCGCCCGGAGTTCCTCGAAACTTATCTCATAGCCGGGATTCTTGTAATCCGGATATACGGCTTCAAGGTTCACAAAGACGCGCTCTCTCCTACCGGTTCGTGGATTTACTGCTTCTCTTACATGATGGTCGGGAATCTTGCGTTGACCTTGTGATTCATCTTGTGCATCTGAAGCTGACTGATTACACAAAAACGCAAAACGCCAGTACCCATGCCAGTAATTAGTCCTGTGATCGTAAATATGTGGAATTCAGAAGAGAGGAAATAAACTTGAATGGTACTTACCTCATCCCTGTAAATCGTCATCTTCTCAACCGGTCGTGACCTCTTTTCCGTCTTCAAGGTCTCTCCAACCCACGGCTTCGCCTCCATTGTGTTCTCTTTTCGTCTTTCCCGAAGCGATCCAATGCTCTCCCATCCTTTTGACTGTGCGCTCACAGCAGGTTGACTACCAGCTGAGGCGTCTGCATCAGAGAAGACAGCAAGCTTGGGCTTTCCGGATCTGGTAGTTGAGCCTCCTCCAATGCCAGCCCTTTGCCGCTGAGCTTGAGAGTCTGCTGGCGCAGTTCGCGCAGAGGAGAAGGGGTCAACTTTTGCCGCCAACGCCGGACGGACTGTTGGCAGAGCAGGTGAAGAAGGTCCGTCACTGCCCCGAGGCCTCTGTTCGAATCGAGTTTTGAATTCGCCGAATTTGCGAATCAGCCTCTCTACCGGACGTGCTTCGCGCTCTATGCCCAACTTGTAGACTTCTTCTGCTTGCGTCCATCGTCCAGCGCCTTCCAGCCAAGCCGCGTACTCCTCATAGAAGAGCGCCAGACCCTCGCCCACATGATGTCGCGCAAGGAATGCAAATGTCTCTCGCGGGGCATCGGAGAAAAGTCTTATGTAGTGCAACCATAGTCGCAGATAACGAGGGTCATTCTTATAATGTGGTGTGGTAAGAAAGGCCTTGGTTGCTCGCTCCAGCAGGGGAAGGAGCCCAGACTCTGGAGTTGCCTGCGCCGAGGGATACGCGTTCAGCGTCCACTTGACATAACGATCGTATACGTCGAGAGGGTCGTCGGAGTCGACGCTTGCTTGAATTTCGGCTTCATACTCTTGTCTGATGGCGTCGTTGAGCGTTTTCGTGTCGTTCGGGGATGGAGAAGCAAACTTATCACCCTTGCTTCCCGACGAAAATATCTGGGCGAGGGCTCGTGCTGATCGTCCACCTGGGAGCGACTGGATGTTCTCTTTCTGTGACTCGATCACGTCGAAATTGATGAGGTCTTCGGAGACCGACATGTTTGCGACTCGCGCGATAAGAAACCTTCTGTTGCTGGTGTCTAGTCGAAGATCATGCGCGGCACGACGAGTAGATACAGAGAGTATCTGTATGTCTTCCGTCAAATAAGGGCTGCCTTTGCGAGCCCTTTGCCGTGCCGCGAGTCGCTGCTAGTTAGTATAATGAGCAGAATTGCAGACTTTCTGTTATCAGTGTTAGGATCTGCCTTGTTGCAGATAAACAGCCAAACTCGTCGTTGCCCCGGTGACCAGTCACGTGAGTTAAAATTAGCCTCGTAATGAGTCAGCGCAAGTTGGAACCTTGAAGCTGTATACTAAGCATTGTGCAGATTTAAAAATAATTTTAGCATTGTATTCTTCGTCTTTTTTTCTTACTCCTCTCTGTTGCTAATTGCTAACATGACAATGATAATTCATGTATCTTCCAATGCGCAGGTATGCAGTACTTCACCGTGTATGGTAGACGAGGGCGACCAGTCGCGCTACTTCTCGGCGGCGCGAATGCCCGAGCTGCAGCTTCCCGCCGGAGCTAGCAGCTAGCAGCTATCAAGCACAAGGCGCCTACCAAGGTGCTATGCTCATCCATCAACGCTGATATCAGTCTCCTGGTCTTTTGTTTTCTTTCCTGAGATGAGCGTGAGAATACGCAACAGAGATACTTCTTAGAACCGATTCTGCAATGCCTGCGCGCGCCTCCCGCAGAGCACCCGCTGCGGCCCCAGAACCATTATCCAGCACAAATTCACCACTGAACGGTAGCAAGAAAAGAGATATTGATGACATACAGGGCGAGTCTTCCCCTCTAAGGAGGTCAAAACGAGTGAAGACGGGTGTAGGCCTGAATCTTCCTGCAGACGAGGACGAATCCACCAAAAGCCCTGTTGAAGACAGCAGAGCGCCTACTGACAGCCCGTCGAGATCAAAGCGAAGGAGCGCGAGATTTACGGAGACGCATGTGAAGGCGGAAGAAGAGGATCTCTCCAGGAGTGTGAAGTCGAAGCGTACAGAACGATCAGCACTGAAAAAGTCCTCTTCCACAGATAACAACGCCGAGGGTGTTGTCGTGGCTAATGAAGCAGAGGAGGAGGAGAAAGAGGAAATAATCACAAAGAAAACGATCTCTAGAAAGACAAAGACCACAGAAGAGAAGGAGACTGACGTGATGGCGCTGGCCCCACGAACCCAAGGTCTGCGGATGTTTGTGGGAGCTCACGTCAGTGCTGCCAAAGGTTCGTTATCTTTGAAGTCCTATCGCTGTCGATTCCATCAGCCGCTGCAGGCTTTGTATGTAAATCAGCTAAAATATGAATTTTTGTGCTCTAGGAGTCCACAATTCCGTAATAAACAGTGTCCACATCGGGTAATTATTGCTTAGACGAACTGGCCGTAAGGCATGAAAGAGATATTGATAAGCTAACTCCCATTGCATAGAGGGAATGCTTTTGCGCTGTTTTTGAAGTCGCAGAGGAAATGGGACAACCCGCCACTGCAGGATGACCATCGAGACCAGTTTCGGAAGTTATGTGCCGACCATCAATATGACGCTTCAAAGTAAGCATGTCTCTATACCGGAGGCAATGAAAAGGACGCTAATTCGAATCACTGCCGGCCAGACACGTTTTACCTCACGGTTCATATCTGGTTAACCTCGCGCAGGAGGATAAAGCCAAGGCTAAGCAGGCATATGATTCCTTCCTAGATGACCTCCGCCGGTGTGAGCAGCTTGGAATTACTCTCTATAACTTCCAGTTAGTGTCCTTGAACTGTGTTCTCCAGAAGAAGCGAAAAAAGCGAACCTGGTACTAACCGGCATGCAGTCCTGGTTCAGCAAATCAGACCTCACTGTCTTCAGCCATCTCTCGTCTCGCCAAAGCTCTGACCAAGGCGCTCTCCGAGACTTCCACCGTGACGCCTGTGTTGGAGACAATGTGTGGCCATGGCACCACAATCGGGGGATCTTTGTCTGATTTCGCTTCCTTGCTGTCTCAAATTCCACCCGAATATCATTCTCGCATCGGAATTTGCATCGACACCTGCCACAGCTTTGCTGCGGGCTACGATCTGGTATCTCCGGCCGGGTTCAAAGCCTTCATGGACGAATTTGAGAAAGTCATTGGCCTCAAGTACTTACGGGCCCTACATCTGAATGACTCGAAAGCACCCCGAGGAAGCAACCGCGATTTGCACGCCAACATTGGAACCGGGTTTCTCGGTCTCCGGGCGTTCCATAATGTTATGAATGAGAAACGCTTTGAAGGCCTGCCCATGATACTAGAAACACCAATCGATCGACCAGATCCGTCATGGGTAGCTGCTAACGGCGGCAATGCAGAGGGCAGTGACGCCGAAGCGGAAGAGTCAGATGAAGGAAGCACCAAGAAGAAGAAGAACCAGAAAAAACCAAAGCAAAAAGCCTCTAAACCAAAGAAGGTGCCCATGATCGAGGACAAATCCGTCTGGGCGCGCGAGATCAAGCTCCTCGAGTCATTGATCGGGATGGACCCGGAGAGTGCAGAATTCCGGACCCTGGAGGCCCAGCTGGCGGAAGAGGGCAGAGCCGAAAGAGAGAAATACCAGGAACAATACGAGCGGAAACTCGAAGCCGAGGAGAAGAAGAGGAAGAAAGAAGCGGAGAAATCGAGGGAGAAAGGCCAAAGAAGCCTAGTCGATATGATGAAGGGACAGGGAGGAGGGAAGAAGAAGAAGAGGGGTGATGATGATGCCAGTTCAGGCGGGGAAAGTGAGTAACTATTATTAAATATAACTATCAAGCATATAGCAACAGATTGAATCAACCATGTACACTAGTATGACGACTTGTGATTTGTGATGGGCTGCAAAATGAATATCCTTATGGACTCTGTACCTAGCTAATACTTAGGTACCACCCACATGTTTCCCATTCAGGACAGACAGACAGACAGACACTATATATATATTTTTACACCACAGCTTGACAAACACCAACAAGAACCTTAGGCATGCAACCTACCTAACCTACCTAGTCAGTAAAGTCGACCTAGCTAGCTAGGAACAGAAAAGAAAAAGGTTACATGCTCCATGTCTTGCCCTATATATATTTAATACTACCTAGGTAGGCTGCAGGCCTTCTCAGGTTCGAATCACCCTTCTCGTCAGAGAGATGCTAGTCGAGTACTCTACTGTATCTCAAAAAAAAAAAAGTTATGGCTTACTAGGTAGATTCCAATAGGAAAAAAAAACCTTAAACCAGCAACAGGATAAACGGTCGGTATTGGTGTCCCGCCCCGATATCTGTAATTCTTGCTTTGTATCTACCAACAAACAACACAAAACATACCCAAGCGTACGTAACAAGAGGAAAAGCGCACCAGGATATCTAGCGTAATCGCACTAGCAAAAAAAGGAAAAATGGGAGAGAGGAAAGTAAGGAAGGGAGGGAGGTTTTGGATGCAGTCTTCAGAAGAGATGAAACCAGGTACAAGAAACACAGGTTTCTCAGCTGGGATATCTTGTTCTCTCGTGAAAAGAATAAGAAGAAATGAAAAATGGCTAGGGCATCAACATAGAAGACTGTGTACAATCCAAATTTTCCAAGTATGTATGAACGGAACGCCAGACGCCAGGTGCCTATGTTTCTGAATATACATATCACCATAGAACGGATATATGTATTATGAAGGATAGGAAAACGACAGTAGGAGCGAGATATAAATAAGAAGCTTCTGCTGAAAGGTTTGTAGTATACGAAAAAAGAGGTGAACCCACATGGCGATATAGGAACCGCCTATCGCTGTTCCTGCCCATCATGGCCATCTCTATCTCAAAATGCCTCCCAATGCTGCGTCTGCAATTTGTGTCTATGAGCCGGAAATAACTCTGGGGGAAGTGTTTGCGCCACTGGCTCAAACACGAAGGAATCCTGACCTCAACGGATGTGATTTTCCGGTGTGATATTAACGTTGTCGCCCGCTTCCGCAGTCCTCGGGGCACCTAACTCCCCGGCAAAGGCTTGGTCCGATATTGCTTGATATGCTCCTCGACCCTCGGTACTGCTTCCAATTCCAAGTCCCAACCCACGGCTGGTTTCCCGCTCCTCTTCGACGGGTGAGATGCTGTAGCCTTCCGCATGTTGTTCGCGCTCCACCTCTTTTCGAGCATCTCTCCTCATCTTGGAGATTTTCATGTAGTTGTATGAAGCAATACTTCCAATCGTGATAATAAGACCAGACACGTTGACAGGAGTTAGTTTATCGTGGAAAACGACGCCGGCGGCACTGATGGTCACCACCTCTTTGAAAATGCCACATATGCTCAACGTCACGACGGAAGACCGTTTGAGGAGGGCAAACTCGGACGAAATCATACAAAAAGCCAAGACGCCCGGGAAGATCAGGAGCAAGATCCCAGTAACAGGACCACGGGCTTCCGACAAAGCTCCAAGTCCCTCGGCGATCTCGCCGGGCCCTTCGACCGCAAGTGCGATGGCTACAAGGGTGAGGAACATCACGGGGGTGAGGAAAAACAATGTCGAAAAGGGGTTTGAGGTCGCCGGGTGACGGAGAAGGAGAATCTGAGTGAGGGCCCATCTAAAGCCTGAGAAGAAGGCCGAAGCAATCACCAGAGCGAATCCGAGAGCGTTGAAGGCTGTCTCGCCAGCCACCATCATGATGACTCCAATCGTCATGGTCGCAATGATGAGGATCAGTTTGATAGACGGTGCTTCCAAGCGGAAGACAAAGGCAAAAAGAAGGACGAATGCAAGTGCGGAGGATTTGCACATGGTGAGGAAGGTGAGGGAGATGAACTTGAGGGACATGTTCCCAAGGCCAACATCCAGAGATGTAGCCCCGCCGCACGGCACCAGGCGTGTCACATAGAACAGCTTGGTCATAACAGGAGTGTCAGGAGAGGCAGCAGTTCCCGCAGGCGTGGTCGGATGTCGAGGACGAAGAGCCGGAACGAAGTAAAGGATAAGAGCGGACAAGACGAATTGGACAGCCATGTGCAGGCTCGTGGTAAACAGAGGAAAGGGGAAGACAATGGCATCTTCTGAAAACATCCACTTATTGTACTGTTTCATGCGGAGTCAGCATTGCAAGGCTTCAAGATCGACAATGGTAAGAACGACTTACAATCGAGATGGATAGCGAAAAGAGGTACCATAATCCAATCAACGCAGCATTTATCAGCAGCCTCACGATGACATTCTTGTCGGCCAATCGATACGGGTTCTTTTTCGAACCGGCAATGCGAGCGTCGAGCCGCCTGCGCTGCTTCTTTCTCCGCCGCCGTCTTTCATTCCTCTGCTTGGTCGTTAAACCGGTCTCTTCATCATCGTTCAGGTCCTCATCGGATGGCGCATTCTCCAACTCGCCATCTGTCTCCGCAATGGACGATAAGTCGGACGAGTCCGTGTCTTCGGCCGTGAGCGGCTTCTGCTCCTCTCCCTTTGGCCCGTCTCCATCACGAGGGCTCGAGCGGCCTGCCCTCTCCTCATGGGGTTCGTTTGACAGTCGTGATTGCGATGGGCCCCCCGCGCCTGTCAACACCGAACTCCGCCTCCTGTGATGATTTCCTGAGGTCGACAATCCCTCCATGTTTGCATGAGAATCTTCGCCGATCAGATCAGATCCAAACGACCGAGACGGCGCCCATTGGCGGTGAAGGAGGCGGTTCGCAGTCCAGCGGAGACGGAATCCAGCAGATTAGCTCGACCGCAGCTCAGCACCCAGGAGAGCAGATAGGATGAAGGCGCCGGGCTGCCTGATATCTTCCGGCGTGAAGGCGGGCTGGGGGGCGACCGATGGTCGCGTGAGAGGGAGAGTGTCAGGGGCTCCGACGGCCAGACAAGACAAAAAAAAACGGAAGCAAGGGAAGGGACCAAAAACAAAGGGAAAAATTGAAGAGAACGAATAGGGCCCGCAACCAGACGGGGCACGCTCAGCGGACGACGGAGGATGGAGAGAGTTGATGGAGCATGGAGGTCGCAGGCAGACTGGCAGCCAAGGATCAGACCGATCCGGGGTCAGCGCTGGCCAACGTGACCCGGCGGAATCTAAGCTCCGGCCGTACAGCGTCACCCCGCTGCGTACGCCTCCCTTTCAGAGCCAGCACGAGTCCAAGGCTGCTGCCGAAGACGCTGTGGGCCCCAATGAAAGAGATCAGCCGGCGTTCTCTGGTCCTTTCAGATTCCATGTGCAGGGTTGATTCCAAGGACTGACCATGCAGTCAAGAGCCCGCCAGTGGGCAGCTGCTACCAACTCAATGGCGAATACCTGTCGCCAATGAACGCCCAAAAGTCTAAAGAGACTCGGCTGTTGCCAGGAAAACAGTGCGTCCATGATGATGCCATGCCATCGTCGTTCGGCCGGAAGATCCGGCGCAGGACGTATGGGTGCTCTTGCTAGGTACTTGAGCGCCAGAAGACTCCCGTTCTGCAGATGGCGATCTCTGTCTTCTTCTGCACTGAGATCTGGGAACGTTGTTCTATCAGAGCTCTCTTACTGACTTTCGACGCTATAGCCTTACTGACTTTCGACGCTGTAGCCTATCGCAAGCCTCTGTTCCCTCCGTTTGATCTTGCTTTTCTTGGCGGTTGTATGAGATTGAGCACTGTCAAGGACCAAACATTATCATGGCGGAAGAATCGGGATACAAGGCCATCGAGGATTACGGCATCATCGGTGACATGCACACTGCTGCGCTGGTGAGCAAGGACGGCAGCCTGGACTTCATGTGCTGGCCCGTCTTCGATTCCCCGTCAGTCTTTTGCAGGCTGCTCGATAAGAACAAAGGAGGGCACTTCAGCGTCAAGGCAACCTCCTCAGATGGGTCGACGCCGATAAGCAAGCAGAGATACCTCCCGTATACCAACATCCTGGAGACCAGGTGGATTCACGAGGACGGTGTCATTAACCTCTTGGATTTCTTCCCCGTCTCTAACAAGAAGTCCCCCCAGTCTGACCGAAATCTTTCTGGCTACTGTCCATGCACCGAACCCGGTGGGAACCGGTGGAAGACCGGTGCTCGTCATTCCGGCGTCGTCAGGAAGGTCGAATGTGGGCGAGGCGCAATGGATGTCCACGTCGAGTGCTTTCCCGCCTTCAACTATGCGCGAGATGGCCACACGACACGCGCCAATCTCAGCAATGACACAACCGAGAATAAGCTGCAGACCGTGTACTTTGACAGTGCCACAGAACGACTGCAGCTACACATCTTTGTTAACCACCGAGGGGACAGACAGGGTCAACCCAAAACAGAGTTTCAAATTGCGAGCCTGCCCGGGCTCCAAGGGCAGGGTCTGATCGCGGACCTGCGAATCGAGGAGGGTCAGAGTGTCATCTTCGTCTTGCACAGTCCGGAAAAGACCATTCCGGGGGCGAACTTGGTGGACTCCTATCTCGGGCGATTGGAGATGGAGACATTTGAGTATTGGACGGACTGGTGCCGACAATGCACGTTCCGCGGCCACTATCGAGAGCAGGTCGAGAGAAGCCTGCTGGTCCTCAAGCTCCTCACATACAAACCGACAGGAGCCGTGATTGCAGCTCCGACCTTCTCCCTTCCCGAAAACATTGGGGGGAGCCGGAACTGGGATTACCGATACTCTTGGGTGCGCGATACGTCATTTACCCTATATGTTTTCCTCAAGAACGGGTACAGTGAAGAGGCGGAAGCGTATATCAGCTTCATCTTCGATCGCATCTTCCCGCCTACATCGGGCAAGTCACTCATGGAGGTCCACCGTCCCTTTTTGCCCATCATGTTTACCATTCGGGGGGATTACGAGATTCCCGAGTATGAACTTGATCACCTGGAGGGTTACCGGAACAGCAGGCCGGTACGCATTGGCAACGCAGCGGCTTTCCACACGCAACTGGACATCTACGGCGAGCTGCTGGATAGTATCTACCTTTACAATAAGTATGGGAAACCCATCCAGTACGACCAGTGGGTCGCGATCCGGCGGATGGTCAACTACGTGGTGGCCGTGAGAAACTCACCCGACATGTCGATTTGGGAAGTACGTGGGCAACCGCAGAATTTTGTCTATTCCAAAATGCTGCTCTGGGTCGCGCTGGATCGCGGGATACGTCTGTCCGAGAAGCGGGCGAGTTTGCCCTGTCCGGATCGGTCGGAATGGATCCGCGTGCGCGACGAGCTGTATGATGAGATTATGGACAAGGGGTATAATAGCGAGAAGGGCTTCTTCTGCCAGAGTTATGAGCGCCCGGAAGTGATTGATGCAGCGACGATGATCGCACCATTGGTGTTTTTCATCGAGCCAAACGACCTCCGATTCATGAGGACGTTGGAGCAGGTCTTGCAACCACCCGAAAAGAACGGGTTGACGAGCGCGAAGATGGTGTTCCGATACGATCACGAAAAGGCTCATGATGGTACGCACCTATGTTAATGATTTGTTCGCTGGGAGGTATACTAATCGTTTCCTTTCTTCAACAGGAGTCGGAGGCCGCGAGGGAGCCTTCATCATGATCACATTCTGGGCCATCGAGGCCATGTTCCGCGCCTCCAAATACACCAAAACCCTCCCCAGCGAACCCTACGGACCGAACATCCGCAAGACAGCCATCGCCCATTTCGACAACGTCCTCTCCTTCGCCAACCACCTCGGCATCTTCTCCGAAGAAGTCGCCGTGTCGGGCGAAGCGATGGGCAACGTCCCGCAGGCGTTCAGTCACTTGGCCTGTGTCAGTGCGGCGATGAACCTGGCGGGGAGTGGTGACTAGATCTCGTCCTAGGTCCAGAGGTCGCGGTTGGAAAAAGAAAGACAAAAAGAGACAAGTGCCTACATTCCGAAAATTAAAAAAAAAAAGATGGCGAACTGCTTGACATTTACATGCCACGCTTGCATCAATTATTTATTTATTTAGTATTTACAAAAACAGACTGGAAATAAATGAATAAATGAATGAATGAATGCATCATTTATTTAGTGACAGACAAATAAAATAAATAGATAGATAGATAGGGGAAAAAGGATAGGCAGATGAACAACTTTTTTTTCGTTCCTTTCCTTCATTTTCAAATGAATCAGGTGCATCCACCAATCCACCAAGCAGACGGTCCGGTCCAGTCCAGTCCAGTACGAACTAATTACCCTAGGTAGGTAGGTAATTAAGCCGCTTCCGACGGAGCAATATATAGTTAATACCCGTAAAGATGACATCAGCTACCCACCACTTAGCCACCTAACCACCTAGGTAGCTACCTAGGTAGCTTAGGTACCTAAATAGATACTTAAGGTATCTATCTATCTATCTATCTATCTAGCCTAGCATTAGGTACCTATTACAGGCTTGCTTGCGGAGTGCCTTCGCGAAGGTCCTGACTGAGCATTTGCATTTACATGTAAATATAGGCATATAGGTAGGCATTAGTAAGTAAGCCTAGGTACCTACCTAGTCTAGAGGCTTACTAGGTAAGTAAGTAAGTAAATTCATGTATTATTGGTCGATCGGTTGATTGATTGATTGATTGATCGATTGATCGATTATTTGTGATAGAAACAGTTAATTGTATAGTCGTGTTGTGTCGATACCTAATACCTAATATCTAGAATAGGTAGGCTGGCTATTTTTTCCCAGGTCATACATAGATCTTATCTTGCTTACTCGTTTCAGCCCTCAGTAGTAGTTGTAGTAGTACCTACATACATGGATACGTAGTTTGAAGCTAGCTGTTCCCTGCTTGCTCGTGCTATACTTGCTCCTCCCAGATCACTCACAGTGGACCACACGTCAGTCGATCCCTGCTCTCTTTCTCACCGATAGATACCCTTTCAAGCGTGCCTTGGACTACCAAGGACATGTTGCAATCCCGTGTCATTCCAAACATTCAGAATAAAAAAAAAGGACTTTCCAGACCTATCGCCATTTTAGGCCGTATAGGGCTGGAATGAGCATAGACTTGGTTGCATGCATCTAACCGCCCTTCCTCGGGGCTGGCGCTGAAGATGTATCAAGATGGTTAGGGACGGCCACTCGATCTTTGGCTCCAGCGCCCCCCTGCGCCGCACCGGCGTGTCGAGCGAAGTGGTTCGTATTTCCCATAGCGGCACTGGCATTGCGCAGTTCGATCTTCTTCCGTTCCATCTCCAGCTGTTTGAACAAGTCAGTTGGCTGCTTCTAGGTGACAACCAAGGATAAAATCTTCCAACGGGGGGGTGCGGTATGATATACGTACCACCTTGCGAACTCGTGTCAGAGCAGCCGAGTCGCCGGCCACCAATGGCCGGCAGTCATCCACCCGGTACGGTTTGGCGATAACCACTGCATCCGCAACAACGATGCTCGTTCCATCCCACCGAGCAGGCATTGTGCGGCTAAAAGCATCGAACAGATCCTGTGCTTCTCGAGTCACACCCTTGCCTCGCCGCGCTTCATTCTCCTGCAACTTCGCAACCGCGCTCGCCTCGCGAGCTTTCAGGGCACGGATGTCAAGGGCATGAAGCGCCGGAGATGCATTGGTGAAAGGTCCGTCGGTGGAATTGGAAGACGGCGCGAGGGACAGCAGTTGGAAGGACTGAATCCGCGAGATGGGGATAATGTGATAATCGCTCGGTTGTGTCTGGTTCGCACTCCCTGCCGGGGCGGATTGGTTCGAGGTGTTGATGGCGACCAGGTTCGTGATCGGACAGGCCGTGAAAAGAGTGCCTTCGAGGGTTGAAGAAACAGGGGGCGCTGTCGTGATACGGACACTTTTTGTGTAGCCAGTTAGAATCTGAAACAGATGGCAAATCCCAGGCCCGTGCAGGATTGCTTACCGCGCTCCAATAGCACCACTCAGTGCTGCCTCCAATGGCACCATGGCTGTTGCCATTCCAGGACCCGTCGCCGTGCTTGCAGGGCCCAGGCCTTGAGCTTTACCTCCCACACTTTGCCGCTTGTTGTCCGTCATGGAGAGGGGGTTAACCGCCTCAACGATGCGTCTCGAGACAGCAGGTACAGAATCGCCTTTACCTGATCAGTCCCAGGCAGATCACGACAAAGAAGGACAGGATGTCGATCGTTTGTCACTTACCGGCTTTCGATGGTCGATATCAGGACATGGGCAAATGACGAGGAGGAACCAGAGGCCGCTGTGACTGAGATCAACCTGTGCCTATCCCCTATCAAACTGTGCCAATTGTTCACCACAAAAGAGCTGCAACGTTCACCAAGATCCACCAAGCACGCTGCGGACGGCGATAATGCGCTTGCTCAGCAAAAAGGGGAAGAGCGGAGAAGAAGCAAACCAAAGAGGAGGAAAGGAGCGACAGAGAAAGGAAAACAAAAAGCACAAAAGCTCGAAAAGACAACTGGTCCTCAATAAGCGGAAGTCAACGCAGGCATAGACTCCCTTGGGCAGAAGGTCCTACTTCCCATGCGACAGGGGGAAGTTGTCGTGGAGAAGAGCTGCTGGAGTGGACATGTGCGCGACAGCACTGCATGAGCCAGCATGACTGCTGGAGCGGATTTACTGGGCCTGGTCCCTCACATGGGACCGCCTTGGCCCCTTCGGGTTTAGCGCTGGCGGCGGCAGCAACCGGAGCTTCACCAAAGTCAACCACACATTTATTCCGCCGGACAGAAGGCGGTATACTTAGGTATCCCAGGACAGTGCTCCTTACTGTATTTATTCTCTTCACAGGAGCATCATTAACAATGAGATGTGGTCTTATTCAGGACCACTGTGATTCACTATCCAAAACGGATAGCTTATATCATTCCTTTGTTCATAACAGAACGTGTGTAACAGATCGCTACATCTAAATACACTGTAAACACGTCCGACATTTTACGGAGTTGCTTTCCATCTTCTGTGGCGCGATTAAAAGTCTGTTCGAGTACATCTGCACCACAGGTGTTTCAATTTTGGTGATATTCTTCTCCCAATCCACTTCGCCAAGTTGCTGTATAGTCCTTCAAACGACGTAGGTCGAGGCAGAGACGCTACCGCCACGGCCGGTCCAGTTGACATGGATGTCCTTGTCCGCAGGGAAGTTGTCGTTGGCAAACTCAGGCTTGATGCGGAAAGTGTGGGCACCGAAGTAGTCACGCTGAGCCTGCAGCAGGTTGGCCGGAAGGTCCTTGGTGCGGTATCCATCGTAGAAGCTGAGGGCCGTGCTGAACGCCGGAGCGGGGATACCCCAGAGAGCAGCCTTGCTGACGACATCTCTCCAGCCGTCCTGGGCCTTGTGGATGGCCTTGTTGAAGAAGTCGTCGAACAGCAGGTTCTCCAGGTCGGGGTTCTTGCGGTAGGCGTTGGTGATATCCTTCAGGAAGACCGAGCGGATGATGCAACCACCACGCCACATCAGAGCAATGGACGGCTTGTTCAATTTCCAGCCGTACTCCTTGGCAGCCTGCGATTTAAAATGGTCAGCAAAAGAGGTCCCTTCATGATCACGAAAGCAATTTTTTTTTCCCCCTTTCTCGAACTTACGTTCTGGATAAGCATGAATCCCTGGGCATACGAAATAATCTTCGAGGCATACAACGCCTGCTCGAGGTTGTCGATGAAAGCCTGCTTGTCACCCGTGAACTGGGGGGTCGGGCCGCCGAGGAGCTTGTTGGCCCGAACACGCTCGTCCTTGATGGCACTCAGGCAACGGGCGAAGACGGCCTCGCCAATGAGGGTAACGGGCATGCCGAGATCCAGAGCGTTGATGGAAGTCCACTTGCCAGTACCCTTCTGGCCGGCCTTGTCCAGAATCTTCTCCACGAGGGGAGTGCCGTCGTCGTCATTGTACTTGAGGATATCGCGGGTGATTTCGATCAGGAAGGAGTCCAAGACACCCTTGTTCCACTTGGCGAACACGTCGCCAATCTCGGAGGTCGACATGCCCAGACCACGCTTCATGAGGTCGTAGGCCTGTGTAACAGGAAGATGTTAGGATCCAGTTTTTTTTTTCGTGCCACGGGAATTCGCTCGAGGACGCGATGGATGCTCACCTCAGTGATCAGCTGCATGTCACCATACTCAATACCGTTGTGGACCATCTTGATGTAGTGACCGGCACCCTCGTCACCGACCCAGTCACAGCAAGGCTCACCTTCGCTCTTGGCTGCGATGCTCTGGAAGATGTCCTTGATGTATGGCCAAGCCTCCTCGTTACCACCGGGCATCAACGAGGGACCGTAACGGGCACCCTCCTCACCACCAGAGACACCAGTGCCAACGAAGCGAATGCCCTTCTCGGCCAGGTACTTGGTACGGCGGTTGGAGTCGGGGAAGTGGGAGTTACCACCGTCAATGATGATGTCGCCCTTCTCCAGGTGAGGCAGAAGGGACTCGATGAAGTCATCGACAGGCTTTCCAGCCATAACCAGGAGCATGATGCGGCGGGGCTTCTTGAGCTTGGCGACGAACTCCTCAATGGAGTGAGCACCGACGATAGACTTGCCTGCAAAGTACATGTCAGTTACTGGACACCACCCTCTGTATCGCACTGGCAGACGCACCCTTGGCCTCGTTTTCGAGGAAACGGTCGACTTTGGAGACGGTCCGGTTGTAGGCGACGACCGTGAAGCCGTGGTCGGCGGCGTTCAGGATCAGGTTCTGACCCATGACAGCCAGACCGATCAGGCCGAAGTCACCACTGGGGACGGGTTGCGCCGGAGCGCCGACATTGATGCCGGCCAGGCGGGCGCTGAGGTCAGCCAGATGATCATGTCAATGAGGGGAGTCACACACGCGGAAAACGGGGTAGTGTAGAGGGCAGGGCATGCGATAATGAAGCTGCTGGAGACATTTTCAGAAGACGAAACGAGTCGGCAATGACAGCAGATGAGTACAGGAACTCAATCGCAACAGGCCAATGGTTCCCATTTCCGTCCTTCCTGGGTCCAAAGCTTGCCCATCATCTTACAAGATCGGGGGGTGTTCTGTCGCGGGATGGCTTGGGTGGGACGATAAGAGGGGTCGAGCGACTTACACTGCCTGGTCAGCCATGACGACAGGTGCAACTCAAAAAGTCAGAACGGCAGGTTGAAACAGATGGCACTGGGGAGGGGATTCTGTAGAAGCGCTCTACAGGACCGTGGAGGTGAGGAGGTGGAGGAGTTTGGGGAGGAAGTTTGGAGAAAAGAGAGGGAAAAAAAAGAAATGAGCGCAGCGGCGGTTGAAGTACGATAGGTAGCTGTCAACCAGCAGGCGCGATTCCCCGGTGACGGAGGCTGTACCAGGGAGGTAAGGTACTACGGGGTTCCAGGGCCATCTGCGAAGACTTGCAGCGTCTCACTAATCATGAATCGACCGGAGTCTGGCTTACGGAGCAGACGGAAGCACCGCGATACGAGCCTGCCGTCATGGTGGGACTGCTGGCTTTTCCACGAGGCGGGGCACAGAGCAGGTGGGAGGCTATGACGCGGTGCCCGTGGATTTTGCTGCTATCTCTTGCTTTGTATTTCGTTTAATTGTAGCGGTTGTATTCGATATCCTTGATGAATTACTACATACGAATCTTATTCTTACCAAATAAAATAAAAAGAACAAAACGTCGACCGGAGGGAGCTCGACGAGCTGCCGGAACACTCTTGTCCGGGCGAAATGCTCCCAGGAGGGGTCGCTGTGATAGGCGGGGCAGGGGTCGCCTGGAGGGGCAACCGTAGCATGCTGCCGGTGAGCATTGCCAGGGCCATTGTCCTGCACGCCGCAGCAGCCTGTGGCCAGACAGCTGCTGCACATCATCGACACGCTGAGATCGCAAATCAGTGATGACAAATCGTTTGCAGCCCCTGGCAGAGCAAGAGTGCATCGCTCATGGACATGCTGACTGTCCTGTGCCATCGTGCAGATGCCGATGGCCGGTGGAGCGCCGGAGATTGGCATCCGCTGCTTAGTCATCGGGACTTCTGCCGACGCCAAGCCACTGCCCGATGTTCTGCCGGCAAAACATTTTATCCGGTTTCGCTCGGTTTCTCTCCATTGCCAGCATGCGCAAATTGCCTATTTTCATCCCACGCGCTGTGGTCCACTAGGCTCTTGATAGTGCCAGACCCTTGGTCTGCCTGGACAGTGCGAAGAGATCAGAGCACCTCCGAACCATCCACGCGTCCGGCATCTGTCGCTATCGCTTTCGCCCGACGTTACCACAACTGGACGACTCAGCCCACGCCGAACGTGTCAATTGCCGCCTTCACTCCCGGTTATTGCTCTTCACGCCGACGGCATTCGGAGTGAGCATCCATTCCGTATTTCGAACTGGTCTCCACTCAAGAGGTCCTGGAGGATTTCCCAACAGCTCAGCTGCTCAGTGTTCGTTTCTGCAGCAGGGTCGATCGTGGTGTGCTGTGGTAACTGCAACAGCGCAGCGATTGCAACCTGACCCGAGTCGCCAACGTCGTCCTGTGTCTTGATTGATATTCGAAACTGTTTCTTTGAGAATTACTCCTACTGGCGTACCGTCGAGTCGATTTCGTGCCCGTCAAGGCTGAGGACTCGTGGGTGTGACGTGTGGCGTGTAGCTGCGCCATTAGTCAGGGCCTGCTGAAGGTACGTTTCTACGATCAGCTGCTCTCTTGCGCCCTTCTGTGCGAGTGCGCATCTACACCCGTATCGTTTCTGCTCGAGCCCTTCGTTCATCATGTCCTTGCCGCCACCTCCAGGTCTCAAAAAACTGCCATCTTCGCTGCCTCCGCGCCCCCCGCAACCCGCCTATTCGTCCGCACCTTCATACTCGTCGCCAGGGACCGCCCCTGGTGTTGCCAGCAGCGGATATGGGGCAAACCAACAGCAGAGGGCGCCTGGAACGGGCTACAATGCCTTCACCGCGTTCCAGCCGCGTTCCGTAGCGTCAAATCAAGCTTATCGCACTAGTAGTCCGATCGTCTCTGGTCCTACGCCGCCCGCTACTACAAGTTATCCGCCGTCAACGACAGGCTATTCAGCCGCATATCAGAATCCGCAGCAGTCATATCAGGCTGGAGCATCATACTACGGCCAGCCCACTTATGGCGATGGTACGTACGGGCCTTCGCCCGTTCCGCAGATTACCAACCCGTTTCCAGTGCCGGGGCAAGACCAGTCTAATGCTTATGGAGCCCGCGGAAAGGCGTATGGGCGCAACGACAGTGGGATGGATCCCGAGTTGGAAGCGCAGATTGCGCAATGGCAGAGCGCATACATCAGTAAAGACGGCGATTCTTCGTCCGCCTCGGCGAAAGGGGCAGGACGCAGCGGAACTGCAACGGCCACCAGTGCAAATGCTGGTGCTTCAACCGCGTCTTCGAACACTTCTACGGCTGCCAACACACCTGCCTCTGGTGCAGAATCCGGGCAAAAGACGGTGATCCGGTCAGGCGGTGGTCAGACCTGGACCGACCCCACTCTTCTCGAGTGGGATCCTGCGCATTTCCGTCTCTTCGTGGGTAACCTCGCGGGCGAGGTGACTGACGAGTCATTGAAGAAGGCCTTTTCCAAATACCCATCCGTGCAGAAGGCGCGGGTGATTCGTGACAAACGGACCGAAAAGAGCAAAGGCTATGGGTTTGTCAGCTTCAGCGACGGAGATGACTATTTCAAGGCTGCTCGAGAGATGCAAGGGAAGTACATTGGCTCTCATCCCGTGTTGCTGAGACGCGCCACGACGGAGATTAAGCCGGTAGTCGTTGGGAAAGGAGGCAAGAAGGGAGGGAACGGTGGAGGCGGTGCTGGGGGAGGCCAGGGAGGTGCAAGCAGTGGGAAAGCGAAGAGTGATGGGGTGAAGAAGCAGAAGACCAAGGGTGGGTTGAAGATATTGGGATAGCTGCAACTATACGAGCCTAATTACTGCGGAGCATAATAATGGCGTTAATGTAGATAATCAGGGAACAAGAGTATCATAAATTCAAATATTAATCAGAACAATTGCCCTCAGAATGCAGCTCCCTCTCCAATAATAAAAGCGATGGAATCTCAGGGAGATTTCCCTTCTAGGTCATGTATGCAGTTCATTCGGTTAATTAAATTATTCCTCCACTACACACCACTGGCCGACCCGGTCCGGGTCAATCTTATATAGGATTTCTATCGGCTATTTAAGAACTTCGCTTTCTGCCGAAGCGAACTACGGCATATACAAAGACGGTGGTTAGCCATTTCTATCTAGGTAATAGTTAATAGTTCTCAATCGAATCGAGAAGATTCTCTTCTTCTTCAGCATTTATGCTGAAAAAAAAAAGCAAACGGGTGTGTATTATATATATTATCTGCCCATGTTGTGAGGTGTTTGGAATAAACTCATACATAAACTGGACATACTTGTAGGATTTTTTTTAAAAAAAAATGCATCTTTGTTAAGCCCTCACTCATTCTTAATTTTTAATTTGGTTGCGATATTTTTCTGCATGTATGTATGTATGTACTGTATGTACTGTACAGACAGGCAGACAGCAGTCGAGAGATACTCCCTAGCTAAAACAACGACAGGGGATATCGAATATGAATCAGCCGTTGGCCATTAGGTTAAGGTACCTAGGTAGGTAGGTAGACATCAACCGTACTTCATACGTACTGTACTGTACTCTGCCTAGAAAGAAAAAGAAAAAAGAAAAATCTAACTTCTCACCATGCCGTCATCCGATTGATTGATTACCTATGATGCAAATATTGTAATTCCATTCCGAGGATATATATATATATATAAATTGGGTTGGCTAGCGATTCCAAAGTTTTCTTTCTTTTCTTTCTTTCTCTCACTCTTGCTTCTACGCCATGAAATGAAGATTCAATCTTACCTACCTACTTACCTGCCTAGCTGATGATATCAATATCAATGTTAATATAATTTACAAATTTCTTCCATCCATATAATATTCCAATATCAATATACTGCTACATACATATATTGACGGTCATCCAGCATCTTGATCTTGAATCTTGATTCTGATAGAAATTTCTATTCGTTTCGATCCAATTCAATTCAATCCAAATACATACATACTGTACCAACACATAAGACACTTGACTAGCTAGCCCCCCCCCCCCCCCCCCCCCTTTTTTTTTTTTCCACTCACTCACATATTAATTATTCTATTTAACAACCCTCTCTCCTCTGTTCAATATTGAACTTCAGTGAACGCACTGTCATCCACTCATCACCACCATCATCATTTTCTCCATCCAAATCTCTCCCAATGATGACCAGAAAGTTAAAAAACTGGATTCAGAGAAAATCACTCAATTCAAGCCTGCATTGCCTTCTGGTAAGAGATTTGATTTGTTTCTCGATGTCCATGAAAAAAGTTTGTCTGAGGGAGAGAAGGGAAAAAATGAAGAAATGGTGATGGTGGTGGTGATCGAGTGCTGGCATGTACTGTATATATATCTACATGGGTGTATCTAGCTTTTCGTTCGTTCGTTTATTTTTTTTCTTTAGATTTGTGGAATGAATATTTCATCAGTTCATCATCGTCTATGCCATATGGAGTGTCATATTAGACTTTACCTGAGATACATAAATCTAGATAGAGCCCGGATTCAATGCTAAGGAAGATCCAGGGATACGTTGTATTGATAAGGAGAACCAGGACAAATGTCATAATGTCATTAGATTACATTAGTATGTTCTAAGTACAGCACTCCTTGTCCCCGCAGGTGTCTGGATATGTGCCTTCGTCGTGACTACCCGATCCTGCGGATCTTCCTCGCCGGCTGCCACTCCTCGTCCTCGTCGCTGCTGAAAAGCAGCTCGTCGTCAGCAGCACCACAGCTGTGGTGGCACTCGCTTGGATAGTCGCAGTTCTCCCAGCAGTTCCTCTTCCTCGGCTGCTGCTGCTGCTGGGGTTTCGGGCACATGGCCCAGAAAGACGACGACGACGACGACGACGACCGCTTTCGCTTCTTGCTCGCTTGCTCTTCCTCCTCCTTCAGCTTGCGGACCTCGTGATGCCAGTCGTTGAATTCTCTCCACCCGCTGTAGTCGAATTCCGCGAAGCAGATCCGTTTGGGCCGGTCGCCCACCCGCGCCGTACAGTAGTAGTGGCCGTCCCGGAGACAGCGGCGGGTGACGCCCAAGCGGTACTCCTGCCCACATCGGTGGCATGTCCAGGTCCAGGGATATGGAGTGGGCGACTCCGGCGGCATCCCGTCTTCGGGCTGCGAGTCATCCTCGGAGGGAGGAAGATCCGGGGTAGTGGGAAGCGAGGAAGTGTCGTCGCTGCCGGAGCTGACAGCAGAAGGGTCGCTGGACGAGGACATGCCCTCGGACATGATGTCGACTGTTAAAGAAGAAAAATAAATGAATTGAGGGCCTGCCAGCAGAACCCGGTCGAGAGCGATAGATACGATTCTTGCTCTCGTGTCAAAGGAATATGGACAAGCTGAAGAGACGCTGTGAAGGCCCTGCCTTCGAGAGAAAGAGAGATGAAGATTAAGAATGCGCAGTCAGCCAGCGACACCCAAGAGAAGGATGTACAAGAAGAAGAAATAAATGATGGTTCGTGGAAGGAAGAGATTAAAAGATTCCAAATAGGATCAAAAAAGAGCAAGTCTTCAGGAAGACAGCGTGCATCATGACAGGGACTGATGGAGGTCTCCTGCCGTCACTGACTAGGAGCTCGCAGTGAATCATCCTTCCATAAAGAGCTGTTTAATCGGGCGAGCATTCACCGGTCATGTCGGCTTGAATAAAGAGAACAAAGAGCTCAATGAAAACAATCAAAGCTGTGTAGAGATTATCTTTCTGTGGGGCTTTTTCTGCCCGTTTGACCGCTCTGTCGAGGTCTCCTACTCTCCATATTCACTAGCGCTCGACATGAGGTCCAAATCTCAGATGCTGCATTATCTGTGCAGGTGTAAACATTAGATGAAAACCGAATACAATCAATCTTTCGACATTGCCTCGTATTCCTTCGAAGACGCATGCAAGGTCTGGATGCGAAGCTCGACTTATGGAGCACAAGTTCATTGTTCAATTTATTCATGATAGTCAGCTATGTAGCATCATAAAGACCATAAAAATAAAGGTCGTGTTAAACCAGTCTAGTCGTAGTCTGCAATACTCGTACTATAATCAGGGCAGACAATGCCTTGTTGAGTCTGGCCGCGATAAAGCGGGAGGTTGGCGGTGGGTCCCGTGCTTAGCGGCCGGCCGGGCCTATCAACGGGCCCGCAGCCAGGCACCGCAGCCTAGCCCAACCTAATCATCGCCAGCCACTTTGCAGAAAATCCATGGCTGGGAATGGCCTCGCCCTTCAAATACGCGACAGCATGCATTCCACAATGTGGTTGTCCGTCTTCTCTCTGTCTCTGTCCTGCTCCCACTTCCCTGACTGCTCCGTACGGAGTATCTTTTGCGCGGTTGTGGCTGTGACGGTTGATCGAGCTTCCTTTTTGCGATAAGATAAGCCAAATCAGATAGTGAGCTTCTCCCCGCATTCCACCGTCACACACGCAAGATTGGGCTCCATTCTAACATCCACGAGTCTGCAGTACGACATCTGAAGAAGCTCTCTCCGCTCTCGTCCAATTGGCATTCCTGGCCGCGTCGATACTGTCCCACCGGTGGTGCACCAGTGAATTCGTCCCGCCCGGCACGCGTCTCGTCTGCAATCGCCCGACATGGTCAAAGAAAACGTCGCCATTGCCATCATCCTCGTTATCCTTTTCATCATCCTGGCTGTTGTTGGCTTCATCATCTATGCCATCCAGAACCGCATGTCGCTCGCCTTCTGGCGACGAAGAGAGGCCGATGAAGAAGAAGCAGAAGGAGAATAGTAAACATTTTCCTGAAGCCCGTCTTCTCTTCCTCTGCCGATGAGGAAGCTGCACAGTTTTCCCTTCCAGGGGTGTTGAAGAGCCTTCTCCTTATCTTTCTTCTCCTGTTTCATATTCTCTCGACGACTGTCCATTCACCTTCGACGAATCTCCTATACGGAGTACATAATGAGCGACGATACCACTGTGTTTTGTCCGTCTGATTTCAACGACATAGAACTTCATCTGGGGCTGACGGAGTCATGGATGTCTCACGAGTTATGATTGCGAAGATGTTCTTTTCTGTTTGAAGCTATGATGGTTATTTATGAGCTGCATGATTTAGACGATGTATGAGTATGCATGTGCTGACGAGTGATGATTCAAAGCATAGTACTGCAGATATGTCCGATATGTTACATCAGTGGACAGATTTATTCCTTATATAATGATCTAAAGGATAACGTTGAGTTACGGAGTATTTTCCTATTTCTCCGTATCTTGCCAAACTTCTATGATTCTATCACTTCCCAATGTCACAAATGACTTCTCGCTATACTTCGGATAACCACGTCGAGTATTCTGCGGAATTTACTGCATTTCGATGAATTCAGGCACAACAGCAGTTACTCGAACACCGGACCTGTTGCAACCTATGACTACCAGTAGCCACAATGCGATCTGAGAGCCTTCGACTCTGGGCCATCGATCGCAGAGTTTTTTTTTTCCCCTTCCTTTTTTTTTTCCTTTTTTCTTTCTGTTTCTTCCTTTTTTTTTTTGGCTCTGCCCTCCGTTCCGCTCTTATCTGCACCACCAGATTTCCGATAGTCACTCTTCCGACAATGACTCGGAATGGTCCGACAATGATTCATGCCATGAGCAAAATCGGATATTTCAGCCAGCACCGGCAGCTCAAGGCTTCCTTCCTGCTTATCACCATCTTCGTTGAGAATACCTACTTACGCATTAAATAAACAAACTTGACCACTGCATCCCTTTCGATACCACCAGAAGAAGCCAGGCTCTAGCGATCTTTCATATCCAAATCAACTTCCGAAGACCAACACCGTGTTCCAGCTCTCGACTGCTTTGACCTGTCCACAGCCATATCTGAACCTGGCGGGATGGCTCTGGATAAGATACCAGCTGAAGAGCCAAGCGACTTACTCCGTGGCCTTGATAAGTGCTTGGAGAAAAAAAAATTCTGAAGAGGTCAACCCGAATGAAACCCCGGAGAAGCTCGTGCGCCGAATCCTGAGCCTGTTTAGGGACGTATGGTTGAATGTATACGACAGACTGGTGAAAGGCAAAAACTTCCGCGGCCACTGGCTTACGAGAAGGTACGAGCGAGCGGAAATTGCGAAATACACGCCCAATGACCATGACAGCTATACAGCGTGCGGCTACTCTGTTAGTTTCCCAAAGGAAGGCCTGGGACTGCTTGGCGAAGTACTCGCCCGAGGAGCGCAGCAATGGACTAGGGCTTCGGAATCTCAGGCTGTACGACGGTCTGCCGATATGGATGCTGGAGTCTGTTGCCGTCTTGTTGGAGTGTTATAAGTACGAGGACTCGTCTCTGGACGACTTGGAAACTTTTCTAGTAGATGTTAGTCGTGGGAAGATTCAGGAGCCCGTCCGTGAAAAGTACATATCGCTCGCAGGCCCTATCGCGATGAACTTCTTCGGTTATGACGCGCGACTGGAGGAGCTGAAGAAGTCGATGGCGGACGAGGCAAGAGCTATCCACGGCGACTCTGAAGCCTCCAAAGGCTGGCGCGTTCTTGATAGAGTGTCGAGTGAATACTGCGATAAATTCGGTTTCCCCTTTGACCCGGACCAGCAATTGGTTCTTTGGGAGTATGGGTGGGTGTTTGAGTAGGTTGTGCTTTGACTGTATCAGTCGGCAGATTTCGGATACTACCAACCACTTTTGATAGCAATATAATTCTTTTTATTCAAAAGAATCTATCCGTGACATCTATCGCAGGGTATACTGCCTCCAAGAAATACTAATAGCAGAGGTTTTGAATAACAAAGCTAGAGCGACTGAATTGAAGTCATTCAGTATGCCAGGCATGGTACGAATGCGTATGGTGCCGTATGTTCTGACCTAGGCACTCTTTTCATATCATCATGTTCTTTTTTGGATATTGTTCCATTTGGCAGTAGCCTTGTCGCTGAAGAAAAAACTACCTGAACTGACTGCCTTCGAACTCACCCTCTGTGTGATAGAGTACACGCACGGACTGCATCTGCTGCTCATGCTGCTAATTATATATGCACCGTCCCACCGGCCATTATGGCTGCCCCCTGAAAAGTCCAGAAGTGGGGCATAAGTACGGAGTACTCCGTATTTTTATTGCAATGCCGGTGAAGAGTGCTGAGATCATGAAATGCTTCCTGGGGCTCTGCGCTCTCCACAATCCGCTTCTCCTCGGGCTTGGCGTCTTTTCGCACGTCACAGCGCTCCGACTTCGCGCCCTCATATTCTCACCCGCCGTGTTTGCTTCGAGCCCGCTCCTGATTTTCCTTTTTCTCTCTATTAATTTCAAGATTGTCGTCTGGCTCTGCGCGAGCCGCATTCGATCCGCCCCTCTCTTACCATGCATTAGGGCAAGTTACGAGGCCGCATCGAATCCCGTCAGCAAGCACGCCAGACTTCCTCCGTCTCCTCTCCGACTCCCCGTGGACGAAGAAACGACCGATTCCCAGTCTTGTCGCTGTCGCCAGCATGACAGAGGCGAATTCCGCAGCTCCGGCAAAGAGCCCAGAAGGCTCCGCCGCCGGCGAAGAAGGCAGCAACCAGCAGCCCTCTGTCGCAAAGACACCAGCGGTCAAGGACAGGCAATGCAAGTATTGTCACCAGGCCTTCACGTCGTCGTCCTTGGGGCGACATCTCGACCAGTACCTCTTCAAGAAGAAGCCCGACGGGATCCACGATGTCGAGGAGATTCGTCGCATCCGCAGCAGCATCACCCGACGCCAGGCGCGCTCCTCCAACAAGCGCGACAGCCCCGATGTTGCGGCCGCAAAGGGCCACCAGCACGACTCGCCAGGCGCCGCCACACAAGATCCCAATAATAGACCGCGAGAAGGTGGGACACGGTTTCTGTTCAACACTCCGACATGGCATTCGACCGGGGTGATCAACGACATTCCGGACCCGGGCGCATCGCAAGACGGAACAGTCTCGTCGCGCCTAGCGACGTCGCAGTCGCGTGCCATGTCGACAGGGCCGCTGGACTTTGCAAGTCGAGGCTCGAGCTCGAATAATCCCGATACGGCCCGGGCTCTGGAACTCGCACTGCGTGAGGTGTTAGATAACATCAAGGCTGCGACGTAAGTGATTCGTGATGCGCGGGACAACCTGGTATTAGGGTCGCAGACTGACATATCGCATGCGCGATCAGCGCCAGAACTCGGCCTCGACTGTCGCCTTTCGACTTCGATCTTCAGGCTCAGACCTTTCCGGCGCTCTGCTTGCACATGCTTCCGCCTCCTCCGAGTTTGTTCTCGACTCACCCGTTTCCTACTACAAACTCGTTCCCCCTGGAGCCGCCCGGCGTCGGTCAAGTCGAGGTGGTTCGACACGCTCTTCGCGCACACATCGAACAATGGCGGACGGATCAGCTCGCATTGTTGTCAAATCAGTCTGGTTCGGCCAAGGGTGGCGTGAGCGCTGATCCCAACATGATCAATCGGACCGCGCAGCAGCACGAGGAGATGAGTTCGCGGCATCTCGATCTCGCCTATCAGCACTGGATGGTTCTCCCGCAGGAGGTGAAACGGCAGACCTGGCAGCTGGAGATCACGAGGGCCTTTGCGCGCGAAGCCGAGAAGCGCAAGCAACTAGACGCGCAGCTTGCACGCGTCCAGCAAGAAGCAAACCAGCTCCGGGCACAAGTGGAGAAGCTAGGGTCTTGCCAATGGCCACGGGAGTTTGCCATCTTCCCACCAGACATGCTGCCTTTGTCCCGAGAGGTAACACAGGAATTGAATAGCAAGGACAGCGGCCTCACCAGCCCTGGTTCCTCCAGGTGGGATTACGACAACGTCGTGGCCAAGTGGAAACGCGTCGTGATGCACGACAAGAGCATGGGTCGGGTCGGGGTAGGGTATGCCAACAGCATGTCTGAAGAACCCAGCCAGGATTCGAGCTCGTCTTCCAGTCGCCAAAAAACAGTACAGACGGCGACAGCTTCCAGTCCTGATAATTCGTCTGGCACTGCACTTGGGAATAATACATCAACGATCAACTCGAACAACCAGCAGACTCCGCCTTACCAGTCCCATGATCGTGGAAACTCGGTCAGTGGTCCCCCTCAAGCCAAGCGTCAGCGTCTGATGAACGGTGGCCCCAATGACGCCAGTACACCAGAGGGCGAGAATCAGCAGCAAACTACAGCTGCTAATAATAATAATAATAATAATAATAATAATAATACCAACGGCGCCTCTTCTGCGGCGTGGAGTCCAAATTCGGTTCAGTCCCTTTTGGTGTCCAGCTCTGCTGCTCCGCCGACCACATCGACGCCTCCGACAACCCGGTTTGGAGTATAATGAGAGGATAGAAACAGTCGCATCATTTGATAGTTTTATTATTTTCGTAGCATGGCCTATGCTGTCGCTGAGCGAGCATGTAGCCGAGCAACCATCTACGTGATCTACACTGCTGTCTGAAGCAGCGGTGCAATGTCGTTTTTATTTATTTACTTGACGAGATAGCTCTCCGTGTACATTATTAATATATCCGACATAGTCTGGGTTTGTGTCTGTGTCCAATCAATTTCAGAAGTATATAGATGTGGTCAAGGATTTTAGATATACATGATTTAATGACGTCACGGACATTAAACTATTGTACATACACTACATACATCAACGTCTAGGTGCTATAATCCTAATGCTCTAGAGCACCATTCTCGTCCACATCATTCATCTGCCGCACGTTCAAATTGACTCGCTTTCCGCCCATCCATCCCCGCCAATATTCATAGTCCGGCCCCGGCCAGTCTTGCAGCCACGTCGGGCACGTCGACGGCAAGACCTTGGGCACTCCATGCCAGGCAAATCGAGACCGGCCGGCCATGTAGATGGCATCTCCGGACCGCAGACGGATGACCTCGCAGCCCTCGCCGTCGTCGTGGCTGACGACGAACAGCCCGTCGCAGCCAAAGCTCACGCTGATAAGGCCGCTGTCACACTCCTCGCTGACGTCTCGATGCATGCTGAGCGTGTCCCCAGCAGAGTAGACGTTGACAATGGCCGCCTGGGGCTCCGTCTCCGGGAAGGCCGCTCGCAGGAGGCGGGCGATATCCTGAGGGAACGCCGGCGGCGGTCCTGCGGGGTACTCCTTGGTCGTCCAGTTGTACTGGCCGCCCAGCGTGATCCAGCGCAGCTTCTTCTCGAGGAAGTTTTGGATGGTGATGGGTTTGTGCGCCTCGGGGTCCTTGGGCGACAGCACCAGCCCCGGGTCCGCTTGGAAGAACGAGGCTCGTGGCTGTTGATCATCAGATCGAGCCTCCTTCTCCTCCTCCTTTTCATCCTTCTCCTCCTTGTCGTCGTCACCACGTGATTTGGGGCTGTCTGGATACGTCACATTGTAGTGTAGATGCACGTTCGTCTGGTGTCTTGGATCCGAGAGATCGCGATGGAACAGCCGAGAGAGCAGTTCTTTCTGCACCGTTGGCGGGAAGAGAGACGGTATCAAACGGAGACCTGTAGCTGGTCAACATGCAATCCAAGGAATTTTTTTTAAAAAAAAGAAGGTGGTGCTAACCTGACACCGAACGATGGGTGAAAATGGGGATATCCTCGAAGAAACCCCCCGATGGCTCCGCAGACGACGCATTCTCACCCTTCACGAATTCATGAAATGCCCGTCGTAGATCCTTGCTGGACATCCACCCGTCCAAGGCGATCGACTCTGGAGGCTCATCCGGATCCAGCTTCTGCAAGTCAATGATGTCGGGGTCACTGCCCACCTCGGAGGCCTGGTACCTCTGGTATTTCTTAAAGACATCCCGGACCTTCTCAGGTGGGCGATTGTGAGCACTCAGGCCCTTAATCTCGGCCATGTTGTCGTCGCACTGCATGGAGTGGGTACTTGGGATTGGTAGATAGATATTAGTGCGTGCAGCAGTACTATGATGTATGTGGTCGCTGGTAGGTCAGCTGTGTGAGGGACTGGTCTTACAAACACGCCTATCACACGTCTCTCCAGCAAGCATTCTGGCGTCTTCAGCCATCACCAGAGTGACAGCCGTGCTACGTTCATCACTGTGCAGAGAAAGCTGCAGTGGAATCTATGATGCAAGCCTTCTATCCTTCTAGAAGGTGCTTAGCTCCCGCCGGTCAGGTGTTCGCGTGCCTCACCGCCCGAGGCTCGCGCCTTTGTTTGTGTACGGAAACGCCAGACCGCCTTCGCTCCCCACTAGGGACGATAATAATAGCCAGCCTAAGCATCCGCCCTGGCTTTTGATTTGATCTTTCCTGAAGATTAGATTACGTGCAGCTTCAGGCTGCTCTCACAGCATTGATGTCTTTCTACTAACCCACTGCCAGCTTCGACAGTTCCCTGCAGCCGCTTCTTCTTCTTGGCCCGGTTGCTTCCTCCCCCCCTCCGTCAGCCCGTCAGTGTCTTTCGTTACTCGTCATATCCCTGGCAACAGACCCCTCCCCACCATACGTCTGAAACAGGCTGATTCCCTCGTTGCCAACCCATCAACGCCTGCTTGCTCCCTCGCCGACCTCGTCCACGCTTGAAGAGACTCGTTGCTTCCGGCTGCCACCATGGAGAACTACCAGAAGATCGAGAAGATCGGAGAGGGTACGTGCATGATGCTAGCCAGGCACGCGAGTGCAACGGCACCATTGATGGAATTCCATCGTGAACTGAGTGATATCCGAGGAATATGTGACCGTGGCTGACGACATGTTCCCTCTAGGCACGTACGGTGTCGTGTACAAGGCCCGAGAGCTCACTCACCCGAACCGTATCGTGGCCCTGAAAAAGATCCGGCTCGAGGCAGAGGATGAAGGCGTGCCCAGCACAGCCATCCGAGAGATCTCGCTGCTGAAGGAGATGAACGACCCCAACATTGTGCGGCTGCTGAACATTGTCCACGCAGACGGCCACAAGCTCTACCTGGTCTTCGAGTTCCTCGACCTCGACCTGAAGAAGTACATGGAGGCTCTGCCCGTCAGCGAGGGTGGGCGAGGCAAGGCTCTTCCTGACGGCACGGGCATGGATATGAACCACATGGGACTTGGCGAGGCGATGGTCAAGAAGTTCATGGCCCAACTCGTCGAGGGTGTGCGTTACTGCCACAGCCACCGAATTCTGCACCGGGACTTGAAGCCTCAGAACCTGCTCATTGATCGTGAGGGCAATCTCAAGCTGGCGGATTTTGGACTTGCACGGGCGTTTGGTGTTCCGCTCAGAACATACACACACGAGGTTTTTTCTTTCAAAATTTCCTGGAGTGGTTTGTGCATGAGACTGAATGATGGCTAGGTCGTTACGCTATGGTATCGCTCTCCTGAAATTCTTCTGGGTGGACGCCAGTACTCTACTGGTGTGGACATGTGGTCTGTTGGTGCCATTTTCGCCGAGATGTGCACTCGCAAGCCGTTGTTCCCTGGTGACTCTGAGATTGATGAGATCTTCAAGATCTTCCGGTACGAATTTGTCAAGAAAATTTATATATATATATATAGGTGACATGCTAACGATTATGCAGACTCCTTGGTACTCCAGACGAGACCACATGGCCCGGCGTGACCTCGTACCCCGACTTTAAGCCGACATTTCCCAAGTGGAAGCGTGACCGGAGCTATGCACTGGTGCCTGGGTTAGAAGAGAACGGCCTGGACCTCCTGGATGCGCTCCTGGAATATGATCCTGCGCGGCGGATCTCAGCCAAGCAGGCATGCATGCACCCGTATTTCCAGCATGGTAGCGAATACTACTCTGGCCGCAAGCGGATGAACGGATACCACTCATGAAGCCAGTCTTCAGAACATTAATCCGTCATGCGGTTTTACGACGAGGGCGAAATAGGGATGTGGAGGCCTGGTGAAGTTGTCACTGCGCATCGCATCGCATTGGCCTGACAAGCTTGCTGTCACTCCAGAGCTCTTCTTATATCCATTTCAGCCCCTCCCCTCTCCATCATCATCATAATTCTTTCATTTCTTTCTTCACATTTCTTTCCTTGGTTTTATTGCTTGCTTTGTACTGGGCGTCTTTGCTTTGCTTTGCGTCTTTTTTTTTCCTTTGGAGTAACGTGGCACGAAAAACAAGCAGCGGTCCGGTCCTGGATATTGCAAGTCTAATGGGCGAGAACACATTCCATTCCATTCCATTACCATACCATTCAATACCATACCATACCCTTTTTTTTTCTCATCGAGTTCTTGCATTCTTGCATTCTTACAGTCTTACAATTAAAATCAATTGTTGACAGTTCAGTTCTGCAAGGCGGTAGAGTTGAGGATTTCACTGAAGAAAAGAAGGTCTCTCTTGAGGTCTTGGACTGTAGTTAACAGTATAGTAAGCAATAAGCAAATCTTACTGAATCTACTATTGAACATACGGTAGGTAGGTGAACATAAATAAAAAAAATAGTAGTGAGTAGTGAGCAAGCATATTGCTGCAGCTCCGTGCATGTCAGGTCATGTCAACCGCAATCAATCAATCAAAGTCAAGTCAAGTCTCGACTACTATAATTGTCTCGTCTGTCTGTGTCTCTGCATCAACGAATTTAAGTTCACTGTAATTGATTAGAACAGGTGTATATTGTATATTATATTCATCAACAGCTGCATTAATTAGCTCACTCTACGACGAGAAGAAACTGTATGTATTTAAACAGCACTTGATAAGTCATTATTTTTTTATTTTTTTCCCCAAATTTGGGGGGAGGAAATATTCCAAGTTTAAATTTTTTTTGAGTTGATCTTTTTTCTTTTCCTCTTTTTTTTTTGATCTCTCTCTCTCTCTCTCTTCTTTTTCTTTTGCCCATATATTAGTAGATAGGAGGAGCAGTTCTAATTAGCATCGTCTGTTGATGTCATGTCATGACTCATGTGACGACGACAGTTGCTGCTGCTTCTTCTTTCTGACTGACTCCTGAGTTAAAGAAAAAATCAGATCAGACACTGTGATTGATGACTCGTCTCCTAGTGGTAATATGGGCGATATGGTATTCCTCTGTGGTCTGGATCTTTTTTTTCTTACTACAGCTCTATCTATACATACAATCTAGTCTATTTATATACATTCTATTGTGACATCATCAATGCTACTGGACTATCATCCATTTATCTTCGTCGACATAAAAGAAGTGTAGTCGCATGTTGGCGCCGTCGCCGTCGCCGTTGTATTATATTAGGGCTCACACATGCATCTCGTTTTGTAGTTCCCTCCTCGCAACAGTGACGGAATTTCTTTCGGTATTGAATTGTCCTCTCTGATTGAGCCTGGTCTTTTATACAGGTCCTCGTACCAGCTTCAAGATTGCAACGAACATCTCCAACTTGACAGCCTTGCCATGTCCGGCGACAGCAGCCCCCCTGCTATTGACTACATTATTTAGAGAGATACCTGAACTTCTAGAATATTAAGACTCGAATTGACTATCATTTACCCCAAATTCTTCCTGTTTATACAGTGTTTCTAGTAAGGAAATAAAATGAAAGCTAACCAAATCAGAAAATCACGGGAAAGCCCGCGTGCAAGGCCTAGATACAGGCCTGAGAACGCGACAGACTTGACAGCTGCATCTCTCGTGAGAAGATTTCGTTCCCCCGCATGTAGGTACGTCCTCGAGAGAACGTATCATCATTCGTCGACCTGAGAATTACTACTACGAGGTACCTACATACACTAACCGGTATCTCGCCATCCATTGGCCTACGGCCGCTATTCTTGGAAGCCCGGTATGCGACCGCAGGCACAGCTGACAGGGATCGTGCAGGTCCCGCCCTACGGAGTACGATAGAAAGGTGGAAAAAAAATGCACCAATTGTTCAGCTCGCGCAGACAATTGCTTGTTGGTTGGCTAGGGACTCGACAAGCAAAGTTCGCGATGTCGGTGGAGTCCGTCAGTCCGTCTCTTTTGCTCAGCCTTGGGCAATTGGGAATACGAGAAAAAGGGGGACCAGCGAAGAAGAGCCCCTTTGTCGTCTGTATAATAGTGATGGGATGTGCGCCGCGGCGTTTAGGCGCCCTGCGCTCTCTACCTTTTTAAAGCAAATACGCTGGATCGTGGACTGCTCTGCAGGTTTCTGTCTTTATCATCGACAGGTATTATTTCCAAGAAGTTACTCTCAGCCCACGGTGAAGATAGACAATGGAGTTTGACGACGAGGGAATGGCCTTCGCGCCATCGTCCCGATCCGGGAGCAGAACACCCCGCAAAGCGCCCAAGCAGACGCCCCAAGGAACAGTCAAGCAATTCTGGGCCCAATTCAACACGAAGTACCCAGGGAAGGTCTTTACCGTCCTCCCGGACAACCCCTACGCGCGCAGCAAGGCCGCGCAGTTGCCCAAGGGTGTCGTCCAGGGCCACGATGCGGTGAAATCGTACGAGCAGGCGAGGAAGGAGTGCGTGCGCGCCGTCGAGCGCATTGTGCGCGAGTGCAAACGCGTCAATCAGAAGTATACCGATCCGCATTTCGATATCGAGTTTGATCTCAAGTCCGGTAGGAGGGATTATCTCGATGGGCTGGATGGGACTAACGTGGAGATGCGTCCGAAGGGTGTGAAGAGAGTAACTGTTTGTAGCCTTTACTCCCTCTTTTACACTTCTGAAATGTTCGAGAGCGTCCACGGTTGCAATGACTAACTGCTTTATAGGATATCTTCGAGAACCCGCAATTCTACATCAACGGACCGACGGCAGGGGATGTTCGCCAGGGACGCGATGGCGATTGCTGGCTGATGGCCGCCCTCTGTACATTAGGCAACAAGAAGGAACTAATCAACAGGATCTGTGTTGCTCGCGATGAGCAGGTTGGAGTCTACGGGTTCATTTTCTACAGAGGTATGGCACAACCAAAGACAGCAACTTGGAAACGAGAACTAATATGTACGGTCAGACGGCGAATGGCAACAGTGTATCGTCGACGACAAGCTTTACCTCAGAGCGGCAGATTACGACGAGTCGATTGATGAACGCCCGATTTGGGACGACATCAACCGCACAGACACCGAAGAGGAATATCGCAAGGTCTGGCAGACCGGGTCGCGAGCATTGTATTTCGCGCAGTGCGCCGATGAGAACGAGACCTGGCTGCCGCTGCTGGAGAAGGCCTATGCGAAAGCACACGGCGACTATTCTGCAATCGAGGGGGGCTTTGTGGGGTGAGCATCTAGACGGCCGTGACTATGACACGACGAGATTGACGCTGCGATAGGGAGGCGATCGAAGATCTGACCGGCGGTGTCACGTCGGAGATCCTGTCCAGCAACATTCTGGACAAGGACAACTTCTGGAAAGAAGAACTCATGAACGTGAACAAGGAATTCCTGTTCGGCTGTGCCACCGGCATGTTTTCGAACTGGCTGGATCCGAAATACACCGGACCCCCGCGAGACCGCAAAGGCATTTCCGAGGGACACTCGTACTCGATCATGGATGCCAAGGAGATTGACGGCGTGCGCTTACTTCGGCTGAGGTGAGTTCTCCCGCGCAAATATCGGAAAATTGTTACTGATGTAGATAGAAATCCTTGGGGCAAGAAGGAATGGAGCGGGGCGTGGAGTGACGGCTCTGAGCAGTGGACACCGCAATGGATGGAACGGCTCAATCACAAATTTGGCAATGATGGGGTGCGAAGCGATCTGCTTTCTTTGCGTGGTTGTTGATGCTGACGGCTGCTGCAGGTGTTCTGGATCTCGTACGAGGATCTGCTCAAGAAGTATCAGCATTTCGACAGGACCCGTCTTTTTGGCCCGGAATGGACCGTCACTCAGCAGTGGACCAGTCTCAACGTGCCGTGGTCGGCAGACTACCACAGCACTCGATTCGTGATCGAACTGACCAAGACGAGCCCTGTGGTGGCCGTTTTATCTCAGGTGAGTCTTACACCCCGTTCCACTGAAGAGTCCGTCCACTCACCCGCTTTATAGCTCGATGCTCGCTATTTCCGAGGGCTGGAGGGGGAATACAATTTCACGCTCCAGTTTCGACTCCAAAAGGAAGGCGAGGAAGATTACATCGTCCGTAGCCGGAACAACTACATGATGTCCCGGTCCGTGAATACGGAGATCACGCTGGACGCCGGCCGGTACTCTGTCCTCGTCAAAGTGACCGCCTATCGGCGCAACCACGCGGTCACGGTCGAGGAAGTTATCAGACAGAACGCCTCGACACGGCGCGAGAAGCTCGTTCAGATCGGGCTCTCGTACGACCTGGCACATACAAAGGGTCTTGTGTTGGAAACCGACGAGGAGAAGAAAGAGCGGGAGGAGCGGGAGGAGCGTCATCGGTTTGCGGAGCGCCTCAAGCTGCGCGAGCAGACGATCAAGAGACTGCAGAAGCAGTGGATCCGGGACAAGAAGATGGAGGCTCGGCGGCAGAGGCAGGCTGAGAGAGAAGCCCTCCGACGGGCCGCAGCGAGATCGCACGCGGGCAATGGCGACCATGTCGATGTCGAGTATTCGGACAATGAGGCCAAAATCTCGGATGATACTGGTTTTGAGATGGGCCATTCAAAGCGTTCTCATGTCAATGGCAATGGCAATGGACCCGCATCCACGAGAAAACATCGACAGTCCAGCCGGCCGCCACGGCCTAGTCTGAACACGAGTTTGACGAGACCCGGGTGTCGCGACGACCAGGAGCTGCTGCAGGACTTTGAATTCGACTCGGACCTCGACATGCCCGAGGAGAGTACATGTACTCCAGACAACAAACAGCCGCTGCCCGACAGTCCTCCTCCTCCTCCTCCTCCTCCGTCTTCAGACATGAATGAAGTGACAGACGATCCCTGGAATGCAGTCTGTGTAGTTGGGCTGAAGGTCTTTTCAAAAGACCCGCAGCTGCGGCTGCAGGTGGTGCGGCCCAAGGCTGACGACGGCGAAGCACCGCTTGATCGTGATGATCCGGCGGTGTCGGCAACGCAAGAGAAACTGGCTTGGCTGGGATGAAGAGTCGCTAGACGAGGAAAACATTTAGTGGATGTTGGATACATCATACATGTATGTAATGTACTTGGTGCAGGTTTTCAGTTGACATAGCTTGATGTCTTGATATGTAGTGTATGTATGTACTGTTCTGTGAACAAAGTTGACATTTCCATAGACAATTACATGAATTGTACATTACAGCTGATCTGAATAAATGGTTAATGTAAAGGAATGATCTCAGCGTTGTCTACGGCGTAGTAAATAGTTATTAAGGTGCAAACATAGGGCTAGCCGTATCTTATCGGAGCTCCCAGCTCCCCTCGCCTCGGTCTCCGCCAAGAGACGATTAATTATTCCTGCTCGACCTCACCGACCAGACAGACACACGCAATCAATCAATCAATCTTTCTACAACCCCGGAGATAATAACGATGGCGCTATGCGCCTCCTCCTCCTCCCCCTGGCCAAATCTCCTTATCGACTACGCTATCCCGGCGTAGGCCCTTGCCAGCCACTTTTCAGCTTTTCCTACGCGGTTCCGACACGTTCGCGTCGCGCCGGACGGTCCTTTTTCTACTACTACTTCTTTTCCCCGTCGCGGACTTATGCTTCTGCTAATGCAAATGCTGCTGCTGCGCCATTTACCGAGGAGACTGTCCAGGTACCGGTTGGAGGGAATGGGTGTGTGCGTTTGAGGTGAGAAAAAAAATAATATTTCCCAAGAGTCTTCAGTGTTAGTACCTAGCTTACGCTCAACTTCAGCGTGCTTCATCCTCCCCGCGTTGCAGCAACGAAACCCGCGCGTCCGAATGTGATTCTCTACTTGCCTCCCGGACCGGTGTTTTCACGGCAAGAGCGCGATGTAAAGGGTGGTAATAGTGATGGGGCGGGTGGAGAGAACGATGCCAGTTCGACAGGATCGGCGGATTCGGAGGAAGGAGAAGGCAAACAACTCAGGAGGGATTCACCTCAACATGTCCTCGCCTCGACGACTACGTCTACGGTGGTGACATTGAACTATCGGCTGGGATATATGCCAGGCGAGCAGGCCGTGGCTAAGCAGTCGCCCCCGCAACAACAACAATTCTACAAATATCCGACGCCAGTGCATGACACCCTCGCCGGGCTTGACTGGATTCTGCAGGAGCTTCAACCCGCCCAACTATTCGTTTTTGGAACGCATGTCGGCGGCTCGTTGGCCCTCATGCTGGCCCTGACAGAGGCTCGGCATATCCAGGCGATTGCGGCGTATGAGCCGATCTGCGACTGGACCGAACTGGACGAGTATTGCACGATCGCGCCGGAAGATATCGAGAAGGCCCTAACTCCGAGCACGGTCAAGGGTCGCGGGACAGAAAAAAAGGAGAAGGAGAGGCAGCGCGCGATGGAATTACTCCTAGCGCAGATCAAGAGGAAGACGACGCGACGAAGGAGAGGTCCTGCGCCTGTCGATCTGGTGCCCTTGCTCGATGCGCGCGAGCGATTCTTCGACACGCCGGAAAAGTATTTTGACTCATTCGCGTCGCCGATGATCTTCCTCCGGTCGCCTGGGAAAGACGTTCCGAAGACGTCCCCCAAGTACCATACCGGACCGGAGTATCCGGTGCCGGTGCTGCAGATACCGCAGCTGAAGGAGGAGGAGCTCATTGATCTGTGGGACATGTTCATGCTGCCTGACGAGGAGATGGCTGCTGCCTCGACAGCGACAGCCAGCGCCGAAGACGACGAGGAACGGCCGATGCGTCGACGCAAAGCGCTCTCGCGCTGGCCGCCATATGGGTTGGAGGACGGGGTGAGCGCGCCCAGCTGGGAGAATTACGGCATCCGACGGCTGGAGGTGACGTTGCCATGGGTGCGGCTTTTCGCTAGCGGTCCTGCCGGGGGGTCGTCTGTAGAAGCTGGGGCTGAATCCAGTCCCAACTCTGGGGGTGGCGAGACCGAAGGCACTCCCCGTAGACGTCGATCGTCAAACGAGAGGACCGTCCTGGCTCGACAGGCAGAGGAGATGGTCTCGGTGATGCGTCGGGCCTGTTTCTGGGGTCGCGAGAAGGGGTATGGAGAGAGAAGGGTAGAATTGAGCTGGACGCCAAAGATGTCGTCGGCAGGGAATGAGCCAGAACCAAAGCTGAAGAGTCCTGCATCCGCTCACACTGTCGAGAAAGAGGCGGGCTACTGGTTCCGGGAGATAATGGAGGTAAACGCCAGTGGCAGCTCGTGAGAGCGAATTCTGCCCAGTGTGCGCATGCATTATGTACTGTACATACATAATCTTCTGCTGGGATACCTGTTTACGAAAAAGAACATCTTCACATGCCATTTACAGCACCACTAAAGCCATAGACCACTTACTCGCTTAAACCCCTAATGACCTCAATAATTGTCATCATCATAATAATAACCAGGTAGACGAATTTTTTCCCCCTTTCATGTGATTCATGTACTGCTGCAAATATATCAATGACCATCAATAATATTCCATAAGCGTGTGTATTGTGTTAACTTCCATGGCGCCATTCTACTAGGCTAGTCGTGCAGACGTAGATAGTACGGAGTATTTAGGGCTATACTATATCGTATGACACCGGCACCCAAAGATCCCGACACGACACGATACAACACGATCAAGTAGTTCAGACATTCAATCAGTCAGTCAGTCAGTCGTTCCCTATTCTGGAATATGCTATAACTAAGGTAGGTATGTACATACATAACTTACCTCGGCATGGCATATTTTTTTTTAGTCTTGCGTGCGGGGTGCATTATCAGACAGACAGACAGTACTGACAATACTCCATACGTCTAGCAGACCAGTGGGTTAGGTATCAAGCAAGCTCATCTCATCGGTCTCTGACTTCAGCAGGCAACAGGATTATTTGTTTCCTCTATTCGTTTGCAATAGATATTAGCATATACATACATATACATAACTAGAACCACATTGGGTAATGGCAATGGTAACAGCAACCCTAAGTACCTCTGCCTTGCATATAGTTATAGTAACTAACTGAACATGCCATTTCGAAATCTTCGTCATGAATGACTGCTGTACTGACGGTTGTCGTTTTTGTTTTCTTTTTATGCATAGTGCATTACAAACCTAAATGAATGAATGATCTACATACATACATACACTTACTGAGAGCCCTCTCCACTTCGAGTCAGATGTCAGATGTCAGATGTCAGATGTCAGTCAGTCAAATCTACCCTTTTTCCTCGGTCCGAATCCTCGTCTTGTCTGCGGGTGGTATTAGACAATCTTCTTCTTTGAGTCAGTAACTAGTGCTCTGTATGCAGATATGCCTGCCTATATGTCGTGTCGTGTCTACGTGGTGTGATTCAACTAGACGAGACGAGATGATACTAGCATACTTATGTACATTATGTTATTGCTCTCTAGCTGGATTGTTGTTAATACTATGGAGATGATGGTATTCAGCCTCGGTTCTTCGTATGGTGTGTGTGGCCCCCGCTTCTTGTTTTGTGTCTGGGGAGGGGAGTTCCTCTGCTGGCTTCGATTAAATGTAGGTAGGTAGATTGATTGACCGAGTATGTAGTGTATAAAAGGCGAGTTTCTCCTGTGTTATCTCTGCGTGTGTATATTCTTATCTTTACTCGATGTTATCGTGCTCTTATTTTATTTTTAAACGACACTTGAACGTTGCTGTCTGTTCAGCGTTATATCGTCTCGACAACATGACTGCGTATCTTGAATATCTCACATTAAATACCATACCTGACACTGTTGGACTCCTACTGTATCCTTTCCAACAGCACGCTCTATACGCTATTGCACTATGCCTACCAGCATGTCTTGGTCTCGTCGCGCTCTTGCGTTTCCAAAGAGTGCGCAGCCTCCACAGGCGATATCAGCGCTACTCGACACGGGAATCTTTATCGACAATGACCGACTACGATGCGTGGGAGATCCAGAAGCTGATCCTGCAGCTGGAGTTTCCATTCATGGCTCTCAAGTCGCTCCAGTTTGCACTTTTTAGGGTACGTCACGTACCTCATTGACATGTTATCTACTGCCTACTGCCTACTCCTTCAGACGTACGGCATCCCGTCCATATCGACCCTCCTCGTCAAAACGAGCCAGTTCGCCCACCCCTCGACCTCCTTCAAACGCTACGCTGACACCAGCACCCTGATCGGCGAGTTCATGGCCTTCCCGCCCTCGTCGGACCGGGCTCACACGGCCATCGCGCGCACCAACTTCCTGCACAGCGGATACCGCGCCAGCGGACGCATCCGCGCGACGACATGCTGTACACGCTGAGCCTGTTCGCGCTGCAGCCCATCCGGTTCGTCGAGCGGTACGAGTGGCGCAGCCTCACGCCGCTCGAGAAATGCGCCATTGGCACGTTCTGGAAGAGTCTGGGTGATGCACTCGGTATTCGCTATGATTGTCTTCTCCCGCCGCCGCCGCCGCCGCCGTCGTCAGGGAAAAGCGGCTTCAGGGATGGACTCCACTGGTTGGAGGAGATCGGCGCCTGGAGTGAGCAATACGAAAAGCAGCATATGATGTCCCATCCTCGAAACAAAGAGGTTGCCGATCGGACGGTCGAGGTCCTGGTTTATGCTCTCCCAGATGCTTTCAAGCCTTTGGGGAAGTGGTTTGTTTCGTATATAATGGATGACCGGTTGCGGAGGGCTATGATGTGAGTTCATTCATCCATCCCCTCTTCCTCCTCGTCGTCCTTCTCTGCAAACCAGCTAAATCATTTGTCGTCTGCCCAAGGTACGATCCTCCACCGCCAGTCGTCCAGCACATATTCACCTTCCTCCTCACCACTCGCAAACTCTTCCTGCGCTACCTGGCCCTCCCTCGCCCGTACCTCCTCCGCTACGACGTCTTCACCGAGCAACCCGACTCCAACGGCCGGAACTTCGTCCTCATGTGGGACGGGGCGCCGTACTACGTCAAGCAGACCCTGTTCAACCGCTGGCTGAGCCCGTCGGCCTGGCTGAACCGGCTGCGAGGACTGCCTGTTCCGGGAGACGAGGGCGACAAGTACTGCCCCGAGGGGTTCTATACGCCGGATCTGGGGCCGAAGTATTTCGAGGGGAAGGGGAGGGAGCAGATGGAGGAGATGAAGCGGGTTCTGAGGAGGGAGAGGCGGGGGCAGTGTCCTTTCTCGTGAGAATAAATTGGATAGTTATGAGGTCCAGAGATATCACTTGGGAGATGCTGGTAGGAACTTAGTTCGAAGACATAAATGAAATAACCTTTCTCCATTAAAATCAATGATAGAATCCTGAAGCCTACGTCAGACGCAGCGGGGCACGCTTCAGGACTCCCAGGCAGCAGGATTATCATGGACTATCCCTGATAAATCAGATCCCAGACACGCAATAAATGAATTGAGGTCCTCTAGACGCTTGGATAGGACTGATTCCGTTTTCTTTCCCAGATGGGAAATCGTCTGGGGAAGGGACTTCCTTCCGGGGCTGTGGCGGTGCAATTGTCACATGACTAACTGGATTCGAGATGCCCTGGTTTCCCAATTGTGGTATTTGATAGCAGTTCAATTCATGCATTTCTTCCAGTTCCCATCCATCTGACAAGAATTCCCCTGATGCCCTATTAATATTACTCCGTATTTATTTTTAGCGGCGGGTCCCTGATCGGCGGCTAAGGTCGCCGACTGATTGGGACGATCGTGGCGGAGCTTCCCTCCGCCAGGCACCCGCCAAACGCTCTCCGCATCTGTCGCCAGTAAGGCGCAATATTAACGGCGTAACGACTTCCTTCTCATTCTATTCATCTGCAACTTCCTCCCCTCAAGTGCTCCTTGCTCCTTGCCCGTTGATGGCAACNCCATGCTGGACAGAATCTCCCAACGTATACCCCTCCGTACTCACTACCTCCCCGCCATCCACTAACTGCTGCAGCATCTTTCTCAGATCCACCGGTCAGAAACACAGCTCGACCATCTTCCTCTGCCAGCATGGCAACGACGCCGAACCGGCCTACTCGGTGCGCCATCTCGACCCCTCGCAGCCCGTGTCGAAAAACCGCTATGCCGTCGGCCTGTACGACCCATACATCCCGGACGTGCTGTTCGGAGAGGTCCTGATCATCCCCGAATGGACGCAGCCGTCCCTGTCCGCCGAAGCAATCCGCCAGAACGGCGGAGTGCCCCCTCCGCCGGAACCAATTCTCCCGTCGCAGTTCACGATCCATCTCTACAATCCCGACCAGGATGTCATCGTGCGCTACAAACCCAAGAGCTGGAACTCGCCGCAGACGTGGGAGTTCGAGATGCCCCAGCGGTCATTCCGGCAGCCGTCCAACTCGACGCTGGACCGGACGCAGTCCGATCCGGCCGCGTCGGACATCACGCCCAAGTTGAAGTTCTTCTGGCGCAAGGACGGCACGCTCTCCAAGGATTTTGCCTGCTACCTGTCGGGCAAGACGACCACTCCGGACGGCCGCAAGAAGAGCAAGGAGCCCGACATTACGATCTCGATCTTCAAGGGGTTCAAGGAAATCACCCTCTACGAGCCCAACCTGTACCGGGTGGAGATGGAGGACTTTAAGGGGCTGGAAGTGGTGCTGATGCTGGGGGCCGTCGTCATTCGGGATGTCTTTTTCGGTTCGTTGAAGGAGGCATTTCACGTCTCGGATCCGGCAAAGCCTGCTACTGCCAACGGCGTCGCTACCAAACCTCAGAGACCCCAGATCACCGTTCCGCAGCAAGAGACCGGACCAGCACCGGCACTGGATCCCCGTACCAAATGGGAGATTGAGGCCGAGCATGCGCGTCTGAGGCAGCAACTAGAAGCAGAAGAGCGAGAACGGCGAAGGCGGGCGGAGGAAGAGGAGCGAAAGACCATGAAGCTGCTCGAGGAGGAGGAAAAGGCGGCGCGCAGGAAGCAGGCGGAGATCGACAAGGAGACGGAGCGGCTGAGGAGGATTTATGGGCGGGAGGAGCAGGAGTACCGGCAGCGGCAGGCAGCTTCTCGACCAAACATTACCGTCTCGTCGCCTAGCCATCAGTCTCCCCTCCGGCCGCAGTCGTCCTTGTCCTTCTTTGGGCAGTCCGCAGCCCCGCAGCTGAAGGAGAAGAAGAGTATATTTGGATTCCGCAAGAATTCCGACGACAACAACAAGCTGAGCAAGAAGCGGAGTTCGATGTTCTAAGACATACCTAGGCGTCTACGTCTACGTCTGCATACCTCCTTTCGTGGTTTATTTATTTTTCTTTATCGATACCCAGGTTCCATTGGCGATGACGATAAATTTGCATTTCTTTGGCGTTGGGAATGATAAAAGGTATGACGCAGGTTGAGTTAAATTTTGTTTTTTTTTTAGTTTTATTTTTTTTCCCCTGGGGTTCAAACGTACGGGTATGATAGCATTGCGTCTTTCGGTCATGTTCATGTGTGTACAAGGTCCTATGTCGAGTAAGTGTATCAGGGTAGATATACGAATGAATGAGCTGCATTCGCAAAGATGAATAAAGGTAAATGATAAATGAATCTGTTAATAAAAGGGTTTTCATTCATCGAATAGAAAGAAATATCCTTATTATCTGGTATTATCATGATAACTCTGATATACTCACCAGAACTATTACTTATAAACAAAAAAAATTCGAACGGGTAACGTTGAACCTGGATGGACTTGGATAGACTCTTTGTAAGCAAAGGGGAAAAAAAAAGCAGTCTATAGTCAATTTTCTATTTGAATCATTTACTTATAGTAGTTATTATTTCCACTCTATATTAGTTATCTTGTGGTAATGACAATTCGCGATTTATCTACCTGCTGAGTGCTGAGAGTGTATAAGAAAATCAATACTTACATGTATACATTTCTCAATATGTATGTACATAGATGCTCAGCTCTCTTTTTCTTCCACAAAGAAAGAAGGAATTGTTCCGATAAAATAATTAATAAGACAGAGAAATAAATTGAAGTTTCAATTCAACAATAAAACAAAAAGAAAACACAATGACAATCACACCTGACGTAGTCGCAATGCTGATACTACACGAAACTAAAAAAAAAACAAGGAATTATAGAAAAAAGAAAGAAAACCGTAAAATTAAACACTACATGATCGATGCCAAATCCACCAATCCACTCAATCCGAATCATCATGCACCTCACAGCTCGCAATCTCATTAGCAATAAACTCCAACACGTGCGACTTTTCGTTCAGATGATCCTTGGGGAACAACGCCCCAGACTCCTTGCTGCGCCACATCCAGATGCTCTTCATCATCTGCCTCATGTACAGCCTTAGCAGGAGCCGGGTCGACGATGCCCGGATTCTGCCCTCGAGGATGGCTATGCAGTCGTCGCGCCGCGAGATGGGGTACGTCAGGGCGATGACGGACGACTCGTGTAGCGGGAGGACGTCGTCTTTGAAGAAGCGCGTTTTGATTACGATGCCACTAGGCGTCTTGGGGATGTTAATGCGGTGGTCGAGGATAGGGACGTACTCGTCCGGATCGCGGTACTGCCCCCCCTTCCCATTCTCCGGATCGACACCCCGACCGTTGAAGGTGTAGATGGGCAGGCAGACGTGGTGGCCCTTGTGCACCGTCACGACCACCATGCGCCGCCACTTGAAGCAGATGTCGCCCATGTCCTCCGTTTCGAGCCTGTGCTTCCAGTCGGACGGGTACGAGGTGGTGCCGTGCTGCTCGAAATGCGGCACCCGGATGATGCTCCCCGGTGCGAAGGGCCCTGTCTGCGCGGCGTAGCCCTGCAGGGAGTAGTGCTTGTCTCCGACGCGGTGGACTCGGCTGTCTGAATGCCTCCGGCGAGACCGTGACCGGGATGCTCTGCGAGCAAAGGATACGGAGCGAGTGGGAGGTGCGTTCTTTTGTGCGGACTGATGTCCGTCTTCGGGCTCTTCTTCCGGGATGGCTCCCAGTCTGGGTCGGGCCGAGGCAGGCTGTGATGGGTAGGGGCTGTTAATATGCAAGCTGCCTATGCGCGGTAGACCAGGACTATACCTTTTGGATCGCACATAAGGGGTGGCAGGAGAAGACGGTGCAGAAGCAGACGCAGCTGCCGCGACAGCCGCATACGTTGGTGTTGTCGCTGACGGCGTCAGCGGTATAAAAAGTCTGCTCTGCTGATTCGGGGGAATTGACAACGACGGTGGCTGAGTCTTTCTCTGACGCTTTGAAGATGGTGACATAGACATAGACGTTGTCGTGGTCGACGTCGACGTCGTCGTAGTCGTTTCTTGCTGCTGGGACTGGGAATTTTGTCGACTCCGTTGTCCGTTGCCATTCTTCCCGGATTCAGACCGTTGGCTATTGCTGCGGGAAATCGACGAGTTTCTTCTCTGATTGTTAGCCATGTATTATCAAAGTATTCAGGGAGTATGGTAAGTTAGTAAGTTAATTCGGAACGATTTCCAACAGATTGGAAGGTTGAGTATATTGTAGGAGTGCTGTCGATAGGATCAGATCATCGTTATAGATTGGGAATCATCCCAAAGTCGAACGATGCATATATATGTGCTGTACAGTACTGCGTATTAGGTATTCTTCACAATGCTTTTGTTCTGTTTTGTCTTTATTGTCAAGAAATGAAAGACAAAGAAAGAAAGACAGAAATATGAAGTTAATGGAAAGGTAGAAAGATAGAAATAGTAGATAAAAAGAAAGAAAGAAAAACAACAACAATGCAGCGAGTCAATGTCAGAATACAGAATCAAACAGACCCATCTGTCTTACTTTCTTTCTTTCCTTTTCCAACTTTTTCTCCATTGTGTCTTGTCTCCATCTGGATTCTCGAATTGAAAGACCGATTCTTATGCTGTACATCTAGAAAGGAATCTGATATTTGTCGCATTCATTCGGTCAAGTCTTACCGTCCTTTCTTCACTCTTTGTTCTTTGTTCCACGATATAACACAATCTCAGTAAAGATAGCAGCAACGACGGAATCTCGGTGACGGGTATGAAATAGAATAAAGCTCAGTATTGACAAAGTCTATTCCTATTCTATGTCTATGTTACTTTCAACGACCATGCGGTGTATCTAATCTAAGATGAGTAAAAGAAAGAGGAAACAGACAAAGAAAATATAAACCAAAAAAAAAATCGACAAAAAAAAAATCTACAGACCAACTGACAGATCTACGTTAGATTCGACTGCCATTGACCTCATGCAGCTCAGCCTCCTCTCTCTCCTCCTTGGTAGGCTGCAGGCCTTGGCTGCCCCAGCCCTCGAGTCCCTGCTTGTAGAACACCCTCTGCTGTACCCGCGACGGGGCCTCGGGCGTCTTGCCCCGACGTTGGCGCGACTCCGGTGTCTCGACGAGAGTGGCGTTGTCGCCGTCGACATGATTGCCATCCAGGTCCTCCGTGTCGACTGCGTCAGAGAATTTGTAGGTGCGGTACTCGGTGTTCACCCAGGCGGTGCCTGCAGAGTAATTAAGTCATGGATTTAGTTTGACGTAGTTGAAACAACGATCGTAGCGCCAGTGCTCGAGTATGACCTTATTTAAAGAGAACAGAGAGGGTAAAGGGTCAACCTACCCAGGTAAAGACTGCTATCCTCCCAATCCTCCGTAAAGTAGTGCAAGAAACCGCCATGAGTGACGAGGACGATTTCCTTCTCCGGGCGCGCCTTCAACCATCGTCTCAACTCTCGCGCGCGATTCTTGAGCGCTGCTGCCGTGTGAGCCCATTTTCCAGTCTGTGTCAACATCAAATTAGACATATCACTCTCCAATATAGGTTCCGGAAGAGCATGTATTTACCTTGCTATTCCACCCCTCCTGAACCAGGGACAAATCCACAGGCAACGCGCGCTCCTCGACTTCCTTCTTCAGAACAGCCGGATCGCTGCCCGTATCGCAGGGCAGGTCACTGGTCTCTTGCGCATCCGGGAGCGCAATGAGCTTCAGGTCCTTGTTGGCTTTGAACACGGGCTCGAAAGCCAGCAGGGCCGTGTAGATGGTCCGGCGAAGCGGCGACGCGGTCACCAGTTCGATCTGGGAGTGGTAGGGGAAGCGATCCCGCAGGTCGGCGCATTGTTTCTCTCCCAGCGGGGTGAGATTAGGGTCGTGCAGAGAGTGGTTTGCGGTGCTGAGGTTGTGGTAGCCCTGACGGATGGGTCTGTGTTAGCAGGCTGATATGATTGATAACCTGCGCAGAGATTTATGAAGCCGCATACCTGAGCATGCCGGACACAGTGAATTATCGGAGCCATTATTGTGCTCTGGGAAGAACTGGACGACAGATAACAGCAAGCGCGGGGTAGCGGGGTTCTATAGATCAGGCCGAATAAAATGGATAAAACACGATCAAAAACAAAATATTCGTCTCAACAGTATGTACAGTACACACATGCAATTAATCTGTACAAAACAATGAATGAACTATCGACCTTGGTCGAGGAGGTCGAACGCGAGATCAAGCTGCATGACAGAAAATATATCGATCAATCGGCCCGCAGTCCTCCGCAAGCTATCCATCTCGAGAAGACATCGGTTATTGATTGCCTTGGCGATTTGCCTCGTGTGGGCCAATGGATCCGGCAGGGGCATCATGCCGCTATTCGCTTGGCCAGCAGCAGCCGGCGCAGGAACTGGATCTGGTCTTAGTAGTCTTAGTGCCGGTGGAGCAGGAGAAGCTGCGGACGGCGAGAACGGTTTTTGGCTTCTTTTCTTGTCCAATTTTGTCGCGGCGGAAACTCTTCCGAGAAGCGCGTGTGGGATGGCTACTTGGGCAACTATGTCGAGTGCAGATTTGCTCACCGGCAGGACTTACGAACAAGGAGGTCAGATAATGAGTCATATTATTTCGCCTGCAGGAAGGCCATGCTCTATCTACACAAATACTAATAATTACAATGCTAAGAGATGAGTCATCAAACAACGCTGCCATATCCCACCAACCCGAGAAAAAGAACCCCTATGTACTGTGTGTGACAAGACCATAATCTAGTGAGATAATCTAGATATCATAGATGGTGGCAGAGATGAAAACTGCATATCGACTTCAGGCCACGCCAAATCCCTGTGCGTTTTCCAGAGCTTTGTCGAGCTTTTCGTGCATCACTGTCCGCGATGTGTATTCCGGAAGCAGTAATCTCCCAAAGCAGGTCAGGCTGGTCGGAAGACGCTGTTCCAGGGTTAATATTGAATATTAAGAGTACGACATGGGAGGACACTTACAGCATCACCAACACCGTTCTTCTGGATCACGAACATAATGCTTGAGATGCCGTTGACCGGAACGCGGTCGCTCGCCGTCACAAATTCCAGCAGCCGAGCCTTCTTCTCCGGAGGGTACTGCTTTACAATCTGCCAGAAATCCCGGATCATCGGATGGGACGGGCTGAACCCGCCTTCGTAGCGCGCGTGGCGCTCGAGCTCATCAATATCGATCTCCTGGATGCCTTCAACGACGGTCTTGAGAGCCTCCGGCGTAAAGATCGACAGCGCCGTCCGGTCAAGACAAGTGTAGAACCCACGTGCGAATGCCTCATACTGAGGACGGATCGATTTGTCAGTCAGCCAGAAGATGTAGTCCTTGACAAACTGCTCTCGATTCTCGTTGGTCACCAGGCTTGGCTCCTCCGGAGGCTGCGAGCTGGGAGTGGCCAAAGGAGTATTGTAGTCGACGCCCTTGAGAATGCCCGTCCTGAAAGATTCGCGAGTCACCGGAGTGTCCTCCTCAGCACCTTGGTGCACCGTGGAATTCCGATGCCGTCGGGAACCGTACTGTGACGCATCTCCACGCGAGCTGGAATATTCTGAGCCGCTGCTTCGCGCCCGTTCTCGAGTCGAGGCCCGGTCAGGGACCGGCCAGACTGCATCCCGACCAACCCGCTGCATATCTACCGTCTTCACGCTGCCAAAGGCCTCGAAACTGAACTCGTAGGTTCTCATAAAGACATCGCCCACATCTCCGTCTTCCCACGTTAGCAGGTCCTCAAGGCCCTTGGCAAGCTCCGGCCAGCCGTCCCGAATATGATCCAAGTGCTTCACTTTCAGTCCCAAGAGCTTCCGGTAAAGCGCAAGGGGGAAGTTGACGGGGAGAGTCAGGCCATTATAGATGGCAAGTGACATCAAGAGTCCCAGCAGTTCATACTTGTACAAGGGTTCAAGTGCGCACGGCTGGAACCACGCAATATGAGTCCGAGGGTCCACCGTAAACATCCCGTAAGACGGGCTCAGTGCCTCTCCGAATACGACTCGGAAGAACTCTTGCTGAACACCGCCATGGTCCACTCCTTCCTCCCCTTCATCCATGCCCATTTGGACTTTCAACGGCCGCATCAGTTCCCGCTTCTCGCGACGCCACAGCTGGTTGAGGGCGTCTGTGAGGACATTATCTCGCCGGACAACAAGCACGAGATACGTAGTCATGGAGGTTCGTAATCTCGCCAGCAAGCCAACATCGTCATGGATCGGAATGCTGGAGAAGGCGGTCTGCGTCACATGTCGCGTGGCAGTCATCGCGGCTTCATAGGACTTAGACATCGTCGAGTAATTCATGGCGCGGAAGTAGGTAACGAGCGCAGATGGCGGGAAGAGGAAGGAGGAAGAAAGCAGATGTATGGTCTTGTTATTGGACGGTCTCCCAAGCCACTCCACCGGCATCTCCATCGGATCCAATCTCTCCGAAAGAAATGACGTGTGGAAGTCTTCAGGCGCGAGCCCGAGTCGTTTACGGTGCTTGTACATGGAGGAGAGGATCTGAACGGCACCTCCGGCTGCACTCGACCTTGGCATTTCGGGCTTGCCATCCCATTCTTTCAGGAAAAGGGTGCGAAGCCACTCCACAATCAAGGCTGAGGCAGCAGGAGTGTCCGAAGTAGAACGCCAGTCACCCTGCTCCGTCGTATTCGTTGTCAAGTTGTGGTGCTCACGGAGGTTCTCTAGGATCAGATCCAGAACGCTAGGCTTGCGTTGTTTTTTAGATTCAGAAATGGAAACTGATCGGGCTTTTGAGATCTCGTGAAACGCTAACCTAGCGGTGAGAGCGCGTACCAAGCGGTTGACCAGCCGAAGCGCTAACTCATGTTCCAGCTTGTCGGTGATATCCACCACCAGGCCGGGTCTCGAACGCGACAGCTTTCGCATCTCTGCATCGGGTAGGACAGTCCCAGCAGAACGCATTTGAAGAATAGCTCGCCACGTCTGCGCATCCACTTTGGGCAAAGAGCTGACCAAGGCAAAAAGAGCCACAGTCGCGATATGGGCTGCCTCTGTGTCGGATAACGGTTCATCTGTGGATGATCCCGAAGAACGAGATGCAATTATGGGGGCTGGAACAAGACCCGTTGAATTTCCAGACAAGCGTCGAACAGGAGTGGACAATTCCTTTGGTGGCACGAAAAGCCTCTCCAATGCGTTCCAGAGACTATTTAAAACAAGGTCCCATGGGCAAAAGTCCAGAAGCTTCCGTAGACCAGATTCCAACTTCTGCACATCAAGATTGGCATTGCAGTTTTTATCGCCGTCATCATGAGGAGGCGAAGAGTCGCTTCGAAAGGAACGCAGGAGTTGCTTGGTACTGCTCAACCCGTAGAAGACGCTTTGAGCGACAAATGGGAAGACCTGACGCTGACGGGGTGTTGCGTATTGAAACTCGATGTCTTCGTATTTACCACTTCTGTTCATCTCCGCCACCTCATCTTTCCATTTCTGAGCATCCTCGTCCGACTCGAGCAGCATCTGACCGAGACCATCAACGATTTCACTGGACAAATGGGTCACCGTCTGCACTGGCGATGGAGTACGACGTTTCCTGTGTTTATTTCGGGGTCTCTGTTTGGAGTCTTCGGGGGGCAAAGAGCCTGCAGGATACTGCTCCTGAATCTCCACTTCTTCAGCACGATCGCGATCCTCATGACGCTCTGACTCCCTCAGAAGTTTCGACCCATCCCAGGACACACGCCTATGCTTCTTCTGCTCCTTAAAATAGGAATCGTTCAGGTCCTGTTCCAACCCTCGATGCTTCTGCGGCCGGTGTTTCAACGCTGGCGGCGAAGGAAGTCCAACGCGCCCGTTGGCATTGGACGACGGACTATTCAGTGACGATTTTCGAGCCGATATACAATCGGATCGTGCCACGTCTTCGACCCCCGATCGTGGGCTTTGGCGCCAGGGTTCTACCTCGCCCAATGACAGGCGCTTAATTGGTTGACCAGGAATTTTCAACTCCAGCGCAGCAGGTTGAGAAGTTCCCTGGCGTGAGGATGGTGTTTGCACTTCGCTCGAGGCCGTGCTATTACTGAATGAGCGATTCTTTTTTCTCGTGCGACGTGAGTTGTCTGCAGACTTAGTTCTTTCAGTCCGGCCGTTATCCGGCTTTGGTGCCTCTTGGCTTGCTTCTGAAGGACGCCGCCCGGTCGTGCGAGGACCATCCGAATCGAAAGGTTCAGGAGTCCGACGAAGAGGCAACCACTCTACCATTCGAAGGGAGAGCGTATCGAAGAGGTTTTGGGTAAACGACTTGGGGTCCTTCATCTTTTGTGAGGGTGAGACAGTTCGTTCCGGTGGATGCTGGTGCTGATCTTGGGCCTCCGCAACTGCAGGAATTGCTGCTGAGCACTGTGCATTATTCTCTTCTGGATGTGATTCCGAGTGTGCTGCATGGGCAGACAGCTGCCCATCTGGCACATTGTCCACACCTGCCGGACCTATTTGCCGATCACCGTGAACGTTATCAGCTGACGACTCGCAAGCATCAGGCTGGGAGATGCGTCTTTTTGGGCGCTGCGGGCTTTCCGGAGGAGGGAAATCGGAAGATAGTCTTGGTGGGTTTCGACACAGGCCACTCTCAGCATCGTCCAAGCTCGCCAGATAGCAGGCCAATGTCCGAGCACTCAACTCCGTGTACCGTCGGAAAGGACCCTCTGCGACTCTCTTCTGGTAGCTAAGACAAGTCGGCGTGCGGCAGTTGGGATCCTGACAGCCGTAGAGGATCTGGTGTTTGTATCTATATGCCACGCAGGGGTCAGCCCATCCCTATCATGGTGGAGTCATATTGAGGCGGAGACGATCTACCTGCGAACCAGGAGATTGAATTGTCGACGACGCTCATCCCTGTGCCACGAGAGGACATATTCCGGATCCGTGATATCGATGGTATTCTGGACAATGATCTCCGGGGAATTCGGTGGCAGCTTAGATCGATGGAAGGGCCGCCTGGCGCCACCAGCTGACGCGCGCGCATCGTCCGGAGGGCTCATTGAGCCTCCCCGCAATCTAGTCATCTTGAATGAATCAGGCTCATAGCGATGTTGCGGAGATAAGTAGGAGGTCAAACTGATTCAGGCAACCGTGGGATCATCGAAGCGTTCTAGAAAGATCCCTCCGTATCCAGAGCAGGAGACTGTTCTGATATCATCGGAGCTTGGTTCGCAGCGCCACGGGTTGGCTGTCTGGAGCGACCGTCCGTCCTGCCAAGCCTGGTAAGGTGTCGCAGGTGTCTCGGGGCAGGAGAAACAATGATCCGACATCGCAGCGCTATCTTATCAGGCCCGATCGGGATTGGTGCACGGCAGAGGCACGTGACGCATGGACGTCATCGCCACTACTCTGTAACCCCGCCAGCCGCACTCGGCAAGACCGCTTAGCTAATTGGGAATTATTAAGTCAATTACTCAGTTGTGCTTCAATTTAAGACAGATCCATCCAGTGCCACCAGCGAGACCCCTCTCATCTATCCCAGGCTGAGGCTGTTCATTGTCGCTTCAGACATTGTTTGTTGTGTGTTCTTCTCTTCCCTGGTTCTGTCTCAAACTCAATTTGTGTGGCGACCGAAATCTTTTTCTACCCCTCACAGAAGGGCAGAATCTGTGAACGGAGTCGTTCACTATATCAGCCTCATGGCAGCTGTGACAAGCCAAATGGCCTCCTCCGCCATTGGAGAGGCTACATCTCTCCCTTACACGTGCAATGCCTGCCTGGTAGCCTTTCGCAGCAGTGAGGCTCAGCGAGAGCACATGCGAAGGGACTGGCAGTAAGTATCTCCGACATTCCTCATTTCCGGTTGACTTGACTGACATGACCAGTTTGTACAATGTGAAACGCCGCGTAGTGTCTCTCCCTCCTGTCTCCCAGGAAGTCTTTACAGAGAAAGTTCTTAAAGCGAAAGCAACATCGTCCGCCGCTGCCGCGAAAGCCTCCTATGAGAAGACTTGTGTGGCTTGTCAGAAGACTTTCTACAGCGAAAACTCGTACCAGAATCATGTCAAGAGTTCCAAACATAAGCTTCGCGAAGCTCGTATGAAGCAGAAAGAAGGCCCCGCGGATGACACGTCCTCCGTCATGAGTTCTACATTTTCTCTGGGGGACCCTATTAACAAGTCAGAAGCTGCAGACGTGTCTCAATTAACAAGCAAGTTGAAGACCACAGCCATCGAGGAGGAGGGCGCTGATGAAGAGGAAGAGGAAGAAGAGGATGATGATGAATTCTCCTCATCTCGTTGCCTCTTCTGCAGAGAACCTTCCTCGGATCTGCAATCGAATGTTGATCACATGTTTAAGACTCATGGCATGTTCATCCCCGAGAAAGATTACTTGGTGGATCTTGAAGGCCTCATCCGGTATCTACACGCCAAAATAACGCAGAACAATGAATGTCTCTATTGCCATGCTATCAGAAGTACAGCAGCAGGGATCAGGACCCACATGCGCGACAAAGGCCATTGCATGATCGCCTTTGAAACAGAGGAGGAGCAGCTGGAAATTGGCCAGTTCTACGATTTCAGAAGCACTTACTCGGACAATGAGGACGACGACGACGAGTCTGCGGAGAATGCAGACGGTGGAGTCAAGGTGCCCCAGTCAGACGACGCCGATGACGATGGCTGGGAAACCGCAAGCTCTGCCACGTCTGTAGAATCAGACGGCGAATCGAAGCCGTATCGCCCCTCGCAGCCGATCTATCAGACGGACTACGAGTTGCATCTGCCATCTGGCAAGAGCGTCGGTCACCGGTCTCTTGCCAGGTACTACCGCCAGAACCTACACAACTACCCGACACCAGAGGAGCGAGCCGCACGGCAGCTCGCTATCGAGAATGGTACCGCTCAAGAGGAAGAGCAGAAACCGAGCCGTAATCACCACCGTGCTGTGATTACCAGGGCGAATGGTGGTCTAGGCATGCTCGGTGCCACCGCTAGCCAGAAGCACGAGGCTCAACTCGCTGAGAGAAGGGAACGGAACCGCGCTCAGCGCGAAGAACAAAAATATATTGCAAAAGTCAACCGCGCAGCCAACAACCAGAAACACTACCGGGTACGTTTTTATTTTATGCCACTATGCGTAGCTTCGTTCAGAACTAACAGATTGGTGTACAGGACCCTCTCCTGCAGTGATCTCGTTTTTGCAACCGTCACTTCCAAATCTTGGGAATTATTCTGCTGCAATGAGTATTACGATCTGCATTGGATTGTTCATGATTACCTAAAGTTATGTGGTAGTTTCTAGCCTGGTGCGGCTGTTCGCACTTATGCGTGTCGTTTTGTCGTGCGGCGCAGGTGGTAATAATCAAAAAAAATAAAACACTCGACGGGATCTTCCCACTTTGCAAGGATTTTTTGAATATAGACGATATGAGTGAAAGGGTAAAAAAAAAGGCAAGTCGAGGGACAGACTATTCCGTTCCCTGATGCCAAGGACTGTACTTATTCTGCCCATTTTTGTACAATGTAATACCATACCATAACGAAAATCGCATCCACCAATAATGAAGAGCTGAAATCCTATTCCTCTTCTGTCTGTGCCAATAATGGTATGACAGTGTATATCTATCGTAGAAGATGCTCATGCTCATGGGGTGGTTAATTAACCAGCAGATTATAGATCAGGTAATGGGGAGGTTGTGGTTGTCTCATTAATAATATTTGAGAGTCTCAAACAAACAAGATTATTTATTTAAATAGGCTACGCCTAAATAACACACATATATATGCATATATACATATTGCGAATTTCTTGACTTTGATTATGAACCCGCTGACAATAGTAGACACTAAATTAGTTGGTTTATCTGTTACATTGCCTCAAAGACAATGCGTGGAATTCTAGAACTGCAGAAACTCATCTATCTCATCGATCATGGCTGCCAGCATTGACAATAAAAAAAATGTCTTTCAGTCCCTGCCGTCCCTGACTTCTTTATTTTTTTGTCTTCATTTGGGAATGTGATGCTGTTAACAGGTATGTTTTTTATGCCACTATATGTAGTTGCGTTCAAGCAACCATGTAGCTAATGCTATTGAAATCTTCTAATTTAGCAATGATTAAAAGCCATTAGGCTTATCCATGGCCTAAAGACAGCTGAGTAATAATACATGTGAGTACCACAAGCAGCAATCTTTCAACACCACTGAAACAACAATACATGCTAAAAAATTTAAACGAGAACAGAATCCCGAACGTGATGATGTTAATCAATTGCTTCAGGCTGGCTGGGAGTATCATGTGTGTAACCTTTGCAATTCCAGGCAGCAACGCTTTGAAGTCATGTGTACGGGATTTTTTAATTGGCGGACCAGCTTGATTGGATAGACTCATGTGACTTAGAAGACTTCAACAAAGCTCTGCTCAAGGTCTATCAAGCGCCCACACTAGACGAGCCCTACATCGAAGAGTACTTTGAAGGCATGTTTGGCGACGAGAGCCGTATTATGCTGAGCCTGCGGTTTTTCGTTGCCTGGATCTAGTCAAAGGACTCCTGAGGTGGTAGTAGTAGTAGGGTTGAACGTGAAAAGCAGAGAAAGTGAGATGCAGTACAGAACAGATAGTGTCGAGCAGGAAGCGGAAGTGGTAGTACTCTAGAAATAGGTAAAAATAAACATTACCATTTTAGGTTTAGTTTATACCTCACGTGATCATAAATTGGCGCGTGGTATATATACGGAGTACACAGAGTAGAGAACGGCCCGAAAGGCCATGTTGACCAATCAAGCTCGCGTTTATCCCTTAACAGTTACATCTTAAACTTGCACATGATCGAAATATTTCTGTTTTCAGAGTGAAAGAGGATGATCTGCTCATTACTCACTGCCTAGAAAAGGAGCTACTGCTGACAAGTTGAAAGACAGATACAATACACGTCCATTAGGTAATGCTTTCCCCTAAGCTAGCTACCTAGGTGAGGAGAAAGATCCCAAAGACATGCGTCAGAACAGAATAAAAATAACAAGAGAATTTCGATTCTATTCCTACTTTCCTTGCTCACCTCTGACCGGCAGAGTCGATGCTAGATGGCCTTGCTACTGATGCTGCTGTTGCCGTTGCTGCTGGCTCGATCAATCAATCAAGTCAGCAAGTGACCAGGCAAGGCACTGTATGTCATAAAAAGTACTTTACAAATACACAACAAGCTGTAGTCCAGATAATAATCCGAAACCAATATCAATGTAACAGAGGTTGTCTTTCGCCGTCCTTGCCATCCGGTTTTCTTTTCCGTCTCCGGCGTTTCTTCTTACTCCCCTGGGTGCCTTGACCATCCGCGTTATCGGAAGGATTCGTCTCAATGGCATCGTCTACAGGCGATGCCCGCGTCGGCCTTTCGGTATCCGAAGAACTGCTACTGGTTGTTTGGAGAATCACTTTCCGAATGCCATTCACATCGATGACTTGTTCTGTGATGCTTCCACTCCGAGCAGGGCCCGAAATGCGAGACGGCCCTTTATGGTGGTCAATGGCACGCGTCTCGTAGGAGTGGACGCTACTGGGCTTGCTTCGATTCGGAGTGCGCAAGGGCGATGAATGCGGCGTTTCCGCCTGATTTTCATTCTCGAGTTCGGGAACTACCAACTTCGTAAGATCCGTCTTGAGGTTTGCCTGGGTTCCCTTACTGGCCTGGTTGCCGCCTTCGTGAGCACCGATAGTACCATAACCGGATTTCAAAGCGTGAACTCCATCCTTTGCATCCTTGCCTGCCGAATGCAAGAGTCCTGCTCCGATACCTCCTTGGCACCCAATTGTCTCCGACGGTCTCCGGATCTGTTCTCCAGACACGCGTGGTCCTCCATCAGAGTCAGCGGGGCCCGCACGGGTAGGAGAACACCCCGGAGCTTTGATTTTAACATTCTGATAGCGAGTCTGGCGCGGTCGACTGGCAAGGTTCGACGGGCCCAAATGTCTTAGATGCTCCCGAACCTCATCTGTGCCACGCTTGGTTACCGTCTCATTGGGCGCGGCCGGATCAAGTTCCCCGTTTTTGTTTCGCAGGAGGAACCTGGGCGCTGGAGGTTGACTAATGGAGCCTGCTCGCCGGTTAGGTGCATCAGAGCTAGCACCTCCAACTGGAGGTGAAGCGGTGGTGCCTTTGCCCAGATCGACGACATTGTCCTCCTGTGTGGGCAAAGAAGCAGGTTCTTCCACGACGCGCCCTTTGGGAAACCGAGATTTCGGTGCGGGTGTTAGTCGGCGGATGGCCTTGTGGACGTCAATGAAAACGTCGGATTCGTCAATAATTTCTCTGTATACAGGTCAATATATGGTGTCAGCTTTTGTGGGGGACGGCAATATAACGTACTCGCCAATGAGCTCTTCAATAACGTCTTCTAGTGTAACAACGCCGAGAGCTCCGTGATCCTCGCCCGGATATTCAGAGACTAATACCATGTGAGACTTCCCTTCCTGGAAGAAGTTGACAATATCCAGGCAGCTTGTTTCCGGACGGGTCTCGGGGAGAGTGGCTAGCGCAAAGTCCCGCACCATCTTGCAATCTTCTGGGTCGTAAGTGATGAGCATCTTCACGAGGAGCATGCCGACGAAGTTTTGTGGATTATCCGGAGCGTGGATGGGGATGCGGGAATATCCCTGCGACAGGATAAGGTCCATTGTTCGTTCGTCGAGCACGGTATCCGCCGACATAGTAAAAACATCCTCCATTGGCGTCATGATGCTTCCCACCGACTTTTCTTTCAAGTCCAGACAGGCACTGATGATTGTAACCTCATCGGAATTGAGCTGTTCTCCGGCTACGCCCAATGTCTTGTGCAGGGTGACCAAGGTCTTCAAGCCTGCCTTTTTGTACACCGTCCCGTGATCCTCCCCGAGAATTTTGTCAAGCAATTTTGCTATAGGCCATGCCACTGGCGACAAAAGATACATCAATACGAGGACGAAGGGGGCCATCCATGCCCCGATGGGAAGACCATATCGGACACATATTGACTGCGGTACGATTTCTCCGAAAATGACTTTCATCTAGTCAGCAACATAGATGTCACACTGCATAGTATACTATAGTATACTAACCGATCAAGACTGTACTTCCGACAACTGCAGGCCAGCCGCCTCCGAGTGAGCGATCGAGCACGATGGGTAATGTCTCGTTGGTGATGACGTTGCTGAGAAGCAGCGTGACGAGGACCCAGTGCTTTCCTTTCTTCAACAAATTCAACACAGCGGCCGCGTTCTTCCTTTCGGATGCTTCGCCAGAAGTCTTGATGACCTGCAGGTAGATTTCATCCTGGAATGGCACTTCGGTCAGGAAGCTGGGTAGGGCCAACCTGCAGCGGACATGAAACCCACCTGGCCCATAAGAGCGATGGTCAGACCAGCAAAGGCACCGCCACCCAACACCAACGCAATTGAAATTCCCATGTATAACCAGAGACCGGGATCGCTGGCTGGCTTCCCTCTCTCATCCGGGATCGCCCAGATGCCATAAAACGATGCAGGAGCAGCGGAGACGGGAGGGAGCTGTGCAATGGCCAGAGCGAGCGCCTTCGCCAGGCCTAGGACGACCGGCCTACTCGTCAAGTACGGGTTCACACGGGCGATGCTCATCACGGGCTGACGGATCGATCGATCAATCAATCAATCAATCAATCAGTAAGCCTTCATTTTGACGCCACCTCGCTACCGATCGGACTGATGACGTTGGGTAAGGCGGACGACGGAGACCAAAGGCGCCGTGACTGCCCGCGGGCCGTCAATTGGCAGAGCTGTCGGGTCGAATTGAAGGCAGATCGAAAGACCTATAGGTCAAGGGAGGAGTGAGGCACAAGGCCACCAGACGGAGGAAAGCGAAGGGGAAGATGTCGATCCCTTGTAGGGCGGCGGGCGATAGCTCTTGCCTGCATCACGGGCGGGTCATCAGCGAGCTCCGCCAAGCCCAAGCGGGCGAACCAGAGCCGGCGCGGAAGGCGGGCTGGGCTGGGCTGGCACGATTAACGTAATCGGACACCGAGCGAACACCAAATCAACCACGCGACGCGCTCATCAGCTTCAACCATCAAACCATCAAAATGCCGCGCAAAAAAGCAGATTCAGCAGTTCAGCGAGAGGGCCGTATCTTGCTTGCAATCAAAGCTCTAGAGGACGGTCAAATCAAAGGTGTACGAGCTGCTGCAAAAGCATATGATATACCTCTAGCAACATTATCCAATCGCATCAATGGACGTGCTCCTCGCATAAATGCAACACCAAACAGTCGAAAGCTCACTGCTACTGAAGAATCTACACTTGTCAAATGGATATTATCTATGGACCAACGGGGTCTACCACCAAGAATCAGCTTTGTACGGGATATGGCCAATCTACTGCTATCTAGCCGGTTAAAATCACCAGATCCTATTGGGGAGAAATGGGTACAAAGATTCATCAACCGCCATGAAGAAATCAAGTCATCAACGCGCTCTCTGTGAGGATCCAAAGATCATCAATGAATGGTTCCAGGTGGTTCATAATACCATAGCAAAATATGGTATTGCTGAACAAGATATCTACAACTTTGATGAGACTAGCTTTATGATGGGCATGATATCAACAGCAAAGGTTGTTACTGGATCTGAAATCAGGGGCCGACCTAGGCTCCTACAGCCAGGGAACCGCGAATGGGTGACTGTGATAGAGGCAGTTAATACAGCTGGCTGGGCCCTGCCTCCAATGATCATCTTTGCTGGCAAGAACCACCAATCCAATTAGTATCCTATCCTACCAAAGGGCTGGGTAATTGGAACCAGTGATAATGGCTGGACCAATGATGTGCTAGGAATGCGCTGGCTGAAGGAGGTTTTTCATGAGCATACTAAAGCTCGTACAGCAGGCAAATATCGCCTGCTGATTTTAGATGACCATCATAGCCATGCTACTGCTGAATTTGATCAATTCTGCACTGAGAATATGATCATTCCTCTATATCTTCCACCCCATTCATCACATCTATTACAGCCGCTTGATGTTGCTTGCTTTGGGCCATTAAAATGCGCATATGGGCAGGAAACGCAGACCCTGATGCAGCTTGGCATTAATCATATTGATAAAGATGATTTCATCACCCTCTATCAGCAAGCACGCCCACGGGCCCTGACTGCATCTAATATATGCAGTGGATTTGCTGCATCAGGCCTGGTTCCATTTAAACCAGAGCAAGTGCTTGACCAGCAGTAAATAGCTTCAATTCAGGCATGTTGTGGTGAGATAATTAGATATCAATGATAATGGCGTTGGGTGGGTGTTCCGCTCGGTGTCCGATTACGTTACGGAGAATGCTGCTTACTAAAGCCGGCAAGAGCATCCGGAAGCGGGACCGCCTGGGCAGCCCTGTCACGTTCCTGCCTGAGGCGTTAATGCTATTTTAAGCATCTTATGGGGAATCATGGATGCCTGATTATTTGTGCCTGATATTTCAGGCCACATACCGGGCAACCCGTCGCAAGCCCCGCCAGGCCCGATAGCGTTCGGTTATTCGCGGGGGTTCAACACGGGCGTCCTGTCGTCAAAGACGATCATATATAGCAGCGCCCACGCCGCCGACAGGGACGTCCATCGAAAGGCTGGTCGTCGTCACAGCCATGAGCCTCCCTCGCGCTGCTGGCCGGCTGCTTGCACGCTCGTGGCAGCAGGGCCTTCGATTCTACTCTGCGGCCGCGCCGTCGCCTTCTGCGCGTCTCAATCTGCCCATCGACTACAAAACCACCCCTCTGCTGCATCATACGCCGTCGTCCCTCGCGAATTCGCTGGAGCTCCCGAAAAATGCCAGCACAAAACAGATCAATCTGTACCAGGCAATCAATGCGGCGTTGAGGACCGCCATGTCGGCCTCCGACAAGGTCATCCTGTTCGGGGAAGATGTCGCCTTTGGCGGTGTCTTCCGCTGTTCCATGGACCTACAGATGGAGTTTGGGTCTGAAAGGGTGTTCAACACTCCATTGACGGAGCAGGGCATCGTGGGCTTCGCAATTGGAGCCGCCGCGCAGGGGTTGAAACCCGTGGCGGAGATCCAGTTCGCAGACTACGTCTTTCCTGCTTTTGACCAGATTGTCAACGAAGCGGCCAAATTCAGATATCGAGAGGGCACTACAGGAGCTAACGTCGGGGGCTTGGTGATTAGAATGCCCTGCGGTGGTGTCGGACACGGTGCTTTGTACGAAGGACAACCCCTTGCTAGGAGTAAGATCGTCGCTGAGGTCTTGCTAACGGGTTCTTCAGGTACCATAGTCAGTCTCCAGAAGCACTCTTCGCTCATGTACCCGGCGTACGCGTGGTGATCCCGCGTTCTCCCTCGCAGGCAAAAGGTCTTTTGCTGTCCGCGATTCTCGAGTGCAACGATCCCGTGATCTTCATGGAACCGAAGATCCTCTACCGAGCCGCGGTCGAGCACGTGCCCATCGAGTCCTATACCCTTCCCCTCAGCAAAGCTGAAGTGATCAAGCCGGGCACAGATCTGACGATCATCTCCTACGGGCAGCCTCTCTATCTCTGCTCAGCAGCAATTGCGGCCGCGGAGAATGCAAGGAAAGGGCTGAAAGTTGAACTCATCGATCTGAGAACTATCTACCCGTGGGATCGACAGACCGTGCTGGAGAGCGTCCGGAAGACGGGGAGAGCCATCATAGTCCACGAGAGCATGATCAACTATGGAGTAGGTGCCGAGGTTGCGGCAACGATCCAGGAGGGCGCCTTTTTGCGGCTGGAAGCCCCGATCAAGCGGGTGGCTGGTTGGAGTACTCATACGGGTCTGGCGTATGAGCAGTTTATTCTGCCGGACGTAGCAAGTAAGCTTGCGGTTGCCTGCCTGTCTCATCAGCCTGATATGCTGACTCGAATTAGGGATATACGATGCGATCATACAGACGCTGGACTACTAATGCTCTAAGGAGAACGAAAAACCTACATTGACGACAGAAGACATGAAATCATGACAATCGGAATTGCGTACCTGGCTTCAAATCAGGGTCCATAGGCGAGGGTCTCCTACCATTATAAGCGATCGCGCAACCCACCGCCAGTATAGATACCAATTTTTCAACTTAACCTGGAGCGCAGCCAACCTCACACAATGTGTGTGTGCGCGCGTGTGTGTGTACTTTGATGGAACTTTTCGATCAACATAGATCTGAAATCTGTTCAGAACCCACCCTGTTATAGATGTACGAGTAACGGCATTGGATATTAAATAAGAACTGATCACTGGCCATATGAATCTACGTTTTCGCGTCTTATCTTAGATATTTTCTAGAGTTAAAATTCCTCAAAAGAAAAATATATATACTTCATGCTTTCGAGACATTACTATTAGTATTATTATGAAAACTTCCTAATCAGGTTAGTGCCATGAGCATCACAAGAATTATTACGACAAAGAATAGAGTAAGAAATACCTACGATCTCCCTATGTATATGAAGGCAGCCCAAGTAGAGCGTAGATCACAAAACTTACCCAATATGGAAAATATAGTAAAGAAAGAAGAAGATCGCTAGGAAGTTCGCCAGGAGAGTGTGTACCTAACATGATACCTAGTAAATATCAACTACCTAATACGGAAAATATATAATACTGAGTAATCATATAAATAAGTAGGAAGCTAGTAAACGTAAGCAGGCGTAGGCAAAGGCTACCAGTCCCCAACACAGACGCAGGCGCATAAATAAATATATATTTATATTCTTCTCAAAAACCAGTCGAGAGAAGACCAGACCTTACTGTCAGGCTTGACTTGATATATACGCCGATGACTCTCTTACAACCGGCTTGTACTCCGGATTTAAACGCCGATTTGCCTCGTCAAAGGTGTGCTCTGGAGCGAACTGTCTGAATCTGGTACGACGGACATTACGTAAATGACATATGGACCACAGTTGATTAGGTTATGTCCTTGCTTTAGATGGACAACAAGGCTGACAGATCCTGCTCACGTAGGTTATAGGTAGGCAGGCAGGAAGCTGGAGATCAAATTCGCTCCCCTGTTGATATTCTCCGCTTTTATTTTCTACGGTCGTGTCCTCGTCCGAGTATATAATATAAATAATAACATGAAGAAATAAAAGTGCTAATTAAGGACACTCGGTCTAGTAGGGACGTTCTTCAACCAACTCCTCTCGTTTTATATACCATCCGTACTCGTTACACAATTCCTCTCTGGCCAGGTTTATGACGGCGACACGAAGCGTACGTACGGACAAGAGCCGCGGCCTATGACACAACACTGAAGGCATTAAGACTATAGCTAACGATTTCTTGGAGGGAAAATGGTCAGGAAGACTCCACTGGGCGGTTGAGCAGTACCTGGAAAAAAAAAGGTCGAGTTTGGAAAAAAAAAACGGCTTTCGACCAAAGTCTGTTATAGTATCGAGAATGGTCCTTTTTCCCTGAAATATTAGAACTCATGATAGGCAAGTCTACCTATATATTTGTGACTTCGTATCTGGATGTCATTCCTGGTCTCGATATCACTGTGATGTTCTATTCACTCTTTCTCCAAGACCATTTCCAGTAGCTACAGAGGAAAGGTAGTGACATCAGCCTTGCCCAGGCGACGGGTATATTGACACTGGAAATCAGAAAGGACCCAGACCCCTCCTGTTGTTACAGCCTACAGCATCCAGAGCCCTCTTCCTGATTGGTTTCTCCCTCGTAGGAATCGTGATATACGTACCGCGCCAGCCACGACGGTCCAGATACTCCCTGACTCGGTGAACATGCAGACATCTCGCTTCACAACAGTGTGATATTCAAAAATTCACACGGCTGCTGGGCAGGACTCGCTAAGAGTCAGACTCGCGTTGTTTGTTATGGTGGGCGTGACTCGACGTGTTTGGAGTGACTCGACCGGGTGGTTCCGCTCAGATGAAGTTTCACTTTCTGCTCACTTGGTAAATATCGCAGCTATCTTTAAAGGCAATTTTCGACCGAAAATCGCCCATAAAGGCTTCCCCATTTTTGCATAGGCATCGTAGACGGCTCGCACTTGTGCAGTTCCTCCTTTTTCCCGTAAATTTTGAAGCAGATATGGTGGTTTTGGCGGTGATTTGGAACGACTCTCGTCACTGAATCTGAGGAGTGTCGATATCAGAATCTGATATTGAAGTGAATCGAGTGGCGAATTCCATTCACTCCAAACCTGCTTTGTTGACAGATTCAGTGATTCACTGGCAGCTTGCGTCCTATGCCCTGGACGCGTCTCGTCGTCCCTCCAGGTTATAAATCTCCCCCCCCTCCCCCCTCCTCCTTTCTTCTCTTCTTTTCTCTCTTTCTCCTCCTCGTGGAAAACATCAGATTTCCTGCTGCTCACAAAGCATCAAGAAGATTCTCACGTCCGCTTACTCCCATTCGCTTAACAGCGCTTTCAAATCGTTTTATCAAACGTTCTTTTTCAAAGTCATCCGTCAAGATGTCTTTGTTTTCTCTTTTCGGAATCTTCGGATTCCTTGACAAACTCGTCGAATTGCCAATGGACAAGCCACGCGAGCGCCAATTCGCTGCGTTATTCGGCGACGCCGTCTGTACTTACGACGACATGGACGGAGAAACCGGGTCGCTTTGGGATAATCCCATTGCTTCCCAGGCAATCCAGCACGCCACCGTGAAGGCGACCGTGCTCTTTGTCCTGCTCTGTCTCCTGAGCATGGTCATTCAGCACGCGCGTCCCTTCTGTCAAACCGTGTGGTCGTGGCTGCGTTTCGTCCTCGCTGCTCGCGTTTGGGCCGTACTTAGCCCAACTGCTCTCCACGGCGCCTACGACGCTGTCGTCGGATGGTACTTCCCGTTCAATCGTCCGTTCGACTCAATCATTCGGATCTTCCTGTCCTTCGTCGCCTTTGTGACCGCGTACAGCCACTTCCTCCTCCCCGTCGTTTGGTACCTGTCCGGTTTTTCCGAGGGTCTAAACGCGTCGAGTTGGGAGCTGTCGCCGTACTGCTGGGATGCGAGAGAACGTCGGCACAGGGGATTAACGGCCAAGTCCATCCCCGTGGAGCATTGGTTCTGTTTGGGTGAAGAAGCCAGTCTAGAATTGCAAGCCAGGTTCGTCGACCTGCTAGACGCGCGGAATCATCCAAACTTCGACGACGACAATATGCACCACCTCACGTGCCTTGCTGTGTTTCTTTCTCTCCTCGGTGTCTTGTCAATTTTCCGCTGGTTTTTTCGCCAGCCCACCGTGGAGGAACATCTATTCTCGCAGGCGGAGCTCACCGAACGGGTGTTTTCCTACTATGGCGTCGTTCGTAAACTTGAGGCCCGCCTGGATAGTCGTTTAAAGGAACTGGCCCGGTACCGTGAGGCCTTGAGTGCCTCGGAGAGGCGTCTCGTAGGAGCCCTCACCGAGAATGAGCGGTTAAAGAACGAGTTGCGATCGGCAGAGGTCCACGAGTCAACAATTGCGCAGCTGCACCAGAAAATTTCTCAGCTGCGGTGTGACCGCCGAAACGCCTTGTTCGAGGTGATGGAACTGAGGGACGAGCTGGAAATGGGCCCACGCTACCGGAGCGATGTGACCAAGCTGACGAAACAGCTGGCAGACACAGAGGAAATGGCTGCCGACGCTCAGAAGAAGAGCGAGTCGCTCCGGGGTCAGCGTGAGGACGCCAACCGACAACTTGCGGCCGTCCGATGGGAACTCACCGCCGCGAACAACGAACTTGCCGCCGCTCGGAAACTGAACGAGGACTTGCGACGAGAGGGACAAGCGCTTCTCGGTAGATACGAGGGACTTCAGAACTCGTACAACCGCCTATCGGAAGCCCAACGCGTTCTCGGAACGTCCGACCAGCATCGTCTCGTGGTTACTGAACGAGACGAGGCTGTCTCACGCGCGACAACTGCCCAGGCAGAGCGTGACCAAGCCGTTTCACGCGTCAACACTCTCGAGGCTGAGCTCGCCAGTATGAAAGCTCAGGCCCAACAGCAGCAAGTCCGACTTCAGCAAGCGTCCAACGAATTGAGCTCCAGCGTCCAGGCTCAGCGACGACAAGCAGCCGAAGTCAACACCTTGAACGGGAGATGCCAACAGCTGGAGCGTACCAACGGGGACCTCCAGACCGCACTGACCTTCGCCCAGAACAAGGCGAAGAACCTCGAAGTCCAGTGCGAGGATCTCCGCGAAAAACTCGACAAGGTGTCCACCGACTTCGAGATGAGCCAGGACACGGCCCGGCAATTGCAAAAGGAAAACCGGGCGCTGGAGCATCGGTTGGCCAATATGGATCCGAGCGGCGGCACGCAGGCAATCCCCAAGCGCAGGACGGGGGAGACCAACCGGAGCGAACAAGAGCGCAGTAGGGTCCAGATCGTTTGTCAAGCTAACGAGATCAACGACCTGAAGCGGCAGATCGAGGCGCTCAAGGCATCGAGGGTCGCGGAGCCGACGGACGCGGCCCTCCGGGGACAGGTAGACCAACTTCGGGAAGAGCTGGCAGCCGTGAACCGGGCGCGCTCCGACGAAGAAATCGCCTCGCGGCGACAGGTCACCCAACTCGAGCAGGAGGTCCAACGCCTGCGGATAGCCTTGTCAAATGCCCGGATGTTTGGTCAAGGACGCGGGACCGGATCCCCGCTGCGTGGCTCGTCATCCCCGCTTCGTGCGCCGGGATCGCGAGGACGAGGTAGATAGTTCGGCATCTACCGCCACCAGCGGGAGTGGATCTTCGAATCTCGCCAGGACCGACCCAATCCAACGTCTCCGGCCTAGCTGGTATCATTCTATGTGACGGGAACTTGTTGTGTAACTTGTTTTCCGGCCTAGATGTGCTATCTAGCGCGACGGGACCTGGTGCGGTGAGGGACAAGGATTTGAAGCCTCCATCCGCAGTCCACTCCTCTGCCTTGGGGTTGCACTGAGAGTAAGGGAGGGAGGGATGGAAATGGACGTGAGATTGATTTTTTTTCTTTTTCCGTGTGTTGATGTTTACCGGCACCTGCGGCACATCGAGTGGAAATTGGGGATCCCAGAATCGCTTCGGCGATAGCGTTTGTTCTTCGATGGTACAGAGATCTGGAATACGAGGAAGATTGCATGGTACCGATACCCTTCTTCCCTTGCGCTTCTCCGTTGTCGACTCCAGAAAGCAACCGTGTTCCGCATGATCGTCAAGAGCGAGCAGACCAGACAAGTGTCCTTCGCATCGGCCATGGACAACGCACCCATTTTCCAACACACGGAACGTTCAATGGTGAGGGCCCAGCGGATTCGAGGACGCTGGGGCTACAGAAGCCGCTGAGGCTGTAGCCGCGCCCGACGTCAGTAACAACTGCAGAAGCCACGAGGCTGCAGTTTATCCCGTCGCCAACAATACTGCGGAAGCCGCTGAGGCCGCAGTTGATCCCGTCACCAGTAATACTGCAGAGACCGCGGTGTTACAGTTTTTCCCGTCATCAGAAATCCTGCGGAAGCCGCTGAGGCCGCAGTCGATTCCATCGCCAGCAATCCTGCAGATATGCGAGACTACAGTTTTTCCCGTTGCTAGCAATACTGCAGAAGCCGTAAGGCTGCAGTTGATCCCGTTGTCAGCAACATTGCAGAAGTCGTTGAGTACTCCGACGCCAGCAACGCTGCAGAAGCCGCGAGGCTGCAGCTGAGTTCGATAACCGCAAGCAGTGGTCAGTCTTTGGATGCCACTCAGATTCGAGCTTTCAAGCGCTGGAAATATCTGCGTTGAATTTCACCTGTTTGAGCTTTGCACGATCGTCTGTTCAGATTTGAGCTTTCGAGCACCGTCGCGAACAAATCTGACACTCCCAATTCATCTGGTTGACCTTTGGATGATATTCATCACTCAGATTCGAGCTTAGCCTTCAAGCACCGTCGAACAGAATCTGACATCCACATCTGGTTGACATTTGGACGATCGTCATCACTCAAACTGAGCTTTCAAACATCATTGAGCAGCAAATCTGACATCCCTACTCCATCTCGTTCACCCGTGGATGATCATCGTTATCCGGTTCAAACTTTCCAGCACCGTCGAGCAAAGTCATCTGACTTCCAGTCAATCCGATCGACGTTTGGATGATCACCACACGGATTCGACCTCTCAAGCACCGTTGGACACGAGAATCCGAGAGCGAGATGCGAGTAGGGACGAACCAAATCATAACAAAGATCGAAAACCAATCCCCCGGTCGGCTTTCCATGGCCCCTGCGATCATACCCGCCAAGTCACAACGAGCAAAGGAGAACGTGAGAGAGATATCGGGACAAACAGAATCACAGGGCACCACCAGTCAACCGACATTGTGGTCTTCCAACCGTCGCACTCCCGACTTCCTTACTTGTTTCTTCATTCTTCAAGGAGTCATCTCTCTCTGGTTGCTCAGATCTCAGATCCAGGCGTGATCGCACCCTCATTGTTTCTTCTTTCAAATCAAACCCCATTTCGAAACATTCATGAGCTTGCAACATGAACAAGGGCGGGATCGGCAATCGATACAAGTCTTCAAAATTCGAGCACAACTGGTCTCGGAAGAGTTTAAAAAGTGAGTTGCTTTTCCTCAGCTTCTGCCTCTTCACGGAAGACAAGACTAACGATGATTGCTAGGTCAGACATGCGTACTTGGCATCACATCAAGAGGTTGACGAAGCATCGAAGCCATCACACAAGCCGGGAACCGGTCGAGGGACATGTTTGCTTACTCACCATTGCCCCGATCTTTCTACCCCCCACATGAACAATCCAAAGCGCCAACGGAGCCATTGAACGATGAAAAAAGAGATCCTCATCAAATCTTCCAAAACATTTCCACATTTCCACTGAGGATCGCGCTACTTTCAATGTTGGGGTTCAACAAAATCCGCTGCCTCATCGCGAACAATGGCTAAAAACAACCAAATTCCTGCCGTACCGTTGGCGCTTCGCTTTCGCTTCCAAAGTTGCCTCTTTCAGTACATCTCTACGAAACTTCCATTCCATCACATTGCATGACTTCTCTTCCGTTTTCTGTCATCGTCAGTCTTGCTGAATGTGCTTCATGCACAGGTGAGTGCCCGCATGCAACCGTCCTTGTCAGAGTTTAGTATAGTAGATTTTGCTAACGAGAACTTCGAACTTAGGGTTGCCGTCGTCCTGCCGAATCCAAACCACCGGCCGACACTCCTCCACGCGTATATTCTTGCAACCAGGCCTTAGCATACTCGTGCGAGCAGGGACAGCAACACCAAGAAAACAGTCAGGCATTGTCCAGAGAAAAATATCTCTGACATTTGCCTCTACCACCGAGATAATCTTTTCTCACTGGTTCTCGATATGTCGACCATCCAGACATCATATCATACACTTTTGGTCTCATATCGACCTGGGCGGAGTCAGACACAATGATATGCAGTCACGGAATTACAAACGGGGAGCGCCTAGAAGACCAGACGATGACGGGATCGTCTCTCTTCAATCTCCTACTTCATTCCTCCTCATCGGCGCTCTCCGTGATCTGACTGCTATCAGCAAAACATCCATCAATCAGACACGAAAAAAAAGCATCCTTCGAGGACGATGGCAGTGCATTCACTTTTACCTCAACCTCAACTTTCGTGCTTTCGTGATTCGAGTCTGATACCTACATTCCATCAGTTCAACCGGACACGATGCAAAAAACAAATACCTCAGCAAGACATATCCTCCACATCCATCCACTGTCTCAATTCTCGTGATCCGAGTCTCTATTCAACGGACACGAAACAAAAAACACCAAATCTCTCAGCGCGAGGATACCGTGACGGGATGGTATCCTCTGCATTCATCAATCATCTGGCTCATATTCGTGATCCGACGAGACCGTGGCGCGCTCCATGCCACGAAACCATGAGAAACGCAGTCGCAGAGCATCTTCTTCGCCGTCTTGCCTACAATAACAAACAGGACTGGCATTCCACTTCTCTCTCATCTGGCTCAATCGCCTCTTCCCGAGAAAACAAAAACACTCGGGACAAACTCATCAAGTGACGGCACATGTCCGAATCAATCACACTTGCGGCATGGCCTCACAACGGTCGGCTTCACAATTCTGCCGATAAACCAACATCCAAATCAACTGGACGAGACAAACAAACCGTCCTCATTCGCCTAATAGGCATCAAAAATCACTTCCATACTCGCCAGCGCATGAGATCTCCATCTATCCTCAGCGCTGGCAGGCACCACACTGCCATTGCACTCAATCGTGCGATGGCAGAAACAAAAACAAAAAAAAAACAAAAACCGATCGACCAGATCTTTTGAAAACCTCAAAACCACAAACACCGATCCAATCCAAACTTCCAACCAAAAACAAAAAAAAAGGATCGAAGCTCCAACCTACCGAAAAAGAACAACTCACACAAGACTGGTCTGATCGAACACCTCAAACAAATAAATAAAGAAAAAAAGGATCGAAGGTCTACACCACAAAACACCGACCCGATCCAAGTTCCAAACAAAAAAAGAATCAGGATCGCAGATCCAAACCACAAATACCGATCCGATCCAACATTCAAACAAGATCGAAGGTCGAAGACCTCAAAACTGAGGAAACACAAGAACCAAAAACGAAAACAAAAACCAACATCAAAACAACAAGTCACAGCGCAAAGCGCAAACCGAACAACATCCAAACCGCAACGTCCACAAATACCTGTCCGATCCTTCAAAACAAAAATAAGAGCCACATTCGACGAAAAAGAAAAAGGAGGATCGAATATCCCAAAACCGACAAAACACAAATTTTTTTTAAAAAAAAAACAAACAAGATCCAAAATACAAACTTCGCGTTCACAAAGCGCGTACGATCCGAATCGAGGATCGAAGAATCCAAAATTACTGTACCTTTTCCCTGCCTGTACCCCCAAAATGTCACCAAAAAAAAACACGAAGACCAAAACCAAAACCACAAGTTCATGTTCATACAATCCTGTACTCCGAAGTACTTACAAAGTACAACATCCAAACCAAACCCAAAGACCGAAAAACAGCCAAAAAAAAAAGGCTGGAGCCAAAATCCCAAACCAAGTCCCCCTCCCGAAAAAAAAAAGGAAGAAATCACCAGAGCTACAATTTCATGTATCTACGAAGCACTCCTGTTCAAACCGCAGCCCCACAAAAAAAAGGCTGGAGGCAAATCGGCAAATCGCAAACAAAGGCCAAAAAAGAAAAGAAGAAAGCACCAAAGCTGCAAGTTCATGTATGTACTGTACCTACTTCATGTTCCTACGAAGCACCCCTGTCCAAACTGAACCACGGCAAAAAAAAGCTGGAGGTCTCAAAAGGCAAAACAAGGCCAAAAAAAAAGAAAAAAGAAAGAAAAAAAAACAAAACAAAAAGAGACAAAGACCAAAGATCGTCGGCGAAACAAAACTCGATGAAACAAAAGAGTTGCAGATCCTGTCATTTTCCTCATTTTCCTGTGTCATCAGCGGGCGGCCACGCGAGCAAAGCCAAAAGGATTGAAGCGACGGCCTAAAACAGACTATTGACGCTTCTTCCGGCGCTATCGTCGCCCACGCTCGCCCAACCAATCCTCCTCGCGTGCTGCGAACTGACGCCCGCCAAGCACCTCCTGTATGTAATAATACATCTTGATCTTATCTTTGCTAGAAGCATTGGAGTTGGCTGTCCAACTCTCTCTGAGACGGTGGTCATGGTATCATGTGTGGGAACCTGTCATGGAATGAAGGAGGAGAAGTGGAGATGCTTGTCGTCAGGCGGTCGACGATCATGATGTGTTTGATCAATTATTTCGGGTCATCGGATGAACTTCATGTACGGAGGAGCAGGGAGCAGGACTGTACGGAGAACTGATGCGATGTAATTGTACGGGGGAATTGTGGATAAGAGTTCTGCACGACTGCCGCGTGCCGTCCAGCTTGTATTATTTTGACTTAGCGACTATTAATTAATTTCCACCTGTACTACGCCATTAAGGAATAGCATTGATAAGGTTACTCTGTGCTTTCGTATCAGCGAAATGACTTGCTTTCTGCTAGCGCGTGCAGCTCGACTATCGATTTGGCGTCTCCTGGCACTTCCGTTGCACGGTTGGCCAACAAGCCCAACCTCGACTCGCCCCCTCTCCTCGCTCTCTTTTTCCCTCGCTGTCGCCATCACCATTCCCTAGTCACAGTCGTCGCCATCGTCGTTCTTGTTCATTATCGTTCTTGATACAGCCGTCATCCGATCCTGTCGCTCTCTTGACCATTGATTGACCGGTCATTCGTTTCGTCGCCGCATTGCGGGCGCTCGCTTTGTCTGACAACCGCCGATCGGGACTCCGACACACTGCAACCAGCCCCCTCCCCCTTGGAGCACCACAGCACCCTCTGCAGCCCAGATCGGGAACCTACATGGTCGCGTCAGACCGGCCATCAGAGCCATTTTCTCTCTTTACACAAAAACCATCACAAGGCTCTCGACCGAGTGCCGTCTAACTCGCGTCCATTGTGCCTGGTTACATGGCCATTGGCGTCGCCGATTAGGACTGCGCCTGAACGCGAAAGATATCATGCCCAGTTGAGGTGTTTGGGGGTCTGGTTTCTTACAATATCGCTCCAACTGCCACTCTTTCACTCTGATACTCAACAGTCAACACTCGTTAAACGATACCCCTCGCTTACACCAGCCATTTCTGGCGACTTGGTATCGGCAGGCCCGGCGAAGTCGTCTGAACTGGTTGCTGATCGATCCATCAGTGCGGTCTCTTGTGGTAGGCTTTCTCCTGGCAGGCCAGGAAACCATCCAAGATGCCGTGCTGCGGGGATCGAGAGAAGATCGGTGACATCAAGCCGGAGCAAATGTGGGATTACATTGTGAGCGACCTTGCGCTCGTTGTGATGAATTTGGTCGCTGACTCTGGCACGCATTTAGAACCTCAATGACTTCAAGTCCACCTCCTGCCTAACCCCCTTCTCCTACGTGACGCTGTGGATCTTTCTGCTCATCTCCATCGCGGTCTATGCCGTCGACACTTTCACCGCCGTCAACCTGCTGGTCTTCTCGCGCTGGGCCGGCCAAATCAAGCCGAGTATCCCGTTCTCGATTTCGCGGTGGATCTTCGCGGTCTGCATTATTCTCTCGTTCGTCCTGCTGTTCTTCCGATGGCTACACACCATCCGTGTCATACGATCGGGATCAGTCGCCGAAAGTTACCTGGACCCCTTGGCCGTCCGCATCCAGAGCATCCGTCTGGGAAGTGGAAAAGGCTGGAAGCGATTCTTGGTCTTTGCGGAATTGACCAAGAGTAAAAAAGGCGCCGACTACGTAGCCTTGTTTTCCTATTTCTCCTTCGAATGTGAGAAGCCCCTACCCAACCCTAGTGTTGTCTCGCTGACTCGAGTGAAGCATGGCTGCGTGTTGTTTTTGCGGATGGGCCTCGCCAGGTGGTCAATGCCATTACTCTCTACTCGGTCATGCAGTTGAATCTCATACCGGAGGGCAAACATGCGGCCCCCGAAGGCACTTCGCCGATCGTGCAGTTCTTCATTAATGTGAAAGCTCTTGCCGAGAAGAATGATCAGCAGGCAGTCGTTCTGGTTGGCATGCTGTTCACGCTGATTATCTGGGTCATCTCTATTCTGAGCTTGGCGATATCGGTGGTGCTCTACATCATTTTCTTGTGGCATCATATCCCCAGTGAGGATGGGTCTTTGAAGCGATACTGTCGACGCAAGATCAACACGCGACTGGAGCGTATCGTCAAACGCAAGGTGAACAAGGCTTTGGCGAAAGGCGTTGTTTTGCAGGACCGGAACCCAACGAAGCCTGCTATTGCCGGAGAAGATGCCAAGTCGCGACCTTTGGTCCCAACGTTGCCTTCTGTGGAAGATATCGACAGGAAGCCGCCGCTGTCACGACAGACGACCCAGAGTACTCTGCCGCCGTACTCATCGCGTCCCGGGACTACTACTCCTATGGAGAAGCCAGGCATGCTGCGCCAGCCGACATTGCCCAATCTGGAGGATGATGGGCCAATGTTGACCAAGACCACCACCCAGTCCTCCGCGTATGCCGACTCGGCGCCTTTGATGGGGAACGCCGAGACTATGGGATACAGTCCTCTGGACCGCCAAGCTTCTCCAGCACCGCCGTACGGAAGGCCTTACAGTCCGGCTTCGCGACCTCCCCCTGCTCAGAACAGAGCGACTCCGGGGCCAATGCCAATGGATGGTCCAGGCCGGCGAACCCCTGGACCTGGTTATCCAGCACCCGACCAAGGTTATCACCGACCCCCACCCTCGATGGGTCGCCGGACTCCAGCAGGTCCACCGGGCGGCGCTCCACCGCCAAGCCGGACGTATACTCCCGCAGGCAATCCACCTCGCTCACTGACGCAGAATGACCCAGCGCCTAGTTACCGAAGCTACACTCCGGTCAACAACAATAATGGACCGCCGCAGCTTCGACAGCAGGGGAATGGCGGGTATGACACCGATGTGTCGGGAGGCAATGGAGCGCCTAGTTATCGAAGCTACACTCCGGCCAACAATGAACCGCCTCGACAGCAGGGCAATGGCGGGTATGTTGCCTTCAACCCGAGCATGAGCAATGGGGAAGCTCGTGTGCAGAGCCCAACGTCGCCTACGTACCGCAATTTTGCACGACCCTCGACGACCAGTCCTGTCAATGAGGGTGGCTATCGCGCTATGCCGGCTAACTATGCGAGACCTTCGACTACGACGCCGTCGATGGAACAGGGGCGGAGGGGACAGCCGAACGGACCGTCACCGCCGCCGGCACACTACGACCCGTACTCATATGGCAGAGCCATGTGAGGTAGTTCTTGCTAATAGTCCTCCAATACGCCTTCGCATACCGTTTGGCGCTGGACGCTGTCACCAAACCTGATACCCAGGTAACTTTAGTTGTGGTATGTAATAATAATAGTGAAAACGTCAGCGCACAGCAGCAGGCTATGCGGTCAGTACGAAGTATTGGGCGAGACTAGCGAGGCAGCACGAGTTGACGATGGAAGGAACGGAAGAGCTGGTTTTATCTTCTGTGGGTTATGACTGGATTTGACTGACTTTCGTTGATATTTAATACCCATTCGTTTAGTCGTTGGAGGATTTGTCTTTCTGAGTGATCTTTTGTGATGTGGGCGTGGCGTGGCGTGGCGTGGCGTGGCGTGGGCGTAGGCGTCGATTCAATAGTTGCGATTTTCTTGCCATCGTCATGTCATTTGCCCAGACATGTTGACACTAGCGACAGTATCTGGTATTGTATCTACATACATAGCCAGTCGTAGGGTTCTAGAGAAAAATCAATCAAGACTTGCTGCGTTACAGCGGATAATCACTAGCAGAATTCTCGTCGTAGGTGATATCACTCACTACAGATGTAGAATGCCTCAAATCCTTAAATCTGTACATATACGTAGGACGGAATACATACAGCGAAAAAACTTTTAATAAAGGTGTTCGAATAATGGACTTCTTACTTATTTACTTAATTTAATCAATCAATCAATCAATCAATCAATCAATCAATCATTGAATTGACGGGACACGACATGGTGTTGATTAAAGTATGATCGATCATTCGAGAGCAACAGCTGAGAATTAAAAAAAAAGCATGAAGCTGAAATTAAACCTTTTTTTTTAAAAAAAAAAAGAAGGAAAGAAAGAAAGAAAAACAAAGAAAGAAAGGTACGGAGAAATGTACGGATGCAATGAAGGAAGGGTATAATTTCAATTCAGCTGAATTAAGTACGTATGTACATAAGTCACTAAAAAAGCAAAAAACAAGGTTTGTTTAAAAAAAAATACTCAGGATATAAACCCTATATTTCTCCTGCCACTACTTTCTGTTGCTGTTCATGATTGTTCACACCAAATTCCCCCTCAAAGCCTGCTCCCGCTCAATCGCCTCGAAAAGGGACTTGAAATTGCCCGCGCCAAAGCCATTAAAGTTGTGACGCTGGATGATCTCGATGAAGACGGTTGGACGGTCCATGAGGTGCTGGAAATATCCGTGTTAGCATCATACAGAAATATAAACACAAGAAACTGTATGTGGTAAGTTTACCTTCGTGAAAAGCTGCAGCAAATACCCATTCTCATCAAAATCAATCAGAATATCAAGACTTTTCAACGTCTCAAAATCCTCCTCCAGGACCATCCCCGCTTTTTTCAGCCGAACCTTCATATCCTCGTAGTACGTGGAGGGAACCTTAATGAATTCCACGCCCCGCGCACGCATGGCAGCGATGTCCCGCACAATGTTGTCCGTCAAAAGCGCAATGTGCTGCACGCCCGGACCGTCGTAGAAGTCGATGTATTCTTCGATTTGGGATTGTTTTTGCCCTTGGCGGGCTCGTTGATGGGCATTTTAACGATGTCGTTGGGCGAGGACATGACGATGCTTTTTAGAGCGGAGAATTCTCTGTCCATCATCAATCATCAGTCAGGATTATGTCTGAAGACACTGTTTGGTGGTGATGGTGTACGTACGTGCAGATGTCCTTGTCGTCCACGGACCAGAACCGGTGGAAGCCAAGGGCTTTTTCGTAACTAGTATCAGTTAGTTGAATTCCTTCCTTGGCTGCTAGGAGAATACGTACTACTCGCACACCCTGTCCATCTCATTCCAGTCCTGGTTCCCCACACAATGATCAATCTTCTTCAGCTGCACGCCCGGCAGCAGACTCGAGACGGGGTCCTTGGACTGCGTCTCCATGCGATACCCGGGAAAGAATCCTCCTTTATAGGATTTACGCTCAACCAGCGTATGCGTCGTGTCGCCGTACGTCTGGATCGTGGCGACCTTGACCTGACCATCCTCATCCTCGAGGACTTTCGGCTCCGAGACAACCTTCGCGCCGTTCTTCACAGCCGCGCCAAACACGGCGTCCACCGAGTCGACCTCGAACGCGACGTCCTTGACGCCATCGCCATGGCGCTGCAGATGCTCGTGGATCTCCCTCAGCAGCTCCCGCTCCTCGGGACTTGCGACGCGGTCGAGCTGGTTCAGCGAACGCAAAGGCGAGGTCAGCACGAAGGTGATGTCGCCGTTGCGCACGACGTGCGAGCACACGCTCCGGCAGCCTGTCTCGAGACCGCGGTAGGCGATGCGCTCGAAGCCCATGCGCGTCACGTAGTATGACGCGGCCTGCTTGGCGTTGCCCACATACCAGTGGACGTGGTCGTAGCCGCGGTAGCTGGAGAGGTCGTTGGGCAGGGTGCCGTTGGTGTAGTCGATGGCTGAGGGGGCCATGTTGACACGATATCTAGACTGTCAGGTTGTGAAATAGCTATGTATGATAGATGTCCTGACTATGTCCTGCTATGACTCGATGAAACAAAGATTAAAAAGCATCATACACCAGACCTTCCCCCTTTAAACATCCCTTTGATATCATCCATCATCACCTGCTCTCTCTGCCTGCAGTCTCGGCCAGCAACGGCCCGGCGGATGGCAGCGGGTATTTCGATCTTATCTTATCAAGAAGCTTTCCACCAATCAAATCGTGCTGCTTCCCGGGCGGTGAGCTGTGCTCGGCTGTTGGCGGGTATTTTGTTGTCTGCCGGGTATTTGCTGCAGGCCGCGGATTGCCATTCCGCTGCATTCCGCACTGGAAATGCGGAGGAAATGCGGAGGAAGAAGCACAACATGTGACAGACGACAGAGGGAGCTTTCGGAATGTTTCCCTGCTGTGGCAGTATTTACAGCTACAGCTTACGTGGGCTGATTTCTTCCTACATACACATATACACACTAAGTTACATTCGCTACCTCAGGAGACATAGCTAGACTTGCAAAATGCCCACGACGCAGTTCTCGACTCCGGATCCCTATTCCTATCTCAACGGCTTCGGATCTTACCATGAGTATGCTGCCAACCACATACGTATGTCCTGTATATAGGTATGCTGACTGCCGCAGATCAGAAGCCATCAAAGGCGCCCTGCCCGTAGGCCAGAACTCACCCCAGAAACCCCCCTACGGGCTGTACGCCGAGAAGCTGTCCGGCACCGCCTTCACAGCCCCACGCCACGAGAACAGGCAGACCTGGCTGTACCGCATCCTGCCGGCGGCCGCGCACGACAACTTCGAACGCCTCGACCCCGATTCGTATCACACCGAGACGCAGAAACTGCACCACATACCCAACCAGCTGCGCTGGAACCCGTTCGATCTCGATGAGAATGTCGACTGGGTACATGGCTTGCATCTGGTCGCTGGCGCAGGCGACCCGACTATGAAGACCGGCCTGGGCATCCTGCTGTATGCGGCCGGCAAGGATATGGGCAGGGAGGCCTTTTACTCCGCTGACGGCGACTTTCTCATTGTGCCGCAGCATGGCGTGCTGGATATTCAGACCGAACTGGGGAAGCTGCTTGTGCGGCCGAATGAGATTTGCGTCATTCCAAGGGGTGTGCGGTGAGTGCAGTCCTTTCAGGCCAGCTTTCAGACAAGCGAGTTCATGCTAAATGCTGCAGCTACCGCGTCACTCTGCCCTCGGGCCCTGTCAGAGGGTACATCTGCGAGCTCTACCAGGGCCACTTCCAGCTGCCAGAGCTGGGGCCGATCGGGAGCAACGGGCTAGCCAACGCGCGCGACTTCCAGGCGCCTGTGGCAGCATTCGATGACGAAGAAGAGCCGAAAGAATACCGGGTGATCTGCAAGTTCAACAACGCGCTCTTCGCAGCGCGACAGGACCACACGCCATTCGACGTCGTGGCATGGCACGGCAACTACTACCCCTACAAGTACGACCTGGGCCGGTTTAACGTCATGGGCACCATCTCGTACGACCACCCGGACCCGTCCATCTTCACCGTGCTGACGGGTCCCTCGGACCACCCGGGCACCGCCATCGCCGACTTCGTCATCTTCCCCCCGCGCTGGCTCGTCGCCGAGGACACGTTCCGTCCGCCGTGGTACCACCGCAACACCATGTCCGAGTTCATGGGCCTGATTGCGGGCGACTACGATGCCAAAGTCGGCGGCGGATTCCGCCCGGCAGGGGCCAGTCTGCATAATATCATGAGCGGGCATGGGCCGGACGCGACGGCTCACGAGCGCGCAAGTAATGCGGAGCTTAAGCCGCAGAAGGTGGGCGAGGGGAGTATGGCGTTTATGTTTGAGAGGTAGGCAGCAGCATCACTTAAAGGTTCAATTCAGTCTGACTGACGATGTTGTAGCTCCCTCATGGTCGGCGTCTCGGAATGGGGCCTCAAGACATGCCAGAAGGTGCAGGAGGACTACAATGCGGAAAGCTGGCGGCCGCTGAAGAGGCATTTTAAGAATCCGAACAAGAAGGACTAACCTGTTGAGTATGACTTGATTTCTGCGGGTGATAGTATGTATGTATTTAGCTGACTGAATGAAGACAAATGATCTGAAAGGTATTAAATTCAATTGAATTGAATTATTGTATCAATTATCATATCCCAATACCAAGTATATAGACATACATACTCCAGTGCAAAAAATAAAACCCAAACACCGTACATACAGTAAATATAGTAAACTAAGCAGCCCTCTCCTCCATCTCCTTCCTCAACGCCTCCTTAACAATAGCACCACACATCTTCGCATACGGATTCGTCTGCACCGCCAACTGCTGCGCAATCCTATTGCCGTAGCGCCCACCGAGGAAGAAATCCCGACTGGCCAGCTCTTCCAGCTGGTCCTTGCTGGTGACGTGGGCGAGTTGTTGTGGGCCGCCAGCAGCACCCTCTTCCTCTGGTTGTGTTGTCCTCCGCTTTGATGCTTTCAGCAAGAGATAGCCGCGATGGGTGTGTGCGTCGGCTAGAATGCGGGCTTGGGCGGGTGAGACGGTGATGCGAGATGTGTTGCTGTTGCTGTCTGATGATGATGATTCTGGCGAGGCCAGGGCGATGGCTTGACCCAGGTCAGAGAAGAGGCGTGTAGCAAGGGACGTATTTTCTGGAGAGAAGAGGGCGTTGCTGCTGTCGTTGTCTGCAGACTCACTGCTCGACTTTCGACACTCGATCAACACGCGCAGCGCCTGCGCGCGGTTGACATAGGCGGATGGATAGGACGGATACTCTGCGATGATGGCATCGAGTTCGGCGATTGCTGCCTTGACCGTCTCTTGCGACGGAGGAGTGTTACTGCCGCCGCCGCCGCTGCTGCTGCTGTCCGTCTGCTGGATCTGGCGGATAGCGTGGAGTTCGCGCGCCTTGAGAGCGGCGAGGTCGGATTCTGGCACGGCAGGGAAGGACGGCAGAGACGGGTCGATCACGACGTTGGATGAGGATGGAGATGGTGATGATTCAGCGTCGAAGAGGGCCTGCAGGACGGCGGCATCTTTGGAGGTCAGGTTAGATGGCGCAGTGGGGGTGATGGCTGTTGCGGAGGCCATTTCGCTGCTGTTCTTGCCTGCAGAGAATATACGTGATGAAGCTGTATGTTGTGGTATATGTGTAATACTGTAGTAACACAAGGATGCCTATGTAATGTAGATGCTGGTGATATACTCGGCTGGCCACGGGTATTCTCTCTTGACGCAGCAAATACCCGCCGATATCCGCGCGCGGGCCATTTCCGTCCCCGCGGGGAAGAGCGGAATTAGCCAGCAGCGACAACCCCGCCGGCTAGCAACTTATTATTATTATTATTATTATTCAAGTTTAACGTCCATACCGAGCCTTTCGGCTATGACAGACCCCGAATCGTGGGCGACGCCCCTATCTAGTCTCTAATTCCCCTCTTTGACCATTCTGGACCTTTTCCTCGCCCCAAACCGCCTTATTGCGCAGGGCTTTTGGGCATTATGTATGCCCTCCTTGGTGTTATCACTGAATGGGTGTCACCTGCCTGCTGCAGGCCACCCTCCCCTATTATCCCTCCCCCTCTCGTTCTGCCTCCTCCAAGGCCTCCAGCCCCCATTCATCATCCCTATGAGCCCTATCCACTGCCCGTACCTGGTCCCCCCGGGGGCAACCTATGGCAGTATCTGCTAGGAACTGCAGCAGGGCTCGTGAGGCTTTAGGGTTCCCAAACAACCTTCCTTCCGGATACTCCTCTGCCATTGTTGGTCTGGCAATCCCAGTCTTAGTGAGACCTTGATATAAGGTCTCTCGCTGCCTCCGCCACTGCCTACATTCAAAGAGGAGATGGTAACTGACTCTTTTGGGGCCTGGCATCCTGGCATGCCTCGTTTCTGTGCTGAATCTT